AACTTTATATGCATACATGACCGAAGCCCCGGGGGGCTGATGTAGGAAACACGCTCACAAAGAAATCTGCCTCTAGGTAGAAGGCGGAATATCGGGAATTCTTATATGTGGAATGACCACAGGCTTAATCGTATCTATCAGTCGTCCAAATCATATCACCGTAATCAGGGGAGGGATGCCCAGTGGAGTTCAAGCCGGCTTTCAGCTACTCCTTATCGAAGTAGCTGCTCCCACTCACGTTCCGGCTAGAACTAACACGAGTGTGGTGATTCGGGTTCGGAGAGGTAGGACGAGAGGACGAGAGACCATCCGACAAGAACGGAGTGCTGGGCAGTTTGATCGAAAATTCGTTGGGAGAGTTAGACACGGGTGATCCACTGTCAGCACCGCTATCTTTCTCGTATGCATCAATGCGAATCGGAGGGGGCCGAACGCCTGTAGAGGTATAACCCGGGTTCCCATAATAGTGCGTTGCGACCAAAACAGCAGCAGAGCCAACAAAAAACTAAAGCTCACATTATCAGTATGGTTTTTCTTGGGAATGATGGGAACATGGGCCCTTACCCTTGCAGTGAGCTCGAAATCAAACAAGTAAATACTTGCAAGAATGCTTAAAACAGTGCTCATGGTGGTGGCCAGCGACTTGGGATCTCTCTGGGAAGAGCTGATGGAAAATATGGACAATATACCGCCCAGGGCTTGAACCACGATGGTGGTCCATACGGCCCAGTTGTAGCCTTGGAAAAAGCCATCGTTGGAGATGGTATCGCCGTCGCGGAAAACGACACCAATGAAGAGTGCTGGGAACACAGAGTAAATTGCCAATTGAACATTGCGCACCCACAGCGAAGTGTGGTTTGAGCTGTCCTTGAGAACCTTCTCAAAGTAAATTCCACCGAGGCCGGAAGCTAGCGCGGCACCGATGATTGCGAGCAGACCCAATGTCGGGTTCAAGTGTGGGTCGGCAGTCTGAATATCCTCCTCAATGCCTTCGTATGTTGCAGAGCGTTTGTGCAGATTACTCGATATTCCCTTGGCAGCCTTCCATTCTTCAAGTGATCTGGGAAAATGCAACGACGCGCTTTCATCCTGCAGAGTCATTTGATCTGAGTTGGCATCCGGAATTTGAACAAGGGCAACGCCCACGAGAAGCAACAAGAGTAAGCCCCACTTTTGAGGTGCGATACTCCGACGGAGAACAATCAGGCCAAAAATGGCAGTCGTAAAGAACTGCAATTGCGAAGTAACCTGGAAACTCGCCGCCTGCATATTGGATAGTGCGATATATTGTAGCGAACAGGATAAAACGCCGAGACCGGCAGGGATTGCAAGTTTCCAACTGTCGCCCGAAAAGACAGCGCTAGTGAGGGAGAAGAAGAGAGATGTGGCGGGCATCGAGGGAGGCGCGGCCTTGGAGACGTCATAGAGGGCCATTGTAAGAGAAATGGCCAGCTTGACCATCTCGTTGAGAAACACGGCGGTAGAGGTCAGGTATCGCTTCCCACCGGCGGGGGGCATCACTCGAGAATAATGGGCGAGCTGTCATCGCGGGCAAAAGAAATAATCAGTCCTTTGCGCGGGGAATATTTTGACTCTTGAGATAGAGCGAAAAGAGACTCACCAAAACAAACCCCGTTGATTGCACCGTGAGCTGCATCAGAGAAAGGGCACGTCAGCGACATGGTTTTGAGGATTGCGATACACATTGCACGCGTCAATGCGGGATCCCTACCAGCAGCCATGGAACATTCTTGGTGGCATCTCGCAGCCAAGACGGTTGGCGCTGTGTGCGGTCCCCCATGGTGACTCGAAATTGTGGATTTGTCGCGATTGCGGGACGAGGTGGGTATCTTTTCTCCGCAAAGAAAGAAATCGCGGGGGGGGGAGTAAAAACAATGCGAACAAATGCGATACAGCGAGAGATAAAATGGAAGGGGACGACAAGAAGAAGATGACTGATCGAGGAGGCAGCAAGAAGTAGGGAGCGACAGAAAAGACCGGAGGCTGATGCAGCGTCTTAGTTAGACTTTCACACTTCGACCAGCTAAAGCAGGGGGCACGCCAGCGATCTGCCGCCTAGGGCCTATCCTCAGGGCTTCGGATGACGATCACAGCGGAGCTCCGCGTGGGTCGGGGGGCTGGGGTGACAAAGGAAAAGCGGAGGTTGTGGTATGAGGTCACGGTAGGAAGGCCCCTGGAAATATCCGTACAGAGTACTCTGTAATAAAGGGCAAAGGAGTAAGATGTAGAGTAAGCTGTAAGATGTAAGTAGTCAGTTGGAATGGGTTGGTGCTGTCTGAGGAGCGGTGTGGATCACGGGGTCGCGACTCCCTCTTTTTAGTCTGTGGTCTTTGCTCTTTGCTCTCTTGGGCACGAACACGAGCAGTGACAGTCCTTGCTCTTGGGAAAAGCAATGCACCTCTGTCTTGACTCTTCCTGAAACCTGGGGCCGATTTGAGTCGGTTGAGTCTGGGCTTCTCCTCTGACGTCAAACCCCATGCCACGACGATCCACTTCGTCTTGGCCTTTCCTTCTGCTCTACGGAGTAGAGTACATACATACGGAGTATGGAATGCGAGATGATATAAGGCCACCCCACCCCGCTGGTCAATTTGCGTCTTGATCCATTCGGCACCGCACCCGGGACAAGCCACCTTCTGATGGCGTTGGGGCCAAATGCATGTCGACCACGATGCTAGGGCTGTTCGTAGGGGGGTCTACGTGGGCTGTGGAACTTGCATCTGCATGGCGCAAATCGTGCAGTCGCGAGGTCCGCCGTACTGGGGCCAATATGCCCAGAATCTGCGGAATTGAAACTGACTAATGGGTTACTCCTCCTTTCCAATATGTATTTGCATTAACCAATTATCACTGACATTTTCACAGTGGATCTCCGAGGATGGCTCAAAATCATAGCACTGCTTTATATTCGATCATGCAGCCCTAGATAGCACCAAACTTCTATCACTAATCTGCGTCCGATGCCGCTGATTCCCCATCTCGTTTCCCAAGAGTCGAAAAATTGATCATATGGTCTCCTGGTTCGTGTTAGTGAGTTGGAGATAAACAGATTAAATGGACACATCCCACCTCTAACTACAGATTCTAACATCAACGTGAGCAATTGTTGGACTGTGTCATGATAGTCAGCATACCAGAAGGCAAATAGTAATGGGTAGGTAGCGCGTACTATCTTGGTCAACACAAGTAAGAGTCGGGTCGTTTTGCTGCCTGTGTATATGTGTGAAATTCTTGCTGGTTTCTGCAATCCAGCAAGACGCTTTAATGGAAAGATATGGCTCATCGCTATTGCGTTCTCGAAGAAAACAAGATCTTGTGCTATTAGCATATGAGTCCGTGCGACTCAGTAAGAGATACATACGTGATTGTGCTACATCTCCTATAATCAGTGAGGTAAGTCTAGATGTCCTAGTCGACGATAGCCAGATTTTCCATAATTGCAATGGTCCATTCAAGCGAACGATGAGGCTCATGGGCCATACTATTGAATTTTAAGGTTAACTTCTCCGTCTGAAATAAAGCAGACTGTTTATACACATAAGTATATTGCGACAGATATTCATGTTTTCGTTCTCTGCGCACTGCTTTTGTTGAATGGCATCGAACAATTGAAGACACATTGACCGGGGGAGTTCTGAAGCCATTTTCCTTTAGAATCTTCATACACCAATCCTGTCAATCATCGGACTATAGAACAGCCAAACATGCATGCCAAGGAAGTGTCGGAACTGTCGCAGAATAGCTATTTACCACTTTCAGACCAAACTTCAGCTTATCAAAAACAGACGACTCAACCTGAAGAGTACCCCGGGTGGTTCCCAATTATCTCAGAATCGGATTCATGCGCAACAGTGGCTACGCCGCGGGAAGATTCCCCGAAAAAGAGTCTTACTCTTTCTCTTCCACAAATTCTCTACTCGCAAGGAGCAGATGGAGAATTCCGACACCTTGATTCGGCCATAAAGGATTCTCTTATAGCGCAATTCAACAACAACAACAACACCATCATGCTTCTTATTAATTGGAGAGAAAACAAGCGCGTGGGAAGCCAGACTTACACTTGGCCTCTGTTGATCTCAACATCCTTGCCGTCGTTTATATCACAACCCGTCACGCTGATTCAAAGGGGTTGTGGGAGCTTCAGATAGCAAAGGCCCGACAATGGATACTGAGGGAGCCAGCAGAAGATTTTGCGAAACACGAGGCACTTGGTCTTCAGACTCAATACTCGCTCGAAACTTACTTGGGCTGGATGGAGAAGCTTCTGCATCTGGAGCTCGTGCCAGAGTTGATTAAAGGCAGTGCCAATGGTTTGTTTGACAACTGGGGCAATGCATCATCAGCTTGATTATGATGGTCTAGTTTGTACTTCAGGTTGGGTGTTTGAAACTTTATCACGAGGAAGAAGTTCAGATCTAATTTTTCATCCCAATAATGAATGGTAACTTAGAAGCAACTCATTTGAACGAAAAGGCTCTCCTTTGGATATTACAGCAGGCGGGTAAGTACACTTTCGTGCGGGCACCAAATGCTTAATGTTTTCCTCCAGGCGAGGGCCTAGCAGGTCAGTTATGGGTTCCAAGGTTTTGGTCGGTCAATTTTACAAATAAATCAATAATTGAATCAGATAGAGCATATCAAATATGGATTCTGTTTTTGCCGCCATGCATCCTTGCCATGGCCGGTTCGACGTGACAAGTATTAGACATGACAGGCACGCGGTTTTCGTAAGACAAAGAGTCAGGAGAAGGGGATCTATTTACAAAGAGGGATCGGGGTAGAAAGATGAAAAGAAACGCTGAGAGGCTGAGTAATGCGAGATAGGAAAATGCAAGAGGTAAAGGATAGTCAGGATGTGCAATCCAAATGAGTGCCATCCAAATGAGTGCCAGTGTTTATACATCGAGTGAAGGTAGTCGAAAAATCGAGAAAGTTATTAATAGTGAGTGTGGTCGTGCAAGGTCGAGTGCTGTTTCGGTTTAATGCACAGCAGCAACGTTGCTTCGGTCATGGGTGTTCCAGTCAAAGTCGAAAGACCAGAGGGGGAGATCATGCTTGTTTTGCGGGTCGCCGTTGTCAAGCATGATAGCTTCACTGCTGTCGGTGCGGCGACGGCTATGACGCTTTTGGTCCTCGGGGATAGCTGGCGGGGGACCGCGTGGTGGCGGCTTCGGGGATGGGAGAGGCGAGAAGCGGTGGATTGGGAGAGTCGGAGTCAAGGGAGAAGCGCCGCTGGTAGCGGGAGAAGGAAGGCTTTCGGAATACGCCGTACTAAAACGGGACGAGGCAACCGAATTACCGATTTTCTGTTCAGTATCAGAACTCGAACTCTGCGAGGGCGGTCCATCCATTTGAGTAGCACCTTGATCTGTTCGGGCTTGGAAAGGGGGGAATGCCGCACTGAGACGCAGGAACGAAGTGTCCGATCCGACGAAGGAATCACGCGATGGCCCAGAGATTATCGAGCTGCGATCAATCTCCGGGACTGACGGGGCCCCGTTGTGATGGAAGAGACTTGGGGTAACCTTGCCCTTTCGCAACCGCATTGCTTCCAAAAGATCCTGTTCCTGCCGAGTCACCGCAATGACTCGACTTCTCCGGTTCATCTCCTTCAGCTCATGGGGTGGGCGTAGTCGCTGTTGCGGGAACTGGTCCAAGATGTCCTGCTGAGGAAGAGCAGGGGCACCGCTGGACCGCCGGGATTGGGTGGTTTTTGTTGTCGACTTGCTATTAGCTGACGCAGTTGTATCTCTGCGGCTAGACCTTCTCTGCTTGGGTTGCTGGGCCTGCTGGACTTGTTGCTGGTTCTCTTGCCTCTGTGTTTTCGGATGCGATCCACGGCTGCTAGAGGACTTTTTGTACATATGGGCAGTGGCAGTCTGGGCAGTCGAGGCAGTGTAGATTTCAGCGTCAAACTCGTCATACGTAGCAACGCTATCCCGATTGCTTTTTCCTTGGTTTGGACGTGAGTCTGTCGGTGTGTCTATGTCCTCCTCTGTCTCATCCTCTGAAGATGACGAAAGACAGAGTACACTGGAATTCTGGAGGTCCTTGTTTTTCAAAGTACTCTTGCTGCTCTTTTTGGTCATAGAGCTCTTGACACTTCGCGAGTTGCTCTCTGCGGCCGAGCTGACCTTTCGAGGACGATTGGGTTCTGGCTGAGACGCAGGAGCCAGGTAAGAATCCTTGCGGCGGTTGCCTGATGGACTGCGAGTACGTCTCGCATTTGTGCCCGAATCAGTATTCCGCTGATCCGTATTCCGCTGATCCGTATTGCGCTGATCCGCCTGCAGCTGCTCTCGACTTGCCGTGTAAACACTGGAGCGGCTAAAGAGCGATCGTCGTCCGGCATATCGATCCAGAGCGAGGTCGATCTCACTGGTCCCTACCGTGCGCTCCAGTGGGGGTTCATACCATTCGTAATTCTTGGATTCGGGAATTGATAAGAGATCGGAGCGGTCAGAACGGTCGACGGTTGGCTTGGGAGCCTCATTTTGAAACACTGAGGAACGAGCAGGCAATGCGTCTCCAAATCGTCTCGCGGTTGAATTGCTTCCGGCTTGGTCGGCCTTGTTAGAAGGCCAATCCGAGACAACGGTGGAAACAGGAGACGGGGAGCTAGTCATACGTTGAGGCGATAGGAGATGGGGGTTGGTGGTGGGTTTGCGGGGCTTAGGGAAAAGAACGGACAGGTCAATGCGTGGGGGCCGGAGCTTTCGCTTTGACTCTTTCGGAGGTGGAGGCTGTTGGAAAGTAACCTGGGGATCTGCCTGCCACTCATTGCGAACTCTAGGCTGAAGGCCCTTTGGGGTTGTGGGTGACAATTTGGACTTCGAGGGATCCTTTTCCTTGGAACTGAAGTAGGAGAAGAGTGTGGACGAGGAACTGGATGGGTGGATCTTCTTCGACGGCTTGGGCATCGGCGGTACGGGATCTTGGGATCGGTATTCTTGGCCCAACAGAGGCGAGGAGGCTCGCACACGAAGGTTTTGAGGAGGGACTTGGATGGTGTCCTCGGATTTTGGGAAAGCAGCAAAGCTTGTGTGTTGTTTGCGGGACCTCGAGGTACTGTCGGGCGTCCGCAAGCTTTGTCGTCGGGACTTGGGCTTCTTCTGTTGTGTCGGCTGCAGGCTGTCCCATCCGTTTTGACCATTTGGCAAAGGCAAGTCCGTTCCTAGGATGCGTTGAGCCTTGGAGGTCTTGCGCTCCACGAAGCCCGAGTTCTTGTGGTCCTCCATCGCTCCAGGTCGTAAAAGATTCCGGCTCGAGGTTCGAAGTGGAACATGCACTGGGGTGGAATCCCGGTGCGCCATAGGAAGAGTGCGGAGTGAAGAAAAATCAATAGGTCGTCATAGAACTGCGCGCATATACAATCTCGCAATCCCGTCTTTTTTAAGGAGTGAATTCGACGGAGAAGGCCTCGTGGATCCGGCGTTTTTCTTAAGTTGGTTTTCCACCGCTTGACGGCTTGACAAGGATCTACTCCACAAACAAGAGGGTCAGCAATTACGCAAAGCCCGAAGAGAGGACTACCCGCGTGGGCCTCCACTGAAACGTACCGTGGGAAATGAGTGAAATAATAAGAAAACACGGAGAGAATTGATAGTTTTGCACGCCCGACGAGGGGCTAGGGAGAGAGGGGTGACACGGGGTGGAAAGGAAAGGATAGTCAAACGGCGACGCAGAACCGGGGGCGGTTCTTTTTTGTACGAGGAGCGGGCGCGGGCGCAGAGGATCGGAATGGAGGCACGATCGACTGGCACCCCATTTGAAGTTCACACATCGGTACGCTTAATAGGGGCGGCCCACAAGTATCTTCTTTGGAGCCTGCATGGGCCAAAGGGGGGGGATTAAAATCCTGATGGCCTGTCATAGGCTAGGAGCACAAGCGGACATGCTCGCACGGGTGTGTTTCATTTCATCGGGTGGAGCATAACATGGAAGACGGGGCCTTCCATTGGAACGCATCCTTGGTTGCGGTAGGGTAGTGTGGTTCCTAGCCTTCACGCTCCGAGCCCTCCAAGGATTAGCATTGAATCGCGCGCGGCTTGGATCGACGGCTCAGCTACTGAGGATAGCGGGCTTTTCGCATGGACGAGAAGAGTATGTATCGACAGGCACCCACTTGGACTGGGTCCCCGGGGTCCAGTCAAAAGCGCAACTCCGCGATTGGGTTGCTGGCGTACGGATTTCCATGGAAATGCATATTGGGCGGGATGTATGAAGTTTTGCCGAGTTTCAATGGCAATTCCTGGAGGATTCAGAAGGAAGTTAGAAGAAATGATGAAGAGCCGCGGGCCGCCCCTGGCAGCTACCGAAGTAGAACGTGAGTGACCACGTGAATCTGCACGAGGTACTCGTGCAATGTATGCACATACATCCTACCACCTCATGCTCATCTACTCCTTAACAGTATGGAGTATGCTATTCATAGAGCTTGCCGACTCTTTGGACTCATCGACCATGGTCCATATTCCTCCGCACGCCACTATTCGACGCCGCTCAGATCTGGCTTGCAATGGTGACGCCCAACTCCACCCAAGCTTCCACACCCCTTTTCCGCCGCCTGTCTCTATTTAGAACTGGCCTGTCGAAGCGCCTCAGTGGGTTCCAGCCATCGAACCAAAATCCCACGCTTATGGAGCTATGGAGCCTCTACCGCGATGGTGTATATATTGCCCCATCCATTCTGTCGCTACGGAGTATGTACACACTTGAAATCGATCGACAACCTCGATCGTTTATCGACCCAGCGCCCCGGGGCGCGAGCTCAGATCGGATCGTGCGTAAACCGCCCTACCCTGCCCACTCCAAGCCTTCAAGGGTGGCGCCGTGACAAATACTGTAAGTATGCCCGCGTCCCGTCCACAGATGCACTTCCAGCATCGGAAAATCAGGCAATGATCGCCCCGAACGTGTTGCGTCCCATGCCACGCACATGCAGCCCACCCCAGTTTCCATGGCGGACTTATACAGAACTCAAATCCGACTCGAGGGGCGCAGTCCACAGACTGGATTGGATGGCTGAAACACCACCCACCCATGGGACTACCCATGAGATTGGTTCCCGACCTTGACAGGTTGACGTGCCTTAGCTTACGGGGTTGTCTCGGGGGCTGGATGTACACAATGAATGGAGAAGGCAGTCTCACAATCACAATTCTAATCTTGATCCCCAATCCCCCCCGGACCATGGCGAGGGAAAGGGGGACGTGTCACAGACCACTACCACCATGAACCAGGGACTGTTTCCCCCATCGGCCCTAGTTCGTGTGCGACAATGGCCCGAGCAAACCAAGGCGATCGAGGATCATCTTGCCCGGACTCCTCCGTTCTCCTCCGTCCATGACTGTGCCGTGTCTGCAACGACCCACCGGTGACGGAATCAGTGCGGTGACACTCCGGGGCAAGTTGATTTGTACTCGAGATTAAGGGTTCCTTGTCCAACGTCGCGTCATTGGCTGTGTCTAGATTAGACCATTACCCCCTGCATCCTGCCAAACCATTCCTCTTCCGTCTGGTGTCTGGTGTCTGCCGACACTATTTTAAATCCTACACAGAGCACGAGGGAGCAGAAAAAAGGGGTGAACTCAGTTGAATTGAGAAACCCGCTAGAAGGACCCCCCTCCAAAAAAAAAGACGACTCCCGAATATTCCAACTATCCCCAGAGGAAACCACATTCTTGGGACTAGACGTTGAAACCCGACAAACACTTCCGACCATCCAGTACTATTGAACCCAAACAAATGGTTTGACAGGTGAAGCCCCAGCATTATTGTCCGCTATGTCAATGGTGGGCGAGGCTAGCGCTAAATGGTGTCCCCCCAATAGTCAATAGTCCACCCAGCAGGTCGGAGCTCGTAGCGCAACAATAGACTGAGGCCGCACCCATGGTTCTCACCATATAGTTTACTTTATCATGACTCCAGACTCCAAAATTTACAGCGGATTGGGCGTAGATCATGCGAAAATCTTCAAAAGTTTTTAGAAAAAATCCTCAAGGGCCTTCAAACATTTGAATTAGGCATGTGCATAGGCTTTGACTGCTTCGTCTGTCCCGATTTTTGGGGATATCGGGTTCCACTTGTGCAAATCATCAACTGCTTTATCTAGGCATCTTCTCGAAGATCAAACGAACTCTGCACATCATCCCAATCCCAAGTGTGCGGGTACCATGTGAGCAAATTCCGAACGTATAAGCGTATCGGCTCGTCCGGCGAGCAAAAGAATTATTGAAAACTAATTTTGGAGAAACGTGCTTGATGTACTCCGTCTTCCGGGAACTGCAGGTACAGAGAGAGTGGAGACAATAAAGCGTAACTGTAAAACTCGCCATCATTCAAGTTCCCTTCTCAGCGTCTGGGTAAATCCTGAAGAATACCTACGGCTACGTACTCGTGGACACTGGAGCAGAAATGGGGTTCGAATGGGCTCTTCATTCGTCGTTTGATGCTGAGGACAAAGGAATGTGAAACTAGGAACAAGCCAACTGGAGGCGGTTGACTAGAAAACGGTGTTTCTACCCAACTCCTCTGGGGCGACTGAGCGCTCCGTATTGCTATGAAATTCGAGCATCTCATTCTATCCCCGAGGCCGTCTTATCACACTTGACCATTCGCTCTTGTCTGCCTTTTTGGCATTGAGGCCTCGATTAATCCCTTCTGTCCAATCTTCACTAATGACTAGTGAACGCACGTCTTCGTCTTTGGAAACAGTTAAAATCCTGTGGATCATCGAGACAGGAGTTATGCATCTCTGCATCTCTTCTCGCCGAGCTGATGACGAAGCGGTTTCGTATGAGGTATAGCATCATTCAGCCCGTTCGACGTGCACCTGGAACGAGGGAATAGGAATCGCTTCAGCCTCCTCACGCGTCACGCGTACCGATCTCGGGGACAGGTGAGCTTCGCTGGTGCGACACGAAGTCGAAACAGGGTTGAGATAGGTCACTTTGAGGTGCGCACTATGTAACATCTATCAGTATGAGCAGAGAGGCGGGGGCAAATGGACATACGAATGATGACCCGTACTGATTCCACCACAGCTCAGTTTGCGTACTGCCTGATCCTCCTCGTTCGCGAATTTGAATACCAAATCGCCCGCGTCGACGAAATCGGGCGCTTGATATCCTTCGGGACAATCGTCGGTATACAACAAGAAAATCCCCAGGGCTCGAGCGCTGGGTAGCTTGGTGAAGGTTGATGTGAGGGGAATCAGTAAGCGATCCATTTGCTGGATCCCTTTTACTATATCCACGGCAGAGCGAACGGTTGTGAGGGCGTTTCTTATCTCTTCTTGCCCGGCATTGGAGCCGGGTTTTGTCTTAACCACGTCCTGGTATTCGCTATTGTGCTTGCTGTACTCGCTGTGGTACACGAACGACATGGTATAAGCCTCAAAGATTTCGATCGGCAGTTCTGTTTTCTTGACGACGGTGAATTTCACGGCCTGAAGACGACGTCGAACGAGAACCTCGAAGATGCTTCCTTCCTGTCCAGTAGTTGGGTTGTCAGTATATCCACTTCCACGGTGAGGCGAAGACCCTACAAGAAGATCGAGTACACGGTCCGTTTGAGAATCGATTCCTCTCTCCATGACCTTGACCTGGAGGGTAGGGCCATCGGCCTGGCTATTTTCACCACTGATGAACTCGTCATAGGTGTGAACCTGGGAGCCTTCCCGGTTGGGGGCTCTAGGGATGGAAAGACTTCGTTCACCAAACGTGACTAGCGGCAGGAGACCACTGTATAGCAGCGCTCATTGGCATTTTAACTTGACTCGGGGGTTAGCAAGAAAAGACCGACCGCTTGAAGAAGATGCCCGCAAGCTAGTCTGCGTGTTAGCTGTGTCCGTTGCTGGATCGGGGACGGGGTATGGACCGTGACGTGCAGAATAATTTTCATCAATTCCAGGCTTTGAACCTATGCCATGTCAATATAGGTATAACTGGTCTTCGGTTTGTTCTTCCTGGGTTGACGCGTACTTTCTGCTGGAGAGCGTTGAGCATCTCCTCCGTCCGGGGTTTGGATGGAACTTCAAGTTTCCAAGGCGCATTCATTGAATTGAACAGAATAATCCTTTCCTCCAGGGCTGCGAGTGATCGGTCGGGGTGGAGTGGGAGAGATACTACGTAAGGGAAAAGGAAGAGGAAGGTATGGGGTAGGGACACCAGTTGGTGTGGCCAGGTGCCCGTCAGCAATTAACTAACCGTTGGAATACTGAGGCAGTTCCAGTTATCATCTAGTAGTAGTACCTAGTAGGTACTATGTTACTCACAGTGAGCCCTGGACTGTTGGTCCTCATCTATTGGATCCACTGGCACTGAGCAGCCCTTCAGGGCTGCTGCAGAACAGTGGGGGACCAGCACGAGGCGCTGCGGGCTGGGGGTACCTGCAGGTGACGTACAAGGTACAGCGGAGCAGGGAGCCATCCCTTGACGCGGAGATTTGGATAAACATCGAGTCATGCTGGTTACTACCTGGCATCCCTGGATGCACTTATGCAGGATGCAATAACGAGTCATTGTCCCTGGCATGCCCAAGGTCGAGTACTGTACGGAGTACACCCGGGCACGATATATACTAGTGGAGTGCCTGGAATACCTGCACAGACTAGGAGTAGCTGGAGGTACTCATCCATGGATATCAGAACTTGAGTTTAAACTTGATTATCTACTATCAGTACACTAGTATATTGATATCTACTGCTATCGTAGTATACGATACTACTCTAGTGTAGATGGCAATGTTGACACCACGTGACGGGTGGCGAGTTGGGCCCAGAACTTGAATTGATCTTCTCTCCACATTTGCGGCAAACCGGTTTCTGCTGAAGTGGTGGCTGCACCTGTACATCTGTAGTGTTGTATGTAGTGTGCCACTGACATATTTACGTGCACCGAACCTTGAAAACCGGGCAGTCAGTCTATGAGTAACCAGTCAGTGGATGTAGGCTACATGGTGAAGGGTGCAAGTGCCTCGGGCTACCACGGGCTAAGCTGAGATGGAGATACCGAGATTGAGTATTGCAATGCAATGCAATGCAATACAATACAATAGGAATATAGTCAATATAGTATACCATCAATCTCGATGGTAGTAGTACTAGGGTACCCTACAAGCATACTGTGCTCCGTACCTACAGGACTCACGGATATTGTTGTCTCCGCTTTCGCCCTCCAGTCAGTAATACCCTGGACGGGCACCTCCACCAATCACCCTTGTCAGCCGCCACTCTGTTTCTCTTTTTGTTTCTTCTCCTTCCCTTTCTTCCTTGCGTTGGTCTTTGGTCTTGGATCTTGGATTCTGATTTCTCCCATCTTTCTCAACTTCCCCCCTCGCCATGTTCTGATCCGTTCGGTTGTTTCCATCTTCTTTGTGTAAATGGTTTCGCAGGCGAACTTGTACCGTGCTGACGGGCCGCTGTGCTAACACCATACGAGCATTCCCATTCTTGTGGTGGCCATTTCCAAGGTTCCTAATCCACTCCCCCACTTGAAAAGAAGCTCAGTGATGTCTTCGTCCTCGGACGCCCCCCCGTCCTCTCCGCCCCTTCGACTCCGATCTCAACCTGTCTTTGGACTCAACTGCTTCATCTACCTCAACTGTCACCTCTCCCCATGCCGCCCGCCGTCCTGAGTCTCGTTTGATTCCCCCTCGGCTTCGCGATATGGACGAACACGAGAAAGATGATATCGCCCAGGGCCCATCAAACAGCGCCCTCGGCCAGTTCTCTTTCGCCCCAACCACCCGCACCACCGTCGTGACCACCACCACCACAACCACCACTGCATTCCCTCCTCTCATTTTCCGACCGCCACGCGCCACCAAGGATCTGGATACCCGGCAATATCCCCTCGCCGCCTCACCCACCCCGGCCGCTTTGAGAAACCTCAGGTTCAAGATCGGCGATCAGTCCATTGTATTCAACGAGCCAGAAGATACCAACGCGACTGCAACCGAAGTACGTCTTCTCTCCTCTCTATAGAGACACCTCTTTTCCCTTTCCCTCCTATCCCTCACTCCCCGCTTTGTGCTCACATCATTCTAGTTGAGAGAAAAGAATGAGGCCCTACAATCTTCCAACGGCCTGATCCGCTCAATCAACTCCTTCAGCTCCGAGGATAATGGCGTACCGCGACGCCTCGCTCCTCCACGATCCGTGACTCGGCTTCGTCAGCCCAACCCCCAAAATCGACCCGTCTCTCCCGTCTCTATTCCAGATCCCCGCCCGGCGATTTTGCCTCGTACCCGCGCACCTCGAAATCTTTCCGAGCCTGTTGCACGGCGCACTCGTCATAGTGCCGCGACTCATCTTTCACCGGCTGGTCTGGCCACCCCGGATGCTGAACACAACCCCAGTAGTCTCGAGGAAGGCCCGGCCCCGAGACAAAGAATGCACAGCGTGACCATCCCTAGGAAAGAAACACTGCTGAAGTCTCCCCTCTCCGCCGATGCTGGGCCCTCAAGTACTTTGCAACGCCCTAGTCTAACGTCAGTACCGTCAACTCAGACCGATACCAGTGGGAATAATGTATCAGAGCCGTCTCCCTTTGAGCAACCCTCTTTCGGTGGCTCTTCTGGGGACATCTCTCAGCGGAGATCGGAACCCCCATCACAGCTATCGGCTATTGATAGTGCGATGGCTCAAGATATGTGCTTGCCCAGTCCAAGTCTGTCACCGGTGACCGCCATGAACGCTCTGCATGGAGAATCTTCTTTCGATTCCGAAGATACGGATTCGAGCCTAGACCACAATCTTCCCCGCCAGACGAAAGCGATGCGTCTTTCTGGAATCGATCCTTATTCTAACGACCCTTCGATGTTCTCGTCTCGGTCTCCGTCATCTCTTATGGATATGCCCAAGGTGTTGGAATTCTTTGACACCGTGCCCGAAGAGCTGAAAACATATATGATGTATCAGTTTCTTCGACGTTGCCCTAAGCCCACGCTCCACTTCGTGGCCGATGTGGTGAATCCAACCCTCAAGTGCGACTTCCTCGCTCTCCTTCCCCTGGAGCTCAGCCTGAATATTGTCAAGTACTTTGATGTACAGACAATGTGTCGTGCCGCCCAGGTCTCCAAGAGATGGCGCCATATCATCAATTCCGATGAAAAGACTTGGAAAGAACTTTTGGACCAAGATGGGTTCGTTCTTTCGGAAGGCGAGCTAGAGCGAGCTATTCGCGAAGGATGGGGATGGCAGTGCAGCAGTCCAGATGATTTCGAAAGAGACCTCAGTCTCCTGACCTCCTCCAAGGGGGAGCAGGAGATGTCCCCGGTCGCTTCTTCGTCGACTGTTGTTGACAGAGCGCCTCTGTCATCTTTGGCACTAAACAGACGACCCAAGCGGAAAGCCAATACCCGCGCGTCGAGTCGGAAGTTGTCAAAGCGAAAAATTTCTTCCAGTGGAACGGATCATTCCGAGCCTGACTGGAAGAGAGAGATCGCTTCCTCCGAGGCTCCTTATGCTGCAGCAAATGCTGCCGCGGCTGCCATCCCGTACCCCGAAGTTGGTCTTCCGGCGCTCCGAGGCTTGTATCTCTACAAAGCCCTCTACCGTCGGCATCATGCTATCCGCAGAGGTTGGATGAAACCAGCGGTCAAGCCTCAACACATTGCCTTCCGCGCCCACGATCGTCACGTTGTTACTTGCTTGCAGTTTGATACGGACAAGATTCTTACGGGCAGCGATGATACGAACATTAATGTGTACGATACCAAGACCGGAGCTCTGAAGGCCACACTCGAGGGCCATGAAGGTGGTGTTTGGGCACTCGAGTATCATGGCAATACCTTAGTCTCCGGGTCCACAGATCGTTCTGTGCGAGTTTGGGACATCGAGCACGCTCGATGCACTCAGGTTTTCCATGGCCACACCTCGACCGTGCGTTGCCTTCAAATTGTCCTTCCCACCGAGATAGGTAAAGATGCGAACGGCGAGCCTGAAATCATGCCCAAGACTCCATTGATCATTACTGGATCTCGTGATTCGAACTTGCGAGTGTGGAAGCTTCCCAAACAAGGCGATCCGTCCTATTACCCGAGTGGGCCGGTACTGGACGACACGGATTGCCCTTACTTCCTTCGCGTGCTCTCTGGTCACACCCACTCCGTTCGAGCAATCGCAGCTCATGGTGATACTTTGGTCAGCGGAAGTTACGATTGCACCGTCAGAGTGTGGAAGATTTCCACTGGGCAAGTCTTGTATACCTTGCAAGGCCACTCAATGAAGGTGTACAGCGTGGTGCTAGATCCAAAGCGAAACCGCTGCATCAGTGGTGCGATGGACCACATGGTAAAGGTGTGGTCCCTGGATGATGGCTCTTTGCTCTACAATCTTGAAGGCCACACCTCTCTCGTCGGTCTTCTTGCTTTACAAAATGACTACCTCGTCTCGGCCGCCGCCGACTCCACACTCCGGATTTGGGACCCCGAACACGGCCACTGCAAGAGCATGCTAAGCGCACACACTGGGGCGATCACATGTTTCCAACATGACGGACAAAAGGTCATTTCTGGATCAGATCGCACTTTGAAGATGTGGGATGTCGGCAATGGTGCTTGCGTTCGAGATCTTCTGACCGATCTAAGCGGTGTTTGGCAAGTCAAATTCAACGACCGACGATGTGTTGCTGCTGTTCAACGTGATAGCCTGACCTACATCGAGGTAAGTTACCCACTCATCCGATATAGCCTCATTTTGTTCTAACATACTCTTAGGTTCTTGACTTCGGTGCTTCTCGAGATGGCGTGCCCGAGAACAAACTCGGCAAGCGGGTAGCGGTGAACCGCCGCGGACGAGAAATTGCCCCCACCAGCATCGACTCCGACTCCGAATCGGACTGATTCAAATCGGTGTCATCCCACGACTGGGATGTCGCGTTACTTTGTTTCTCTTCCTCCCCCATCCCCCTCCCAATCATCTATTCCCTCTCATATTTCCCTATCATCATATTCCCATATTCCCATATTCCCATATTTCCACATTCCCCGGCTCCTGGACTTCTTGACACCCTTACTCATTCACGATACCCATCCTTATGGCACTTATTTGTCTCCCCTTCTCAAACCCTTTGCATAGCGCGGTCGGCATTTTTCGATCATCCAGCATTACGATGGAGGATAGGCGTTAGACGTTTTCTGATTCTTGGGGGTTTCTTATTTTCATTACTCGGTTATTTCAAAAACCCTCCTTATGCATATCATCACCGTGCTTCATTTTCTTTGTCATTGTATTGCAATTATCTCACTCCCATTCTTTATATCTGAAGTTGTCTTCGGCAACCCTGACTTCTGGTGTTTTGAGGCGGGCCTGCGTTGATATTCGCATCTTCTTTGTCCTGTTTTTCTTAAGTGGTAATAGATACATTGCATTCTATAAAAATTTCCACCCGGTGATCGTAAACTTGGCTGTTTGGGTCGAATTTTGAACAAGTACGCTTGGCTTTGCAGTAGTTATTTGTCTCGTCGAGTTTCCAGAGCCCTTCGGATCTCAGAGGTATCAGGCCGAACTTCAAAGATTCCTAGGGTTGTCTAGAGACTAGAATCGCCGGGGCCCTTGTTCTCGAAAGCAATTGCGATCGATCGCTAAACACTCATTTAAACATAGTGGTATCTCAGATAGGATTAATGAGACAGAAGATGACTTCTTGCGGGCCAGCGCATTATGTTCATTAAAATGGTAATATGTATGTATACAGGTCTATTTATCCAGGTTTCCAAACCCACACCTCAACACCTCACAATTGAGCCAGACGTCCACCTTCCAAACTGCCATCAATACCAGCTGCAGATAAAATAGACCAGCGTATAGCGTTAACGCCTAGTGCCTGACCAGGACCAACAGAAACGTCCGCACTACAAGTCAAAATCTCACCCAATGCACCCGGGCCTCCTGAGGTATATGGGTCAGGCTGAATAACGGGTTTCATGTCCTTTAACATGCCCTGGAGTCGCTGGATACCGACATCCGAAACGCCGGTCTTGGCCTGTTTCTTCGTTCTCGTGATGACTTTATCTATTTTCGAGAGAATGATTTGGTGGGGATGGCGTAGCGGCGGAACAGGCCGAGGATATCGGCATCCTTTTGTTTGATGCCGTGTTCGCTATCGATGAGGATGAAGGCGCGACGGAGTCTTGAGGGTTTATTAGTACGATATTCATCGGGAGCCAGGTTCTAGGTGTTCATGGGTAAAGGGGCAGAACGAACTGTTTTCGGCCCTGGAGGTATTTCATGATTTCCATGCCCCATTCAGCTCGACTGGCTTTGCCGTATCCCGGCATATCGAGCAAGACAACTTTCGACTCGCCACCTTTCGTTCCTCCAATTCCAAACGCATTCATTTCCCTCGTCCGACCTGGTTTCGACGACGTCCAGCAAATTTCTTGGCCCATTATCGCATTCAATAAAGAGCTCTTCCCGACATTCGACCGGCCCAGGAATGCGACTTCCGGCTCGATCGAAGAGAGTGGCGTTGTGCGAAACTTGCTGGCGGACCATAGTTTTATAGGCGAGTGGCGTGATGGGATGAATATTTTGTCTGCGAAAGCTAGTTGGTCGGCATTGGGTGCTTTGGTGTCCCAGTAGTAGCAAAGGTCTGACGGCGTGAGGTCTTCAAGGTTGCGTTTGTTTGGGTTGGGGGGGAGGTTTCAGTGGTGTTTGAGCGGGTTCAGCGTGTCTTATTGTTGAATAGAGCCGATTTACAGCCCTGGAGGCCTTGAATATGGATTTCCTCATCTTTGAGGATCGGATGTGACTGAGCGACGCGGCCAGGTGTAAATGCGAGGCAGTTTGGATTCTCCGGAAAATCGGGGCACGGGCCAGCCGCTGCTTATCGATAGCGCTGGCCCGCGGTCCCATGGGTCTTCCCAATGTAGCCCGCCGCGCTTCCAGCTTAAACTTCAACTTCAACCTCAACCACCTTCGCTTCATTCTCCTCTGCTGTGCTGCCTGTTTACCAAGGCACATCTACAAGATGATTAATGCAGTACTCGTCTTCAACAACAATGGCCAGCCACGCCTGACCAAGTTCTACACCCAGTTGGTGAGTTGCGCAGCTCCGATGACGACCTAAACGACCTAAACGACCAACAGCTAACCAACACTCCACCCTCAGGACACACAAACCCAGCAATCACTAATCGCCCAAATATACCACCTCGTCGCACAAAGACCCGCAAGCGCCTGCAACTTCCTCCCCCTCCCCCCCCACTCCTCTCCCAACAAGGTTCATCCAACTCCTCCTCGGCCGGGCCCTCCGACGCCCCCACCCAAATCACCTACCGCACCTATGCCACGCTCTCATTCATCATGATCTCCACCTCAACAGAGTCCCCGCTCGCCCTAATCGATCTAATCCAAGTCTTCGTCGAATCACTGGACCGCATGTTCGAGAATGTCTGCGAGTTAGACCTGATCTTCGGCTATGAGACCATGCACGCGGTATTGAGCGAGATGATTGTCGGCGGCGTCGTTGTCGAGACTAATACCGAGAAGATCATTGCTGGTGTGCGTAGCCAGGAGGGTACTACGGGCAAGAGGAGGGCTGTTCAGGCTGCGAGTACGAGTCTTGGGCGTGGAGCGCTGCCGGGACTGGGTGCTTGGCGGTGATGCTGTATTTAAGATGGATGGATGATGGATTGCATGGGGTTCCTTAGCGTTGATTTTACGTAGATTTCCAGTACGTACTATACTTTCAAGTTGCTCATGTCGCTGGTCTTCATGGGCGAATGTATACTAGTACCTTTCAGTTGGGTTACCATGTTTGCGCAGTATCCAATGATATCTTCCTTCCAAGGTTAATACTCTATTTAATTTCGAATTTGCTGCCGAAACTAGTACTATTTGTTGCCAATATATCTAGTTTTTGTAGACCAGTTGTAGTACAGTATATGGCAAATGTGCACTGCAATCGAAGTTCAAATTTCAGGTATCATAGTAACTTGAAAGAAACAATTAAAGCACTCCGGAAAAGGTGTACCATGTGATATTGACTTAGAATTACTACCACACAAACGTTGATATAGAAGGAAGTTGTTATTATTGAGATATTCTACTTTGAATTCTATGCCTTGACTACGGTAGGACAGATCGTTCGGCCGGGCCGGATTATTGGTCGGCGCAACCCACAGCGAGGGTCACGTGTGCTCACGTGCCAGAATGGATCTGCCCTAACGCGCTTGCCCTAACCCTAGTCACATGATCACGCTAGCGCGACCCACGAGAAACTCATTAAGGCTAACCGCCAGCATTTTATTCTCTTCTTCATCCCGTCAACCGTCAACCAGCAATCCCAGTCGACAACAATGGTGGTAAGCATTTGATTGCCTTTTCGAAAAGGCTCGCCAGCTGCAGCGATGCCGTAGAACAATTCGCCTTGACTTCCGATCGAAAGATCGAAGCAATTCCGTCTATTGCCCACAGCCTCGAAAGAGATGTGTGGCATTGACGATGATTTTGGCTGGAAGCACGAGTTGAGCCCGTAACACGGCTTGACTCGTCGCTCTCCTTAGAGTTCAAAGAAGATGCAGCCCGTCGTGGATATTCGCTGATCTTCTTTTCTCAATGATAGCCTCCCAAGTCCGGAAAGAAGACCGCCGCCATGCCCTACCCCCAGGGCAAGGCTGGCTCGTCCAAGAAGGCCGTTAAGGTTCGTTCCTTTCTTTCCCACTGGAGGCAATCCGAGAAAACGAAGATGATTTTGCTAACCGGTTCGCCGCCCCTCAGAACCCTCTCATCGAGAAGCGTTCCCGTAACTTCGGCATCGGCCAGGACATCCAGCCCAAGCGCAACCTGTCCCGCTTCGTCAAGTGGCCCGAATATGTCCGTCTGCAGCGCCAGAAGAAGATTCTGAACATGCGCCTGAAGGTCCCCCCTTCGCTGGCCCAGTTCCAGAACACCCTGGACCGCAACACCGCTGCCCAGACCTTCAAGCTCCTCTCCAAGTACCGCCCTGAGACCAAGGCTGAGAAGAAGGAGCGTCTCGTCCAGGAGGCTACCGCCGTCTCCGAGGGCAAGAAGAAGGAGGATGTCTCCAAGAAGCCCTACCACGTCAAGTACGGTCTCAACCACGTTGTCGGCCTGGTCGAGAACAAGAAGGCTTCCCTCGTCCTCATCGCCCACGATGTTGACCCCATTGAGCTGGTTGTTTTCCTGCCCGCTCTCTGCCGCAAGATGGGTGTCCCCTACGCCATTGTCAAGGGCAAGGCCCGTCTCGGTACGGTCGTCCACAAGAAGACCTCCGCTGTTCTCGCTCTCACCGAGACCCGCGCTGAGGACAAGGCCGAGTTCTCCAAGCTCCTGTCCGCCATCAAGGAGGGCTACACCGACAAGTACGAGGAGTCCCGCCGCCACTGGGGTGGTGGTATCATGGGCGCCAAGGCCAACGCCCGCCAGGACAAGAAGCGCAAGGCTATCGAGTCCGCCATCAAGGTCTAAGTTTTTCCATTCGTGAAAAACTTGGATTGTTGATTGACGGGATCGCGTCTATCAAAGCGTATTCCTGGAACAAAAGTTCTAATGGGCGAATTTCAAGGGTGTTAAGGCTCCGGATGACTTATTGATGGCCAAATTCTTTTTTAGCTTTAGATGGGTGGGAAAAGAAGCCCGGTGGCCCTTGGGATCCCATTCTAACAAAAAAGAAAATAATTTTTCTCTTACGAACTCCACAAACGGCCCTTATGTACCACTTTTCCTGCAGATACCCATGAATTCATTTCTCACACTTCAAAATATATTGTGTAGTAACTGTCGATGAGAATGGCAATTCATGTACTCTACTCTGCTTGTATTCAATCGTAGATTTTTTTTCTTTTGTCTAGCAAATAAACACCCCGAAAATCGGAGATCAATTCTCGAAGTTGGATAATTGTGAGTGGGGAAATCTCTGGTGCTTTGGACCCACCAACACTAAATAGTAACAGTGGTTGTCTATACTAGTATTTGGTCATGTCTTTCCGTCGCAACATCTGCCGTCAAAAGGGTTTCCAGGCTTAATTGCTTTCCGCTTTTTCCTTGGAATATGTGAAGCGCCATATTTTACAGGGGCGTTTTACCTGCTTTCATGCTGGTATACAAAACAACAAACCTCAACATGATGTCCTTGCTGTCGCAGCGCAAACTGCAGCTGTCAACATTAAGCTTGCGAATGGCACGAACAAAGAAACGTTGAGCTGGATGTTTCCAGCAAAAGCCTCACTACGCTAGATATTTTAATAAGAGGTGATGAATGGATGAAAGGGACCAAAGGGTTCAAAGTGGCGGTATGAAGAGAGAAGAAGAGAGCGAAGCTACTAAATTCTATAGACCCGGAAGGACGGCCTGAATGCCTGAGGCCGCAACGTAGTCAATAGTCCGACGAGAAGATACAATGCTACGTGACTCATGACTCCAGGGGAAGACAAACGATATTAGTACGGATGACAAATTAAATTAGTAGATTAACAGTGTCTGGCCCATTCGAGACTTCCGTCAGCCGCTGTTTCCGCAGATTTTCTAATACTACAGGCTTGCCTACTCGTCGTTGTATTGCCCCGCAACTACATCGCATTGGCCTGCAGCGAAAGTACAGTAATCTGCTCGAATCTGCTCCTCAACCGAGCCATCCTATAAAAGAACACCATCCCTCAAACCCCTTTTCAACTTGAACCTCAACTCGGTTCAATCATGACAGGTATGAGATATGGAACACTGGCAGACTCACACTATCCATGAGTAAGATTGAAATCCAAGATCCAACACTAATGCATCTTTAGAAACCAACATCAGCTCCAACCCCGAGGCCCTCCGCATCGGAGTCGCTCTATACCCAGGCTTCGAAGCCTTAGACGCCTTCGGGCCCCTAAATTGTCTAAACTACCTCTCACGCAGTGAATCAATCACTCTGTCCGTACTGGCCTCGACCCTAGATCCTGTCAGCACAAAGACACCCGCATACCCAGCCGGAATCGGCCAAAGCATCGTTCCAACCCACACCTTCGCCAATGCACCAGCCTTAGACGTCCTCCTCGTCCCCGGAGGCCAGGGCTCTCGAGGCTCGTCACCCGTCGTCCTAGAGACGATCGCATTTATCCGAGACTCCTACCCTAGTCTCAAATATCTGATTACAGTATGTACCGGTGCGGGACTGGCGGCTCGAGCGGGTGTCCTGGATGGAAGACGTGCGACGACGAATAAGAAGGCTTGGAAGGATATTATTGTGCTAGGCCCGGAGGTGAAGTGGGTTGCGCGTGCGAGATGGGTTACTGATGGGAATATCTGGACTTCCTCGGGTGTGAGTGCCGGTATTGACGTTACCTTGGCTTGGATTGAGGAATTCTTTGGGAAAGAGAAGGCCAAGGCGATAGCGGATGGCAATGAATATACTCGTCATGAGGATCCGGATTTTGATCCTTTTGCTGAGTTGTATGGTTTGGCATGATGCTTCCCTTTCGACCAAGGACTAGGTACCTTGTTCCCCCCATCCCCTTACTTCATGTGATGTACATAAAAGAGATGATCTCTACTCCTACTCAGCCACTATCTATTCTCGAGAGTTCGATAAATGCCACGGTGCAAAGCGAAGTAGATATACATTATCATTCAACCAAGGGCACGGTGATGCTGAGCCCCAAGAACAGTATGTCACAAGTAAACCCCAGGCAGACATTGTATTAACGAAAAGTCCTCCCCGGGAAAAGAGCCAGCCAGCCATCCAGGCAGAGAAAAAAGCCAAAAAAAAAACAAGAGCTGAAAAGGCCAATAAGAGGTGGTATGATGAAATTACAGGAACATAGATCAAGCTCAAAGCAATCAATCCATGACAACCAGCAAAGGAGGAAAAAGAAAGAGAAGAAGAAAAAAAAAAGTACAAGCCAAAATTTCCCAGTCCAGCGCTCCCAGCACTCCCAGAAGAGCAGAGATGTCCACCACGAGTCAAAAATCGTGATAGCATCATGAAGTAAATCCCAGTCTTAAGACACAAAAAGAAAAGAGAGAGAAAAGGAGGAAAATAGAAAGTGTATGGCGGAAGGAGGAAGAGAGTAAGGAGGCGTAAGTATGAGCGCGGTCATTCGGTCATTAGCGTTGAGCGGAGGGTCGTGAAAGTCCTTGTTTAGCCTGTGTTGATTGTCAGCCATGTCTCTTCTAAAACCCTAGGCGTGGGATACTGATTGAAACTCACCTTCATTTGTTCAATTCTGGCTTTGAGCTGGCTGGTAACTTCAGCAGCTCGCTTCCAGTTCTCAGCAGGCTGAGCAGTCCGCGGTTGTCCCTCCTCGTCGGTTTGATTGGTGGAGTTCCGCGTAGATGATCGTGTTGGACTGCCGATACCCGAGTAACCATATGTCGGGCTGAGCTTGCGTCGGCCCAGTCCACTATCTCGGGTGCCGAATCCTGGAGATTCAAGACCAGTGTTTTCCTTCTCTTCGCTTGGGTTGCTGGATGCATAACTTTGAGGTCGTGCGCTTTCGAAGCGAGATCCCAGGTGAAGCCCAGATCGAGCTGCGGCTATATGTCCATTGCTGGCAGGTTCTTGGTAGAGAGAATTGGCCTCTGACATACCCATGCTGTCGGCGTCCGATCCACCGTGGGGTGGGCTCAATGCAGACGCACGAAGGGCGCGTGCTAGCTCCCGCTTCAGTCGTTCAATCTCCCTCTGCTGCTTCTGGACGTTTTGCTCAGCAGCCTCGGCGTCACTGCGAGCCCGAACTAATTGGGTCTCCTTCGCCTTAATGCTCAGTACATCTCTTGTGTGATCCTCAATCAACTGTGCGTTCTGATTCTGAAGCTCAGTGATCTGAGAGTTGAGGCTTGATCGCTCCGATTTCATGTCCTCGATTGTATGGGCGAGCTTTTCCCGCTCTGATCGAAGTTCCTCCATCTCCACTTTCTCAGCTGCGGTCATTCCAGCTGGTGCGGGAGGTGGAGCCGGGGCAGTCTCGACAGGTGCCGCGGGCTTCGCAATCGGGCGGCCTGCAAGGCCACGACCAAGACCAAACTTGGGCTGAGCTGGGGCTGGTGCTGCCTCTTCCGCAGGGGGCTCAGCGACTCTCCTTTGTGGAGAAGCCACACCACCAGGTCCACCTAGCTTACTTCGGAGCTTGGATCCAGGTGCAGCCAGGCCAGGCTTAGAAAGACCGCCGAGCTTTGAGGGAATCGCCTTGGCCGCGGGTGCAGCAGCCGCGGGACCGGGCTTCTTCAGGCCTGCTGCAGGCTTCTTTCCGGGCAAAGCCTTCTTCCCCGCAGGGGCTGCAGGCCTGGGAGGAGCAACGATGGGCTTGGGGCGTTCCTTGGCCTTCACTTCAGCAATCTCGAAGTACTCCTTGACTTTGGTTTTGCGTATCTCGTCAAGTCCGTCCAGGTATGGGTTCATTGCTCGTTCACCGAGAATCTTCATTAGCGTTCCCAAGACTTCAGCACCTCCTGACCGAATGGCCTCTGTCGACTCGGTGAGTAGCTTGGTACCCGCGTCGGCAATTGACTTTTGCTCTGGCTTGGCTGGAACAGTTCTGGTTGTTCGAAGGCAGCGGATCAGGAACTTGAGGGTTTCTTGTTTGACCTGCGGGTTTTTGTGCTTGAGATATTCCATGATGTCTTCCAGGCACTCTGAGAGACCAGTTGATGAGAAAACGGAGTCCAAGGCCTGACCAAGAGCTTCCGCCACTGTCACCTTCTTCTCCTTCAGGCGCTCCAGCATGGGAACCATAATGGTGGATCGGTACTTCGCAAATCCCTCGCGCAGACCCTTGGCCAGGAGGTCGACACAGTTACCTGCCACTGTGGCGACTGCGATATTGGCGTCCTTCATGCACTTAGCCAGAGCCCGTACAATATCGTCATAAGGGCCGTCCTTGATACGGGGCACGTTGATGGCGTTATAAAGAGCATCCAGGGCTTCCTTTCGATCTTTCCATTTCGATGAACCGAGTTGGTCGTGAAGATCCTTGGGAACTTTAGGCATGACGTCGACAGGCTCTGCAAGGTCGAAAGCATTGACTTCTTCTGCTTCCTCCTCGACAAACTCCTCGCCTCCCTCCTCGTCGACACCGTCAGCTCCACCGGGAGCTGCACTGGCCGCAGCCATCGCATCTTGTTGGGCGCGAGTGAATCGCTCTTGTTTGGGTGTTGGCTCTTCCTTCACTTTCTCAAAGAGCTTCTCCAAATCCTGCTGCTGGACAGGCTTTAAGTCGGCCCAGAAAAGTGGCTTGATAGCCTCACGGAGCCATCGATATAATTCAACCGTCACATTTTGTGCCTCTGCTCGGACATTCTTGTCTGCATGACTGAAAGCCTTGGGCAGCGCTTTGAGAGTGGGCTTCGGATCCACAATCTTGCACCCGAAGTTATGGTAGATCACAGTCAAGGCCGCCAGGGCACCGGCGATAACTTTTGGCACTTTGTGAGATAGTGTGGGTAGAAGGTCTTCGAGAACGGGATCCGCTTTGTCGATTTCGACGCATAATAGGAGAGCTTCTTGCGCGCTGGTCTTACCCGCCGGTCTGGCGCAGGGGAGGCCCTTCTCCGCAATCGGGCCGACCGTGAAGTTCCGAGTTCTGAATCCAACATTAGCAATTCCTTTCTTCACTTGACATAGATGACTTGCGGGACATTAAACACACCTTGTACATGCCGCCGTGCCTCCGAACTTCAAGAAAGCACAGTATGCTCCGAGTCCCTCGATCTGCGCGGCCACGTTGGAGTCGGCGACCGCCCCTTTCCATAGACTGGGATCTTGCAGAAACGGCGTGAATACTGGGTCTGATTCGTCGGGGGTCTTTTCGAATTGTGCTTTGGCGTCCTCGTATCCCTCCTTTCGTACTTTCCAGTTCTGTTGGTCGAAATTTTAGATTTAGCGTTGTCCCCGTATCGTCACGTCCTATTGTCCATCGTGTCTCCAAAGGAATATGGATCAAAGCGCACCTTGTGAGCGAACCGGTCAGGCAGCGGTAGGGAAGAGAAGTCTTGCTCGGCCTCGGCCATGATGGCGGGCTAGATTGGTTATGGACGAATTGAGTTGACAAATCACTTAAGGACCAAGGGTATTAGTAAAATGGACCAAAAAGAGTATGCGCACACTGCTTAAGTAGAGACCAAAGCAAGGAGAATAAGGATTAAAGCAGGAAGAAGAAGGCGATAGTAGTTCGAGATCACGCAGTGGGGACTTTGGGGGGGAGATCTGTTACCGTCTAGTTTGGTGCCCAAGCAACGGACGGGGAGAGATTCGAGACGCTCTCAGGCGGTGGTCGGAAAAGAGAATGACGGGGTAGCATGCGAAATTCAAAAGTGAGCGGTACTTTGGAAGACCTCAAAATATGCAAGAATCGGGGGTTTGAACTGGAGGGGAAATGGAGATGGAAATGAAAATGTAATGTTTGGGGATGGTCGTTGCGGGAAAGGAAAGGAAAGTAAACAAGCGGTCTTGGCGGTGTCGAGGGTTGTTTTGTTTGTGACCCCGCGGTGGATCTGCCTATCCCGACATTGTCTCTCCCTGGATTTGGACCCGGAACTGGAATCGGGATCTATTTCATTCCATTCCCCGATTGCACTCGATATCTGCCTACTTCAATTAAACCCCGCGAAACCCCCTTCGGTTTCTCCATCTTTCTGCGATTGACGGCCTCCGGCGCAGGCGGAGGTGCATTGAGGGGACACACACAAAGCCGCCGGCACCATGAGCCAGCTACTCACGGCGCGACAGGCGGAGGAGCTGTAAGTCTTCAGAAAAAGGCCCATTTGACCGTTAAATTTTAATAATCGCCCTTTTCTTTACAGACACAAGTCAATCATAGCCTATCTGGCCTCCGCAAACCTCACCCAGAGCTCCGCAGCGCTTCGAGAGGAGCTCGGCGACTCCATCACTGTCGACGACACCACCCTCAAGAAATATGAGGGGCTACTGGAGAAGAAATGGACCAGTATCGTTCGACTCCAAAAAAAGGTTCGCTCCATTCCTAACACGGCGCACGAAAGCGTTCATGGGGCTGATTGGCCGTGGGGCTAGTAGATTATGGACTTGGAATCGCGATGCGCCTCCCTACAGACTGAAATAGACACCGCCACCCCCACATCTCTCTCACGACGAAACCAGGACCCGGCGTCCTGGCTGCCCAAGATTCCGGCTCGCCATGATCTCGAGTCGCACCGACAACCTGTCACCTGCGTTGCTTTTCACCCTGTCTTCTCCTCCCTTGCCTCCGGGTCGGAGGATACCACAATCAAGATCTGGGATTGGGAACTGGGAGAACTCGAGCGTACAATCAAAGGCCACACGAGGGCAGTTCTTGATGTAGATTATGGTGGTCCGCGAGGAGGTACTCTCCTTGCATCATGTTCCTCCGATCTCAATATCAAGTTGTGGGACCCCGCCGATGATTATAAAAACATCCGCACCTTGCCCGGTCATGACCACAGCGTTTCTGCCGTCCGATTTATCCCATCAGGGGCCGCCGGCTCACCAATGTCTGGTAACTTGTTGGTGTCGGCTTCTCGTGATATGACATTGAAGATTTGGGACGTCACTACTGGATACTGTGTTAAAACGTTGTCAGGGCATGCCGCATGGGTGCGTGATGTTGTACCGTCGCCGGATGGCCGGTTCCTCTTTTCTGCCGGAGATGATCGAGTTGGCCGTCTTTGGGATGTTTCTTCGGGAGAAACCAAAGCAACATTCTTGGGCCATGAGCACTACATTGAATGTGTTGCCCTCGCTCCGTCTACGACTTACCCACACCTCGCGCCTCTTGCAGGCTACAAGAAGCCACCGCCTGCATCATCATCTGCTGAGTTTGTCGCAACAGGCGGTCGTGACAAAATCATTCGTCTCTGGGATGCCAGGGGTAACCTACTCAAGACCCTGGTTGGTCATGACAATTGGGTGCGGAGTCTAACCTTCCATCCCGGCGGCAAATACCTGATCTCGGTGTCAGACGATAAGACAATACGGTGCTGGGATCTTACCCAAGAATGCAAGTGCGTTCGTACAGTCGAAGCTCATGATCGCTTCATTACCTCAATGCGTTGGGCTCCACCCTTGATCAAAGACACCGGGGCCAGCGGAGATGATGGGGCAAATGGGACAGATACAGCGAATGGGACCAAGGAAGATCCAAATGCTGCATCCAAGATGTCCATTCGATGCGTGCTCGCCACTGGCAGTGTTGACCTCAAGGTCAAGGTATTCGCCTCGTGAGGCAGAAAACAGAAAAAGAAAAAGCCAAAGATTTGGTAGGCTCAGATAAGCCAAGCTAAGCTGCCATATCAATTCATCTACGAAGTAACGGTACTCAGGACCTCTCCCCGGTTCATTGGAGAGGTCAAGGCTAGAAGGATTTTCGTTCGTCATTTCTGGGCAAGGAGTTGGTTTCTCTTCCGTGATACCAGTAACCTACTTTCCATTTGCAAGTGATTTAAGGGATCGAGTTCTCGGCTTGGTCGAGGAGAAGAGTTTCCTGGATTCTTTTCATGATGTACACACAAGTTTGATTTTGGGATCTGGCCCCTTTTGTGGCTCTCTCGTACATACAATAATGGACTTTACGATGGTTAGCGTCTACATTTGCCAATGTAAACAGGCGAACCTGTGAATTGCAGCGCCTCTTGGAACACGCCGTCACATAAACCTCTCATGCGTAGTAGCTGCCAAAGGTTTGGCATAAACAGAACTTCCTTTTCTAGACAATTTCGGGCTCTGCGATTCGAGGAGATGCCCAGGTGGACTGGATGAATACACAGGCTGTCATAGAGAGCTCAGGTGTCTTCAGGTTCAAGTTGTTTGGTTGTCTTGGCGGATCATGTCGTTCGAAGTTTCTAGATACTATCAACACCTGGGCACTCGAAGAAAGTAACTTAAACAATGGAAACTTGGAGGACAGGTTGTAACAGAAATTTGTATGATGGTAGTATATATAGTACAAAGACCCGACAGCAACATAGGCATGGATATCAGAATCGACAATGATCCGGTATCAAGAATTGAGTTCAAGAAATGACGCTGATATTCTCGAGGCACATAATTCTCACGCGTCGCTCGAAAAAAAAGCTTATTCCTGGCGAGCTTCCTCTAGCTGCTTCGCTTGCTGACGCGCAGCTTCATGAAATTCCCAAGTTGCCTTCCGTTGGAGCCATTCTTCACGAGCACGCTCTTTCTCGGGTCTCTGGGCCTCCTTCATCGCCGCAGTCCGCTGCTGAACCAGGCCCTTGATTCTTCCAACACGAGCACCGTCCCTGTTGGCATGATATAAGCGGATCAATTCGGCATCCGAATACTGCACGCCCTCCTTCACTAGGTTGCTGGTGTGTTGCTTGATATCAATCTCCTCTCCTAGTCGCCGCGATTCTCGGCGGAGGTACTTCGCGGCCCAGCTCTGCTCACGCTGTGCTTGGCGTTCCTCACGCGACAAAACGGCCGGACGGTCCTGGATGGGTGTGGCAAAGGGTGTAACGATGCGCTCGACGACGTGGCTGACGTGGCGGCTCTTGGGAGCGCCGGATGAGAACTCGATCACGTCGCCCTCGCGGAGAGAGTTCTGGGGGTCGGCGACAAGGAAACGTGTTTCCTGTGGGTAGAACTTGCGAATGTGCTTGTCCCAAGCATTGTGGCGGTGCAATACGGTAACGGTGCCTTGCATGCGCCCGACGGACACGACAGTGCCGGCCTTGACGGCATAGGCGTACTTGCGGAGCTCGGCAGGCGGTTGCAGTTTTTGGAGTCTGGGCTTGGCTGTTTTCGAGGAGGTTGGTGGAGATGGGATGGTTGGCTCCTCGGGGGAGATGTGCTGCTCGGTACTAGCAGATTCTGTCGAGGCATGTCGGAGGGGTTGGGTGAGTGAGTATGTGGATGGGAGGAGAGTCGGTCGTGCCAGGGTCAACGGCGATGCGATACACCGAATGGGCAGCGCAGCCCGGATGATTTGACTGGGTCTCATGTTGAAACAGTTCCCGATCGCGAGGGCCTTGGTCGTCTCTCGAAGATATGGAGACAAAGAATGGGAAGGTAACCCGGCAATGGAATTGGGCGAATTGGGGAGGGCAGCGGACAAGTTGCGGAGGTGAAGGTGAAGCCTGAGAAATTCTCGGGACTGGTGTTTGCCTTGTTTGCACTTTGGTGGTCTTACTGCCTCAGGCATGAATAATGCCTGATTTTTGTCTAGAGTGTGGGATCCCATGTATGTCTTTTTGACAAGATTTAACTAATTTCGCTTGCTTCTTCGGGTCGTGAACGAGCCCCCACATCGCTGATTCTTTCTATTCACCATATACTATTTCTGGCGAATGATACGTTTTGTCACTACTTGATGTCCTCCTAACTAGTTAACAGTCAGTGATAGTGCCAAGATGGCGGAGATACTACATAAACTCTGCCTAGCGGACACGAGTCCGCCTACTACCCGCCCCGATACAAATACTGGCAATACTCCTCCAAACTTCCGTTAACTATTAGGTTGTGCATCAAATTCGTGTCCACGCGCATCACCAGTTCCAGATATCTAGTCGACAGAAGCTCCAGGTAACTTTACTCCAGAGAAAGAGCATCTCGAAGAAAGGCCACCAAGTGCTCTACTTACCCCGATTCAATAGTTCCCACCCAAGGACTTATGATTCCTACTTGAAAATGTCATCTGTCATTGCAAAGGGTGTTGGGAGATATCTCTACCCGGCTGAGACGTCCCGGCATGCTGCAACTATCCTCGGCTTTCCCTCCAGATACGCCCTTGCCCCAGCATACTATGAACATGCGTGCACGGATATTGCTAGTCTGGCATCCGCTATATCGGCATTTGAGCCAGTGAGACTATATGCTCGCTCAGAAGACGTGGGAAAGGCACAGTCAATGGTCAAGCTTGCCAGCGAGACGTATCCCAACGACCCTGCAAACATATCTTTCATCCCCTTCCAAACCAATCATCTCTGGGTCCGCGATACTGGCCCCGTCTATGTACAGAGGCTTGATGAATTATCTCAGCAGAAGCGTTTTGCGGTTAATTTCCGGTTCAGCGAATGGGGCAAGAAGGATGACATCGGTGATCACGATCGCGCTTCTGATGGTCTTGACTGGCCCGTCATGGCCCCTGAGCAACTCGAAGAAAACAACAAATTTGCCGAAAGGGTCATTAGATCCGACTCCTCTCCTTCTCCTGTCACGATAGTGGAATCGGAGATTTGCGTGGAGGGCGGGGCACTTGTTGTTGATGGTGATGGAACTCTGCTAGCCACGGAGAGTAGCATTCTCAACGAGAACCGCAATCCGGGGCTCTCACGGGAGGCGATCGAAGCCGAGTTGAAGCGCGTACTAGGAGTCGAGAAGATAATTTGGTTTCCTGGAAGGAAGGATCTGGATGTCACAGATGTACACGCCGATGCCGAAGTTGCCTTCATTCGGCCGGGTGTTGTTGTGCTCTCAAAGCCGGACCCAACTGTACCATCGGCATGGCTGGAGATATACGAGGAGATTAAAGAAATTCTTAGCAAGTCTGTTGACGCAAAAGGTCGACCCTTTGAGGTTCATACCGTGGATGAACCGAGCCCCAATGTTTTCGGCGATCTTGCGTACGAAGAGCCAGCCACGAACTATGTCAACTTCTATTTCGTGAATGGTGGTCTCATTCTTCCTCAATTTGGAGATAAACAAAAAGACCGAGAAGCTGTTGAGACATTGCAAAAACTCTGCCCAGATCGGGTGGTTCGACCTGTTCGTGTTACTGGGCTTCCGCTAGCTGGGGGTGTTATTCATTGCTCGACCCAGCAAGTGCTCTCGGTGGAAGATATTTAATTAGAAGTGTGTATTTCTGACAAGCACCATGATATTCTATTACATCGCATGGTTTAATACTTCTTTGTATCTTCAATAAGACCCTTCTAACAAGGTAGCCGGGAGGAAATGCGCCGATCTTTCTACTTGAAGCATTCCAACTGATATACTACAACAGAATGGGACTTTTAGTAGTATACTATGGCAATAAATCCAACAATTAAAACAAACCAACGACAGTCAATACATACTTTCGTTAGTTTTGATATTTCATCTGCAGTTCTCCTTCCTTTTCGATCCCGCTGTGACTCCTTCCCGAGTCTGTCGACCCACGCCTTCGTATTCTTCACTCTTCACTCACTCACTGACTCCGCCACACTCCATTGGGAGTGACTCACGCAGTCCGGCATATAATTACTCCTCTCCTCAGTGGCTTATTCCCGTAACATCAAAAGAAAGAAAAAAAACTGAATTGAAAGCACGATGTCGAACGTCTCCAGGCGCCCAAACAAGGAGCAGCGCACGGCTCTAGCCCAGCAGACACTCGCGCTCACTGCGCGGATCATCAACACCACCAATGCCACAAATGAAGCAGACCTATACTCGACACTTCTACCCCGAATTACCCCAGATCCAAATGGAACACGACCAAGAGTCACAGTTCAAAACAGCGACAGCTTCACAGCCGCCCGCCTCGTCCTGGAAAACAACCCAACGGCCAAGATTGGCGTTCTAAACATGGCCAGCGAGCGCCAACCCGGAGGTGGATGGCTTCGTGGAGCACTGGCGCAAGAAGAGGCTCTGTGCTTTCGCAGTACACTCGCTGCAGCTCTGCACAGGCAATTCTACCCGCTTCCTGTGTTCGGAACTATCTGGTCTCCGAACGTCACTGTGTTTAAGGATGAGGTGGATACCTGGTTTCGGGTTTATCAACCGGCTGAGATGTTTACTGTTGGGGTTGTCAGTCTTGCGGCTCTCAGAAGACCCCTTCTTACCCCTGATAAGAGGAACTATGGTATGTTGATCGCCCTTCAACCTTGGAAGCATTTAGATGGAATACTAATATATTCAAAGCCCGCCCACAAGATCTTCGAACCGTCAAGGATAAAATAAGACAGGTGTTTCGTGTTCTCACAGTCAATGGTACAACGCACTGTGTGATGGGGGCGATGGGATGTGGTGCATTTCAAAACCCCCCAGTCGTGGTCGCTCAGTGTTTCAAAGATGTCCTCGAGGAAGGAGAGTTCAATGGCGCATTTGAAGAAATCATTTTCGCAGTTTTGGACAGCAGAGTGGAAGGAAACTTTGAGATATTCCGCGATGCCTTACAGACATCCTGAGAATGAAACTTCACTTTAATTTATACGAAGGCGTCTGGTGTTTAATTCTCTTTTATTGCGAGCAGCTATCTGATACCCCTCCCATCTCACCATCCGCCGTTATGTTTCTTTAGCCGCCGATTACCTCATGGACCGCGACGAAGCGATGCCTACTAACACGGTCGAGGACCAGTCCACAAACTATCTGGAGAGCCTCGAAGAAAGGCGTTATAGAATAGTGGGCCATCAATCTTAGTTTGAGCTCCAATCGGTGCTTGATACAAAGGTACCATCCTATCAAGGCCATCTGCTGTATCCCATACTATCGTAGCCAGCATCAATGAACATGACCTCCTTCGCTAGTTATCGGGCCTCGTGCCCTCTTAGGAATATCACTATCTTCGTCTCCTCGGACTTCTTTCCTCAGCACAGGGCTGAATGCATATTGTTTGCTAGTAAACACCCATCTTACGATAACATAATTACCCAACCCATAAGTAATTTCTGAAACCTGAGAGTTCAGATCGAACAGGCTTAGTCAGTCCACATCGCTGTATCTAGCTTTTTAGTAGCCTCAGATAGCCATATAATCGAGACCGTCTTTCTCATTCTCCGTCGGTAGTAGTGATTGTAATATTTTAGCTTCAGACTGGCCTCCAAGGCTTGCCTTCACGGCCCGTTCAACTAAAACTTATCCACCAAGCTCCATAAAATGAACATTGCATTATGCGAGGGTCTATTTACTTAGTAAAAAGCTGGAATGGGGCTGCTCAAAGCCATAACTGGTTACGGCGTCGGACAATATGACTAGGCAGACGACGTTCCTATGAGGCTTACATCCTAATTTGGCAAGAGGCTCGAATCTATTCTAGTCTTTACTTTTTCGCATCTCCCTATTTTTTTATTTTTTTTTTTCACTCTCTTCGAAAAGGAGCCTCTTTTTATCCTTAGCAATGGTGTTCTCACGGAAAGAGAAACAGAAGAACTTGCGTTTTCGTTACAATAGGAAATATAACTACAGTTTGAACCCTTGGGGCAACGAATTTCTAAAGTACAAAGTTAAGTGCTTGGAAAGACGGGAAATTGTCGCCCTTGTTATTGATGACTGCGCCTTACGGACGGCAAGCCAGCGGGAGGAAAGGCTACAACATAAGGTCAAGGCATTGCAAAGGCTTCCAAAATTGAAGATTTAGAAGCTCAGGTCCAGGCAAAACAAGCGAGTGGAGAGTTAGATGAAACACAGAAGTTATTGTTCGACAAGGATAATGGATCGCACATTTGACACCTTTGTCTACATTTGAGAACGAACAATCTTGAATATTGGCATGTCACTGTAACACTGTGATTGGTCAACGTCAGTTGCAGCATGTCACTCGTTCAATTTGATTGGTCGGTTCCCCAACCACCAATAGCCAACACATAAAAACATGTCGCGAGGCCGATTTTTGTTTACAGAAAATGCCTAGAAATCGGATCCTACTTTCTCGAATGCTACCCACTCACTGCCATAGAATGCATATCTGTACATCTCACCGACTCAACAAATATTGAGATGGTCACCATAGCACCCGGGCCTCAGGTGGTCACATCCGCCAATGAGCGACACAACACTCCAAAATCAGCGCTGAATACCCACCCTTCAAGCCAGGTATTGAAAGATCTTGAAGGCCAAACGGTGGATGAGGCAGAAAAGTCTACAAGTACCGCCAAGCAATCAGCCTTCAAAAGTCTTGGCTGGCTGGACCGGTTTCTAGCAATATGGATCTTCCTCGCAATGGCCATTGGGATTATTCTGGGAAATTTCGTGGAAAATACAGGGCCTGCCCTGCAGAAAGGGAAGTTCGTGGGAGTTTCCATACCAATTGGTAAGTTCTCTCAAATTTTAATGTTGATGGTGGTACTGTGAAGAGGAACTCATGCTGATTGTGTCTAGCAATCGGTCTTTTGGTCATGATGTACCCAATACTTTGCAAAGTACGATTTGAATCTCTGCACCATGTTTTCCGGGACCGAAGAGTTTGGATTCAGCTTCTATTCAGCATCTTTATCAACTGGATAATTGCCCCGTTCTTAATGGTAGGTACTCGGCCCTGTAGGCCTTCATGGATTTGCTTGCTAACTGATTTCGTCCAGCTGGCTCTAGCATGGGCTTTTCTCCCAGACGAGCCTGAGCTTCGAGAAGGGCTCATTCTTGTTGGACTGGCGAGATGTATAGCAATGGTCCTTATCTGGACTAGCCTTGCTGGTGGTGATAATGAATACTGTGCTATTCTTGTTGCTATCAACTCGCTACTGCAGATGGTATTATTTGCACCATATGCTGTCTTTTTTATTAAAATTATCAGTCACTCAGGAACCCACATCTCACTCTCTTATTCCGTTGCTGCAAAAAGTGTGGCAGTGTTTCTGGGTATCCCATTGGGCGCAGCAATAATCACCCGTCTCTTTCTTCGGAATATGGCCAGCCCGCGCTGGTATGATCAGGTATTTCTAAAGTGGGCGGGCCCTTGGTCTCTTATTGGACTGCTCTTTACGATTCTCGTCTTGTTCGCATCCCAGGGACACCAAGTTGTGCATCAAATTGTATCAGTGATTCGGGTCGCTGCTCCGTTGATTGTTTACTTCGTCATCGTCTTCTTCGCTACTCTTCTTGCGGCGTATAAGTTCGGTTTTGGCTATAAGTTGGCTACAACTCAGAGCCTCACGGCAGCCAGCAATAACTTTGAGCTTGCGATTGCTGTTGCTGTCGCAACTTTCGGGGCCAACAGTAATCAAGCACTTGCTGCGACCGTTGGCCCGTTGATAGAGGTTCCTGTCCTTCTCGGTCTTGTCTATGTCGTTAAATTTATAGCCAAACGAGCTGGTTGGAGGGACTAAAGCAGGTCAAATACCATTTTAGATAATCAGGGCTTATTTCGATTCTTAGAAAAGAGCCTAATCTAATAGGAACCATTCATCCAAGGTAAACGATGAGCAGACAATAATTTTCATAAGCTTCCGGGGTTGAGACTCAAAAGCACCCATCACATTAGCTTCATGATTAACATCCAAGGTTGGAAAAGTAGACAAAATTCACTGGGATAAATACTATGGTCAACACATCGGCGGGTGATGATGGCAAGTATTGAGATTCGGGCTTTACTGGTAAATAATACTAGTATCAATGGAAAAACGAGGTAAATTCCTCGTTAGAATACCATTTTTCATCGCATATTTCAGGCGATGTGATGACCGAACAAATTACAAAGGCCCCTGGGTGATCTCAAAGTTGTGGTGGCTGCTGTTAACCCGGATTCCTGACTAAAGATTAAGATCGGGACGGACGCTGACAGTGTGGCTTTCAAGAGCCAATAACCTAAGTGATGCACCATGACAAGTTATTCTAGAACAATTTACTATTGCTCATTTATTATGTAGAGTAGAGAGTCGAGTCACACCTGAGTGTTTAAGGATCTAGCAGAAGATGATACCGAAACTCGCCATCTGTCAAAGAGAACAAATATCCCACGCAACCCAAGCACAAAAAAGATCAAATACATTTCGCCACATCCATGTCATGAGAGCATCTAGGTTCGTTGAAGGTCCATTGCCTGCACAGGAAGCCACATTACTTACGCGGTCTTCTCGGACGGCGTGGCTGAGACTTCGCCGTCCGTCGAATTATCAGCAAGAGCCAACTTCGTTGCTTGGAATTTGTCTGCCGAGTGGGCTGATATGCGGGTCAATTCGGTGACAAAGGACTGGCCCCAGAATGCGCTTGTGTATTTGGACACGTATTTATCCAGCTTGGCGAAGTTGAGTGCTCGCTGTTCATCACTCATCGTGACAGCTTCTTGATATGCACCCGCCAGTTCCTCCGTGTTCCAGGGATTGACGATGATGCTTCCGTTCAAACTTTGAGCAGCGCCGGCAAATTCGGAGAGCACAAGGACACCATGACGCTTCTGTTGCGTGGCAATGTACTCGTAGGCGACCAGGTTCATACCATCTCGTGTAGATGACACGATGCAGGCGTCTGACACGGCATAGAGTGCGATGAGCTCGTCAAAGTTGACAGACTTATGCAGGAAGTGTATAGGCATGAATTCGACGGTGCCTGCGAAATGGTTAGCACAGAATAGAACGGAGCGTCGACGCAAATTACGAACCAAATTTGCCGTTAATACGGCCGACCAACTCATTCACGACAGCGCGTAGGTTCTGATACTCCTCGACATCCTGTCGGCTTGGCACAGCAACTTGAACGAGGACAACCTTTCCCACCCACTCTGGGTGGTCACTGAGAAATACCTCCAGCGCGTGTAACTTTTGCGGCACACCCTTGATGTAGTCGAGGCGGTCCACGCCAACCATAAGCTTCACGCCCTGGAATTTCTGCTCCAGCATCGCAATACGTTTTTGGACTTTCTCCTTCTTTAGGCCCTCCTTAAATTTCTCGGGGTCGATACCGATCGGAAAGGCGCCGCAGGTTATGATCTTACCCTGGAACTCAATACCATTTGGGGTTGTCGCCAGACCCCTAGACTAATCAGTAACTATCACCAGAGACAATTATCCCCGAGAACCAACTTACAGCAAGCGGGAGCAACTGCTCAAGAAATGACGAGTATAGTCGTAGGTGTGGAAACCAATCAAATCGCAATGCAACACGCCCAGGAGAAGCTCATTGCGAACCGGCAGGATACGATAAATTTCACTGCTGGGGAAAGGAGTGTGCAGGAAGAAGCCAATCTTGACATTCTGCTTGCTGTCACCGATCTCCTCGCGCAGCATCTCCGGCAGCAACATGAGGTGGTAGTCATGCACCCAGATCAAATCGCCATCCTGGACTTCCTTGGCAATGGCCTTCGCGAAAAGGCGGTTCGCCTCCTTGTATGCTTCCCAAGCGGATTCATCAAATGTGATCTCACCCGGGTGATAGTGAAACAGCGGCCAGAGGATAGAGTCTGTAAAGTGGGGTTGTCAGTATGAATCGCGGGGAGCTCCCGCCCTTCCGCAGGGCGAGTGGTCTCTGCAGGGGATTTGGAAGGAAGGTTACACACTAGAGAATCCATTATAGTGACGATCTGCCAGGTCATCGTCAATGAAAACGGGCACGGCACCGTACTCCTCCTTCAAACGCTGCTTGACGATCGGGATTTCGGGTTCTGGCACCTCCAGACCCGGCCAGCCATACCATTGGAAGGTCGTGGACTTGGATAGACCACTTAAGCCACTGACCAGTCCTCCAGAGGACATGGAGAAGTCGTATTTCCCATCTTCGGAGCGCTTGATGGTGATCGGCAGACGGTTGGAGACGAGGAGAAGGCGGGCTTCGTTCTTGGGCTCATCGAGAGAAGGCATGGTCGTGGAGAGCTCGGAGAACACCGAGCAGGTACTGCGAGCAGGTTAAACCCCGAATGGGCTGTGGTAATCAGAGGAAGAGGTGGTGGGGGACGAGACTGGGGTCCGTTGAAGAGAAGCAACGCCTGCAGTTTGCGGAGCACAATTAGCCAAAGCCCGGTTCTCTTTTCTGAGGGGAGATTAGAAAAGACAGAAAGCAGAAAGAATACCTTTGAAAGACACCAGGATCGACCAGCCCAAGCTTGAAGCAACTCCCAAAAAAAAAAAGAAACGGAAAACTTTGAGGACAACGGAACAAGGGCGGGGAGAGAATGAGGAGAGTGAGGTCACGCCCCGAAACTTGGAATTGCTACAGGTGGAGCTCCTCAATAGCACTCACATTGACATGGGGCACAGACAAACAGGGGGGGTTGGTGGGGGATGATGATGATGATGGATGGGCACAGTTCTTTTAAGTGCAAACAGATTCTTTTCTGACTGCTCCTGCGATAACCCTGTACTGCGTGAAGCAGGGGGGGTCGCAGCGTTGTGATTGGATGCTGCATGAGTCTCCTTTCGATGCCCGACATGACACCGCACTGACGTCGCCGGTCAAGTATGTACGATGTACGAGTATACGAGCATATACCGGGAACAGACTTCAATTACCGCTCAGGCGCCTGAAATCAGGGGAATACAAAGCCCGGATCTAGACCCGATAATACCAGCTTCCCTTGTAAGAGGCTCAGCCCGGTAGGTGAGGCTGCACAAGAGTCATAATCACAATCATGATTCATGCCATCAATTCTCAACGTTCCAGTAGAGGGCTAATGGCTACTATCTCCAAACTCATAACGCAGACTTCTCACTCAACCTCCACTCCCCAGACTCAGAATCATGCACCACTCGCCCCTCATCCTCCAACTTATGTAAAACCAGCCCAATCCCATGCGATGCCGGCAGATGCAGATTCTCCGGCACATCCTTATAGATCACCTTCACCAACTGTAGCGGTGCCCATGAGCGCTTCGGCTCGGGTGATCGCTCTCCAGGACTCACATCCAACTTTCCCCATCGTAAGACGCGCACTACTTCGTCCTCCCGCTGCTTCCGATGTTTGATATACTCCGATATCCGGGTATTAACATTCTCCATCACAGCGCCGTGGCCAGGATACCCACGGCCCTGAACCCGGTTGCGCATACGGTGTAAGCTAGAGACATAGGTTTTCAGATTTTCAAAGACAGCAGTGCCATGGCCGAGGACATCTATCATCGTACCCTGATTAGCCCGATACCGGCCATTTCGTTACTAGCCAGGGAGGTTAGAGCATTAGGATCGCTGGAAAGACTCACTATCCCCGGTGAAGATGGCATCCTCCTCTTCCAATACAAAAGCCATATGGTCCTCCGTATGGCCCGGTGAAAACACAGCTTTCAGTGTCGCCCCTTCGACGCTGAATACCTGCCCATCGACAATGCCCACTTGACCCTCATCTTCGTCAGGCTCGCACTTGAACACACTAGCCTGTGGACAAAGACGCAGAAGATCTTTAACTCCGCCGACATGATCACCGTGCCAGTGTGTGAGCAAGGCATGGTGGACTGTGGCCTTTTCCGAGGAGAGCACGGAGTTCAGGTTATTTACCCATGCGGGCTCGCCTTGACCGGTGTCGATGAGAATGCGCTGGTGGCCGCGGCCAATGAGGTAAGTATTTGTGCCTAGGCAAAATTAGCTCTCATCTCAGTCTAATTACAATCACTTGAAACGTGTAGAGCTGGGCATATTGGATAGTACCTTGCAAGGTAAACTGTATCGAGACATTGTCAGCCCACTGTTCTCGGTTCCTTTTCAGTTCACACAGTATTGCCTACCTTCCCCGGATTCCCCGCCAAAATCCGGATGACCGAGGCGCTGAGACGCTCTACCTCCGGCAGAGGAACAAGTTGCGTTGCCATGTTAAGGTGGCTGTGAGGGAGCGGAGAAGAATGAGGGATGTTGTACCTCTCAATTCCAGTTGAAGTCCTTGGGCGAACCCACCACCTGCAATTATTAATCACAATGCACCTTCACGAAATGTGGGGGACAGGTGGAGGCGAGATCTAAGTAGTAGTCAGGTCTCCTGCTGCATCATTACTGCTTCCGATGGCGCATCGCAATCGTGGAGCCGTCCTGCGGGGCAATTGGGCCTCGGCAGCTTAGCTCAGCCCCGAGGTTATGGCGGTTATGGGTTATCCTCAACGTTCAAATCCCTCCAAATGCATTTTCCAAGATTATACTATATGCCTATTCATTGATTTATACCTAAACCGAATTTCCTATGCTGACTGAGCGTTGCTTCTTACCGTTTGCGCACCCCCTCTTGAACATCATGACCATTCTCAAAGAAACCTTGGAATATAGTCCCCACTCGGAGAAAGACTTCATTGTGACTGGACGTAGGTACGCAAGATAGATTAATACTCTGTGTAGTTAGTAGTCACTAGCCTTGGGGCAATCTATGCTCCTAGCTATGCCCCGGGTGCTCAGGCCCAAGGGTACTAGTAATAGAATATCCAGGCCCTGCAAAGATCTGCTACAAGAATATTTTACCATTACGTCTTCTACATGGTGGATAGGAAAATAATTTGAACAAAAAGAAATGCATGCATGCTATTTTGATGGGCATACAAAACAATGGAGGGTAAATCAAAACATATATCCATTGTGCCAACCCAAGAGGGAATCCAACGCGAGGCCGATAGGCCAAAGAAACAAGATCATAAAAAGTTTTCCCAGAGCGCAACTCCTCGTACCCGGCTCAAAAAGGGGACAAACGCACACACACAGCGACAGCCCTGTTTATTATCCCCAGGGCGATGTCACTTTGCTCTCTGGCTCGCTCAAAGTCACAAGAGAACATAGTTTACACAGGATCCCCGCGGGGCTCCCGAAATAATGGGGGGCGAAGTAGACATCAGAAAGGTAGATGAGTGTATTTAGTTGGCGGACTTGCGAGCCATGGTGTTCAGGGCAGAACCGTCGACGAACCACTCAATTTGGGGCTCGTTGAAGGTGTGGCTGAGGGAGATGTCGAAGGCATCGCCACCGGCAGCGGGGTGGACGCGCAGGGTCATGGGCTTGCCGACCTCAAGCTGGGTGCAGAGCAGATCAACCTTGTCCGCGGGCTTGATCTTGTCGTAGTCGGCGGGGTCGGTGAAGGTCAGGGGCAGCATACCCTGCTTCTTCAGGTTGGTCTCGTGGATACGAGCGAAGGAGCGGGTGATGATGGCGAGGCCGCCGAGGTGACGAGGCTCCAGAGCGGCGTGCTCACGGGAAGAACCCTCACCGTAGTTCCAGTCACCGATGACAACCCACTTGACGCCGCGAGCCTTGTAGTCACGGGCAGTGGCAGGGACAGCGTCGTAGTCGCCAGTGAAGGCGTTCTTGACCTTGTTGGCCTCACCGTTCTCCTCGTTGATGGCACCGATCAGCATGTTGTTGGAGATGTTGTCCAGGTGACCACGGTACTTCAACCAGGGGCCGGCCATGGAGATGTGATCAGTGGTGGTCTTGCCCTGGCACTTGATCAGGATGGGGATGCCCTCAGCATCCTTCTTGTCCCAGGCAGGGAAACCAGCCAGGATCTGCAGACGGTCACTGTTGGGGGAAACAACGACGTCGATGGACTCGCGGTTGGCAGGGGGGGGCCTGGTAGGTGTCCATACCGGGGTCGTAACCGCGGCTGGGGAGACCCTCACCGGTGGGCTCCTTGAGCATGAACTCGTTGCCATCCTTGTCCTTGAGCTTGTCGGTCATGGGGTTGAAGTTCAGGGTACCAGCAACGGTCATGGCGACGACAATGTCGGGGGAAGCGACGAAAGCGTGGGTGGCGGGGTTGGCGTCGTTACGGCCAGTGAAGTTACGGTTGTAGGAAGAGATGATGGAGTTGGCCTCACCCTTCTTGATGTCCTTACGGTCCCACTGACCGATACAAGGACCACAGGCGTTGGCCAGGATGACACCACCGTACTCCTCCATGGTCTGGAGCTGACCATCACGGGCAATGGTAGCGCGAATCTGCTCGGAACCGGGGGTGATGGTGAAGATGGACTTGGACTTCAGGCCGTGGTCCAGAGCATCACGGGCAATGGAGGCAGCGTGAGACATATCCTCGTAGGAGGAGTTGGTGCAAGAACCAATCAGACCAACCTTGAGCTCCTCGGGCCACTTGTTCTCCTTGACAGCCTCCTTGAACTTGGACAGAGGGGTGGCCAGATCGGGGGTGAAGGGACCGTTGATGTGGGGCTCGAGGGTGTTGAGATCAATCTCGATGAGCTGATCGTAGCGGGCACCGTCGTCCTCACGGAGGTCCTTCGCATACTCGCGAGAGAAGTCACCAATGTGCTGACGCTTGGTGGCCTTCAGGTAGTCGTACATGCGGTCGTTGAAGGGGAAGATGGAGGTGGTAGCACCGATCTCAGCACCCATGTTACAGATGGTACCCATACCAGTGCAGGACAGGGAGTCGACACCAGGACCGTGGTACTCAATAATGGCACCAGTACCACCCTTGACGGTCAGGAGACCAGCAACCTTCAGAATGATATCCTTAGGAGTAGTCCAGCCGGACATCTTGCCACTGAGGCGGACACCAATAACCTTGGGGGCCTTCAGCTCCCAGGGGAGACCAGCCATGACGTCGACAGCGTCGGCACCACCGACACCGATGGCGGCCATACCGAGACCACCAGCGTTGGGAGTGTGAGAGTCAGTACCGATCATCAGACCACCGGGGAAAGCGTAGTTCTCCAGGACAATCTGGTGAATGATACCGGAACCGGGCTTCCAGAAACCGATGTTGTACTTGGCGGTGGAGGAAGACAGGAATTCGTAGACCTCCTTGTTGATTTCGTTGGCACGAGCAAGATCCTTCTCGCCACCAACCTGGGCCTCAATCAAGTGGTCACAGTGGACGGTGGTGGGAGTCTGGACGGAGGGCATGCCAGCGGACATGAACTGGAGAATGGCCATCTGGGCGGTGGCATCCTGGCAAGCAACACGGTCGGGACGGAGCTTCAGGTAAGAAACGCCACGCTCGATGTGCTGGTTGTGAGGATCGTCAAGGTGAGAGTAAATGACCTTCTCGGAGTAGGTCAGAGGGTGCTGCAGACGATCGCGGACGACCTTCAGGTTCTCGGACATCTTCCTAAAGCGGGCGGAAACAGGTTAGCTGTCAATTCCTTGACAAATTTTTCCTTTCCATTTTTGTTTCAAAACTGTGTTGAGCGGGTAAAAATCGTACTTGTAGTTGATGTAGTTACCCTGTAGTTCAAATCGTCATTAGTGGCTGTTTTTTTCGATTGTCTTGGAGCTATTCAATGAAAGGCTTAGTGGGCCACTCACAGTCTCAGAGTTGGTCATCTCGACCTTCTTGTCGAGAGGGTCAACGGTAGCGTAGCCCCGAGCCCCGAAAAGCTAGAAAAAGGTCAAGGTTAGTCGCTGCAAAGATGTATCATCGACATCGTCATCATCATCGTCGTGCCGACCAGGCCGGATTGCGATGCGAATGATTGCTGCGCCGGAAGAGACAGTGCTTACAACACGGGACTTGGAGGCCTAGAGAATCATCATGTTAGCTTTCTCATTCACTGGGATTCGGTTCGAATATCGCCCTCGGCGGTCTCTCATTGAGAGGTCCCGATTGACGTGGACGAAGCAAGCGCATCGCCCAGCCTCGGCAGTGGGAAATTGGAGGAAGTATGCAGGGTGAGATACGTACCAGCGCACCGGCACGCGCAAGGCGGGTGGAGATCATGATGAATAGCTCTAGGTACGACCACCTTCACCAGTGATAGTAAAAGAGAGTGGAGAGTGGGAGAGGAAGAAGGGAAAAAATGAAAATCGAAAAGGAAAGCTTGGTGGTTTTGAGTGGGCGATGAGAGACTGGGACCGAAGAGCCGTAACCGCCGTTACCATGGCGATACCATACCGTATTGAAACTCCGTTTGGCCCGTTCGGATGCGGCAAGTTAAGGCAGTGCCAGGGCCAGAGCCCCCAGGTCTGCGATGCTCGGCCTGACCCATGATCAACTTGCGAGTCGATTTTCAAATGGTAATTCGGCATCTATACTTCATTGGGATGTGCAGCTTAACACCTGTTTATTCATCCTATTTCAAGGTGCTTGACCCCTTGCCATACTCACTTTGATCGAGGAAGACACCTGGAAGGAGGTCGGTAATGGCAATACGCGGCATGTGACGGCGGCAGAAACCCTCACCAATCACAGGATTTACGATTACAAGGAGTCCTCCAAGGTTGGACCAAGGGAGTTTCGGGCCAAGGGCAAAGCGCTGTGCACGGGCAGGTTTCATTTACATGCGGACACTGAACTCGGCCTGAACCCCGTTCACCCGTTCGTATGCACATGGATTTGGATTGGGGGGGACATGTGGTCTCTGTGGTCCTCTGCCCCATCTGGCCCAAATAAGACTCATCATTGACACTACTCGTACGGAGTAAAAGTGAGTATAAATCAATTCTTTATTTATTAAAAGCACCTCCCTAAACAAATAACCGATGCTTGATCCGTCCATTCCTTCCGGGTGAAAGTATAACTAGACACGAAACTATGTTCTGTTACTGGTACTCCGTACTCGTAGTGTACATTTCCGGACCGACAACATGCAAACGTCATAAAATACGGGGGGGAAAGGTAAAGAGGTAAACCGGTGACGAGCAGCCGAGGCGTGCCGAACGGGCTTGCCGCTGGGTTGCCGACCAATCACCGCCCGCCTGTTTCAAGCAGCCCGCTGACCCACGCTGGTCAGCGCAATTTACTCTTCCAGGCCAAGGTTGTCCGCTCTCCACTCCGCCCCATATCCCTCCGGAAATCGGTGATATCTTTTTTTCTCTGTCTTCCATCGTTTTGATACCACTAGTTCAGCGATCGGACATCAAGATGGGTGCTCTCCGCAAAATCAAGACTAAGCGTCGCACCAGGTACGTGGCATCCGCCATTGGTTTACGAGGAGGATGAGAGAGAGGGCGGGAAATTTTCAAAATTCCGGAAGTGAATTTAAAGAAAATTTTGAGATCTGCATATTGACTTCCAACAGAGACTATGACCAGGTTATCGCCGACGTCGACTCGTCGCGCCATCTCGCGCAGTACAAGGCGAGCAAGGATCCAGAGGATCTGCCTGGACTCGGTCAACACTTCTGTGTCGAGTGCTCCAAATGGTTCGAGAGCGACTATAACTTGAAGGCGCACACCAAGGGCAAAAACCACAAGCGCAGGTGAGTCGCAAATCACTTTTCCTCGTCGCAAGTTACTATGCTAACCATCCATTTTTTAAGAGTCCGCCTCCTTCAAGAAGAACCTCACAGCCAGGAACTCGCTGAAGCCGCCGTTGGTCTGGGTGTCGTCGAAAATTGGAGGGGCCACATCAAGCGGGCAGACAATGCGGCCGACAAGGCCGACAAGATGGAGATGGCTGCTTGATTCGGATCTTGAACTACAACAAGCATAGATGCCGTGCTTCCCAGCATCGCGCTCTCCTCGATTCGATCTCCTTCCCTTCCACAAAAAAAGCGCATTAACGACGACCACGACTTTTGACCTTCGGATAATCATGAACCTACAGCTGCAAGGCGGTGGAGCTCACGTGAAACAATTTTTTTATAGCCGAAAGTCGCCGGATGTCCGTTCTGCCGGTTTGCGGCATCGCACAAAACCGCCGGTCATCGGCACATCCAACCGGGCAATGCGGCATCAGGGCGAAATTTACCCCTTACCACCAGTACCCCGGAGTAATTCCAATAGAAATCCCTCAATACCAAATAGGAGCTCTAACCAGAAAGGGTGTTTCGGTATATCTTCTTGTCTTGGCCAATCCCACTCTATGTACACAGTAGCCACATTGTTACTCCGTAGACTCTTAGACAATGCCTTAGATTCCACCCTCGGCTGGCACCCCATGGGCCATCCCCGGACCGCTCAGAGCCTTCATCAACCACTCGTAGGCCGCCCACTACCCGATTATTAATGGTCAATTGTCTCGGTCTGGAATGGACAACGTCGAAAGAAAACATACCTGTACCGCATTCACAATAAATGCCCTGATACTGCAGATCCCGAGCCCCCGATAGAATGCGTGCACTCCCTCGGCTCGGTAAACTTCCCGTGCAATCTGAAATGAGTTCAAGGTCTGCCGAGAACGTCCAAGTAGAGCACGTCCCTCCGCCGCCTCCCCCACATGGTCATGCATAGTTTGCGCCTGCAGTCTCGTCTTCACCATGTCCAGTGGAAAGACCGAGCCCCAGGTGACAATGCCTGCAATGCCACCGCAGAGAAGCACCTTGAGTGCAGCTTGATTGGAACTTTCATTATTGGTTGTCATCAATCGTTTGCATAATTCGTAAGACCAAAAACTGCCGGTTAGTCAGTATATCCATGGATCCATTAATATATATCCATAATCATTTGCAGTGATGTACTACATATAGACGATATAGATATTAAGTGATGGGATGCGGGGAGGATCATCAGGTAGTGCATGACTTACTAGAATCCGTAACCAATTGCATCCCGCGCTCCAGTGATGGATCCGCCATAATACAGACCCCTCCACCCACGGTGGCGATATATGTCCTTGACAACGGTCCAAGACGATACCTCCGGCCGGGAGTCCAATTGCGCACGGCACTTAATGAACTCAGTTGGCGAAGACACAGTCCAGCTGGCCATGCCACCAACAGCACCAGCGATCCAGATTTTGGACAATGACACACCATCTGGGTTGGTCGTGTCAGTGATGGAGCTATCAATCGACTTCAATGTACGGTTGTAAGTCATAAAAAGAATAGCGTTAAGCGCTCCATATCCCAGAATCGGAGCGGCCGCACCTTAAAAAACGTGTTAGTGCACGGGTTATTCAACTAGGTAACTCAATGGCAACACAGACCTCGAACGAGGGAGCTCGCCTTCTCGAATCGGCTCAGATGTGACGTAGTAGATGCATCCGTGCGATTGCCGGCCTGCAGCCGCACCTTAATTACGTCGAGAGGATTTCCGATGACAATTCCAAGGGCACCACTAAGGTAGCCTGCCCAGAAATCCGACATCCTTCACTGATCGAGAAGTGTGAAACTCCATCGCTTGCGGGCACCCATGTGAATCTCGTTACCAATGGCGGGGTGATAGACGATCACGTGACAACGCGGCAGTTTGGCGGAGCAGGCAGACGCGAGGCAGGCGCGTGAGGGCAACAACTTCGGATTTCAACAACAACAAAAGAAGGGGAGTGTACAGAGGGGTTGATTAACGACCTGGGAGATTTAACTTGGAGGTTCAACATTATGTGCGATCTTTGCTCTGACTCCTCGAGTCGTATGGAGCCCTTGCTAACAAACCCCCTAGGTATCGCCCGCGTCCACCCGGTGCCGATGGCGGCGTAAAGACACCATTGCAGCCCAAATCCGTCAATGCCGTTGATCGCCTAGCCAAACCATTCAAGTGCCCTGGATCAGCAACACCGACAAGGGCTTCAGAGAAACCAACAAGGAAGAGACGAAAGGTCAACTATGCCAATGCCGACGGCAGTGCCGAAGACGGATCGGAGAAGCCATACACAAACGACGACCGACTCGCTCTGGCGACACGGGAGGTGAATCGATTCCCGGTCTTCAAGCCCAAGGATAAAGATGCGGCTTTCAGAACACGATTCCGAATCCCATTCATAGACAGAAATACGGAAGGCTACAATCCCGATCGGCCAGCACCGACCTTGGGTCTCCGGACAGGTGCGACTTTTATTGCAAAGCCACTGCACGACCCAAGTGGTGAATTTGCCATCGTTCTCTATGACCCCACTATTGATGATATCGCCGAAGAGCCCAAACCAAAAGAGCAGGAAGGGCCGACGGAAGCAGATGCGCCGCCGGAATTGGACGAGCCCCTGGTACATAAAAGTTTGGCAGATATTCTTGGTCTGAAGAAGAAGGTTGAAGATAGGCCAAAAGTGCCTGTCGTGATTGACCCGCGACTTGCAAAGGTTTTGCGACCACATCAGATCGAGGGTGTGAAGGTAATGTCAACCAATGCCTACCTTATGTTATTCAGGAACTAATGTGGCTGGACTGGCAGTTTCTGTATAGATGTACAACTGGATTAATCGATAGGAACGCTAATGGGTGCATTATGGCTGATGGCATGGGGCTGGGAAAGACAGTAAGTGATCGTGAACTCTGGTGGTGAGGCTTATCACTAATTTTTCAGCTCCAATGCATTTCTTTGATGTGGACATTGCTTAAGCAGGACCCCGAGGCTGGGAAGACAACCATCCAAAAATGTGTCATTGCTTGCCCCTCCAGTTTGGTCGGAAACTGGGCCAACGAACTAGGAAAATGGCTGGGGAAAGATGCCACTACTCCCTTCGCCATAGATGGCAAGGCTTCCAAAGCAGAGCTCACTCTCCAGGTCAAGCAATGGGCAATAGCATCGGGCCGCGGAATTGTTCGTCCCGTTCTGATCGTATCCTATGAGACTCTCCGCATGTACGTGGATTGCTTAAAGGACCACCCGATCGGTCTACTTCTTTGCGACGAGGGACATCGACTCAAGAACAAGGAAAGCTTAACATGGGTGGCTTTGAACAGTCTCAGCGTCAGTCGGCGCGTTATTCTTTCTGGAACACCTATTCAGAACGATCTGTCTGAATACTTTGCCCTGCTCCATTTCGCCAACCCTAACCTACTGGGCTCGCAAAATGAATTTCGCAAACGATTTGAACTGCCGATTCTCCGAGGCCGTGATGCTGCGGGCACTGACTCGGATAAAAAGCTAGGCGATGAGCGCCTACTCGAACTTTCCACCATTGTTAACAAATTCATTATTCGACGAAGCAACGACATTCTATCAAAATACTTGCCTGTCAAATACGAGCATGTTGTTTTCTGTAATATGGCTCCGTTCCAGCTGGATCTCTACAATCACTTTATCCAGAGTCCAGAAATCCGAAGCCTTCTCCGAGGAAAAGGCAGTCAGCCTTTGAAAGCAATCGGAATTTTGAAGAAGCTTTGCAACCACCCTGATCTTCTCGACTTGGCAAACGACCTCCCTGGATGCGAGGACGCATACCCGGATGACTTCACCCCACCCGACGCCCGAGGTCGAGATAGAGAGGTCAAGAGTTGGTACTCTGGAAAAATGATGGTCCTTGACCGTATGCTCGCTCGAATCAGACAAGACACCAACGACAAGATTGTCCTCATCAGTAACTACACTCAAACATTGGACCTCTTTGAGAAATTGTGTCGCTCACGCGCCTATGGCTGCTTGCGATTGGATGGTACCATGAACATTAAGAAGCGATCGAAGCTGGTTGACAAGTTTAATGATCCGGAAGGTCCTGAGTTTGTTTTCCTCCTGAGCAGCAAGGCCGGTGGATGTGGTCTCAACTTGATTGGTGCCAACAGACTGGTTCTCTTTGACCCAGATTGGAATCCAGCTGCTGACCAGCAGGCTTTGGCTCGTGTGTGGCGTGATGGACAAAAGAAAGACTGCTTTGTCTATCGCTTCATCGCGACTGGGTCCATCGAAGAGAAGATTTTCCAACGACAGTCCCACAAACAGTCATTGTCATCTTGTGTTGTGGATGCAGCGGAAGACGTGGAACGCCACTTTTCCCTTGAATCTTTACGAGAGCTGTTCCAATTCAAGCCCGAGACACGCAGTGATACGCACGATACATTCAAATGCAAACGGTGCCGACCTGACGGTACCCAGTATATCAAGGCGCCAGCTATGCTCTACGGAGATACGAGCTCGTGGAACCATTTCGTTAACGATGGTGAAAAGGGGCCGTTGAACCAGATCCAAGATCTATTAATACGACAAGAGGTTGGCGAGAGGGCTGTCTCGGCCGTCTTCCAGTACATTAGTCACTGATAATATTTTGAAGGGGGATTTTGGCGCATCATGATTTCCACGCAAGGCGCTTATTGGGATATTCTGCTAGCGGCTTAGGATAGCGATTATGGGATAGACTTATTCTCGGCGTGCATTGTTCCCGAGTCTTAACTTTCGAGCATTCAATTCAAATTCTGGTTCATTCGTTACGAGCAAGTGCACTTTATCAAGTCATAAACCCTGGCCTACAGTGGCGTTGCAAAAGTTTGAAACCCCATGTTGACTGTTCTTGTCTCCGCCTTCTAATCGCGAACTAGTAGCTACCTGAGATGGAATAGATGGCCAATCTATTCCATCTCAGGTAGCTATAGAAGGCGGTAAATCCATGGGGTTTCAAACTTTTGCAACGCCACTGCACCCTCGGTGACCTTGGTGATGTACTATAGCCAAGTCAATTCCATACTATATTCACTTTCACTACTCATGGCCCACGACCGTGCTCTGTACATCATCTGCGCCCCCTATTAGTTTCAGAGCTTTGTGGATCTTCTCGTTTTGTCGATGGTCAAAGGATAGCTTGATTTCTTCGGCACGGGGTCGGGCTAGTGGCGGGTCCTTCGGGACCGAAGGGCAAATCGGGACCGAGCCACTTCACCTCCCCCGGATTTAATGCTATCTGCTTCCTGTCACTGATATCTGACCCAGCTTATAATATATGAAAAGCAGTGGCTACAATGAGCTTGACTCGAGGACACTCGTGCATTGTCTGCCAGCAACGGAAAGTCCGCTGTGACCAGCAAAAGCCATGCGCAAACTGTGTCCGATCTCAGGTGGAGTGTAAAGTTGCGCCCCGCAGCCAGCGAGGAGGAGGAAGAAGCTCCATGAGCGGGATTTGCTGGAGCGACTCAATAAATATGAAGCACTCATGACTCAGAATGGTGTCTCCTTTGATTCTGTTTTTGACGATCAAGATGAGACTATTGAGCGAAAGGGCTCTAGCAGCATAAAGCCTTCACCTGGGGACAGTATCCCCAACCATATATCCAGAGACCAAGGAAACGGACGAAGGTCGGTCTATTAACTATCCTATCGCCATTTTAAACTCAAGCTCATTTTCACAATAAAGCAGAAACCTGAAGTGGTTCGCATATTACGACGAATATCGATCAACCGATGATTTGCTAGAAGTGTCAACCGACGAAGAGCAAGACCAGCCAACTATCCACCACGCTTTTGATACCATGTTCAGTGACTTCGATACTTTCCCCTTCATGGTCGGCGGGGCACCAACTCCGATTACCCATCTTCACCCTTCTGCAATTCAGATATTCCAGCTATGGCAGGTGTATCTTGATAATGTCAATCCCCTCTTGAAGATATTCCACGCCCCTTCTCTGCAAGTACAGATTGTGGGAGCAGGGGTAGACTTGGCTAAAATACCAAAACCCCTCGAGGCCCTGATGTTCAGCATATACCTGATCGCTGTGAAGTCAATGGCAGATGAGGAGGTTCAAAGTACCCTCGGAGAACCAAAGTCCACTATTCTCGATCGATATTATCAAGCATCTCAGCAAGCATTGGTAAATGCCGGGTTCATGAGATCAAATGATCTAATGGTATTGCAGGCCTTCCTATTGTGTCTGGTAAGTCTGATGAGTTGCCAATATGTACTCATATTTCATATACTGATCATAATTCACCCTAGCTCGGCGTAGGACGCATTGTTGATCCGCGTTCGCTTTTCTGCTTGATTGGGATTGCTGTACGCATAGCTACGAGACTTGGTCTGCATCGGGACGGTGCCAAATTCGGGCTCTCTCCATTTGAAGCGGAGCAGCGGAGGCGAACCTGGTGGCAATTAGTTTCCCTTGATAAACGAATTGCAGAGATGACAGGCTCCCCCATCACAGCTCTGTCGTCTTGTGGGTCGGAGTGTCGACTCCCTTCAAATGTCAATGATAGTGATCTGCACCCAGATTCAAAAGACCCCCCCACGGCCTTCTACTGGATTTACAGAGATGTCTTTTGGTCTGACGCGAATCGAACTTACCCTGGCATCTGTTCCAGACAGTATTCGTCCTAAAACACTCAACATCAAGGTCTCACATGCCGTCCAAGCGCCCTCTACAAAGTCACCACATGCAACTCAGCAAGGTTGCCATCACATGCCACCTCGTGATGTGGAGGATTATGATTCTTACTTCGATTTAACTTTCATAAAACACTGCAACCCCGAAATTCCTATTCAGCGGCTTACTATGCTGGCAACCAAAGTTGGACTTTGCAAGCTCCATGTAGTCGAGTTTATGTGCCGAGGAGTTCCCGCATCTAGCTTGAGCGAAAAAGAGCGTGACGGTACCTTTCTGAAGGCCATCGAAATGTTGGAATATGATGATGCAATTCATACCAGCGACAACCTCCGAGGCTTCCACTGGTACACCCAGCTCCAAATTCCGTTTCCAGGATACATTTTTCTTGCTAGCGAGCTAGTTCACCGAACGAGCGGCGAGCTTTGTGAGCGTGCATGGCAAGCAATTTGCAATAATCATGAGCATCGGGGGCTTTATCATAATCTGGAGAGTCCGATGCATATGGCCTTTGGCCATGCGCTCCTTAAAGCGTGGATATCCCGAGAACAAGCTGAGCTTCAACTGGGCAGAGCAAGTGAGCCCCCGAAACTGGTTACTGTGCTGCGTCAAAGGTTGGCTTCTAGGACGAAGGGCAAGAACCCCAAAGATGTGAATAGAAGCGCGGATACTGCCAATACGGAAGTTTCTGGCTCAACTATGAGCGAGTCGCAGGCAGGTATTGGGTCGTCATCTGGACTCGAAAACACATTCAATATGCCGGGGACTTCAACAGGGGAAAATGTAGATCCAATGACTGGATCTAGCTGGTTCGATTCGAATCAAATGGATTGGGTATACCTTATGCAATCTGGGGAATTTGGAGGTCTTTTTGGAGGTGATGGGCCAGGGTTTACTTAAAGGAATTCTCTGTTTCTTCCTCTTTACTGTCTATGTATGTTGATCGTTGGACCTGGAGGGCGATTCTGGTGTAGCCGAGAATAAACGTGGGCGCCAAGATATTAAGACGGGAATTCCATGCGGTCATTTTATGGGAGCTCCCTGTTCTCAATGCTCCAGCTGAATAGTGGGTCCGATGCAAAAGCAGATCACTTGCCATATGGAGTTTTCTCCTGACCGCATGTACAGTATGTGTATGCACCTGTCGGTCAAAAACATGGTTAAATGTGCCGATTATCATTTAATAATGATTCGACCTTTGGTGCCCAGGCTTTGGTCTCGAGGTAGTTATTCGAACTCGGTCATGTCTGTTATATCACACTAATGTCGGTTATAGGCTTCTGGCTGCCCTTTTACATTATCATTGAAGATTTCCAGGTCAATCTCTATCCACGAAGCTTGATGGTGTAAGGAGTATGTACATCCGTGGATGATGACTTCAGCCGACGGGCATTTTGGTGATTGAGGGAGCCCTCGTACTTTTGTGACTTACATCTGTTTGCTACCCGATGCACTGGCGACCACCCCATACCATCAGCTGGGCACCGACACGGTTCGTTGGACTAGCCTGTGGGTCCAGATCATTGACCAACTCAGCGACCCGCAACAAACAAACAGAGAATGCCCCGAGGAGTTCGTTGGAGAAGCTGAGGAGGTGTAAGTGCTTTTTCCCAGCCACCTTCCCATGGTCTTTATCGCGTTCTTGAAACCAGACGTGCGAAGCTTGATTCTGGCAACCATCATCTGGGACGGAACGCGCCGATTTAGATCTCTGCCCCCACACCAACTCCTCAGTGGACATTTGGCCTCTCCTGTTTCCACGGTTCATGCGATGCATTGGCGCAAGGACCATTCCGTGCCCGCGGGCATGAGCCCCGGTCGTTCCGATGGCTCTCTTCGGCGTCGGTGGAAAGATAGGTTCCAAAGAACAATTTCGGGCAATTTTAAGAAGTTGGAAGGCGATGAATCTCAAGATCTAGCGTCCTCTCTCGATATTGCAAGCCGTACGTGGCCGACCACAAAGATGTACAGGTGCTCGAGGCGATCTCGAGCATCTTGCCCGATTGTACATAAATTCGAATTTACATTGACTCTCGCTAGGAAATCCAACCGCTCAGACCGGCTTTCAGATCTCATCTAGTACGACCGTGATAGAAACCGGACCGCAACCGCCAATAGGTGATCTGGGTACAACCGACTCACAGATAGAGCTTGCACCGGAAAGTGACAATTCTGTGGAGGAGAGCCGAGCTGACGAAGTCGACCATGTTTCTCTATGGGACCGAGCTTATGACACATTGAAAGAAGAGCAACCTAAGCTGGTCTTGCAATACGAGAAGCTTTTATCTAGGGTGTTAGGTCCGTAAATCATCCAGCGCCAACTGTTTTACTTTGATTCTGCTTGAGCCCGACTAATACATCATTTGATAGATGATTCGAATCCATCATCGCCTTCATACGATGACCTTGATAACATGGAGAATCTGATCCCCCAGGGTGATAGAATCGATCGCCAGAAAAAGATGGGGGAAGCAAGGGAGCGCGGGTTGAAACACGTCGAGGATGAGAAAGCCAGCATGAGTATTCTAGGACACAAAGTCATCTTACAAGATGCCATGGGAGAAATTGCAGGAGACATTGAGACGGCCCAGGCATATGTCAAAGACGCGATCAAGGATGTTCCATACGCCCCTGCCGTCATGGCAGGTATCTCTCTGGTTCTTCCACTCTTCAAAAACCCGAGCGCTGTTGAGGCAGCCAACCGCGAGGGGCTTGCCTATGTGATATCCCAAATGAATTACTATACTGCGATGGAGCCTCTCCTACTACAACATCAAAAACGAACTGCCCTGGATGAAGACTTGTTCAGGCGGGTGGCTGGCTTCTACAAGATGGTCACCGAGTTCCAGATACAGAGCATCTTATGGTTCTATCGCCATGGAGTTAAAAATTATTTCAGGGCCGTGATAAATTACGACGAATGGGACAGAAAGCTGAGATTTGTCAAAAATGAACAGCAGGAACTTGGCTCAAAACTGGAAAAAGTACTATTCCTGTCAAGTTCAAACCATCTTAGAAACATCCGCAAGACAGCCGATGAATCTTGTGGGAAGCTCGGAAATATTCGCGAGGGAGTCCAACAGCTTGTCATGTATGCAAAAGATAACGAGAAACAGAAATTTCTCGAAGCACTGCAGACGAGCGACCCTAGTGATGGGAAGGATCGCATTGAACAAGAGAAAGGATTTATACTTCAAGGCACTACGGATTGGATACTCGAAACTCCAGAATTCCAGCAATGGCTTTATAATGACCGAACCCAGTTTCTCTGGGTCAAGGGTGATCCTGGCAAGGGAAAGACAATGCTTCTCTGTGGAGTAATCCATGAGCTGTCCAAGCCATCTTGGAATACAAGCAATCTCGTTTATTTTTTCTGCCAGGAGACAGATGAGCGGATTTCAACTGCATCATCGGTTTTGCGAGGGCTGCTGCGCATGTTTGTGAAAGCACAACCGTCACTTGTCTCATCCCTTGGGGAATTTACGAAAGATCGCATGCAGGGCCGCAATGAATGGTGGGCGTTGCGCGGGGCCTTTCAGGCAATTCTCGACGACCCCCAGCTTCGAACAACTTACTTGATCATCGATGGGCTTGATGAGTGTATCGAGGGTAGGAATAAGCTCATTGATCTGATTACCACCCAGTTAAAAGCAAAGCCATGGGTCAAATGGCTTGTTTCAAGTCGTAATTTGTCGAAGATTGAAAGGGGTCTAGGCGAATTCGCGTTACCTCTATCCCTGGAAGAGAACGAAACGCATGTTTTGAAAGCCATCAACTCCTTCATTGACCACAAAGTCCAACGATTGGCTAAGTATAGCGACATCGAGGGCAAAGATTGGGCAAATGTTCTCGAACACCTGTATAAGAATGCAGATGGAACTTTTCTATGGGTCGAGTTGGTGTGCAAGCAACTAGAAAAAGTCTCAACTCGCGAAGTCGATAACCTTTTGCTAGAATTTCCATCTGACCTAATATCTGTTTACGAGCGTCAGATGGAACGATTAGCAAATTTAGCAAATTTAAGACCAGCGGACTATGAACTCTGCAAGCAGATTTTGTCGGTTACCTCACTTGTGCGCCGACCTGTTAACTTGGAGGAATTGGCCGAGCTGGCAGACTTACCTTCGCCCACGAAGAAGGAGACGACGAGGCTGATTAATGAGTGTAGCTCTTTTCTAACCATTCGCGGAGGAAGCACAGTTCGTTTTGTGCATCAATCGGCCAAAGATTACTTGCAGAAGGATGGCCTACCTGAGATCTTCCCAGACGGGCTGAAAAGCCAGGATCATGCTTTGTTCTCGAGGTCTCTCCAAGCCATAGCCGTGACACTGAGGCGCGACATCTACGATCTAAAAGATCCGGGGTACCTAATTGACAATGTCAAGGATAAAGATCATGACTCCCTGGGCCCAGTGCGATATGCATGTGTATACTGGGTAGACCACCTTTGTGCAGATCCCAGAGAAGCAGATTTCGAAGAGGACGGTATATTGGACATGTTCCTACAAAGAGACTATCTTCATTGGATTGAGGCTCTCAGTCTCCTCAGAAGCATGTCGGCCGGAGTCTTCTGGATGTTAAAACTTGAGAAACTGGTTACGGTTAGTTAAACAAACGATCTCGGAGATTCAAGCTTACAAGTGTTAGGCATGGGGAGCATCAACTTCACTAATAGATCGCACGCGAGACGCATATCGATTTATACAGCACCACAAGCCTACGATCGAGGAAAGCCCGTTACAAGCTTATGCTTCTGCGCTGGTTTTCAGCCCAACTCGAAGCATTACGCGCAACCAGTTCATCACAGAAGAGCCTAACTGGATCAAAACAAAACCAATGATGGAGGATGATTGGAATTCATGTCTTCTGACCCTTGAGGGTCACAAGCAGTCCGTTCAAACAGTTTCATGGGCGTCGAACAATATGCTTGCATCAGCATCATTTGATGGCACTGTGAAAATGTGGGACACATCCACAAGTTACTGTCTTTCAACATTCCGTGGAAATGGATCGTCTATCTCATCTCTGGGAATTCTACGAGATCCAAAGCTTGGCTTGGTCTTGGGCGATGGAAGAATCGAGACATGGGACACGACCGAAGACTACAACCTTCCACCGCCCAAAGATAGCGATCGGCCATTATGGGAACCTATTTTGAGCTTCAAAGATACAATTGAGCTATTCAAAGTAGCGTCTTGGTCTCCTCAAGGGACGCTTGTCTTTGCCGTGGAAGATGGATCAATCTGGATTCGCCCTGCCGTTTCTGTTACTCGACGTCAGCCGTCGGTCCCATTCAAAGGCACCCACCGAGGAGTGTTTACACTGGCCTGGTCTCATGATGGCAGAATTGCGTCGGGCGCAAGGGATGGAACATTGAAGATCTGGGATACGGCCGATCGTAAATGCAAGCTGGAGCCTGGGGGTCATAGCGAATGGGTCTATGCCCTTGCTTGGTCGCAGGATTGCCAGAGACTTGCATCGGCTTCAAAAGAAAACATCATCAAAATCTGGGAAACTAAGAATGGTCGCTGCACCGCATGGGTCCAAGGCCAAAGCAATTTAATCCGGTCTCTTTCCTGGTCGCCAGATGGCAGGCTCGCAGGTGCCGATGGCGAAACGATCAGAATATGGGACAGTGTAACTGGAAAATGTCTGTCTAGACTTGAGGGTCATAGCCATCAGGTCTGGTCAGTAGCCTGGTCAAAGAACGGAACTAGGCTTGCATCGGCTTCTCGCGACAAAACAATCAAGGTATGGGACGTTGCAGGAGACCGAAGGGAACAGCCTCTTCTAGGTCATAGCCAAAGGGTCAATAATATTGCCTGGTCAGCGGACAAAACCAAGCTTGTATCTGTTTCAGAGGATAGCACCGTCATTGTTTGGGATACCTGCACTGGAGGATATGTGCAGAACCGTATCAGCGATATCCATTCAGTGGCCTGGTCAAAGGAGGGCACCAGGATTGCGTTTGTGGCTGGATACAATGCTATCGTGATTTGGAACGTTGTCACCGGAGATCGTACACAAACACTCATGGATGAGAGCAATGATATCAGGTCTGTGGTCTGGTCAGAGGACGGGACTAAGCTTGCATCGGTATCGAAAGACCACCACATAAAGTTCTGGGATCTCTCTAGCGAGAAATGCGTGGAAGCGGTCTTACAAGATGACGCTTCAACAAATCCTATTACTTGGCCGGAAGGCGTTGCCGAGTCCGAGACTCTTGATCTTGATTCTGTGCTTTCTTCAAAGAATCTGATGACCTATGGAATTGACCCAGAAGATTCATGGATAACCTCCAATGGGAAAAGACAGCTCAGGTTACCTCCAGGGTATAATATTGAGTGTTCGGCTATCTTACCAGAGAGGATCGGAATTGGGTGTGGCTCTGGACGTGTACTTACTTTTACGGTCTCAGAGACTACTGCGAGCTAGGTCGAGAGTTGACACTAATCAAATCCGTCAATCGAACAAACCTTTGATAGTTGTCTTCGTAAATTAGTGACTGGCTTACGAAGCGCAGTCAAACCTTGAGTTTCAAGTTTACGGCAAGTCATGGTCTCTTTCAAAGCTCTCGTCTTTGCATTTGCTAGTGAAGGGACTAAGCAACTATAAATACTTGTTTCTGGCTAGAGTTAGCTTTCTCAATCTTCAATCTGCTATCCAAGTCGTTACCAAATCCTACCAATCTTATCAGACAAACTTCAAAGCTTACCCGGCCTATTGTTCAACTCTCATGAAACCCAAAGATGAAGGTATCGCTGAATATTGTCACATCACTACTGGTCTTGAGTCCTGTTGTGACAGGTAGCCTGGCGGGATACGGTATTTGCCAGGCAGGATGTGCAGGTATCGTGATGGCCTGTTACTCGGCTACAGGATTTACATGGGGAGCCATTATGGGTGTAACTGCACCTGCAACCATACTTGCCTGTAACTCATCATTTAGGGCCTTTCCTGTTTGCGAATCTGCATTGTTGATACCTTGACCGTGAAAAATTAGTGCTTATTTGAGGTGTCTGTAAACGGATGAAGAAAAATGTCCTTGTCCACGAGCTACCTGCAGGTGCACACCGAGAGAAATATTTTACTATCTGAGTTTCATGACTTTGACATGAAATCTTTGTTTAATTTCACTACCTAAATTTGCTATTTTTTAAATGTCAACTACTAGTATCTAGTCTGTTCTTATCCGTTTGCTAGTTCGCAGCATTCCAACATCCATAATACCACCCATCTAGTCATGAAAAAAGCCAATTAATAGTTTAAAATCGCTTAGCCTCTGAAGTCACTGTGTCAGTTTATCTATTTCTCTCCTGTATTGGCCAGACTATGGTATAATATAATAGCACTGTTGCGGTGGTAGAGAGCATCGGGCCGAGCCCAGACCCGCGGTGAGAGTGTGACGTATGGTCAGCAGCAGCACGCTTGGACTCCTCCCTGACTCCGCGTTGACAACGCATCTTCCACTTCCCCCACTTGGAGCTTTCGTGTCTTGTCAAGCTTCTACCGAGCCGGAGCTCCTCAAAGCGAATCTCCTTGCCAGCCTTTCTGCAGATCGACCCGACCAGACCACAAACTCGCCCCCCTATCCCGAACGCGAACCTCTCCGCCATGACCATTGCCTAATCGGAGCTCGGGACAGCACTCTCCGCCCGCTGAAGCAATGGATCAATCAATCCAGCGGCTGCTTAACGATAAGCTATACGATAAACGAAAACAAGGAGCTCTTGAGTACGTTACTTTAGAGCTTCATGAGGACTCAAAACGCTCACCCGTGGCACGCACACCGCTAACACGCAGCTTCTTTTGCAGGTTAGAGAAAATCGTCCGCGATGCTGTCTTCCGAGGAGAGCACGAGAAAATTGCCAGAATCGTCGAGCAGCTCTGTCACGACTACGCTTACGCCGTACACCAACCTCATGCCCGAAATGGCGGTCTGATCGGATTGGCAGCTGCCTCCATCGCCTTGGGATCGGTGAGTCAACACAACCAGAAGGAAATTGGGTGGGCGAGGCTGATGTACCGATCCAGGAAGGAGTGGCACCCTATTTGAGAGAAATCGTACCACCTGTCCTCGCTTGCTTCTCCGACCAAGATGCGCGGGTTAGATATTACGCTTGCGAGAGCATGTACAACATCGCCAAGGTGGCCAAGGGAGAGATACTTCTCTTCTTCAACGATATATTCGACGCTCTGGCGAAGGTGAGATGACATCGAATAGACCTATGTTGCTACCCCATTACTGCTGCTGATATTCGTCCCAGCTTGCTTCCGATTCGGAGCTCTCAGTCAAGAACGGGGCAGAGTTACTCGACCGGCTAGTGAAGGATATCGTGGCTGAATCAGCAGCTTCATATGTCTCGGTACTGCAGGTATCTGAGAAGGAAGACCCGACCGATCTCGATGATACCGAGCTCCCTACAGCATTCTCTCTCGCAAGGTTCATTCCTCTGCTCAAAGAGCGAATCCACGTGATCGGGCCATACACTCGCAACTTCTTGGTTTCTTGGCTCACTTTGTTGGATACGATTCCTGATCTGGAGTTGGTTACATATCTACCTGAATTCCTGGAAGGATTGGTTAAATTCCTCGGGGGCCCAAACAAAGACGTCAATGTTGCTACGCAAGGGCTCCTTGACCGATTCCTATCGGAGATCAAAAGAATCACAAGGCTGAAGAAAGGTATCGAGGAGAGCCGCAAAGATCAGGAGAGCCGCAGACGCTCCGTGACGAGTGACTCAATGAGCTCTAGCGCCAAGACTGAGACCGATGCTGCCGATAAAAACGACATTGCGGTGGATGACTCCGAGTCCGGATCTCTCTTTGATGACGAATTAATACAAGTCGATGGGGACTGGATTCCAGGGCAGGACGTACAGATTGACTACCCTAAGATTCTGGATATCCTTGTCAGCTTTGTCGACACATCATACGGTATTTATCATTCCTTGCTGTTTCTTCCAGGGCAATTGGAGCCTAACCATATTCATATTTATAGACGAAGAAATGCAACTTACTGCACTCAGATGGATCGACGCCTTCTTCGAAATTAGCCCCGAGGACATACTACCTTTTGTGCCACGGCTTTTAACCCAGGTGCTCCCGGCTATGTCAAGCGGCTCGGATCAAGTGCGGCAGGCAGCCAACCGTGTCAACAAATCCCTTCTTGAATACATCTATTCACTCTCCGATGATGCAGCGGATGATGCACCTCAGCCTCCATCCAAGGTACCTTCCACCGCGCCTAGCAAGGAAAGCGTGGAACGAAAGCCTTCGGAAATCTCAAGCATCGATGCCAGAAGATCGACGACAGAGACTTCTAGAACTGCCACCCCTCGTAGTAGTATTGTTTCTACCCCGGTGCCACCCGTTGATCTCGACTATGCTGCAGCTGTCAACTCACTTACCTTACAATTTCTGAACGAGAATGAAGCCACCCGAGTAGCTGCGCTCTCATGGCTCATTATGTTACATCGCAAGGCCCCGCGAAAGGTGGTTGCGTTTAATGATGGAACATTCCCAGCCCTCTTGAAGACCCTTTCCGACCCTGCAGAAGCAGTTGTAACCAAAGACCTGCAGCTTCTATCTCAAATTTCGAGGAATAGCGAGGACAACTACTTTGCATCTTTCATGGTCAACCTATTGCAGCTCTTCTCCACCGACCGACATCTGTTGGAGGTCCGTGGGAATCTGATTATTCGACAACTGTGTCTTAATCTAAGCCCCGAACGGATTTATCGGACGCTAGCCGATTGTCTTGAGAAAGAAGAGGTAATTTCTATGATCGAACTACAAGGATTGTCTACTCACGATCATTAGGATATTGAGTTTGCTAGTATCATGGTGCAAAATCTGAATAACAATCTCATCACTGCTCCAGAGCTATCAGACATGCGAAAAAGATTACGAAATCTCGACTCAAAGGTAGGCCAATTCTTGGATACCTCTTGCTCTCGATCGCAGCTTACACAAATACAGGAGGGACAAATGTTCTTTGTTGCTCTCTTCAGATCCTGGTGCCATAATGCTGTCTCGACATTTTCACTCTGCCTTCTCGCGCAAGCCTATGAGCAGGCTTATAATCTCCTCCAGATCTTGTACGTCAATTTACAGGCCACCATATTCCTAGTATCCCTATGCTAACTGATCCTCAGCGCTGAGTTAGAAATGACTGTCAATATGTTGATTCAGATCGACAAACTGGTGCAACTCCTCGAGTCACCAGTCTTCACATGTACGCACCTTTCATCCGAAACTATGGCCAATACTAACGAAAAAATTCCACCAGATCTTCGCCTCCAGCTTCTTGAGCCAGAAAAATACCCATATCTGTACAAATGTCTTTACGGCGTGCTCATGCTCCTCCCCCAAAGCTCAGCATTTGCCGCATTGAAGAACCGCCTGAATAGCGTTAGCAATATAGGATTCCTCCACGCTGCACCCCGCAGGTATAGCATCTCACCCCTCGTGTCTAACTTGAAGTTACAAAGCTAACACTGCCTCCTAGCACCGCGCAAGCAGGGCCATCATCATCAACGTACGACCGTCCCGGTGGCAGCCGCCTCAAAACCCGCGACGAGAACGGTATCCGCTGGGTCGAGCTCCTCGACAAATTCAAATTTGTCCAAGAACGAACGCGCCGAGCCCAGGCCTCGCAACACCAGTCACTCGATGCAACGGATTCTCTACATAACCCGTCCCTTACTGCCGCCCTCTCGGCCGCGACTGCAGATCGTAGCAGAGATCGGACCGGTCTTCCAGACATCCCGCGAGGCATGGTCGGAGGTTCTGGGGCCATGAGTCCCGGCGTGGGAGTCGCAGGCCTAGGTGTGGCGGGTGGTAGTGGTGGAGGCCGTGCGCTTGAACCGAAAGTCAGCAATTCGTCGTCTTTGCTCGGATCAGGACATAAGCATAAGTCAAGTCTTCCGAACCTGGGCCGTTTAGGGATCGGAAGTCGCAAGTCAAAGAAATGAGATGGCAGGATCAATTGTTTACTTTACATATTGCGCATAGCGGTGGTTTTAGCAAATACCCTTCAACATCTGCGCTGGCAAGCAGCCCAGCAAAATACCTTCCTCGATTTTCTTTCTTTCCTTCCGTTCTTATTATACTTGAATTGTCATGTATCTGTTTCAAGTGCAGATGTAGATAGAATGTTTCTACCAAGATACTAGGAGCAGTTCTGGAAATGAACCAAAAATTTGATTCGATTCGATTCGATAGTCGAGATGAAATTTGGAAAGGCTATATGGACAGTGAAGAGATCAAATGCAGGTAAAAGCATAGACAGTAGAAGCGAAGAGAGAAAAGTGCTGGGAAGCAAGAGGCATCAAAATACATCGAGAAGCCATCCCACAATCCAAAAAGAAAGGTCCAGGTCAAACGAAATCCCAACTTTTAGGAATCGATATCGCCAACATCATATGCACAGGCGGGAAAAAAAATGGCGCCAAAGTGCAGAAAAAGGGGGATCGAGGTCGTCGTGCTCATCTTCGCAGGGACATCACGCGAAGTCGAGAAGAGGGCCGAAGCCGAACAGAACAGAACATAATGGAGCAAAGCAAAGCAAAACAGATCGAGCAGGGGAAAAAAGAAATTGGCTAATGCAGAAAGAAGAGTAGTCAAAGTTCCCACGGCGCCGGGGCAAAGCGAAGCGAGACAGAATTCATCAACAGCGACGGCGAGGATGTATTCATTCCTCCTCATCCTCACCGCAAGCGTGAATCGTTTGAGCCCCATCCGGATGGTCGCCAGCTCCCTGTTGAGTGTTTGGAGACGGTGCTGCCGGTCGGTGAATTGGTGCCGTTGGAGTAAACATACTCGCCATCAACATATTGCGCTCCGGTGGAGAAAGTGCTGCGGTGCTTGCGGCGGGCGTAACGCTGTTCGAGACGGTAGAGCTCGAGCTCTAGAAGACGAGAGGTTAGCTTATCGTCCCATTGTGCATTGATTACATGTTTGTTTCTTTTCTTCGGGAGGGTGTGTGTGGGTGTGTCGCGTGCACGTACTTGCTTGAAGCTTATCGATCAGACCCATTATGACGGTGGTTTTGTGTTTTGATTGAATAAGGATATATCTGATTCTCGCTCGTGAGTCGCTGGAATCGCCGGGAATTGCTGGCGACAATGCGTTGTTCTCGTTGTTGCTCCTATATATGCAAGTCGGACGATCGTTCCCACATGCAGAGCAGGGAATAGAGCTGTGGTCGCCGGCAACGGACGGAAGTTCAACACCACGTCACTAGACTAACCATGGGTTAGTGACATTCCAGGCATGGGAGGGGAATTGAATCAATGGATCGGGTCATTTCATACCAGTTCAATGTACGAAAGGAGGGGGAGAGGGGAGGCACGAGGGAAGCGGGACTTTTTCTGCGGGTGCCACAAGGAGGTTGGGAGGTAAGGAGAGGCGGGATTTAATTGTGATGTCTTCCCTGGGTTTAAGTTCAATGTAATCAAGAGAAAAGAAAAGAGTGGAATGGGGTTAGACCCGAAAAAAGAACGTGAGATGCAGAAAGAAGAAAACAAAAGGAACTTGAAGATGGAAGGTCGAGAATCACAGGAGAAAGGGGGAAGTGGGGAGGGACGGCTTGGCGTGGAGAGTTCCTGTCTGCGAGGACAGAGTTTACTACTGTTACTTTTACTCGCACTGACAGCTTTATGGAGTATGGATATTCGTCCAATCTATTCGCCACTGTTTCTATTTCCATTCGATCCCACGGTCCACTTCTTCCGTGTCTGAGTGAGAGAGAGTAGTACATCTCATCCTGTTTGTTTCTACAGTATGTTCTAGGCCCCCCCCCGCCAACGTTTCATCCTACTCCTCCTGCGCTAACAGTTCCTGCGCTATATGTGCGTCAGCGTCGCCCTAAACAACTTTGGGCTTAGGGTTTTAATCAAGAGAGGGACTGAGCGTACCGTTCCACAATTCCGCATACACGCCATCAAGCTCAAGAAGCTCGCGGTGCGATCCGACCTCCACCACTTCTCCGTCCTTGAGCACCAGAATCTGGTCGCTGTCATAGATCGTACGTAGCCGATGCGCAACAAACACACTCGTCCGACTCTTCTCGCGCAGAATGCTGTTGATGTTCTGTAGCAGAGCCTGCTCCGTATAGGTGTCCAGGGCCGAAGTCTAGATGTTCCCACCAATTACGGTGGCTGGTCAGCCACACGTCCACGAATTACGCATTCCCCCTCGGTTCTGTTCATACGAAACTTACCGCTTCATCGAAGAATAGTAGCTGGGGGTCCTTGAGCAGCAATCGTGAAATCGCTAGTCGTTGTTTCTCGCCGCCCGAGATCATCATCCCGCGTTCACCCACCGCGGTCTGATATCCGTCCGGCAGTCGCTCAATCAACTGGTGGATGCGCGCACGTTCGGCCGCCTGCCGAACCTCCGCGTCCGAAGCATCAATCCGTCCATATCGAATATTGTGCGCAATGGTATCATTAAATAACGGGGTCTCTTGGGGCACCACGCCGATCGCCTTCCGGAGGCTGTCAAGCGTTACGTCGCGAATATCCTGTCCGTCAATAAGGATTCGCCCCGACTGAGTGTCGTAGAAGCGGAATAACAGTCGCAGGATCGTTGACTTGCCGCAGCCGCTAGGTCCAACAATCGCGAACTTTGCTCCGGCGGGGATCGTAAAACTGGCGTTTTTCAGGATCGGGCGATCTGGGTGGTAGCCGAAAGTGACGTTCTCGAAGCGGATCTCGCCGCCGCGCTTCAATGCCAAGGGCTTTGCGTCAGGCTTCTCCTGGATTGTCACATTGACCTTTTGTAGGTTGAACAGCGTCTCCATGTCCAGCAGAGACTGGCGCAGTTCACGGTAGACAGATCCTAGGAAGTTAAGGGGCACAGATAGCTGGAAGACGAGCTGGTTGACCATAACCAGGTCACCTACCGTCAAAGCACCAGTCGCGACTCCGTCAGCGGCAAGGTACATCATGCCGGCGAGTGCACTAGAGAAGATCATGTTTTGACCTGAGTTGAGGAAGGCCAAGGAGGTTGTCACCTTGATCGATGCATCTTCGTAGTTTTTCAATGCCTTATCGTATCGAGCAACTTCGAACTTCTCATTATTGAAATACTTGACAGCTTCGTAGTTGATGAGCGAGTCGACGGCAACGGTTGCCCCGCGATTGTCAGCCGCATTGGCCTGGCGTCGGAATTTGGTTCGCCAGGCAGTTGTGGTAATTGTGAAGGCCGTATATGCAAGCATAGTTGAGACCGTGATGGCCGCAAACTTAGCGCCATATTGGTACGTCTAGAAGAAGGCATGAGGAGATGATCTCTGGCTAGTAGTGAGATGCAGAATGAAAGGCCATACCAGAATACCACACACGAGCGATATTTCAAGCGCTGTGGGAACGACATGGAAGACCATGGAGGTGAGCAAGAAGCTGATACCCTTGGTTCCGCGATCGATCGCCCGAGTCAAACCACCAGTCTGACGCGAGAGGTGGAAGCCAAGGTCCAATCGCAATAAGTGATCAAAGACATTTCCGGCAACCTTTCGAATGGCTTTTTGCGCAACGCTTGCAAAGACTGCATTGCGAAGTTCTTGGAAGAGAGTTGCACTAATTCGGGTTACGCCATCTAGAGAAGTCAGTTACGAGGAAAATCGTTTTCCACTTGACAGTAAGCCCATACAAGCAATTATCATGGAACCTGCAACAGTATAGGCAGTTCCACCAATAGCAGCAAAGTCCACATTCATGGAATCCACGATATTCTTGAAATAGAAAGGAATCTCGACGTTGAGGATCTAGATCTATCAGCATATATAGAGAACAGAAACAAAGTATTAGCAATCAAACATACCTTAGCCCCTATGAGCAGTGATAATGCTGATCCCACACGAAGCTTCGTGCCCCAATCATCCTATATATGGTCAATACTTCCATTTCCAACCAGACACGTACCATCAAAAGCCATACCTTCGGCCAGAGGTATTTGGCCATTTCGCGCAAAATCGCCCAGTCTGCCTTCCGTTGTTCTTGATTGGCCTTTGTCGACTCGCTTAGAAAGTCTTTCTTGGCCACAGCCTTCACTGTGCCATCTGGCTTCTCGATCGCTTTCGCATCGATGAGTTGCGACGCCGGCGGGGCGGGAGTCGGGATGGGATTGTTCTTCGCTGCGGCCAGGTCCTTGCCATCGGGGACCTTGTTGCGCAATTGGCTGGCGCAGGTGAATGCACGCAGTTGTATCTTATTGTGTCTTGTCCATGGTGACTGTCCGGCGAAGCTCGGATGTGCGAACCGCGCCGCCGGGCGCCAACATGGTGCCCGAGCTGCTTTGAGCAGCATTGGTATAATTTAGGGTGCTTGTTTGCCGCTGAGGATGGCTGGTATGGTCTTATTGTGCTCAAGGAAGCATAATGTAGCTCATACAAGGCGAATGGTATGTACAGCTCCCTACTGATAGTCCGCGGGGGAACCTGGAGAGCTGCCGGCTTCGGAGGAAACGATAGGGTCGGGTGGTTACGTTTGACCACAAGTGTCGGGAATAATCGAGGCAGTGAGAAAATAGAGATAAGGAGTAAAAATCGGGATCCGGCAGCGAAGAAAAGCAAAATCTCCGGTAGGAGCTTCAGTAGTCGTTGTCGCAATCGGCGGCGGGCGTGGTGTACTTTGGTAGTAGTTTAGTTTGGGGCTGCGGAGGACCTTCGGCGCCACGATTTCCCGACGCAATCGGCGGCTGCTTTGCGCATCAGCTCCAACTCTGACGTAAAGTCTATTTTCCTGCCATCACTCGCTCATTGTGTCTGGAATCATGCGTCCAGTCCTTCAGCGAAGTGTTCGGACTCTGTCTTGGACTCGAGTTGTCCCTCGTGCCTCCCGACACGCGAGATGCATCCAGATTCGCGCGACTCCCTCCGAAGAGCCCACGGTCAACGGGGACCACTTACCCCTCGCCAACACGCCTAGCTCGGCGGAATCTCGAGGTATGCTGTTACATGGTGAATTTCAGTACAGCCAGGTTGATCATGTACTAACGAACCGAATTAGATGCCCGGTTTGATGTTATCGGTGCGCCCTACTCGCTCCTTTCGGTCGCCCTCTCGCCCTCGCAAAATCTATACACGCGCCGCGGAACTCTGGTCGGATTGAGTGGAAAGGCAGACAATGTACGCAACGGACGAATTGGCAAAGTTTGTATATTGAAAGGCTGGGGCGTGCTAACTACCCATCACAGGTAGTTTCAACGTTGAGCGTTCTAGAACCCTTCCGCAGGGCTGTTGTCGGCACCCCATTCCTGTATCAGAAGGTGCGTCGCATGATATTCACTCACTCCTTACGGCGAACCGGCAATTGACGATATTCAGGTCTCCTCGGCGAGCCCAGTCACAGCCCTCATCTCCGTTCGTTCTCCAAATACCTCCTTCGCTGTGGTGAATCTTAATGGTTCTGTGGATTGGATGGTCGCCCAGCGGCGTGCATTGCTGGCATGGACGGGCCGGTCTTTGTCCATTAAGCCAACAATCAATACTAGCCTGGTATGCTACGCCCATATGCCATGAATCTGATATCGAATTGAGCTAATTTGCGAAGAGCTTGTCTCACTGGGGTAGTTCCGAAATCACCGGGCGAGGGTTGATGGCCCTTGTCGGAAATGGCCAGATATACTCTGTGGATTTGAAAGATGGCGAGCAGTATATTGCCCATCCTAGGTAATTTATTCGCGGTCGTGATGATTCCGTGTCAACGCTAATCCTTCGCAGCAACGTCGTTGCCTATACCATGTCCTCGAACCCACCTCGGCCTTATCGTTTCAAGTCCACAACCCTGAACTTCCAAGTTCCAGGCCTGAAGACCCTACCCAGACTTCTGCAGGGTAACAAGTTCATTCGTGACATGTCCGACTCGAACACATGGAAGAACACCATGAGCTTCCTTCACAAGCTTCGAACATGGTCTCGAATGACCATCTGGGGAGACAGGGTGAGTTTAATTCTGCCACATTTGTGACTGACTCGCACTAACATTTATGCCCTCTGTCAGCTCTTCCTTCAATTTGACGGACCCGCGACTGTTCTCGTGCAATCCCGCGGACCCCGCGTGAATGATGTTTTGTCCGGCCGCGAAGTCAACGAAATCGCTGACTCCCCTCGAGGACTGACCCGCTCCCCTCAGCAGGTGGAATCTCAATCAAGGAAGGAGGCGGAGACAGCAGTAAATGGTGTCCCGGAGATCGCTCGGTCAGTCGAGGACCTGAACCAGGAGATTGCGGGAATCAGCCAAAGCATTGCCAAGATCCGCAAGGACGGTAAGGTTGAGGTCGAAGAGGTTGGCCGCACCAAGGCCATCTAAAGGCTCCCTTCACAAGCTATTTCTTTGCATTGGACCTTTTTCATGGCCTAGAGGCGGTTTCTCTTTGACTGGTTTGCGACATCCTGTACAGTATCGTGAAAATCTTCGAATCTCGGCCATGTGTCGTTAGATCAATCATCATGTTTCCTTCGTTGAGATAATAGAGCTTCGGTGTATCGATTCTTAGGGTCGAGTATTCAAGTTGTATCAATATACGTGGTTGTGAAGAGACGGCATTGGTGGATTCCATACACGGTTCCTTGGCCTGTCTACAATCCGCCGACAAAAGTCGGCTTATGTTGTATTGAGATACTTCTGGGAGTCTCTGTATCTAGATATATCTAAAGAGCCGACTTCTGCAATCCACTGAAAACATCATCAATGAAGTTCAACGCTTTAACATACGCCTCCTTCGAACGACTCGAAACCACCGACGTGGGATCAGTCGAGAACGCTTCCAAACCATGGGGTCCATCCTCAACAAGCAAGAGTTCCGACTTCACTCCCAGAATTTTCAACTGCTCATGCTGATCAATACTTTCCTGGGGAGGAACAACCTCATCTGCAGTCCCATGCACCAAAATAGAAGGTGGATAAGAGTCGTCCACGAACGACTGCAAAAGACCCGACTTCAGGTCCGAAGGAAACGCCGCAGCTCGTTGCTCATAGTCCATCGTGTCCAGAGCTCTACCGAGGCCATCTCGCCCGAAGATACCATCCAGCATCGTTCCGGAAAGTTCCCAGTGCACTGTGAGTGCGAAACGTCGCGATAAAGGCCCTCCTACGGACACGTCGTCGCTGACAACTGTCTTGTCTGCTAGAAGCTCTGGGACAGCGTTCAGGTCGACAAACTTCGCAATGGATGTCGGTGGGCGGGCGCGTGTCCAGTGATCTGAGAAGGACATTTCCACCGAGTCCGTAGACGGAGATCAGTGCGGCAGGCTTAGGGTTGGCGTATATGCATGCTGCGCGGGCTGAGTATGCGCCTGCTGAGAACCCGCTGACGGCGATACGGGTGGAGTCTAGGGTGGTGGAATCTGGTAGGATGTTGTTGAAATACGTGCTGGTAATAAATTGGAATAAATTCTTTGCGTCCTCAATTTGATCGAGAGCTGTGGTAGGGTGGCAGAGACGGTAATCTGCCGAGATGAAGATGTAGCCTTCCTCCTGGCAGTGGGCTTTTTTTCAGCGTTCGAGAATGGATTAGTTCGGTGGATAATTCACTATCTCTGGTATTCAATTTATTCAATTACACACCAAGTAGCCAGTGAGGGAGGCCGCCCCCGCGGCGTGAACCTGCCGTCATGCCGCCGCCATGGTAGTAGATCACCGCAGGTAAAGCCCCATTGGCACGAGGAAGGTAATAGTCAAGCTTGATCTCATGATCACCGACTGTGGAGTAGACCAGAGTTTGGCCTCCTTCCGGCAATTGTTGGTTCATCGTGGGAATGATATTCGAGATTGAGGATTGAGGGGAATGTTGGATGTCCCTCGGTCTGCTGGAGGGGTTGACATGGCTGGATAAAGTCATTTCCGACCACTTCGTTATAAAAGCTTCCCCACAAAGTTTTGGCGTATATGAAATGCCAGTGCTGTTTCTTTTTTCTCCAATGAGTGTCGACAGCTTCTTTCACAATGACTCGAGTGGGGAAAGAAATCTTTCCACATGCATCCCATCACTACTACCTAATGCTGATATGGTGATGTATCGGAATAGGACTGAATGGTAGAACATATTATATTAAATAATCTATACTCCGGAAGATAAACAAAAAGCAAATGCATCATCTCGATTGCAACCAGAGATAGCCACAAGGTAAAAAGCAAAGCACATCTAATCAGTTCCCCGGGGCGACCGTGGGGCGTTAAGGTTATCAGATCTCCCTTTTCCAGAAAATAAAAGTGAGCTTCGAGCTATGCAATTGGATAAATGTATGCTTGAATAGTCACGTTTCTCTTTTTTCTCCGGCAAATCTTGAATGATTTCACATGTTCACACCACACCACGCCACCATTGGAAAGGACAGGGAAACCCTGCTCACTTATCTACTTTGCCTGATACAAGCAGTTCGGATTTAACATCGGAGGTCATGACTTTTTAAGGTACGGATCCGAGAGGTCCGCCCAAAATTGTGTGCTCCAGTTCGCCAATCCCTACTTTTTGGGGGTTAGACCCGATACGAAGACCGTGCTCGGCGTTAGCTTGACGCGAGGCCGAGGGTCCGCGATGACCTTGTACATCGAACTACTTTTACCCTGGCTATATGGCCAGCATTTCCCCAGGTCTCTTCAAGTATCTGTTCACGACTCAAAACTCTGGTATTTTCCCGGCTTTTAATGTTTAGAGTTCCCGTCGATTTTGGTTGCCGTGGAACAATCCTAAAGGCTTTCTTCATCTCTCCTACTCTCTGGATTCGAAGACATCCCTGAATTTTGATTTGATTCTCCGTTCCCTGTTTTCATACCCTGTCTTCTCTTCTCATCTGCTTCTTCTGCTAAAATTCGATACACCGATCTGCCTTACCCCAGGGTTTCTTACATTCACACCCGCTTAGTATACACCCGCCATCATAACCACCACCACCACACTACTTGCTTGTCGCACAAGTAACCAGTGATTGCCGTCTTGTGATTTCAGGCCAAACGATACAAATTACTTCAACCAGATTGAGAGCCGTGTCCGAGATCAAGAGACGGTAGTGGGTTATGGCCGCCTCAAATCGTGATCAGGACCTCCCATCCATCGCCAGTACGACCACCAACGCCATATCTTCGGAACATTCCACCCCTGCCATGAGCGTGCAGCTTGACGATGACTTAGAGAAGGGGACACACCAGTCACACCAGAAGAAGGGAACAGAACTCGTCGCCTCAGAATCTCCCGATACCATCCCCAAATCCTCGGAGAAAACTATCCAAGCCCAAGCCTCAGACTCACCAGGACCTCCACCTCCAGGACCCCCGCCAGATGGAGGTTTTCAGGCATGGATGACCGTACTGGGAGCTTTCTGTGGTTTATTCGTCAGCTTCGGGTGGATTAATTGTAAGTACCAGTGTATATCATCGGGATGTGGACAAACAACAGCCCCACTCACATTTCCATAGGTATCGGTGTTTTCCAAGCATACTATGAAAGAAACCAATTGAGTCATCTCACTCCTAGCACGGTGGCCTGGATCCCGTCTCTCGAGACTTTTGTCATGTTCTTTGCTGGTCCACTATTTGGTACCCTGTTTGACAACTATGGACCACGATGGATCTTGCTCGCGGGGACTTTCCTCCATGTCTTCGGTCTCATGATGACCTCCCTCTCATCAGAGTACTATCAATTCATTCTCGCCCAAGGTATCTGCAGCCCTCTTGGTGCTAGCGCTATCTTTAATGCCTCAATCAACTCTGTCAGCGGCTGGTTCGCGAAGCGCCGAGCCTTCGCGCTCGGCGTCACGGCCTCAGGATCTAGTTTGGGAGGCGTGATCTTCCCAATCATGGTATCAAAACTGATTCCACAAGTCGGTTTCGGCTGGGCGATGCGTATCTGCGCATTTCTAGTCCTCTTTATGTTGGTGATTGCCAATGTCACCCTTAAATCAAGGTTGAAACCGCAGAAGAAAGGATTTGACGTGATGAACTTCATTCGCCCACTTCACGACATCAAATTCGTCTTGACTGTTGCTGCGGCTTTTTGCTTCTTCTGGGGCATGTTCTTGCCCTTTACGTTTGTTATTACCTCTGGAGAACGGTATGGCATGTCACAGAACATGTCTCAATATCTCATTCCGATTCTGAACGCAGCTAGGTAAGGCATATCCCCATCTCCAAGTCCATTGCTCTTCTTGCGTGATCAATCTCTAATAACCACCAGCATTTTCGGCCGTACTCTTCCAGGATATCTGGCAGACCGTGTAGGCCGGTATAACGTAATGATCGTTTTCAGCTATCTCTCCGGAATCCTCGTGCTGGCCCTATGGCTTCCGTCTCGCGGCAATGCCCCCATAATAGTATTCAGCGCACTGTATGGTTTCGGCTCTGGAGCGTTCGTCTCTCTTGCACCCGCACTAATTGCTCAAATCTCCGACCTCCGCGAAGTTGGCATTCGCAACGGAACTTGCTTCTCGATTATTTCGATAGCCGCACTGACAGGCTCCCCGATTGGTGGAGCATTGGTCCCGGATATGCTGCATGGCTCATATGAAAAGCTGCAGATTTTCAGCGGTGTGGTTATGATAGCCGGTGCAACGCTGTTCATTGCTGCGCGGATCGTTGTTGGAGGTGTTAATTTGAAGAAAGTTTGATATGTATCTTGTCTTGTCAGTCGGGAAGCAAAAAAGCCGATCTATTGAAAGTGCCTTAGTAAAAAGGCGAATATCGGGGTTCGTTAGAGACAGCAAATATAACTTGAAATCTTGCAAAAGATTTTCAATTGAAATGCAGAAAGTACTTCGGAACTTGAGTTTCATTTCAATCTTAGATAACTCCACGCCTGCATGCAGCTGGCCATAACAAAACGCCCCAGCACCGTCGCTGAAGGAAGATGCATATATCAAAAAAAAGTCACCAGATGCCCGAGTTTAAAATGCCGAAGGCCGAAAGATGCAAACATAAATAGCAATCAGACCAACACCCCGCTACGCATGCTCTCAACGGTACGAACACCCACCCCCTTCAATGTACTCAACTCTGCCAGGCTGCTCAGTTGGAACTGAGGCTGGTCGGAGATCATCTCCATATCATCAGTGCTCACCGATGACTGGTCCATCTCACAGAGACAGTCAACGATAGCTTCCGCCTTCTTCATACCGACTCCCTTCAATAACTGGATCTGGCTCACATCGCGCGAGTTGATAATCGACAGTAGGTGGATCGTCTTAGGCGAGACGGTGGGGTCAAAGTCGTCGAGAGCATTGAGATCGAGATCGTTTTGATGAAGAGACTCCGTGTTACGCTTCTTCTTAGGACGAGGCCCATCCATGAAGCTGCTTTCGTCATCCGAGATGACATCCGTAGTCTGCTCCATGTAGGACTCATCTTCTGCTTGACGCTTTCCAAGAGTGAGGGTAGGCTCCTTCTTCAGGGAGAGCATGCTTCCGAATCTACCCTTGGGGGGAGGGGATGCGGGTGTGACGGAAGGCCGAGCCGAAGGCTTCCCTTGCATACGCTCTTTCAGAGCAGCAATCTTGGAGACCAGCTTCTCGTTGTGAGGGAAATGAGGTAATGCGAGTTGATACATTTTGAGAGCGGAACTATTCTCGCCACGGGCCTGGTGCTGCTTGGCCATGAGGAGATAGGAAAGCCCCTCTGCGCGTGCATCTTCAGTTCCTTCAATGCGCTGTTCTAACTGGGCCAGACGGAGTTGGAGCTGGTCGTTCAGCTCCTGTACCTGATTCTGACGCGACTGCTCGCTGACAGCTCGGACTGCGAGCATCTCTTCAACTTTTTTCTCCACCATCTCCTCAATTTTAGCTGCAGAAAGGTCACCAAAGCTAGGCTCGGACGGGATGGGGGCCAGTGTCTGACGCGGCGGCTTGATTGAGCGCATCGTGGGCCCATCGGCGTAAAAAGACGTTCTCTTGGGTGGCTCAGGCTTCCGGATCTGCGTGAGAGGTTTATGTTGTGGTCGGTCAGAGAACACACTGAAAGCCTTCAACGGCTTTTCCTCGTCTTTCTTTGCCGAATCCTTTGCGACAGGAGCAGGCATGTTCACATTGACTGTTGCAGTAAGAGGGCGCAACGGCTGACGAGAGGCTGCCATAGAAGGTCGCATGGATGGCCTGGCAGGTCCTTTGAAGATCGGATCATTCTCAATTTCGCGCACTTCGATCTTCCTGGTACGGTTGGCGACACTCAGGGAACTGATTGTGTCCAAATGGTACGATCGTACTGGGGCCAGGTTGAGAATCATCACAGTAAGGCCGTTGTTCTGTCCGAGTGACAGGATTCGGGTCATCTTTGACTCGCGGTACGGAATGCGGTGCTGCTTTTTGGTGATTGCCTCGACGCACTGGGCAAGAACGAAAAGACTCTTGTTGATACTGGCCGACTCCACCATGCGCTCCTTGTCATTCTCCGTCCGGCGATTGTCCTCCGAGCCTGCAAGATCAATGGCAGAGGCTTTGCTGATGATGGTCTTGTCCGAGGAGTTGATGGCGATCTTCACGCCAAGGATTGCATGCGAACGAGAGGAGTGGGCGTTCAACTATAAAGACATTGTGTTAGCCATTGCAGTCGCGCTCTTGGATTTGAATGAGGCATACCTTAGTGGCGGAGGTCGACCGGTTGTTGTTCGCTTGGTCGTAAAGTCCTTCGAACTCCTTCAGATTTGTGCAGGGCTTCTCGGTCAGCCCGCAAACCACTGTCTTGCCGCCGTTGTCCCGTAGTGGAAGGCCGGCCAGGGTGCGCTTCTCTGGTGGTTCAAACAAATCGTACACCTTGTCATTGTAGATCTCGTAGTAGCTCAACAAGACCTTCACCGTTGTTTCGCCGTTGGTATCCTTTTCGATTTTCCGACTGCGCCTGTAGATACCGCTCAGGAGACGCGGGATCACACCTCTGTCTGCAAGGCTTTTACCGCCGCGCATGGTATGTGTTTTCCCGGTTCCAGTAACCCCGTAGGCGAAGAGAGTGACATCGAAACCATTGAAGAGGTGTTTGATGGTGGGCGCCACTGTGACAAACGATCAGTATCCTTTCCCTTGATGTTGATCGCAAGTCTCCAAGCGAAGGTGTATCAGGAGCCTACCTTCCGCGTCAAAAAGCTCCTGCTGCACCACGTCGGAATCGTACACGGCATTGAAATTGAAGGTGTATTCCTCGCCCTCGTTTTTGGGGTTGGGGATCCGCACGACGTTATCTCGGTCTCTCAAGGCGGCCAGCTTTCGGTCGCCATTTTCGGTCTCTCGCAGTTTGGCCTCAGTGGTGGTGGCAGATGTACCGGTACGAACAATGACATCGAGTTCTCGCTCGGACTTGAGAAGAGGTCGGACACGCGCAACGACTCGGACGCTCATGATGGCTGCTCGAACATTCACGTTTCTTGAAACAGGGTATCGCGAAGGAAAAGAAGGCGTCGAAATGCGAGAACGCGATGCGAACAAATAAGAAAAGACAAGAGAAACCCAGAAAGTCCTCCAACAAGAAAAAAAAACTACCTACCTATGGGTGAAAGTCGGTCGAGGGGTCGTGAAGTGGAGTGGAGGTGTTTGCTGCAGTTCGCAGCGTTTGTGGATGGGCCACGGGCGAGTCGGAGAGGGTTGGCACGACAACCGTTGGTATCCTCCAGACGCTTGTCATTTTAGATGCCATGTATAATGACGACTAGCTTCTTGTGGAATTTGGATTATACCATTTCATGTATATTATATACTAGTATCTCATTAAATTCAAACGGTCAAGTTTGCATATATTGAGTTCCAAAGCCGAGGTACACGGAGTACTACTATGTCGGGCTGTTGATATATTTCTCGATCAGTACCTACTACTACTACTACTACATCGAGTACCACCATTGGCAGTGCTTGAATACTGTATACCTACCTAGTACTAAACATGAAATCACCCTTGATATCTGCAATGACCAGCACATTCAAATAAAACCCAAATATTTAATATCTGATATTTAATTTCTACATGACTAGTGTAGGCCGAGTCTGCACTCTCACATGCGGCCCCGTGATTGGCTGATCAGCCACAGCTTTAGTGTGAGGTTGTGGCCACCTTCCATCACCGCCTCTCCGTGCTTAACCCCCCCTCGTGGTGTCCTCGAGGTACGCGAATCCCACTCATTACTAGAAGCGATTTCATTTGGATCTCCTGCTCATCGCGGATTTCATCTTCCCGCTTCTACCTTCCCCTGGCCATTGCTTACGCTGATTGTGGGGTTCTAGCGAAGCTGTCAACCCGCGCCTGTACCCCCCCCGACCCCCCATTATCAACTCTCATCACCCGCCGTATTCTCTCCCCCCCCAAGGAACTCCATCCGGTGATCTTCGACCGCAGTACACCTCCATGTCCGCTCCACAAGGGGACTACCCTCCCCAGGAAGGGTATGCCCAGCCGGCTTATGGCTCTCCGGATCCCGCACAGTCACCCGTCCCCCCGCAAGGAGCGCCCCCAGCTCAGGCCGGCAAGAAGAAGAGAGCGTACGCTGGTGAGGCATTCGAGTTTGGATCTGGTGCCAATGCTGCGCTCGGGGGACAACCCACCGCGGGCGGTGCCTATGGCGCATACCCTCAACAAGCGCAGCCTGTCGGATATCAGCAACCAGCACCAGCATACGGAGGAGCTGACCCCAGCCAGATGCAGCAGGCCCCGCCAGCACCAGCATATGGCCACCAGGCGTCTGGTAGCATTTCGGGCATGACCCAGCAATTTGGCGCAATGGGAATGTCGGAGCCGCACCATGTTCTTCCTCCTCAGCAGCAACAGCCCGCCGCTGCGGCTCAGCGCCCAGTTCAACTAAACACCCTCTACCCGACAGATCTCATTTCGCAGCCATTCAATGTCGCCGAGTTGGACTACCCTCCTCCTCCTATTCTCTTGCCCCCGGGTGTATGTTGATGACCTTTGACCTACGTCTCATGGACAAATAAGATGCTAATGGCCCTTCTAACAGACCAGTGTTTTCCCCTCCCCCGAAGCCAATTGCCCGACTAAATACATGCGCTCTACCCTGAATGCGGTCCCAACCACCAATTCTTTGCTCAAGAAATCAAAGCTCCCGTTCGCCCTAGTAATTCAGCCATACGCTTCGTTGCACGACGCCGAGGACCCTATCCCTGTGATAAGCGACCAAGTTATTTCCCGATGCCGCCGCTGTCGGTCTTATATCAACCCTTTCGTTACATTCCTCGACCACGGCCACCGCTGGCGTTGTAACATGTGCAATTTGACCAACGATGTGCCCCAGGCATTCGATTGGGATTCGACTCTGCAAAAGCCGGCTGATCGGTCATTGCGCTCGGATCTGAACCACAGTATGGTGGAATTTATTGCCCCCCCAGGAGTACATGGTTCGCCCGCCGCAGCCCCTCGTCTACACTTTCTTGATCGATGTGAGCTATGCATCCGTCACTAGCGGTCTCTTGGCTACTACTGCTCGTACGATCAAGGAAAGCCTTGATCGCATCCCTAATGCGGACCGACGGACTAGATTGGGCTTTATTGCGGTGGACTCCAGCTTGCACTTCTTCAGTATTCCCCGCGATAACTCTGGAAGCTCTGAGCCTAGGATGCTTGTGATTAGCGACCTTGATGAGCCTTTCCTGCCTACTCCCAATGACCTCCTGGTGACCTTGAGCGAAAGTCGGGAGAACATTGAGATCTTCCTTGACAAATTGCAGGATATGTACCAGGATACCCAGAACAGTGGCTGCGCCATGGGATCGGCTCTCCAGGCTGGTTATAAGTTGATTTCTCCCGTCGGTGGAAAGATGACCGTCCTCAGTGCGACACTACCCAACCTTGGAACGGGTGCTCTGACTATGCGTGAGGATAAGAAGGTTTTGGGCACAAGCAAGGAATCAAGCCTTTTGCAAACCGCCAGCGCTTTCTACAAGAGCTTCGCCGTGGAGTGCTCTAAGGCCCAGGTGTCTGTGGACATGTTCCTCTTCTCATCCCAGTACCAAGACGTGGCATCTCTCAGTTGTTTGCCAAGGTACACTGGAGGTCAAACTTACTTCGAACCTGGGTGGTCAGCGACTCGCCCGGAGGATGCAATGAAGTTCGCACGCCAGTTTTCCGACTACCTTTCATCTGAAATCGGTCTGGAGGCTGTTCTCCGTGTTCGTGCTACCACAGGTCTGCGGATGAACACTTTCTACGGAAATTTCTTCAACCGAAGCTCTGATCTGTGCGCCTTCCCTGCTTTCCCTCGCGACCAAGCATACGTCGTCGAGGTGGCGATCGACGAGACCGTCACCAAACCTGTCGTCTGTCTGCAAGCTGCCGTCCTCCACACTACTTGTAACGGCGAGCGCAGGATCAGAGTCCTTACTCTTGCTTTGCCAAGCACTAACAACCTTGCCGACATCTATGCTTCTGCCGACCAGCAGGCCGTGGCCACCTTCTTCAGCCACAAGGCCGTTGAGCGTGTCCTGAGTAGCGGTCTCGAGCCAGCTCGCGAGGCCTTGCAAGCGAAGATGATCGAGCTCTTGACAACTTATCGCAAGGAGCTTGCTGGCGGCAGCGTCAGCGGCGGTGGTCTCCAATTCCCAGCCAACCTGCGTGGCTTGCCTGTCCTGTTTCTGGCGTTGATCAAAAACGTAGGTTTTCTCATTCTCTTCCTATCCCCGGCCCTCTGATCCACCTCCCTTGGATGCTAATTCCTTTCTAGCTTGGACTTCGCAAGTCTGCCCAAATCCCCACCGATATGCGGTCCGCCTCTTTGTGCCTTCTGTCTACGCTACCCCTCCCATTGCTCATCCAATACATTTACCCCAAGCTTTACTCGCTGCATGACATGCCTGACAACGCCGGTTTCCCGGACCCGCAAACTGGCGAGATTGTCTTGCCGCCGGCCACCAACCTGTCCTCTGGTCGTCTGGTTTCGTACGGTCTCTACTTGATTGACGACGGACAAACCCAGTTCCTGTGGGTCGGTCACCAGGCGGTCCCGCAGCTGATCGAGGATGTCTTTGGCGTGCCGGACAAGAGCCAACTGCGGGTGGGTAAATCCACGCTCCCGGAGGTGGAGAATGAGTACAACCAACGGGTACGGGCCGTGATTGAGAAGAGCCGTGACCACAAATCCAAGGGTGCCGGGTCCATCATCGTCCCCCATCTGTATGTGGTGCGTGAGGACGGTGAACCGGGACTGCGTCTCTGGGCCCAGACGATGTTGGTGGAGGACCGCGCCGACCAGAGTGTCAGCCTGGAGCAGTGGATGACGACACTGCGGGAGAAGGTATGAGCTGTTTTCATTCTCGATTTCTTTCCTGGAGATGAAGTGAGTCTGTATCTGACACCATGCAGGTCGTGCAGTGATTCTGGAACGATCTCATCCTACCACGATCATGATTATGGTCATGTCCATGGGGTGTATTTCGAATGAACTCGATCTATCTCCCTTGTACCAAATAGAGCTCGGACCTCGGGGGGAAGGGGGCAGATATTTGGAATGTGAATGGAGTAGAGGGGGAAGTATAACATTTACGAATAGCTTGTTCCCGAAAATGATATTATTTCTTTTATTTGGTTGTATGATTTGACATGGGTTAACATTAGTAGTAGACCCAGCTGGATGGGCCCAAGAACCACAGGCAATAGCCCAAAGATAGCACGCCAATAGCGCGCCCGTATTGAGTGGTGAAACCAGGATGGCCCAGCGGGTGCCAATCAGGGCTTCCTCAGGTTCACGACGGAGTGCGCAGTGGAGCCGGCGAGTCACTGTGATAGTGACCAGCTCCGACAGTAGCGTCGTGTTTCGAGCATTTGGCGCTGGTGGCTTCAGCGATGTCGATCGGACTGACACTGACATACTGACATGTACAGTACACAGTACTGAAGTATCTAATATTGTACTATCTACTGTATCTACTGTAGTGACTATAGTTATACTACTACTAGTAGTACTGTACCTCCTCCTACCACGGCACCTGGTGGAGCCCCGAACCTTGTAAACAACCACCTCCCCCCAGACTCCCAAACCCCAAACTCGCACACTTCCAGTCTTCCAGTCTTCCAGCCCCAACCTGAAACCACAAATCACAAATCACTGGCCTGACCCTACTGCCCGATCGTCAATCTTTACGACACAGTAGCGCTCCACCGACTCTCCCTACCCCTGATCGCAACCAAACAGCTTCCTGCCCCACCATCCTGCGGTGGCTGAGTCCCATTTGCTCTTCTCCCCACCTTCTTGCCAGCCGTGAACCTCATTCTGAACCTGGAACCTCTTGGATTCTCGGATACATCTTTCACTTAACATCTCCAACCTCTCTCTTTCATCCTTTGACTCAGTCTCTCGTGAGTTCACTCGCCATCCGCTTCCCGCCTCGGCTCTGTTGACCTGTCTAACCCGCCCAGACTTCCCGAAACCCCTCCATCTCCGCCATTCCCCTCCTATCCCATACTGGCGCAGAGCTCGGTCTCTCCTTTCTCCCTTTCTCCATTTCGCCTGAACCCTACCCCTGACTCGCATCGCTCAATTATTTCTCGACTTTCGAGCCTGGCGCCCGAATTCATCGACCATCGTCAACAGTCCGCGACTGGCAAAGGATTAAAACTACACCCATTCACCCCCGCGCAAACAAATAGGTAAGCTCTGCTCCAGGCCTCTCTCATGACGGAAAAGCGGCGCCATTTGAATTCCACCTAGTGGCGCTGGAGCTGTCTCTGGAGCACTTTCGTTTGGAAGCTTCTATGCCTCTTCAGATAAATGGCTCCAGATCGACCCACCAGGCCCATCTCTAGGACCACTGTAGTGCGCTGCAGTATCCTTCATGACACCAGATGGATCGACTCAAGGCCACCCGTCTCTCGCGCATTATTTTTCGGTTAGAGACATTGGTTCAAAAGGCTAACCATCACAAACAGCATCTCAGAGTCGGCGTCATGGGTCAACAGAACCCCCCCAGCGGGAGGATCGCGGAAGATTTCCTTCAATGTGTCCGACCAGTATGAAATTCAGGATGTGATCGGTGAGGGTGCTTACGGCGTGGTCTGGTAAGTATTCAACCATCTTCTCTGGTCGATGGAAATCCCCCCCCAAGCTCATATTATCTCAGCTCCGCCATCCACAAGCCGTCTGGCCAGAAGGTCGCCATCAAGAAGATTACCCCGTTCGACCACTCCATGTTTTGTCTGCGCACACTCCGTGAAATGAAGCTGCTGCGCTATTTCAATCACGAAAACATTATCTCCATCCTGGATATCCAACGACCTCGCAATTACGAGGGCTTCAACGAAGTGTATTTGATTCAGGTGCGCATGTGCAATGGCAGAGTAGCCAAGAAGGATATTTGATGGGAATTTCACTAACCCAATCCCAGGAACTCATGGAGACTGATATGCACCGAGTCATTCGCACACAAGACCTGTCGGACGACCACTGCCAATACTTTATTTACCAAACCCTGCGGGCGCTCAAGGCCATGCACTCGGCCAACGTTCTCCACCGTGATCTGAAGCCTTCCAACCTCCTGCTCAACGCCAATTGCGATCTGAAAGTCTGCGACTTCGGTCTGGCGCGGTCCGCCGCGTCCACCGACGACAACTCCGGATTCATGACGGAATACGTTGCCACTCGTTGGTACCGTGCCCCGGAAATTATGTTGACATTCAAGGAGTACACCAAGGCCATTGATGTATGGAGTGTTGGCTGTATCCTGGCCGAGATGCTCAGTGGCAAGCCTCTGTTCCCCGGAAAGGACTGTACGGAAGCATATAACCCCCCTCGGGAACTTACACTAGCTAACACATGATTTAGACCACCACCAGCTAACCCTGATTCTGGACGTCCTCGGTACCCCCACGATGGAAGATTACTACGGCATCAAGTCCCGAAGAGCACGCGAGTACATTCGCTCCCTCCCTTTTAAGAAGAAGATTCCCTTCCGGGCTCTCTTCCCCAAGAGCAACGACCTGGCCTTGGATCTGCTTGAGAAGCTGCTGGCCTTCAACCCAGCCAAGCGTATCTCCGTCGAGGACGCCCTGCGCCACCCATATCTGGAGCCGTACCACGACCCTGAGGATGAGCCGACGGCGCCGCCCATCCCGGAGGGATTCTTCGATTTCGACAAGAACAAGGATGCTCTGAGCAAGGAGCAATTGAAAGGTATGGTATCGCACGTTTTCCCAGAAGGATCACCCCCTGACTAACGACTTACCTTTCAGTGCTTATTTACGAGGAAATCATGCGGTAAACAAAGCAAGTGTCAATATGGGAGTGGTTTTCAAGCATGCAATCCAATCAAATCCAATGCAATCAAATTCAGTCAGCGATCGCCATAGTTAGATAGGCCTGGATAGCAATTCACGAGCGATCAGCAATGTTCATCAGATACAACATAGTATTCGCTTGGACCCATATATACTTATAGTCTATAACAGATATCATGATAGTAGCAGTAACTACGAGTAAGTACAAAGCAGAAGGGGTCACAACCAGAGAGTACTATACAGTCTAGCATCAGTTATTCAATCCCTCCATGAATCTCCGAATTCCCTCCGCAACACCTTCAGGATTAGGTTTCTCCGCACAAACATCCGGCTCAAAGCCAAACTTATTCCTTAAATGGTCTCGCGTCGTAGGCCCAATAGTCGCAACAAAGACCTTCCTCTTTGACCTATCTTCTCCCGCAGCCGCAGCCGCAGTCGCAGCCGTAGCAAACGGTCCAAGTTGTAGTACCCTCAACATTGCCTCGCATCCCGACGGCGAAAATACCACAACCCACATAGCTTCTTCCCCATTACACCCTTGCACATGTGTCTTGAAATCCGTCTCAAAGGAATCCATTTCACCAGTCTCATAGACGACGATTTCATGGACATCAATGCGCTTTGAATCCGGGAGCGTAGGGTCCATGAGTGTCTTTGGAATAATATCTCGACGCTGTTCCCCAACTAGGAAGAGTAACCCCGGTTTTGGCACAGGATGCGACGAAGTGGAGGAATTTGCAGAAGCGCCCGTTTTCTGGAGATCATTATAGTGGTCCAGCATCATGTAAGCCAGATTCTCGCCCGTGCCGGTATCTGCGCCGTGAATCGTGCTGGTGGGGAGATACTTGTCGCGGAGAGTGGTGAGGGTTCGGGCTGTTGCGGGACCGACGGTATAGAGGGGAATTGAGGGGGTGGATGGAACTATTTATAAGTGAAGAGATCTGGTAAGCTTCTTTCTTTGCTGTGATTTGAGCAGCCACTTCTTTCTCGGGTGTGAAACATACGTCCATGTTCTTCAATCATATGCGCGAATCCCTCCACCGCGCGCTGGCTGGTGAATATCATGCCTCCATATCGCTTTGAGGGGACCACTGCCACTGAGTGTTCATTGGTATTTATTTGTGTGGGGTTGGTATCCTCTGCCTCTGGGTTGAATGCGCCGGACGCAAAGAGTTCGCGGACATCGGCGAGGTTGGAGGTGTGGAATCGGTGTTCGAGGACGGGCACGAAGGTTGGGGTGTAATTGTTTGCGGAGAAGTAATCGTCATAACCGTCGTTTGGAGAAGATCTAGTCTTCAAGAGGAGGATTGGGGGTGCCATTGTGATGTGTAATGAGGTTGAGGTAGGAGGTTCAAAGGTGGAAATGTCCCACTGCGGGATTGCGGGGCGGAGCTCCATTGGAAACTTGAAGTTATGCCGAATGTCCGAGTCCTCGCTGCCATGGGGAGAGTTGGCTTACTCGCGACTGAACAACTTGCAGTGATAGGTAGCTGATACTTATTACAAGGGAAGCTCGATTTGGGTAAAAAGAAACACAAGGAAATTGACTTCTAGGATGGCTTATGTACATATTGAAACAAACTACTGGTCGTCCAGCACGTGGAGATACTTCTTCTCTTCCCGGCGCTCCTTCTCGGTCATGGGAGGCAGGTCGTAGTAGGCGGACTTACGGTAACCTTTCTATGAGGTTGTTAGTTTTCCACGCAATACCGCTAAGCTCTGAGGTTGAGGAGGCACTTACCAGATACTCGAAAATCAGGTCGGTGACCTCAGGAGTCTTTTCAATGCCCAGATCCTTGAAGGTCTTGGCCGTGGGGTCAATGACCTGGTCGTGGAACTCGCGCTCAATCTCATCGGCGGACACGGTGGGCCACCAGATAGCCTTGTTAAGGTAGTAGGCGGCGGGCTTGGCGATGAACTTGGGGATATTGAGGGGGGTACGGTTCTTAACGATCTCCCGCTCAACAAGCTCGGAAAGTTCGGCCATGGAGTAGTTGGTAGGGCCGTAAAGCTCAAAAGTCTGGCCAACGGTGCTCTCGTCGTGCAGCATCAGCTCAAGGGCGTGTCCGACTTGGGGGGCCTGTAGGGGGTAGGTTAGTAAAATCCACATGGAAGTCATATTTGACAACTTACGTGGACGGGCCAGAAGCGCTCCTGCATGCTGTTGGCAGTGAAGACGTGAGTGAAGCGAGCGAGCTTGTGAAGGAGGTTGTCCTCGAATCCGAACATCGGGGCGGGGCGAACAATGGTCGTCTCGGGGTAGATGTTGCGGACAACTTCCTCACCCCAGGCCTAGAAAATGGTAAGTGCCCGTGCAAGAAACGCAAGACAAGTCAACCAACCTTGGAGGCCCAGTACTCGGAGGGCGAGTCGCGGCTGGCGTTGTAGGATGAAACGTGGATGAAGCGATCCACATCGTATTTGGCGACAGCCTCGGCGATGCGCTCCGCACCGTCAACGTGAACGTCAGTGTAGGAGAAGTTCCTGATTTGCTGTCAATATATTGCCACCATCTGGCAGATGACGCATCAACACTCACTTTGTGGGATGTTGGCGGCCGACAAGGTTGTAGACAACGTCGGAGTGACGAACACTCTCTTCGATGGACTGGGTGTTACGCAGGTCGTATTCCTATATACAATCAGAACGGGTCCAGCTTTGGTGTCTAAATTTGGCAGGCGAAATCGCATACAAGGAAGGTAACACGTCCAAGATCACCGGTGACCTTCAAGTGACGCTTGGCCATCTCCTCTCGGTAAGGAATCACGACATTGCATCCCTGGGAAGCTGCGGGATGTTAGCTGACTATCCATTGAACCCCGATTATTGGCGCTTCTGGACGTACCAAGGCGGTTGACGATGTAGCGACCGAGCATGCCAGTGGCACCGAAGACAGTCGCAGTGTGACCTGGAATTGAATGAGCATTGTGGACGAAAGGTAGGATCGAAGCGCAAGGGTTAGGTACCTCCGAGGGAAGAGCTGTGGAGAGCAAGGCATTAGCAAACAATCGTTTTCATATCGGAAGAGAAGCGCCATTGAGTACTTACCGGCCACCCTGGACCTTCAGGATAGGTCGACCGGTGCGGGAAATGGCAACGTCCTGGATGTTGCGGCGCTGGAACTGAACCTGCACGCGCGGGATGGGGGTAAAAGCCCGCGACCCGAGGGCCGACTGAATGGTCCGAGACTTCTGCATGGTCTCTGACCGGGGGTATCTCGCAAGACCGGCGTATTTATCGAGGGGAGAGTAGTGAGGGGAGGGCAGCGAGGTTTCGTGAGTGAGGATGTCGGGAAGGTGCACGGGACCATCGCACTAGCCGCATTGGGAACCCACACTGGCACGGAGAAGCTGGAGAAGCTACCTAGAGGAGATATTGGAATTCTAACAAGTTCAATTGCTTATGGTGTTCAATTACTAATTCCAATGAGATTCCTAGCAAGCAGATACAATAGTGTGGCATGGTACAGAAGCACTTCCCTTTGACACCCTCGAAGAGTCTGACAATGTGCAGGTTATGATTGGCTGCGCACCCAACCAGCGTCATCTCTAGGGATCATGTACATAATTTGATAACTCGTCGAATGTTACCATGAAGTCTTGCTTCGGGGTAAAATGTCATTATATACAGGCTGGACTGTTTTATTTTATTTTGAATCTTCAATCATCAATTTGAATTCAACTTGCAAAGTATGTATGTAGTAGTGGTAGTAGTAGTCGGCTTAGGTAGTAGCTATCTTGCCCTGGAATCCCACTGGTTTGAGAATAATCGACTGGTAATAGTATATATAAGAGAGAGTTCTAATGCGTTGCTTCCATTACTTGGAATTGTATTCTATCGACCACTAGTATCAGTAATCAGTGCCCAGCGGAAATCAGCAATCGACTTTAAAAGGCAGGCATCCAAAAAAATACGCCGATATATTATTGTGATACAAATTCACAGTAAGGAACTTGCATGTCAATATTCATTAGAAGATGACGAGTTTGATTCTAGACACTCACAAACCAAACTGCAATGGTAGGATCGAGATCGAGGCGTGTACCTAGTACTCCGTAGTATCCTAGGCTCTGCGCCTGTGTATGTACACGCCCCAGCGGAATCTACGCACACGGCCTCCAAAACCAAGACAGCCAGAAAACCATACTTAATGACAGAAATTTGGTTTAAGATTCAAGAGGTAACCTCAATTCACTAAGAGAAATCGGCATCGACAAAAAAAACCAAAATACAAACGACGGCTATGTCGTAGCGTGGATATCCAAAGATTGAGAAGAGGAGTATTGTGGGCAAACCACGGCCATCTCTGGTAAAAGGCAAGAAATGGGTTCTGTACTAGCTTGTCCCACTCCTCGGGTGTGCTTCCCAATTGTGTTATATAACCCTGCTCATGCCTTCCTTACCTTCCCCAGTTGCACTCCCAGCCCCCCAGTTCAATTCCCGCCAACCGCACTTTTCTGTTTTTCTTTTCTCAGGAATTATCCTCCCCCCCCCGCATATGACTTCAGTTCGAACTTCAAGTTGCTCAGCTACCCCAACTCACCCTGCAACACTTCTTCAATTGCCCCGACCTTAATTTCCACCTCCACCTACAACAAGGAATAAATTGTCCCACCTCCACTATGTCTTCCGCTGCCTGCATCTTTTGCAAGATTATCAAGGGTATGTTATAGCTGTATTTGCTGCACCGCATTTCCCCTCAACCCCTCCTCCCGAGCGATTCCGTCGCCGAGAATATCGCTGACACTACCGTCCAGGTGATATCCCTTCCTTCAAGCTCTTCGAGAGTGACAAGGTCTTTGCTTTCCTCGATATTCAGCCCCTCAGCCGTGGCCACGCTGTACGTCTCCTTTGTGTACCCTTCCCCGCACGGGCGCGTGTACCTCGATTCGATGCTGCGCTTCTTTGCACATCGTCCTGTTTTATTGCGACCTTCTTGCATCGATTCCGTCTTGTCCTCAGGATATTGTGGCAAGCAATAGTTTGGTGGAAAGCAAAGGCTAACTGCGTGATGAACAGCTCGTTATCCCCAAGTTCCACGGCGAGAAGCTGACCGATATTCCCGACGAGGACCTGCTTGAGATTCTGGTGAGTGACCAATTATCTGACCAATCTATTATAGATGGGATAGGACTATGGTGAAATCGCCACAGGAGGATAGTTGATGCAGTTGGGAGCTCCGGGGGTCAGGGACTTGACCTGGGTCGCCAACCACCAAGGTCCCTAGCTGCACGACCGGGGCTGCTGTGCGGAGATGCTGGTACTGCAAGATCATATAGCTAACTTGATGTTTATTACAGCCCGTTGCAAAGAAGATTGCCAAGGCTAGTGGTGCCACCGACTTCAACATCCTGCAGAACAATGGCCGTATTGCTCACCAGGTCGTTGACCACGTAAGTAGAACGTCCGCCGACACTGATCAAACATTATGCTAACAATCTTGGATCAGGTTCACTTCCACATGGTATGTAACTTCGAAATACATGGTCGATCGCATTCGATCAGTTTCCCGATCTGTCCTAGCATCCCATCTCAGAAGATATTTACTGACATGTAACAGATCCCCAAGCCCAACGAGAAGGAAGGCATGAGCATCGGCTGGCCCACTCAGGCCACGGACATGGACAAGTTGAAGGCCCTGCACGAGGATATCAAGGCTAAGATGTAAAAAAAACACCAATAGGTTGTCATTCGTTTAGCCCCAAAGATATAGGAGAAGCGTACGAGTAGTATAGCTACTCTATTCAAAGCAGACACCATTAACCCAACAAGATCCATTCAATTAGCTCTGTCAATTCTATGATCCTCCACAATGCTTTGTATTTGATCTATACAATCTCACATAGAACCAGAACCCGTACAGGTATATACTACAAATCCATGCAATGTCACAAATCTCAAGTCAGACAAAGACTAGCATATGCTCACCGAAACCCGAGCATTGCCGAAATCAAACAGCTGACATGTTTCACTATGCGGTTACCTCACTGGCAGGAGTTTGTTCTTCAGTCTCGGTCTTCTTCTTCTCCGCACCGGGATAGAAATCGATCTTGCCGTTCCCTTGAACGATGTTAAGTCTGTCATAAAGCGAGCGAGTTCGAATATATGGGTCGAGCTCCCAATACTGCTTGCGAAGATGCTCAATCTGACCATCACGCTTTTTCTTAGCAGCAGAAACAGCCTCGCTCTCCTGCTTGAAGCTAGCTTGGATCCATTCAATTGTGGCCTTTTGAATGTCCTTGGCCAGTTGCTGACGCTCAGAGATCAGCCTATCGCGAGTCTCCGTATCTTCCATCTTGCTATTTTCGCCTGCCTCAGGTTCGACATATTTGTATTCCCAGTCCTCTCCGCCCTCTAGTTCTTTCATAATTTGGCTGGGCGGGATGAAAGCTTCTAGGTCTTCACGGTTCTTCGTGAAGTTGATCTTTGCAGCTACGACGGGGTCGAGCCAGCCCTTGATGATGCTCCAGATACTGGAGAAAACCCAAGGAGCCTTGTGAATGAGCACGGTTCCCAGTGATTCGGGGTAGTTGGCTTCAAAGCACTTGATCATGAATTTCACAGGGGCATAGTCCTGGAGAATAGGTTAGCAAACGTGGTGTTCGTCAGATCAGCAAAGAAGGATGCTCACCATATTGGCCATTCCAAAGTCGGTCATATCAAAAATAATGGTCTAAGTATCGTCAGCTATATTTCTCAACGGGAATTGTGGTATGACTTACAGCAGTTTCAACCGGTGGCGCCAACAGTAGACGGGCAGTTTCAATGGTGTAGACGGTAAAGCGTTCCAAGGTATCAACCTCTTGATCCGAAGCATGGTGCAGGCGAACACGAACAACACAAATAGGACGACCAAATTTGTCCACACCGTGCAAGAAACTCTTACCCTTGCGCATCTGGTACAAGAACTCCTCGCCCTTTTTCTTCTCCGCCGCGTCCGAGCTCTGCGACAGCTTCACAGCTGTGGCTTCCCCATTGGCCATAATATCATCATCCACGTGGACATCCTGTAAGCGCCAGCGCATGGTGGAAATCATCATGACCAATGCCTTCTTGACATCCCACTTGCGCGCGCGCAGGAACCTGAGTAGCAATCCATCCGGGTGATCCTGCTTGACCATATTCCAGAAAGCTGTACGGATCTCCTCGGGTGACATGTCGACAAGGGCCTGCTGGAATTCCTTGGATTGACCATACTTGTCATCGCTGCTGTCGGAGACGTTGATCGAGGCAAGGCCAGCAGTGATTCCGCTCGCGGAGGAGACACTCTTCGAATCGTCGTCACCATCGTCGTTGCTGCGACCCCAGAGTCCCCATCGACGTTTTGAGGGCTTGTCTTTCTTAGACGCGCTGGCTGCAGCAACGTCAGCGCTCTCCTTGTCCTTGGCCTCGGTTTCAAGGGCCTGGATGTCGACGCCGAAGACCTTCAACGTCAGGACCCAGAGTTCTTGCAGTTTGGCCTCCTGCTCCGGGGTCAGGGTCCCGACGGTGCCTGGGGCTGGTTCGATGGGCATGGCTTTGAGGGTATCGAGGACACCGAGGAAGGGTTCTTGCGGCGGGGACCGGGTATGTGCGGATGGTGGTAAGTCGATGGATGTGAAGTAATTATGGGCCCAGGCGCCTCCACCAACAACAAGCAGGGAGATTGAGATCCAGAAGGACGAAGCGGTTCTCTGCTCGTGCTGCGCGGGGTAGGAGGGAACGAGATGGGACCGGGGAAGATGGCCGTATGAGCGAACGATCTGTGCGCGTCCGGGGGAGGCGAGGGATTTGGCCGAGGGTTGGATGCGCCGGCGCAGGATGGAGCTGGCGCGCATGTGGCGGGAACCGGGAAGACTTGCAGAAAAAAAAAGGGAAATCTGAAACCCAATCTGAAGCCTGGAGGTGAGTGTGGGTGGAAATGGAAAAGACGAGTGAGACAAGCAGGGCTATGCGATGACGGAGGAGCGTTGCGGGTGGATTCGCCTACAAACGTACATCACTACAACAATAACACAATAACACAACTACTAGTATGTACACCTAAGATTGCTGATGGAAATCAATACAATTGAGAAGAATGGAACTAAGAAGACAGATAGACTTTGTCTGTTCTAGATCTAGCAGTACCCTTTATTAGAATAGACCCTCCCCACCTCTTTAACTACCGTTAGACCGGTGAAGTCATCCCATCCCGCAGTGGCTCCTTTTGTCGCGATGCGGCGGGGGAAAGATCTTCATCCACTTTGCACCCAACTCGAACCGAATCGACCCTAAAAATCCACTCCTATTGCCCTCTTCCTCGTTGGCCCAATTGCTGCCCGGTTCACCTTAATACACCCGGTGTCGAAATCCCCCCCCCCGACCCCCCACTCTACCGCCTTCTGCAGCCTCGGAATTTCCTCGCAAACAACTCCATCGCGACGCTCACCCACCACATAAACAATGGACGGCGCACCTGTACCATCGTCCTCGCGACAACGGCCCTCCTCGCGCCCTACAACACCCCTACGTCCCAGCTCACGCTCGTCGCTACGAGAAGCTCATGGATATGGCCATAGCATCAGTGCCTCGGGATACAACCAACCTGCCATTAATGCCCTGGAGCCTCAGTTTGCGGAGCTCGCCGACTCCATGGCAGACTTGGAGGCCAATTTCATGCACCTACAGCTGATGCACGAGAGTTTGACTCGGTTCAGTGAGAGCTTCGCCAGCTTTCTCTACGGATTGAATATGAACGCCTTCTGCGTGGATTTCCCCGAGGTACGACTAGACAGAGAGAGACGAGAATTGAAGCTGCAACCCACGACCTTCGGATAGAATGCTGATGGGGAGAACTTTCTAGGCTCCGATTTCCGATTCATTCAAGCGAGCTAAGCAGGCGGAGGCACAAAAAGGTATGAGGGTGTTGGATTCGGTGATCGAATCTTCGAGGACCGACCGCTAATTTCAGACGCAGAAGCAGAAGAATCCGAAGCTGCCCGTCCAGCCGATGACGGCGAGATGACTTTCTTGTGAGTGGTGACTGGTGACAATATTAGCTACCGGTTAGACATGTCCATTAACGAGCCGGTTATCAGAACTACGGACACATCTTTTGTCGAGCACCCACCGAGCACCATCTCCTCTAAACCGACATCGAAATACTCAACGAGAGGCACAACACGAGGCACAACGCGAGGGACCACCAGGGGCGCGGTTCGTGGCACAACGCGCGGCTCTACGACAAGTCGATATGCAACTCGAGGGTCATCTACGCGCGGCCGGGAGAGTGCGCTGCCGCGGGGACGAGGCACGCGATGAAGGGAAACGGGTTCATATTGAGGTGAAAGGGATAGTGAGGGGTATTGGAGATTGGTTAATAGGGTTACTTTGGCCCATCAGTTGTAAACGAACCCGATCGTTGGTAGAGTTGCTGTACTGTACGAGCTGGACTCGGAGGCCGGAGCCGCATGGGCATGGGCATGGGCATGGGCATGGGCATGGGCCTGTTGCGACGAGATGAATTCAATAAACCTTGGAATATATACTAGTCACGAAATTAAATTAAATAAAATAAACTATAGTCAACACAGCGAGCACTCTTAGTATAGAATACTCCTAGTAATATAGTAATATACTCAAGGGCTACTCCCATCGGTGGCAACTCCGGTCTCCCGGCGGTAAATCGGGCGAAAAAAAAGGCCCGCCAACCTCTCCGCCCCCCCCGAGCATTGAAGTCAAGCAGTGGCCCATCCCGATCAAAGGTCCGCAACTTCGCATAACGCCATTGGTCCTATCTCTATTCATTCTGTATTTGGGTATGGTGAAAGTGTCGCCCTGTGAAGGCTGCGGCAACCCTTGCGAGAGAGCCATATAGCTCCGTTGTCTTGGACATTCTTGGACATTCTTAGACGACCTCCACCTTTCCCACTGGTGGGCGCTCCCCTATATCCCGATCTCCGATCTATGTGATCTTCCCTCCCCGCGCTCGGTTATTGACTCCTCCTTGATAGCCTGAGTGCAATGCTGGTTTTCCCCGGGGCAAGTCCGTGAGGCTCATCTGCTTTTTTATCTCGTTGCCCCCCGCGGCCACCATCTGCCGAGTTGCGCGCGTGGGCCATATTGGGCGTCGGTCTATCCGCGTAATCCATCCATCTTCTTACCTTGCATAGAGGTCTGGGACCTTGTATCGGCGTGTCATCTCTGCATTCTATCAGACTCGGTTGATTCCTAAGACCCTTCGGTGCTTGCTATCCCTTTCTTCTTCTTCTCTACGTGCATCCAATCACTGCCACGGGATTCATCATGGCAGCAGCAAACCTTGACTCCATCCAGATTCTTTCTGAGGCGGCTTATGGCTGTGGTATGTACCAGCTCTACCCAGCTGACCTGACTACTCCCCGGATGTCCGGGCTATCAGTTCATTCAGCTGATCTCATTAGAACACCTCGCGGCTGTCCTCCGGGACCAACAGGCTGCTGGCCAGTTCAAAAGCGGTTTCCGAAAACACCATAACTCCCTGGCTCCTTTTACAAAACCGGAGGCAGTGGCAGTTCAAGCTTCAGGTCTCCGCACCGTGGCAACCTTGAAACCAAAGTACCACTGTTTGACATGCTCAGAGACGTGTTTGAACTCCGAGCGGAAAGCACACACAAAAAAGACCGGACATGTGTTTTGTATGTGCCCTCCCGCTGCAGGTACTACCTAGTTAGTGTATATGCTAATTAATCTAGACATGGAATCCCGCAATCGCTTCATATTTTGCGAGAAATGCGTGGATTTTGTCTACGACCATGGCCTGGAAAAGCTCTGTGGCCCTGTTATCAAGCCTGAAAATGCGGGTTAGTCAAGCTGTACACTGCTTGGAGACTTTCCAAATCCCTAGCTGCAAATACTAACTTAATAAAGATGAAAAAGGCAAGTGGGTGGAGGATTCTGCATCAGAGCTCTACGTCAAGAGTAATGCCTATAAAAATCCATGTTCCCGCCGTGGTGCTCGGGGCGTGTGGAATATGGGACAGACATGCTACCAATCAGTCATTCTCCAGGCCTTACTCCACGATCCAACCTTGAACGCCTACTTCCTAGCGGGTGGTCATGACGTACATACTTGCAAAATAAACTTTTGTATGGCTTGTGCCGCTGCCGAAGTGTTTATGGATTTTAACAGCGGTGAAAAAACCGACGCCGTTTCAGCTGCAACTCTCCTCTACCATGGATGGGACGCGTCAAGGGTATGTGTAGATTCTCGTTGCCTACTTACTGCATGCGGCTAACTTACCATACAGGAAATGGCAGGCTACCGACAACAGGATGCCCACGAATACTTTCAATTTCTGGTCAATTCTCTTCACTCTTGTACGCCAGGGCACTCAGAGAGCTATGGTACCAAGTGTGAATGCTTCTTCCACCAAACATTCTATGGAGAACTTCGCAGCAGCGTCATGTGCCACAAATGCGGCAAAACAACACACACCTATGACCCAATGGCCGATCTGAGTCTCGACGTGCAACTTCAGAACAAGAAGCGTAAGCTGGGCCGATCGACTGCCTCCTCCTCGACCACCGCAACCTTGACTGGCTGCCTTGACAGTTATACGGCTGTCGAGGACCTTCACGCTGATGCTGCATATCATTGTGAAAAATGCGGAAATACACCCCAGCGCGCATCCAAGCGACTCCAGATACGCAAACTGCCTGTAATACTTTGCATGCAACTAAAGGTTTGTGGATCAGATATCTTCCACCCCCCAACCCATTTACCATTTTTACTGTACTAATATGCCGACCAGCGCTATGAGCATACCTCGTCCTCTTCCGAAAAAATGGAAGGACATATTGACTTCCCTATAACCCTCAACATGCTCCCTTATACCGTCAAAAAAGACAAAGAGCGCGTCGACACCTCGAAGTACATTTACGACCTCTCTACAGTCATCGTTCATCAAGGAACGATGGATACTGGCCATTACTATGCCTACACCCGCTTGGGAGCTGACAAGGTATGCATTCAAACCACCTTATCAATCACTTAAGTGCTATGCTGACCGTTTTGTAGTGGGCTCTGATGGACGACAACAAAGTCACGGTTGCTAGTGTCGCAGATGTTCTGCGACAGAATGCATACCTGCTGTTCTATAGCATTCGATCTATAGGCACGGGGAATAATAGCTCCAAATAGAGACAGGGCACTGCCCCTGTAAGATTGAATTAGAGATTGACAGGCGTTTTATCGTTAATGTATATAGCGAGGAAAGCGCTACGAACAACTGATTTTTACAAGACTTGGACCAAATGCTGTAGATATCTATGGGCCTGGGCGAAGGACCTCGGGACCATGATAATCCCCGGGGCCCCAATCGTAATGGCCAGGGCGGCTTCCCCAGTGAGGCTAGGCTTAGATAGTACCTGAATCCAGATAAGGTTGACCATAAGGTCGATCGTTGCATGCCAAGTTATCAATAGACAGAGGGCCTCTCGATTCAACAGAAAACATCACATTCAAGTCTACGACCATTCCAAGGGAGGAGAGAAAGAATCCTTCTCTGAGACTATCTCACTTGTGACTACTACGAAGAAACTGGTATGAATCCGGACGAATATGCCAGGCTCGAAGCATTTCCGAGCCGAAACATCTCCCGAATTCGTACACGTGCAAAGCATTAAGGAACCAGAAAATCCGTCATTGACATTGGATAAAGGAGAAAAAAGGATGTAGGTTCAATCCATCCTCGTTCAAAAACTCTTCACTCAACAACCCCATTCCCCGTCTCGTCCATCAGATTTCACACCCGAGACACCAAGCAACAAAAAAATAGTAAAGAGAAAGATTTTTTGGGAGCCGTCATGCGAAAAAAGGGAGCGCGGGCGCAGTCGTTTCCCCGGCGCTTCGAAACATTTCTCCCACCCCGCACCTCAGTCGAGTGCCAGGGTACGTTGAACGGATTGTGGAACGCGGATGGATCGAGAGGGCGTTAAGGGTGGACATTGGTTTCGTATTTTGTTTAACGGTACTGTAAAGGTCGAGGTTAGATTCTGCTTTTGATGGTGTGGCCGACAAGTTCCTCATGAAGGAAGGGTAATTTCCAATTCCAGAATTCGTTCGAGGTCGGCGAGTGAGGGTGTAGACGAAACGAACCTTGTTGAAACCGATGTCGGCGGACTTCTCACGGAAGCACTGACGGCAGATGTTCATCTGTAGGACGGAGCCGGATTAGCCAAATGGGTCCCCAAGCACATAACCCGCATGGACTGCGCGCGCTCGATATCTCAATGAGAGGTTTCACATACACCGTACTTGCGGATCAGACCGGCGCGGTGAGCGCAGACACGGCTGAAGTTCGATCCAAATTAGCAAGTCGTCCAAGACCAAAATGACACCTCCGGTATTTCAAGATCATTCTGTATCGTCCACCACCCGTATTCGAGGATATTTCGGATTCTTATGATGTCTTGTCGAGCGAGAGAGGGTCGGAGGAGATAATTATTTCAGGGGGGGTACACACCAAGAACGGGCACCCTTGCCGTACCTGTGTAGAGAAGTCCAGTCAGTCATTTGTTCAATGTGTGCATTTCGGCAATTCGCAATTCGTGCAGCGCTCGTGGTTCGACTTACTTGCGGGGCCGGCTGAACCAAACGGACTCGTGAGTCATCTTGAGATGTCGTAGGGGGTGAGTTGACCGGGGGGTTGTTGACGTGAACGAGGGGCGTTGGCGGCGGTTGAAGAGGGCGAAGTCGAAGTCGAAGGTTAGGGTTGAAAATCGTTGTGTGCTGTGCCCCAATTGGTGATCACGCACGGACCAACTCCTCGCTTGAGCTAAACTAGTCCACTTTAGGAAATATTGGTGCCTGAGGCGGAGACAGAGGGTTGGGGTCACGTTTGATTAGTCATTTTAAGATCTATGGGAATTAAGATTCGCAGAACAACTCAATTCGCTTAGTTTAAAGTGGACATTGGAGGGTATGAACTATATACGTCAAGGGAAATGGGCAATGCATGGAATAGAAGGAAAAAATCGTTGCAGTTGCAGTATCATTGGCTACAGGTGCTCCTTTTGAATACCCTATATGTATACGGCTTCGGGCTCCGGCTTCGTTTTCCTACTGCACATTGTTTCTTTAATCTTTCTATTTTATTTCCTCCGGATACAAAGGCTCGCTTCAGAAGTGCAGACAATGCAATTTTGTAAGCCCACGTTTAGTTTTATTCGCTTGCCATGTGCAATAGCAGACAACGATCGTCCCTCATCTTCATGTTCACGATTTAACTACTGAAAACATAGTGGTCACACTCTAAAAGCATGCATAATACACATTTGAGAAAGACCAAAAGGCCCCCATCATGCCTTCGGTAGGGATCTCCTTGGTAGTTAGTCTTGGGGAACTCGAGACTGCCACACGCTCGAGCCAGACGCCAAATACCGCGACAGCGCAGGGCCGGTGTTTCCAACCAAAACCATCAGCTTGGTGAGTAGTATCTGAGAACAAACTTAGAAGGACATAGCGGGTGCGTGATATTTCGTCTTAAGTTACGCCGTTGTACGATAGGCCAATCATATCTGTGCTCTTTCGATTGGCCCGCATGAAACTTCTAATCTCGAGGGATCTGAAAGATATCGTCGACTAAATCAATCATCTTATTTTTACCTTGAGCTCCTCGGGAAATTGAATTGCCGCATTGAATATCAGGAGAAAGTTCCGACCTTTTTGCGAGTATCAAGTCCACCCTGACAAGAGGACGGAGAAGAGAGGGTGAAATGGGCAATGACAACCCATTGATGACTGCCATCAGCATAACCAAATCCAAGATACTCCCAGTGAAAGCCTTCAATGGTGAACTAGTCTCCGCTTCTTCAGTTTTAGTCAAAATGATACCTCGATGTGGGTGGGCAGGTGACTAGCGCCAAGTGCCAAGTGCCAATCCAACAACAGTGCAAAGCATATGATTCAGCACAATTTATGCACACTATTCTCTGCGTACATATGAGAGACTCACTCTATATACCATTTGGAGAATAGCCATGTGGATCGCACGGGAGACACCCCGGCGAATGAATGCACCGCCTATTGGGTTAGGCGGCGACCATTTCTACAGGGCTGTCTTGCTCGAATTAGCAATATGCATCGATCGGGGGATGTGGATGCAGATGGCTCATCGCAGTGTGGCGTAATGGGGACTCTACAGAGTACTGTAGTGCAGGATTCGCTGATTACTGGTAGGTTCTGGGTACGCATTTGAGTTTTGGGGTTTAAGGATGGGTAGATTGAGAGCCTCTGGAGTTTACTAGATAGCTAGACCACCGCATTTGCAGTCAATATTGTGCATTGTGTAGTGCGCGCATAAATCACATGCATGTGTTCGGCACCACGAGTGCAACAGAACACAAACATCCAAATAAAGGCGCTGGAAAAGCACCGACGCTTTAGCCATTGTCACACCGTACGATCGTGTAGCACCCCAGCGGTTCCCATAGTCCGGGGTAGGCAGAAACACCAGCATAAGAAGGCGGCGTTCTTTGACTCGTCTAGTAGTCAGAAGTGGGGGGGGGGACAAGTCACGCAAGAGTGTGTCATATGACAGTTTCGATGAGATCAGAAAAAGTTGCCGGATTTTGTATTCCTATTCCGTTCAAGTGAATAGATAGAATAGGTCAAAAATGGAATTAAGAAAAGAAAACTTGCCGGGCGTGCGCGTACGGTGCGTGTGCAGAGGCGCAGTACCGGATGGTCGCGGATGTCCCGCGGGTGCCGATTCAATCTTGCCCAATCAATACGGCGCGAAGATCGTCAGGTCGACGGAGACGGGTCCGGTTCGGTCCCGCTTGTGCGGATCTTGGCTTGTTCAATTGCCTGTATTTGTTTCAGGGCTTTTCGTCTGGCCTTGTGATAGTCTCGGGCACTTTTAGCAATGATGATCATCACTCTCAGATGCGGAGGTGGATCTCATAGAAGGTATGTACTAGTAGTATATCGCTATATCCGAGTCAGAAATTAGGACCGGATACCTCCATACACATAGTTAAATACAGCATTGGACGCACCACGCACCAATTCTTGGTTGAAATGACTTCGTATAACCGTATTTCACCTCCGCTTTTCAGGGATTTCTTGGCGCCGGAGGATGAATCAGTGGGTCTCCAGGCGGTGATAGACTTGGGACATTCAAATATCTTCTGCCGTCCAGGAACCAGGCACGACCGGGCCAAGCTATTCAGTGTTAGATGACCGCCGTGCTGGATTATCCCATTTCGAGCGAGACCCGCTCCTCGACCAGGGTGAGTCCGGATAACTCGGTTGACGAGGTTGCTGGTTTCTTCCTGGCCATTAAGAGACTATACGCTGCGGGGTCTTGGCGACAGACACTCACGTATTGGTAATCGTCCTACTACGTACTTCTTCGTCATTCGCGTCTTGATTGCATGGGCCACACCCGAGCATCTCTTCGATCTCAATTGCCTTGGCGACGAGAGTGGAACCCTGACTGACCATGTAAAAGCCCCGTGTAGAAGGACATCTTTTCAAAAGAGAAAGCGCCTTGTGCCTAAGATAAGATTGTCGGCATTTGAGTGCTGTTATGAGCAAGGGCATTTCGACCCGAATTTCAAAGGTGAAATGTGGTTGTCATCCGTTAAGATAAGCTGTCGCTTCAATGGCCTCCTCTCCATGCTGGACAATCTCTGTGAATGTATCTATATATTGTTCATACATTGTTTCGTTCTGGCGCAAAGATGTAGCAACCAGCAAGTAAATGGCATAATAGATCATGATAAGTGTGGACATGACACCCGGTTCTGAATTCGGGACTAGATGTGCCTGGTCACGCCGCATGTCAAATGCTTGTTTCCATTGCTGGAGCTTTTCTTCCAGACTCTGCCTTCGAGATTGAAAAGTCCCATCTAGCGAAGAATGTCCGAACTGTTTTTGATGTTGCGCAACGTCGCTTTCATAAGACAAACACAGAGCCACCTGATGGATGAGAGCATGCCGTGCGTATCCAATGTCAAATGCTGTACTGATTGCGGCCTTGGTAGTGATAGTTCGAAGGGTATTCTGACTGTGATATATGTAACTGCTCCCAGTCTGACATATATTGCAATTATTTGTTCCAGAAAGGCCGAGTAGACTGGCCGTCTCCCCACCCGTGGACACAAGAGAATATTCTGTATCATTTTCACGACTTGCTGGTATGGCCGAGTTGCCTCTATCGTGTGACCCTGTAGAGTTTCAATGCAGATAAACAATGTGCAGGTGATGAGAGCTACATGTATATATATTGTGCCTCGCTGAATCTGAGTCTGCACGCCACTCAGTGATTGAGAATAGCATGACACTGCTTGGGCATAATTTGGAGGTGGACTTGATCTTCGGGGTTGATCCATCCAAAATGGACCACATCCCAGTAGCTCGTGGGCGGCTCTTCATACAATGAGCTCTGCGGGCTCAGTTCGGCAGACCTGCAGGATGATTCCTTTCCAGAAACCCACATCGAGGACCCCCGCAATCGAGGGGCCAGCATGATAGAAGTAGAACTCAAAGCTGTGTCTTTCACTGAAGCTGTGAGAGGGAGAGAAAGGGGATGATTGGATAGCTGCACCACAGTGGGACAGATCTGTTCGATGTGAGGGGCTCAAGTAGTCACATCGTCGGCCTGTGCTCAAGCACCGTAGACAGGATGGTTTCTGTTCATCGCATTTGACACGACGAATCCTACCCAACTTAGTATTTTGCTCGAACTATAAAAGTATCGGCTGACACACATACTTGCAGGCTTGACACCCGGTTTTGCTCTTTGGGACCATCCCTTCGGGTGAGGACTTTAGGTCCCCCTGGTGGAGGCATCCGAGCCTGAATATTGAGTAAGGTGTTTGTTGCTCAAGAAACCATAGCTCTTGGCCACATTGGGTTGTCGCACAGGATTGGGGTTGACATGGACAGATGTGGGGAGAGCGGTTCCCAATTAGGCTAACTATCGCTAGCAAATCTTACTAAGTAGGAGTTAGAACTGATGGACTTGGGGTGATTTCCATGATTATTCAATCAAAAGAAACCAGTTCTGTAAATATTTTTGTGCACTTTCCGTACGTGGTTTGGTTACATTTGTGACCGCTTGTCAGTCATGCTGCATGGCTCGTCACAAAAGGAGGGGGGATCATCGGTTTGCAGGTTCAAGCTCAACCCATCAGTATATTTCTAATCATTCTAAACCTTAAACGGTACCCGATTTTGCTTACGGAGTAGATATATCTTTATTCATCATTTACAAATCTCACGTATGAGTATCCAAGTTGCGTAATTTCCACTTCGAGTGTTAATTCCACAGACTTGAAGGCGATCATCGACACTGGTGAGTGTACTTCGAATCGGGGGCAATGTTCATCGAACACCCCTGGCGGCTATACGGAGTGCGGATATAAGATGAGTGGCACTGGGGTTCCTTCCCAACCTATGGCAGTTCATTAGTCTCGGACATTGGTCACGGTGTGGTCTTTGCACGACTTTTGAAAGGTCATGATGCTCGGCTCAGGAAGGCCGAGCGCCTTCACTCGGGGCCAGCGGAGCTAGGGCTATTAGCTCGGGGATAACATCATCCTGCATCTGCAGGCTAGAATGATTCACGCCTTGTCACAATTAGGTGTGGATCCGGTCGTGAATGTAGTGACGAGGTGGATGGGGGCCAGATCAAGGTCTTACTCCACATGGTCGGACCACGAGTCGTCTCAATCATGCCATGGAATGATGATGGCTCTCGAGAAGAAGATAAACCAAAGCAGTAAGAGAGCCCAGAGTGAGATTTTGCGTGGAGGTCTGATAGATCAGCGGCAGGCCGACCGAGGGAGGATCAGACCCCGCCAACGAACAACTCAAAATAGTGCGGCTCGGAAGCTCGCAATCAGCGAGGCCGAGAGGGATACGAAAGGAAGAGTACGATGCCGGGGGGGTCCGAAGCTGACCGAGTGGATCTGTGCGTACTAGTATACGATTGTGGGCACTTTTAGTGGCACTGTCCTCGGACTCTCCCGTAGTATGGAAAATATTAGGTTATGGTATTTTGATGATACTGGTATGGATTCTCCAAAGCAAGAAATGATCTTCTGGGCTATGTGGTCAATCCAGATAGTATTGGAATTCTCCCCTTCAGGGTGGGAAATTAAGGGCTACTCTGTCGACCGAGGGGTGTTGTGTCCACTATGATGACCAACCGCTACAGGGCTGAATCATGGAGCCCAGCAGAAGCAAAAGAACGGCCAAATGCAAATGCATATGCATATGTGCTCGGGGTCAGGCAGCATCTTTTGATCTCCTGGCGGTGTATCCATGTCCAATGAGGCAAAGATCGATTACATCATGAGGAACGCGCTTGTAGCATTACTGCAGGAAAATGCTGGTAAGTACAAAGAATGTCGCTGAGATTATACCGCCAAAATCCGCAGATGCAGATGCGGAACAAGGGACCTTGGTTCTTGGCCAGCCCAATTTCTGGGTAACTGAGGTCATTTGCCTCAACCCCGAGTTCGACCTCGATTTCGGCCTCCCGGCTCTTCCGAGAGAAAATGAAGAGAAAGTGAAATTCCCTGATTGGATAATTTCTTTCAAATGCAAGAACCATCGCCAAGGCTGAATGGAGCCTTTCGATTTTTCTCTTTTCAGTATTGTTACAAAGTGAACTTTGGACGTGGTGCAAGACAAAGAAGCTCTAATGGGTAGGACAATCTGGTGTACATCTATCTCTATAGGAGGGGGAGAACACGCCGACCCAATGGAATATTATCCATCCCTACCACAAGCACCAGTTGTAAATGCTCTAGATGATGCACGGAGCTCTGAGCTAATTACTGAATCGGAAATTCGGGCCAGCCTCTCTGTGTGAATCATTCTAGCCAGGAAAAGTAAAGGAAAAAAGAAAAAAAGAAAAAAAAGAGAACGGCTCCCCGGAAGCGCGGCTTGTTGCCACGCACTCCATTTCTATGCCCGCCCTCGGAGTATTGGAAATCAGCGATCCTTTTCACCTGAGGACAGAAATTCCCCCCCCCAAAAAACATTAATTATTATTGCAACTTTCTTTACCTTCAAGGAAATCGGCACCTTATTCCAGAATTATTAATTCCCTGCCCCACTGACCTCCTTTTATATACCGAGTCGACCTCCCCCGCTGCCTATACTTCCCTTTCAGCCCTATTCCTCGATCTCTCCCCTATTCTCCCCCAGCCCGCTCTAGACCCATCGGGTGGTCTCTCAAAGTCATTCGATTGATGAGTCATTTAGTCCATACCGGTCTCTGGCAAAGCAAATGAAACTGGGAGAACCACGAAAATAAGGAAGCTTGCATTCACTGAGGAGTCTTGAAGAATCGTTACGTCACGATTCGACGGAGCTTCAATCTGACGCCTGATTGAAGCTCTACCTTTCTCTTTCTCTTTCTCTTTCGCTTTCTCTTTCTCTTCCTTCGTATCTGGCATACGCTCCTCACAGTAGTTATACCTCAGCTTTACGACCGAATTCACGCCCATGCGGCAAATAGCTATTCGCGCCGCCCTCGCGGCAGTTTTCCTCGCGGCCTCGGTGCTTGCGCATGGTGATGAATCGACGAACACGAATATGAACATGGATATGGACATGAACATGAAAACACCGGCGCCGGCGGAGCCTCCACATCCGAATAGTGAAGGACCGATGAGCTACTTCGCATACGATAAACACAGAGGCGCCATTCTGGCGCATATCAGTTTGATGGTCGCGGCCTGGTGCTTCTTGCTTCCTATATGTAAGCATCAACACGAACAGCTCGGAACCACGCGGAAACTTGAAGGAATGGAAACTAACTGGCGGTTTTAGCGGTCATGCTTAGCATCGCGCACTCACGATTTGCGTTGCCGTCGCAATTCGTGTTTATGTTGTGCAATGCCTTCGGCTTGCTTCTCGGCATTATTTATAATGAGCAGACACCCGACCTCTACGAAAATAACGCACACCACAAGATCGGATGGATTATCACCTGGGTGGTCAGCACTCAACTCATCTTGAGCTTGATCTTTGTCTATGCCGGCCACGGCGAGTCGAAGACTGAGTCTAGATCTTTTGAGCGTACTACTTTCCTCCCCGTCGCAACCGATGACCATGACCATGTCCGCATTTTCCCTACTGCTCCAATGCACGAATATAGGTGGTCTCGGGACAGTGGACAGGGTACTGAACCTAACTCGCCCAGCCATAGCCCTGCGTCTCCATCTTTTGAGCCTCCGGAATACGACGGATTCGGGAAACCCGAGGACGATATTCCGAGTGAGACTACTGGGCCGCGCCGCTGGATCAAGAGCACCTTTGTGGATCGTTTTCTGTCGAGACTTGTGCCTGGCATGGTTTCCAACCGCGTTTTGCGCGTTTTCTACGTGGTATATAAGGTGATTGACCGGATCATTCTTCCGTTCGGCTTCGTTGCTATGGCCACTGGTGCGGTCACGTACGGCGGTATAATGCGCAAGACAGATATTTTCAATGGCCTGGCACACTTTATCAAGGGTGGGATCTTCTTCTGGTATGGTGTGCTCACACTCGGCCGCTATATCGGCTGCTGGGCGGATCTGGGCTGGGCTTGGAACAAGAAACCCTCCGCTTCCATTGTCGGCAACTGGAAGTCCAAGGTCCCGTCCGCAGAATGGACTGAGTCTTTTGTCATCTTTTTCTATGGCATCACCAACGTCTTCCTGGAACACCTTTCCAATGCGGGCAAAGGGTGGTCGACAACAGATTTGGAACATGTCTCCATCACAGTTCTCTTCTTCGGCGGTGGCCTAGCCGGCATGCTCTTTGAATCTTCGCGTATCCGTGAAGCACTAAACAACACAATTCTTCGATACCCAGGACACGGTACTCGTGATGAGGGCTGGCAGCTTCCAAGATCACAGACTGTGTCTCTCAATCCCATGCCGGCTTTGGTCATCCTACTCCTTGGTATGATGATGGGTTCCCATCACCAAATTAGCATGACCTCGACAATGATACACAAACAATGGGGTAACATGCTGGTTGGTTTTGCACTGGCTCGCGGCATGACCTATGTCCTACTATACATTCGCCAACCCACTTCATACCTACCCGCTCGTCCGCCGACTGAGATTGTCGCTGCATTCTGCCTCATGTCTGGAGGTCTTATCTTTATGATGAGCGTAAGTACACACCGAGCCTATGAGTGGAAGCCATGGCAATATGATATACTAACCCGAACCAGACCCGTAACGTCATCGAGGCCATGGAATATTACGAAGTCGATGCGATGTTCACCTTCACCGTGGGCCTGGGTTTCACGGCCTTCATCATGGCTCTGGAGATTCTGGCCATTGCACTGAAGGCATGGGCCGTGAAGCGCGAGCAGCCTCCACAGCCGACCTACCGCTTCCCATAAATTATTTCCCATATTATGTTTCTGTTTGACAACGATACCCTTTACAATTATGTGACTTTTTCTTCCCCTGCGGTCATTTGCATTTATTCTTATTTATTTCTCCTCCGTCGGCGCAATCTTAATAGTCAACTTGTTGCCAAGGACGCCCAACATTCGCTCTGCAAAATCTGGGGGTATGAAAATGTGTGATATTAAAATCGGTTCTGAAATTTCCGAGATTTCGGAATGAGTAACGGATTAATGCGGTGGTAGTATATTCTTACGTAGACGATCATCCAGGATTTAGAAACAGAATGTCTGATTGTCTACATTTTCATACAGTATGTCTAGATTAATAAATTGATATTGTTCATGCTGTATGTACTACTATTTACTCTATTTTAACCTTAAAACGGCGCCACTATAGTACCTTAATAAGCCTTTAGCCGGCTCGGCGATAAGAGGATTAACGCCGGAGCTTCCCGTGCCGAGTACCGAGTCGGCAGTTGCGCTGTCTTGTGCTTCCCAGAGGTCATCACATTAGAGAAATTGTTCAATGGCTAGAATATTATAGACAGAATTGGACATTTTGTATCTGACCCCGCGGTACAAATTCTATCGTAGGTGATAGGTTCATCAAGTTCTGCTGCCGAAGCGTTGAGAAACAGTACATTAATAATCGAACACAGGCAGGCTATGACAACGAGGGGCAACGGCAGAGAAGGTGGGTCAGTGATGGATGCACAGGAGCTCGACTTAGTGCGAGTCTCGCGGCCCTTCTGGCAGTTGATTGGGCCAGCTGTGAATAGTTGGAGGTTTGGAGGTGGGAGTTGGAACGGGTCCCGATGATGGAAGGAGGGGCTATGATTTAATCAGAGCTCCCCTCGGATACTTTTCTGCAGTCCAACCCTCCCCTCTCTCAATTTCTCCCTCCAACCTCTGTTCCTCCAATCCATAATACCCGTTCCCCTATTTCCCCTATTTCCCCTATTTCCTCCATTTCTTTGAACACAATGGCCTCCAACCCCCCCCGCTGCCTGCTGCGCCTCTGGCTTCAAGCACGAGGGTACCCCTCTCGGCGAGGTCAAGAACGTTGACGGAGGTGAGTGACAGCTAGAGATTACATCAGAAAATTCCCCAGCTAATCAATCCATTCACCCCAGTCAACACCTACATCACCTACCCCAAGGACAAGAGTGCCGATAAAGCTGTCCTCTTCCTTACCGATATCTTTGGAATCTTCCCCAACGCTCAGCTCCTCGCCGACGAGTTCGCCAACAATGGCTTCCTGACCGTTATCCCCGATCTGTTCGAGGGTGACCAGATCTCTGTTAAGGACATGGAATCTGGCAAGGCTGACCTCCCCGCTTGGCTCCCCAAGCACCAGCCTGGCAACATCGACCCCATCATCGAGAAGACCATCAAGTATATGCGTGAGACTCTTAACGTGAAGAAGATCGCCGCCGTCGGCTACTGCTTCGGTGGCAAGTACGTCACTCGTTACCTCAAGCCCGGCCAGATCGATGTTGGCTACAGCGCGCACCCTTCTTTCGTCACCCACGAGGAACTGGGCGCGATCAAGGGTCCATTTTCTATCGCCGCTGCCGGTATGTAACAACTACCTACTCCGCACGACTTCGGAATTTAGTATTCTTCTAACACAAAGCAGAGACCGACAGCATCTTCACCACTCAGCTCCGCCACGAGTCCGAAGAGACTCTGATCAAGGCTGGTCAGCCTTGGCAGATCAACCTGTTCAGCGGCGTGGCTCACGGCTTCGCCGTCCGCGGTGACTTGAACGACAAGACCCAGAAGTGGGCCAAGGAGCAGGCTTTCTGCCAGGCTGTTGTTTGGTTCAACCAGTACCTGTAAGAGTGGGTTGCTATTGAAGCAAAGCCGGAATGAATGGCATAGTGCTTTGGCTGGCTCATGGTGAAGACATTGCTGATTGATGATGTGTAGAGTTAATGACGATACACAGACGGCTAAGTTATGAGGAATGAAAGGCTCTAAATAAAGCTGTGATAGAGCATAACCAATGAACAACTTGAATTTCCAAACAATAAGGAAAGGATAGAACCTTTTATGGGTGTATGAGTAGTTACATCAATATCTCAAGGTCGCCAATTTCGGGGTAGCCTCATAGTTTTCCATTTGGAAGAATCAGCCCAGGAGCCAACAGTTCAGTTTTCAACTGGAACAAATCAAAACCAGGTACAATTGCGATTAAATGAGAAGAAACAAACGAAATCCGCCTGATTCTACATCGATGTACTGTACTACTGTAGTAGTACATTTGCTCGACTCTGGCCAATCATGGATGAACCATGATTATGTCATCCGACACGAATGGTCGCTGTGGATCGCCCTAAACCCCGTTGAGGGAAAGCGCGAAAGTAGGGAAAGAGGGAGAGAGCGCAGGAGACCAGAACACAACAAAAGTCGGCGCTAACTGACCAGTCAATGTTATGATCCATTTTCGATTTTTGATTTCTTTCATTCCCAATGATTTCCATCTACATGAGTTCCGCCTGCCAAGATGGAGATGACTCCGGTATTGCCCTCGAATCTGGACTTTGCCGTCTATCGAGAAGACTTGAAACCACCGAGCCTTGAGGACATGCGTGTTTACTGGCACACTAAAATGCTGGCTGCACAGCGATACATGACTGTGATGAACGAAGGCTTCAGTCTTGCCCTCCATTTAAACAATGACCGATATGCGGACGAGCTAGAAGCAAACATCAAAAAGGATTTCAGCACTCAACGGCCGCGTGTTATTGACAACTCAGAGGATCCTGATTTGAGTTGGACCGATCTTATCAGAGAGACCAATGAAGCTTCTTTCACCCAGGTTGACAAAGGGTGTATTCGTGTTGTGTTCGCAATCACACCGTCCAAATGACCGCCGAGGATCGCAAACAAGTCTGCCATTACCACTCTATCTCAGTTGTGCATCAAATACCGCAACAAAAACATATTCACATCGAGAGAGATACCATTTCTGATCTCCGCACTTTTATTTCAGCTTGCAAAAAAGATCGGGAAGAGGGTGCGTCTCTTGGCAACACACTATTTGTTCGAATGGAAGACTAACCCGAGTAGCGGCCAAATTCGAGGAGAAATTGGATGATCTTCTGAGGGAACGTGATTACGAACTACGGGAATTACAAGAAACTTGGATATCTTCGTCGCGATCGATATCGTCTCCGCGCAATCTCTCTTCGGAGCCTACGAATATCTCGACCGGGCGTTTACCAGACACACTACCGTCTCCCCAACCGCATCAACCGCTTGTAACTCCAGGGGTGTTCGACAGACCTGTTCCTCGGTGGTTTCGAGAATCATCACCCGCAGGTTTGGTGATCATTATTGATTCTGATGATGACCCCCAACAAACCACCACATCTCGCCAACCAAGAACAGAAACTCGAATTTCAACGCGAACACCAACCCTAACCCCAAATTCCAATCCGGATAAGACACAAGTAACCCCGTTGTCGAATTCTGCAACCGATCAGCAGCTAGTATCCAGGGCTCAAGACGGATGTCAGATCACGAGAGTCCCGATTGCGAAAGCTCCGATAGGGCCCCAGGGGTCAATCCCAAGAACCCCAGAAGAAAAGTTACACGATTCTCACTTTATCGCCTTTCAACACGATCGCAAGATTCCTTGGTCTCGAATACGAGAAAACTACGAACAAAGATTTAAGGTTGCTCGAACTCAAGGAACCTTGACTGTGAGATATTTTCGCCTACCAAAAGAGGAGCGCGTGTCGAGCGGATGCGTGGCGTTGAAGCTTCACTCAAGACCGCGTTTGAAGGAACTGGTTGAAAGACTATGGCCTGGATGATATTGTAACACTCTATCTATGGAACTGCAAAGTTTAGTGCTGTGATATTATCATTTGTTCTTGTTCTTGTTTTGACTATCGGGCGTCATGGTTCAAAGACGCTGTCTGTTATGTGCTGAGGATTGCAAATACCTTAATATATCTGTCATTAATATAAACACCAGTTAAATCCTCGTTACATGTGCACAATGTGAAGATGATTATAGTTATACGAACTTGAAAACACAACTCGAACCCTTCTGAGGCCTGGGCCTAACAAAGGGGTTGACATGTCCCTGGTGACCACTGAGGATCAGGGCTCCTAGCCTCGGAATAGAGAACTACAAAGAGAAAGGGGAACGGGCTACACAGAGACTTCATACGTGTGCCTCGAGGATGCAAATAACTTGGACCAACAAAGAAATGACCGAATCCCTAGAGCATGTACTGGCAGAGAAGTAAACTTGAAAGAACTTGAACTTGAAGCATACTGCGCCCGCTTTGACACAATCGTCGTGGCATTGAGTCCGAGTCATTCAACAGTAAGGCTGTCCAGGTGGTTCCTTTTTTTCACGCCCGGGCGTTGAAAGAGCTCACCTCGATAACTTGGACATAAATATGTCGTATTTGCGGCGAGTAAAACTATTTACTCAGTTTACTACTTCTATCCAGGTGATTTATTAGGCGAAGAAATTGATTCTCATTACCGTCGGACGTGTACTTCTCCGAATTCGAGATCTATTTAGATACTGTCTGAACAATGCCACGCAAGCGCAAGGCGGAGACTGCTCCCGCTAGTCCAGGCCCCTCACAGCCTAGTAAACGGGGAAAAACAGAGATGATCGAGCTCGAAGAGAGAGAAAATATTTCTGAAAGTCGACGATGAGAGCATGAAATACAAGGAGTTGAAAAAGGTTATCGACTCTAGATATACTGGACTATACCCTCCAACAGCCCCTCAAAGGCCCAAAAGACAACACAGATGGCGATGGACAGGTCTGGAACCACTCACAGATCCCAAGAAGCTGCCTCCACTGTGGAACTGCGCTGAGCCTGATCTTGACGACAATGATATTGAGGGCCAGATCCAGAGGTGCCATGAGAGAATCGAGGAAAACATAATGCCTGATATATTCCGCAAAAGACTAACTCGATTTGAAGGACTGAAGCAAGAGAAAGATGATCTCATGGCTTCGGAGCCAGGTCTTGAGTGGGAAGTTGTGCAGCGCGTGAAGGAGCTGATCCAGATCGGACAAGAGCTAGAGAAAGATGGCGACCCAGAACAAGAAATACCGAATCTTCTGGCAATTATCGATGCCTATAGAACCAAGAATTTGGAATGGGAGTGGGGAAAGGTGACATACTGGGTCCACGGAAAGCAGGTCAATGAAGAGCCACGGGAATTTTCGTGGGACGATTTTGAGCGCAAAGCTCACACTGCTGGGGGCAAGGGGTTTTGGGTAGAAGGGGTAAGTTTGTAGTATCCTATCAACATATATTCAATACATTAACGAGGCTTGAACGTACCAGATTTTCAGCGGACCAGGACCCTATCACGATGAGTGGGCACTTGGGGCTTTAACAGCTGTTCCAGGTATACATCGATGGGGCCACGTTAAAAGGGTATGCTGCTCCTGGAAGATGATGAGATTTTTGAAGTGAACGATATCAATGTTATAATTCAAAGCCCTTCTAACCGATTGCTTTCTTTAGGTACCCTGTGTCATAGATCTACCTGGCTCTAATAGCATGTTTCCAGTCGAATTTATGGACGATACTGGAGCCTTCATCACAATAATCGATCAGCGCGACCTAGACGATATGGAAAATCAGACCGGAATAAAAGCAACAGTAGCAGGGTACAAAACAGGGGCCGGTGTCGCCGGTAGCTTATCAGTAAAAATAATAGAATTGATGATTACCCTGCCCCACCCCACTGATCCGGACCAAACTCGCATGCCTTTTTTCAAGATATTCTGCGGTGTCAGAAATATACCACCAGGAGCTTCGCGTCATAGACTTCTGGGACCTTGGCTACGGCATGTGATATATACTGCAACATCCCCCGATGGACAACATGGTCTATATTTGCTTGATGCAAAGAACGATTTCAAAAATGTCCCCAAGTCGACAATCCCTCTAAATCGCAGGTGGTTCCACGATCCTAGCTTCCAAGATACTCTTGTGGCGACGAATCCAGCGACACCACCAGAACCACCAGCACCAGCGGCAGAAGTAGCAGCAGCAACAGCAGGAGGAACAGGAGGAGCAGGAAGATCGCAGTTTGCCCCAAATCCAATGGCGCCAGCTTTCCAGCCAGGTGGGGGGAGGTAGCGGCTCTGGAGGAAGTCCTTGAACATCATGATGCGTATTTAATCACTATTTCCCCATTCTTTTTTTTTAAACCCGACCAGAAGAAGTTTAAGGTTAACTGTGAGGCTTCTCATCCCAAGCAAATGTGAATTAGAGGAAACTATTGATTCTTTCAATTTTGCGTTCCCTGGCCTTGGCTTTTTTCATATTTTTCATTTTCTGCCAATCAATTAATTTATATTGTTCGCCAGGTGTGTACTTAGTACTAGTAGCAAGTTAGTGGTAGTAGCCACTAGCATAGATATCCAACTATATACATGTACTAGTACTGTCGTAGACTCGTAGTAGTAGATTTTGTATGGGCGCGGATGACCGACTTGCCCTAATCCTAAAACGGACTAGCGGAGATCGCCTTCGAAGCGTTCACGCCCGAACGGCCAGTCGACACTCCGCGCGAACACCTCTTCATCACCCTCCTTGGCACTGTCGTGGTGCGAGTCTCTCGCTTTGTCGGCAAACACTACCTCTTTCTGCTCTGCAACCCCTTGATTGTGTTGCTTCTCACCCATACTCCCACCGAATCGATCGCGTGCGCCTCGTGAGTTATCCCTGGAACGAATACGAAGTTTGGATCCCTCATGATCCGCGAAGCCTCGATGATGCTAACTACAATATTCTTGTATTAGACGTCTTCCTTGCCCTACTTCTTCCGCTCCGATTCTTCCGTCTTCTGTGGAATAGACTAGCCTACGCCGAGTTCCTGCTTGTCGCGTCCCAAAAAACCAGCCTGTCCCACTTACCCCATCGACGTATCGACTCGAGACCGAGTGGACTATTGAATCCATCACCGCCTCCATACTATCTTCAGATCTAGAATCGCCAGGCTTGGCGTGTTAGAACGGTTGAGACGACTATACCTCTATCTGATCGTTTTCGCCGCATACGAAATAAACATGGCGACCCCAGCTGCACTTCCCCCCTTGCCTTTCAATCCCTCCCGAGTCCGATCATACTTGGTGCGGCTACCGCTTTTCACCCGCCTTGTGCTCTTGGTGATCCTGGCCTTCTGGTTGTTGGAACTGCAAACAATGTGGAGTGTCGTACAATGGGGAGCTCTGATCCCAGACGAAATTAACCTCGGAACGAGTACGTCGTCACCCCAACTTACCACCTACTGCCTTGGGCTGGACCTGGATTTGGGGAGCCTTACTGACTGGCGGAATCTAGTGTATCGACTGAATACCTATCCTTTGATCCACACTGGCTTTTTCCACGCGCTTTTGAATGCCCTGGCTCTGACGCCGCTTTTGGAGCGGTTTGAAGCGGAACATGGCACGCTCACAGCTATTGCCTTGTTTGTCGGTCGTAAGTATCACACCGCACTCTGCAAGTTTAAAATGGAGGATATAACCTTGAGTATTGAATTTTCTTGCTGACGAGACATCTTCTTCCCAGCACTTTCCACCTTCCCCGCCGCTATCTACCTCCTGATCGAGAAGGTTATCCTGCACAGCAACACGTCTGTGGTCGGATCAAGGTGCGTACTTTTGCCGAAGATTGTTGGTTGACCATGTGCTCATATCGTCTCTAGCATCTGGGTTTTCTTGCTCCTCGGATCCGAAGCCATCCGAACCTATAAATCGAACCCCCACTTTAGGTATGTGAAAGCTATATTACAGTATTGGTTTCTATGGGATTTCGGCTGACCATTTCATCAGCCTCGGCCCGTACAAGATCCCTACTTGGACCTCGCCTTTGTTTGCGTGTGTGGTTCTTTCTATTCTAGTTTCCAACGTGAGCTTCCTTGGCCACCTCTGCGCCATTCTCATCGGCTATCTCTGTAAGTTTCTTCTCGAAAGCCTCCATTTACGGGCCATGGACTAATTTTCCCAGTCGGTCTCGGATACCTGAAGTTCCTGGTGCCGCCCGAGAAGATTCTGCGATGGATCGAGGGTAAGCTGAACCTCCTCGGCCGGCTGCCACACTATATTTCTGTCGACCAAAAGACCTTTGGACGCTATGGAGTTCTTCCCTCGTCTAACAACGCGGCCAACGGCAACAATGGCACCCCCATGAGCTTCCTGGGCACCAACCAGCGTCTAGGTGCATGAAGGATGGGAGAGAAAAAAAAGAGAGAGAACCACCACCATTTACCTTAATATTCGTGTTTATAGTTTGACATAGTGTTTTATTACGTTGACGAGGGTGTAAAGGGGGCATTGGGTTATTAGCATAGCGAGTGCATCTATAATTCTGCGCATTTGGTCCCTCTCGTGTGACGTAAATTCCCGTAAACAACTCCGAGCTCCGCAACTCCACCCCCAGCTGGCCTCTGCGACAATCGTCTACCAATTCGATTCAATTGACGGGACTTTTGTTGCCAAGTGGGAAGATATTTCCTCATGATTCCCTCGAAATGGCCCTGAAATGTGAGTGTTTAGACGCCAGCTACCCTGGACGCATCTCGACCTCTCTCCCCCTCCCCAGACAACTGGGGACAACGAGACCCTGACAGCTTTCAAATGACAGCCGCAATCCGCAATCTACGGGAAAACCCTCGCTTCCTCTTCACTCGTCTTCCGAATATTTTATCGCTTCTCTGCATCGTCGTTGGCGTCGCTTGGTTACTCCTCCTACCCCTAGATGACAATTCACGACGGACCTACATCTCCGAGAATGCGCTCCTGCCCGGCCAGGTCCACGCCTATTTCACTGGCAGTGAACAGAACATCTTTCGGGGATATAAGCAGGAGCTACAAGCTTTGTTAAACAAGGGTCGCGAGACCGAGGACCAAGAAGCCGAGGTGGATGTGACTCCGGCGTAAGTGGCATGAATACAAATGGACCGACGCAAGCAGGACACGCCCTAATAATATAACAGGGCCTCGAACAAAGTTCATTCAATTCTACAAGCCGCAGGACTGAAGGTCGCAACGCAGAAATACGAGTACACCTCGGCCGGCATTACCCACCAAGGCGAGAACATTTACGGCATCATCCACGCACCGCGGGGCGATGCAACAGAGGCAATTGTATTGGTGGCGGCATGGAAGACAGCAGATGATGAGCTCAACCTGAAAGGCGTCACGCTAGCTCTCACTCTGGCTAGATACTTCAAACGTGAGTTTCCTCGTAGAATAGACATCACCGGTCAAGATACTAAGACGCTCAAATAGGATGGTCCCTCTGGTCTAAGGACATCATCTTTTTGTTCACCCCGGATAGCAAAACGGGAACGCAAGCCTGGATCGACGCCTACCATGACCTTCATCCAGAGTCTGTTCAGCCTCTACCATTGAAGAGTGGAGCTTTGCAAGGTGCTGTGGTCATCGAGTACCCCTTCGAGCACAACTTCCAGAAGCTTCACATAGTCTATGATGGCGTCAACGGCCAATTGCCTAACTTAGACCTGTTCAACACGGCTGTTGCCATTGCAGGCGGCCAGATGGGTATTGGTGCTAACCTCCAGGAGATGTGGGAGCACAATGATAGCTATGAAGCACGACTTCAAACGATGATGCGTGGAATGACGAAGCAAGGCCTCGGATATGCAACGGGAGCCCATAGCAGCTTCATGCCTTATCACATCGACGCCATCACTCTGCAGCCTAAGGGTGAAGGATGGGAAGACGAAATGGCATTGGGTCGGACCATCGAGAGCATGTGCCGCAGCTTGAACAACTTGTTGGAGCACTTGCATCAGAGCTTCTTCTTTTATCTGCTCATGCATAGCAACCGTTTCGTCAGTATTGGAACTTATCTTCCCAGTGCCATGCTCATTGCCGGAAACTTCACCATCATGGCCATCGCGTTGTGGATGCGCACTGGCTATTATCCGGAATCGAAGCCGGACACCCCAGCGGGCGAAAAATCCAAGAGTGAAAAGACATCAAAGACGGGAACCCAGAAGATCGAAAAGGAAATCAAAGTGAATGAAACTACACTCCCAGAGCGTCTCATGGCTTTGCCATTGACCCTTGTCACTGGTCTACACCTGCTCGGTCTGGTCCCCCTCTGGACCTTTAACAATATATTCCATCAGGTGAGTTTGATTGATATTAACCAACAATACTACTTTCATTGCTAACAAAATTGTAGTATTTTACAACTGCGACGTACATCTTCGTCGTTGTGGATATTGTTTTGCCATTATTTTTGGCGGCACTTCTCTCCAACGGCCTGGGCGTCTCGAAACCCATCATACCGCAGCAATACCTTTTGATCAAGTCCTTTGCTCTCCTGCTACTCGGCCTCTCGCTTTCCACGCTCGCGACCCTCAACTTCTCTCTCTCCTTCATGATCGGCCTACTCTGCGCACCGCTCAGCTTTCTCGGCCGCCTCCAAGGCTCTGCCGCCCTACGATATGGTGTTTCTAGCCTGGGACTTGTGCTACTGAACCTTCTTTCCCCACCAATTGTCCTTCTGGGCGTGTGCTGGTATACCGGCGTTTCCGTGGAGACAGTGCTAACCCAAGCTGCATTTGGCTGGGATGTATGGGGCATGTGGACTCAAGTCGTGGTGTGGTGCGTGTGGTGGCCAGCCTGGCTGATTGGATGTGTCCAACTAGGCTCATCGATCTTTTAATATACACTCTTAGAACACCCTCTGGGTCGCATATATGGTCAAGGCTATACAGTAATCTAAATTTCTTACAAATAAACAAACCGCGATTCATACAAGCAGAACCATCTTATTCATTATCGATAAAAAGTGGCTAGGGACATGTAAACCCATCTATGCAGCCCAGACATCCTTGCCAACGCCCTCGATCCAGTGACCAAGCTGATTAACACCGGCATCCCAGTCTTTCAAACGGTTCCGCATGCCATCAATCTGCTTGAGATCCAGTACCTTGGGCTGCACCCAATGGATTTGTGCAACCTGCGCCACCTGATCAATCGAACCCTTCAACAATCCTAGGGATAAAGCCTTCATGACCAGGTGCTCGATCTCATCAGGCTGCACCTTCGTCTCAGAGGCGATAGCATCGAAGGAAAGGGAACGGTCATGGGGTGGGCGGTGGAAGACCATCTCCGTCAGCGCGGAGAGAGAGATCTTCTGGTACAGGAAGACGCGGTGCGATTCGAGTAGCTTGTTCTTGCTGATATTTCCGGCGAGCACGTCGTAGGCGCCCAGATCGCCGCGGTTGAAAGCGAAGAGCAGCTCACGCAACCAGTTGTGCGGTGTTGGGGTCAGAGTATCCAGGATCGGGTGCAGGAGAAGCTCTCCAAAGTTGTAGATGGAGTCGGAGACCAGAGCGGCGACGCTGAGGTTATAGGCGCGGGAGACGCGCTCCGTTTCAGGGAGATCTTCGAGATCGATACAGGCCAGGTACAGAAGGGCATTTTTGTAGAAAGAGGCGAATTCTTGCTTAGCCTAGAATTGTATTTGTTAGTATACCAACGACTCTGTTTGCCCTCCCCGTGGTTTTTGGTCGCAAGGTAAACCTACGTGGAAGTAATCCGCGTTCACTTTGTAGAATGACGCATGCACCACGGTCTCGACTGAGTCGAACGAGTCGAGTGCCTTTTGGCAGGACGCCAGGTCCTTCTGTGCCCCCTCCAGATCCTCCAGCTTCAGTTTGACATTGGCAACATCGGCAAGCGCATAGACGTGTGCATCTTGTGATTCGGGCTTGTCGACCTTGTCGGCGAGGGATGTGAGGAAAGCGAGGCGTTCTTTATCATCTGTTGTGTCCCGTACGTAAGCAATTGTTCATGTATCCAGGTACAAGGTGTTCATGTATTCAGGAGAAGGCTCGAGGGGGTTCAAATTACCGGCACACTCCGTCGCGGCCATCAAACCCAGCGCAACGAACTTGAGCTGGTTGATCCGGTCGGCGAAGCTAAGGACGAAGTTCTTGAAGAAGGCTAAACGCTGCGGGGCACTCTCTGGCAGTTTGAAGAATTCAACCAGTGCGTCTGTCAACTGATGCCATAGCTTGCGCTCCCAGAAGTCTTCAAAGGTGAGGAGATAGGTCTGGGTCTCGGGGGTGCCATTTGCTTGCTGCTCGGCCAGGAAATCGGGGATCTTGGACTCCATGGCGGCGAGCGGGAGAGTGAGTGATGGGGGTTCGTAGATGAGATCACTCGTAGGAAGAAATGGCGATGATGGACAATGAAGAGGGTATGAAGGAGGAGAGTCGTCAAGAGATGTGGGGATTGGAGGGAGACACCGGCCGGAGCTGATGATGTCTTTCCATTTTGGAGCTCCCGGGCGGTGAGCAGCTACTATTGGTGGTGGTATACATTCAGTTTTCGAGATAACAACAACCCTGCAGAAATGGTCAAATGAGTATATCTGGGTCATTCATAGTTGTATACTATCATATCAATGAGCTTGAAGGAGTTAGGCTTGATTCCATTATGTTTGTCATCTATATGAAGTGAAATAGCTTTCTGAAATACGTAGTAGTACCTGAGTCCAGACCGTGCAGATCATAAATCCACCCTAGCTACTACTACTACTACTACTACTACTACATTAGTGATATTCTAAATTCGAACCTCGGACATATTTAGTCTTCCCACTCATCCCAGTATCTCTCCGGTGTTCCCCCTTCATCGTGGTGGATTGACGTGGGGTGGTGAAGGGGGAAGTTTCCGAGAAAGTCTGAATGTCTCCGAAGGGTCCTTAAATACTTTTGGGTAGACCTGCCCGCTACGGAAGGTTCCCCTCTTTACAACATTCTCTCCATTTTTTTTTATGAGTCTTTAGTCTTTCCTTAGAGAAATCTTCTATCTTCTCATCCTGATACTTTCTCAAGACAAGAAGCTCATTGAAATCACCTTCACCATGACTGACTTCACCGAGGCAAATCGCAAATACTTCGAGTAAGATATGCTACCTAAACCACATCTATTTGGTAGACAGCTGACTGGCCTTTCTATAGCCAAATGGCGACCGACTACAAAGATCGGTTTGCCAATGCGATGAAGACGCTGTCCGATCAGACATTGAAGCACCGGCTCTGGCTGAGTGATCGATGGACAGATACTGAGGCTGGCCAAGACAACGGAGTTAAAATGCTTGAATACGCCTGTGGACCAGGTGTGATCTCAATGGTGAGTTGAATTCTGTTTTTCTTCTTCTTCTTTTTCACCAAAGAGACCATTAGACTAATACTTCTTCACTTTATTGCAGACGCTTGCTCCATACCTGTCAAAGGTCGTTGGCATCGACGTCTCCGATAACATGATTGACGAATTCAATCGCAATGCCAAATTGATTGATATAGCCGATAAGATGGTTGGATATAAAGCGGATCTACTAAACGATTCCGTTCCTGCCGAGTTTTCGGGTCCTGACTTTAAAGAGTTCGACATGGTGGCAGTCAGCATGGCCTTGCACCATTTTGAATACCCGCAGATGGCCCTTCAGCGACTCGGAAGCCGACTGAAGAAGGATGGTGTGTGTATGATCATTGATATATTGTCTCGCTCCGGACAGGATCATGGCCACGGCGATGGCCACGGCGAGGGAAAGCATGGTCATAACTTCGGCGATGCCGCCCACACGGTCAAGACTCACGGATTCTCCCGAGACGATATGCAGAAACTGTTTGAAGGAGCTGGGCTAGGTCGTGGATTCAAGTATGAGGTGATTCCTGAGGAGTTGGTTTTCAATAAGGGCGAGAAGACGCACAACGTAACCGTGTTCATTGCTCGTGCTCAGCGCTCTTGAAACACAAGATCGAATTGCTAGTAACCGTGGCACCACCATCTCTGAGATTTTGAATATATGTCATTTAAAGAATAAATGCGAGTGCTTCCATACAACTATGGGGTAGGTTGTAGACCGGGATGATCCATGTCATTCCAGCGTCTTCGGAGTGGGTCTCTCGACGACCCACTGACCGGAGGACCCTTTTTGAATGAAAATAAAAGCCCGGCATCTTGAAATATAGCCTTAGACTCGGAGACCGCAGAAACTCGATGGTTTACTCCGTAGTTCACCTGGGCATGTTGGTTAGGAAATATTTCCCTGGGGCTTGAATTGTGCGATGGATGAAACTTGGGCCTACCAGTATATTTTACATTTATCCTTTTATTATTCTGCAGTAGTTCTACGGCCACACATTGTACATTGTCTTAGATGGACAACTTGAACTTGAACCTTGGAAGAGTCCTAAAATAGCTCGGGGTCGGAGGTCGGCATTAACCATCAAGGGGCAAGCGGCCCCAAAACTTCCCATTTCCCAACGCCATCTCAAATTTCCTTTGAGATTATGGGCCACGAATCGAATCACTAGGGGACCGGCCTGCGAATAGTTCACTTCGAAGGCTTGCTTGCCAGTTAGCGATCCAATCGCATCTCAGAGCCCAGCGCCACTCGGCTCTTGGCAGGGTCCAGGTTGCCCTTTGCTCGTTTTTAAGGGACTAGATGCATCAGTTCCTCCGAAGGAAAGTTTGATGCTAGCGCCAATGGGGAGTACAGGCCCGGAGGATTGCTTTCAATGCTTTGGCATATAAGCAACGCCTGGGAACTTGGCTTGGGGTTCCGCACCTTCGATCTTACTGCCAACCGTCTCTCGTTAATCCCTGGCAAGACACTCTTTTTAAACCACTCGAACGGTCTCGACTTAATATCTCACAACATGAAGACATTCACCACAACCCTCCTTTTTGGCCTTGCAAGCATCGCATTCGCCCGCACCGATCTCGCTGGTTGCACCTCGTCGCAAACCACCAACCAGTGGCATGAAGCCAGTATGATTTGGTGGGTGCCCGAGAGCGGCGAAATTTGCGATTTCGTTGACTGTGGTGGTGGTCGCGCTCCTCCCAAGACTACTCAACCTGGCTGCCCGCTTTACTCTGGCACGGCCACACTCACACCCAACTATATGCCTGGATGGGGCCCCAACGGCAAGATTGCCGCGTCGACTACCACAGTCGCCGAAACCACTTCTTCTTCTTCTTCTTCCAAGGCAAAGACAACCAGCGATTCAACTGAGTCTGCGACCACTACAACAGACTCTATGGTCACCCCTGCGCCTACTTCTTCCCCTGCTGTTTCTATGACTACTGCGACCTCGCCAATCTCGAAGTCTGGAAACGCCACTTCTTCCGCGGCAACCTCAACCAAGACAGGAAATGCTGCCGGTGCATTGTCCGCGAATATGGGAGGTATTATGGTCATTGCTGCTGCTGTCATGGGTGGAATGGCGCTGTAATCTACAGCACGCTTTTAGTGATGTTCAATATCCAGACTGTTTCAATGCATAGAGTATTTTCCATAGAGTTGAGACAAACTCAGTCTATAACTAATTCTAATCAACGCTACGAACATTCAGAAAAAATCAAAAGCTAGTTCCAGTTCCCGGCCAACCAAATCTCTTCTGCCTTTTTTGGATCCAGAAGCTCATCAATAGTCCACGGGGTGTGCACATAGCCTCGTGGAACATTGGTATTCTGGAATGTAGTGCCATCTCGCAAATGAGCCAACGCCTCGTCATAATTGTCGATAGCGTACTGTTCTGGATCATGTTTCCATAACCAGGCACCCAATAATGCGACAAGAGTTCCCTGAGGGTTGTCTTCATCAACCGGGCGGCTTCGAGCTACTCCGTTGATAATCCCTATTTTCTGGAGACAAGAGACACGGTCAAATCTGATTTTCATGCATAGTTAGCATTTTGCCGCAATGATTCATATTGACAAACCAACCGTAGCGTGTTATGAACCCGGGCAGCCCAAGGTATATTGTCCTTCATTGAGACCTGAAGACAAGTTGCCAAAGAAACGGCGTCTTCCAATCCCTGAGTTGCCCCATTTCCAGATGATGGAAGAAAAGTGTGTGCTGCATCGCCAACCTGAACAACCCGCCCAGCTGGCGATACCCAGCAAGGTTGAGACTCTCGTAACACCAATTCAAAATTGTGAATATGGTCCCTAGGGGTCGCCCGGATTGCCCGATCCCCAATTTCAGGCCATCCTTCGATCTGTGAGGTTTTGTGAAGTACGTCCCGGGGGTCTGCCATGTTAGTCCAGGACTCTATCCCCTCACTCTGGTCCTAATAATTTTGTTAGAACTGGAAAATCCACATAGGAATATATTCTTACTGGATGAACAAAAGCCCAAGACAGATGATCGGATGTTCTTTCCCACAGGCAGTGATATTCCGGATGTCTATATAGTAATTAGATGAATTCTCCCCCGAGAAAAGAATCACATACCCCTGCCAAAGCTCCACAAGAGCTATCCCATTTTCCACACCAGAAAATCTCTCAGACATGAGAGAGTCGGCCTGAACTACCTCGATAGGGATAGTTCCTCGATAAATCGAGGTCCCGGATGACCTGGCTCGAACCTCTTTGCCCATTGTAATGATTGAAGACTTACTTCCAATTCCATCGGCAGCGATGATTAAATCGGCTTCAATTATTTCCTCATTTTCGAGGACCACACCGGCCTTTTGACTTGCAGCATCTTCATGATATTCAACTGCGCGTTTTCCGTACTCGACAAAGATACCAATTCTCTCCGCTTGATCGGACATCATCTTATGAAATCTAAGTCGATTATGTCGATAGACCCTGTTTGGACGCTCAATACCATTGAACGTGGTTTCGCCATCATCACTGGCATTTAACTCAACCGGGGAAGGACCGCCGACCTTCTCTCCATTGATCTTATGCCATGAAGTCCAAATCGTATATGAAATGCGTCCATTTTCCTCCGCCATTTCTGGCCACTTTTGCAAAGCACGAATCGCAGCAGGCCCAATACTGATTCCGTCGCCTGAAATTTGAATTAATTAACTCAGAATTTCCGAGATCTGGAGAGAGGCTCCTACCTGATCGAAGGCGCATAGCGCTCTTTTCGATAATTCGAACATTGTGCCCTTTACGCCAACATTCCAGGGCTGCCAGAAGCCCGGATACTCCGGCCCCAACAATAAGAACAGAAATTCCTGTGGGTGGCGACCTTTCAGGCAGTCGTCTTGTTGACCGGTCAAAATCTTGTGTCATTTGTGGCACGGAAGGTACATTCATGATGAAGAAAAGTAGTAAAGTCGTTTAGTACTAGTTCGTAGATTTGATCTTTAATTGCAAGAATTGCTATTGTATTTTACGCAGATTGGCGACTCATTGTCTTCTTATATAGAGATGCTCGAGGCTTTTGGCCCGATGCTTCGAAGACGGAGGCGGGATTCCGTTCGGCCGGGTAATAATCAGACAGCCCTATGGATGCATTGTAGCCAGTGTCCTTCACGAGTCAAAATGATTGCTTTCAATATGCATGAAGTATTTCTCTACAAATTCTGTGGGATTTCCGCACCTTCGCCGAGCGCCAGAAAATCGTCAAACGGAAAGTATGTATCTAACGACATGTTGAACAGGAGGTCAAAATCAGCCGGGTCTGGTATTTCTTGGGACCGGGATTTGTCTAAGGCCTCCTTCCTTTGGCGATGGCATTCTTTCATGAGGCGCATCCTATTTGAAAGTCTCCCAAAGGCCTCGGGTAATTGAGCTGTGGGCTGTGGGCCAGATTCTCGCTCGATGAGCTGTCGAGCACCTTCGAGTTTGTGCATTAGTCGGTCGATCGTTTGATTAAAGTCAATTGTATTCTGCACATATTCAAGGTCCCATCCGATTTCGCTCTGGAACAGGCTTAAACGAGAAAGGGCGACGACCGCGTGGCCAAATTGACACCAGATAGTGAAAGGTAAATAGGTAAAACAATGAGACGAGAGTGAATTGAAACCATTGAAAAATGACTTTGTCGCTTGAAGGCAGCGGAAGAGAATGTCCAACCGTGTGAGAGTATAGCCACTACACTCAGCATCTGAAAGTTCCTCGCTGAGAGCAACTTGATATAATAGTATTTCCAATGTATCGTAATGGAGATTGAGTATATCTGCGTTGTATATAGTATGAGGTGGTATTCGAGTCAAAAATGGACTAGAAGGCTTACTTGAATAAGGTGACTCGCAGGAGAACGAGGTTTTCATCTTTCGGAGGTCAGGCTCGAAGCCTCGTATACTCAAGCCCAGCGGACCTGAGAGCCCCGGGTAATCGAACTCATCGAAGCAAATTGTGTGAACAATTCTATCGGCAAGATGCATAGTACGAACCAAATGAACAAGAAAGACATCGGTGGCAGATTCTAATTCCACCTCTATTATCTTGCAGCATTCGTCTGTATATTTCTTGAACCGAAGTGGTTCCATGTCTCTGACACAGGAGGACAACCTGTAATTTTGTCAACGTTTTGCTCGCTTCTCAAGAAGAATGTATGATCGGCGCCCGTACATAACAGTCAAATAGTAGCATCCTAAATAGGCGCGTCGCTCTTCTAGCGTGCGTAAAGGCTTCGAGTCAACCAAGGCATCCAGTTTCCTTACATAGCCGATTGGCTTGGTCAATCTATTCGGGGAGCTTAACCCCACAGCTAGATGTAAGCTTACTAGCTGACCCAGAGCTAATTGCATAAAGGCATCTAGTTGTGCGGGGCCTTGAGTAGCCTGCTGTGGGGTCAATCCTGGTAGTACTTCTCCAGTCTGTCCAGGAGCAGGCGAATGTCCTATGAACCATGCTAAGAAAACAAGGAGACCTTGTAAAAGATCGAGACTCCGCTCACTCCGTAAAACAATATGCTCGGCTACATATTCCTTGACGGTCTTGGAGAGCTCTCGTTGACGCGATGCACTCTGGCACGCGACCATTGCGAGATTAAGGAAGAGAAATGGTTTTTCTTGGCGTAATTGCTCTGCTGTGACACTGGTTGGAATCACGACAAATGGGAATAAATGCACCATTTTCGTGGCAAAATGCTCCAAAAGAAGTTCGCCTTCTTTCTCGCTTGGGCTCTCTGGGTCTTCATCAGGCAATACGGTAGACGACTTTGTAGCCGATGGATTAGAGTCAGATAATTGCGTAGCCGATGAATTTGAGGCCGCTAGCAAAGCGACCATTTGGTCTAACTTTGCCTCGAGGGCAGAGACTTCACTACTTGTTTCTTAATCAAGATTTTCTGAGGCACATGCGGTGTCACTCACACGCTGTTTTTGGTTGGCTTTTGGCGTCGATGTGCCCCAGGGGCTTGTCCACCACATTCCTTGCCTAGGCGATGGCATCTGAAGATCATTAGCCTAGTTCGGAACCATGCAGGCATTATCCATTTTACCCAACTCACCGTTTACATGTCTCATCGCTTTCCCGGTCACACCGCACCTTTGCCTTGGCGCACGCTCTACAGGCTTTCGGCATCCGCACTCCACTAGAATCGGCCATGACGTGGCAACGCTTTTTGCGAAATCTCGGGAATTTTGGCGTTAGACCATGGATGAGCAGTTAGCCAGTCTTGAAGACGTTGCTTTAATGGTCCTTATTGGTTGAGGATAGGGAGAACATGTTGTCGTGTCTTTGGGGCTGAGAGGAAGGACCCAGGGCGGTCTGGACTCCGAAATGGCTTGAACAAATCCAATTGGCATCTACCAACTAACTACTCGTACTAGTATTTGCGGTCGCAATCGATATGGATATATTTAAGGCTCGAGGGAACCGGCTGATTTAGTTGAAAACTATGGTAACCGTTCATATAAAATGAAGATAATAGAATGACGAAAGAATAGAGCGATCCGCCTTCCGTATCAAGCCCAGGAAACAGCCCCACTAGAGAGCAATGGATCATCCAAATGATTGGACATGAACTACTAATTTGTGCACTTGAAAAAGTAGTAAGTGGCATTTTCTCAAGCGGGGACGGATTCCCGTCCCTCTTCCACCTTCGAGTTGCTTGGACTAGACAACAGATTTCGTTATGAGCACTTCTGCCAGCCCAGGTTGGTGGGGCTTACAAAAAAGGAATGGTCACCTGTCCCACTTCCGAGTCCCAGGTCTATTTATGTGTCCGAGTCGGATAACTAGTAGTAACGTACGTGCGGGACGACCCCCCCGTGGGACCTATGTTTATTTGTGGGGTACAGGGACGATCTTAGACCAAGGTTCATCAAACTTGATAACTAAGCAGAATTATTCAAATACCTGGAAATCATTCTAAGCCATCTGCATTCCTGTGTTCCACAGTTTCGCATCCCTCTGCATCTAACACAAAATGGCTATCGCGAACCATGGAGCATCGGTTCCAGACCTCATCGCTGTTGGCAGCGAGCAGGAGAATGTAGAGGAATGGAGAAAAAGATGCAATATCGATCAGAGTTCACAGATACGCCTGGTGAAGTTGGCCCATATGCGGTATCAACATCCAGACTTGAATCAAATCACGACTTTCCTCCAAGGTACGCCTCACTAAATTCTTGTTTGTGATGTAATCAGCTAAGTACTGTACAGACTTTGGTATGACCGTGGCCAAGAAGACAGACCAGGAAATCTGGTATCGTGGATATGGTGATGATCAATACGTCTATTATGCTCGAAAAGGACCCAAGAAATTTCTTGGGGGCACTTTCGCTGTTGAGTCCTACGAGGATTTGGAGAAGTAGGTCTACTGTTAATTTCCTACTTCACTTAGATCTGACCAAGACTCAGGGCCTCAAAGCTACCGACAGCTAGTAGTATCGAAAAGCTGTCCAACTCTCCCGGCGGTGGATTCATCGTCAAGTTGATTGACCCCGAGGGATTCCCACTCAATTTGATGTATGGGCAAGCCCCAGCAGAGAAAGGGGAATATCCGGAGAAACTTACTATCAATTATGAGCAAGACAAGCCTCGCACTCGCAGGTTTCAGCGTTTCGAACCAGGCCCAGCAGCCGTGCACAAGGTGAGTAACCCTTATTTCCTTACGTCTCTGTCTAGCTCAGTATTAAAATATTGATTTTCCCAACTAGCTGGGACATTTTGGTCTATGTACCCAGGAATTTGAGAAGATGGTCAATTTCTATACCACAACATTCAACATCGTCCCGACAGACTTTCTATACGTCGAAAAGGAGGGAAAGAAGCACAATGTCGCGTTATTCGCACATATCGATCGTGGAGCTGACTACGTGGACCATCACAGCTTTTTCATAAGCACCAATGCCACAACTCATGTCCATCACTGCTCATTCGAAGTCCATGATTTCGATACCCAGAAGCTTGGGCATCAGTGGCTTGCTGAAAAGAAGTATGAATCTGTGTGGGGTGTCGGGCGACACATTCTTGGATCGCAAATCTTTGATTACTGGTGGGACACCACTGGAAACATGATTGAACACTACGCAGATGGAGATCTTGTGAATAATCAAACTCCCATTGGTTATGGTCCCGCAGGAGACGAGTCGCTGGCAGTGTGGGGCCCTGAGGTACCTGCCTGGTTTTTGAAATAGAATTCTCATCTTTGAATGTAACTCACATTGGAATTCTTGAATTTCGTTTTCCTTGTTTTCAAACTTTATACTCTTAGTCCAGAGTTTGGGGCTTGTAAAGTTTCCCTACTAAATTGATTAGTTGTCCAACAAATAATGCTCAGCTGGCTCCGGGAGTCGAAATTTGAGCTTTTGAGGTCATATACCTAGAATCAAGGGTTCAAATACATGATACATAGTCATGTATGGTCAGATAGAAAATCCGATCACATCAAATTTAGAATGTGCAAATAGTCTTGTAAGGAGTCAATCTGCATGATAAAAAGGCAATCCATGGATTGTGAATGCAAGCTTTCTCAACAACATTTTGTACAGGATCTATAAGTAATGGATCGGGTTCAACAGAAAAGTGTAATACCACTGAAAGTCTTTTTTATTTATTCTAGAAAGCTAATGTAAGCATCTGAAACAGATAGCCAGGCTCAGTGGCTCTCGTAGCGCACTAGATTGACCAAAGTTCCGATCTGCTCTATCTGGACCGAAATCTCATCGCCATCTCTGAGGACGACTCTAGGATCCCAAAAATAGCCAATACCGGCTGGTGTGCCGGTCAGGAAAATAGTGCCTGCCTCCAGGGTTGTGCCTTGAGACAGATAAGAGATCTGCTTCTTTATCGAGAAGATCATATCCTTCGTATGTCCGTCCTGAACAGTATTTCCGTTATGAATTGCCTTAATAGACAGGCCCTGGGGATCTTGAATCACAGAGGGAGCCACAAGGACAGGACCTTTGAACAATTTATTCATTAGTAAATTGAAATCGAAAAAAGTTCTGCTAAGTCGGCAGCTTACCAATAGGACAGCTTCCATCAAGTCCCTTGGAAAAGGACCACTGAGTGGTAATCATTTGCATGGTACGAGCAGATACGTCGTTGGATGCAGTGTATCCCAGAACATAATCAAGCGCGTCCTCCTCAGGGATATCGCGGCCTGTTTTTCCAATAACCAGGCACAACTCTGCTTCATAGTCGCTTGTCTCATCTTGCGCACACTTGGGAATGTTGATTGCCGCGGGGTATGGTCCAATCAGTGCACTTCGAGGTTTGGTGAAAAGAATGGGTGCTTTAGGGAGTGCCATATTGGCTTCCTAGGAGCTTTTAGTAATTGTTTTCCAACACATTCTAGAATGCGAACCTGCGCATGGTCCATATAGTTCAGCCCGAGGCAGCGAATATAGTTACATTCTTCCCGAGCAACCGGCGAAAGTAACTAAGATTATGTTAGTGTGGCCTTGGTCGTAGAGAAATTAAGACACTTGCCTGCTTAACGTGCATGATTTCTCCGGTAACACGACCATCATAGATAGTTCCCTGAATCACATATGCTGCAATTTGAACTCCATTTGTACTGTCCTTGCCGATATCGCGAGAAGTATCGACTAACTGCCCGAGGTGGACCAGACTGTCCTCCACGGCAATGAACCGAATGAGATGTGTCCAGGAAGGCATTTTGCAGAGTCTTTTGGAACGAGTTGACTCCGGATTGATCGAGATCGTAAGAGTGACAAAATTGATGTACACTCACGTACTAAATACTGGGGTGATAAAAGCCTCCACTTGAACTACGGGGTACGGTCGGTGGGACCGAAAGCCCCATCTCGGATATACGATGCCTACTCCAAACGGATATAGACCACACGCATAAGTTACCAGAAGAAGTGATGATGTGTCCAATCGGATAACGAGAGAAAATTGGAAGCGTCCCGCCCCCTCTTCCCACTTCTGGATTCTACATAGCTGTGGCCTTGCTGCTTGGTCGTCTCTTCCCCGGCCGATCGTAATGTGGGACCCAGGAGATGCGGGACCTCACCACTTCCAAGTGAATCGCGGAGAGGCTCATCAGATCGACTTGAAATGAGAAGACTTTAAAACCCGTTATCAATTTGACGTTGCCCTGGGGAAGAACTGAAGCGAAACTGTGTCTTTTATGGTTATGTCTGAAGTCGATTGTGAAGCAACCGATGTGGTGATTTGCGGCTGTGGCCCAACGGGGGCTATGTTGTCGGCATATCTGGGCCAGATGAATGTCCGGAACATTGTATTGGAACGAGGGACAGAGATCACAACCGACCCTCGTGGAATTGCTCTCGACGAAGACGGTATTCGGCTCCTACAAGGTCTTGGTCTGTATGCGTCGATATATACGCAAATCGGAACCTGTAAGTCAATATTTGAGTGTGCAGGCAAATTGATAGATTTTGTCAGCAAGCGCCTTGAAACACAAATTTGGAAACTCATAGAACTTTAGGTATGAATATGTTCAAATTCATCGGAGGAACGACACCAATTTTGGACAAACCCGCTTTTATCGAGATGGATTATGCAACAGTGAGCAATTTACCCATGCGTTTGTGCAAGCGACAATATAGAATTTCTTACACCATCTACAGACTGAGGGTGGTACCGGCCATGTCGGATTTATCTGTCACAAACAACCAGTACTGGAGAAGAAACTACGAGAAAGAATGGCAGCATTAGAAGAATGCGAACTTCGCTCCGGCTGTGAAGTCACGGCCCTATCCGAAGATGAAGATGGAACCTTGTGTGTCTATCGTGATTCAGAAGGTAAAGAGCGAAGAATAAAATCGCGTTTTTTCGTAGGGGCCGATGGGAAGACTGGATTCACTCGAAAGCAATACCTAGAGTCCAAAGGAATCGTCATGGAGCAGGCTCATCAGTATGTCGCAACAACCTTTCTGCATATAACAATAGCTGAATACTCAATGATAGGGCATTTTATGAGGAAACCTGGGTGGCATTGAACTGGCAGATTGAACTTCCCAACGAGAAGACACATCCCGATTTTCCACTGTGGAAATTAAGTTATACGCCAGAACAAGTCTACGATCTTTTCTTTCCTGTCAATTTCCGGTTTGTTTGTAACCCAAATAGACCCTCTGTTTGTGGCCGTTTTGGCCTACCTCTGGACCGACTATGGAGATTTGAATTTGTCGTTATGAAAGACGAAGATGGCAATGAGATGTCGAAGCCTGAAATGATCCAAAAGGTTGTATATCCCTATATCACTCACGCAGGTAGTCGGTACGGGTGAGTAACTCTCTCGGTGTATTTTATTTTATTTTCAACTAACATAGTAGACAGTCTACCTCAAGATGTTACGTTCCCTGAAGATTGCATTAAAGTTCTTCGCTCTCGGCCTTTCCGGTTTTCGGCTCGCAGCTGCAACAGGTGGTCTGATGGCCGTGTCGTCCTATGCGGTGATGCTGCTCATGTATTTCCGCCATGTATGTGTGAAGTTACCAGGGCCTCAAAAGCTCAATACGTGCTAACTCGCTTGGTAATAGTTGGTGGTCAAGGTATTGCGTCTGGGTTTCGGGACGCTGTTTCTTTAGCATGGCGCCTCGCCATTCTCTGTCGCAAGAAGCCAAATCGCCCAAATTCTGACGGAAAGGTTCTCAAAGCATGGTACGAAGAACGCAAACAGCAACTAGAGAAATCTTTGGCATCAACCATCGAAAATGGGAAGTTTGTCACTGAAAGCAATCCTCTCAAGATTACACTGCGAGGGGTCTACCTGTGGCTGATTCAATTGATACCATCCTGGCGCCACGAGCTTCGACTTGGACGCCGCAAAGAAGGAATGGTGCGATATAATTATTCTGAAGGGATGCCATTCCTTCCAGAATTCAAAGGCGGCCTGTGTCTTCCGCAAGTCTACTGCAAGTCAATTGGAAGTGACGGAAATGAAATTTCCTTCACAGATGATGTGATATTCTCACAAGAGAAAAAGGGCCTATTTCAGCTTTTGATTGTTGTCAAAAGTGTCAGGGAGGCATTCTCGGCTCTGGACACTGTGTCCAATATTGGAGAAATATCGAACGGAGAGATGGATCTCCATGAGACAACACTACTAGTTGAGGATGCAGCATGCGGTACTCGCGAAAATGCACCACATATTTTCCGAGTAGCAACTGGAGAGGAGTTCGCAAATTCTCCTCTATGCGAGAAACGACCAAGTCCCGAGTTCTACGACCCATTCATTATTGGAAAACACTTGGAAGGTATGAAGTTTGTTCTATTACGCCCGGACAGATTCGTTTTTGCGGCTTGTGACACCAAGGATGATTTGAAAAGTGCTGTACAAAGTACTGTATCGTATATGAAAGGGCAATGCAAGGACAAACAGGGTCTGCAGCAGTCTCATTGAAATGTATGCGGAATTAATATTCCATTTGCAGGGATCTCAAAGTTAGAGAATGAAATAGCTCGAGCTGTAGGTTTCAAAGCATTCTGTAAGATGTTGTGGGAATATAGGCGCATCAGGGAATTATTATTTTTACATCTGCCTCAATGAAGAAATCAGGATGAACTTTCTTGCTAGAAGAAACTAGGAATAAACTTCCACCCCAACCAGGCAACACCTCCAACTGCAGACCACCCAAGAAGCCCCTTCGCAATTAAAATCACTTTAATAACCCTGAATGTCTTTTTTTCGTTCACCTTAGGGAATTCTGAATCAGGAACAGCTTTGTTCAAGAACGCGCAAAGAGGCTTCCATCCATCCTCTGCCTTAAATTCTAAAACCTCACGGCTTCGCTCCTTGGCAATCGTCCTCACCATATCATTATGCCTTTCGTACATGATTTTATTAAATGGGTCGTTTGACCCATATTGCTCCTTGCACCAATCGAGAATATGCATATTCATGCGGTACCACAACCTATCCGACTTCCACAAAAAGCCAATCAAATAGAATGGCCGAGTGAAGAAAAAGCCCAAGCTAGAATAGCAGCTTTCCGCCCATGCCGCAGCATCTGGGCGGGTGCTGAGAACTATCTTCGCCTCCGGATACATCTCCAAAAGTTCGGGGAGAAAGAATACAGCAGGCATATCACAAACAGTTTCGTAGCCGTCCACGAGTTGGCGAATGAGCTTTTGGCGTCGCTGATTGTCTCTTTCTTTGGCGGCCTCAATAAGGGTTTTCATTCTGTCTGGGTGTGGAATGATCTGTGCCATATGGAGACATGGGTCAAATCCAAGTTCCTCGAGAGCTGCTTGCAATGATGAAGTTGCCGTTCGGGGCAGACCAGCCCCGATAACAAGCAAAGGTGACTTTTTTGTCGGCCGCGCACGCGAGTCAGTGACGAAACGGACCATGGTGAATATGATAGGAATTTCCAGGTGCTATTGGGATTGAGGAGATATTTGAAAATACTGTGTTCTTAAGAATGTGGCAAGTGAAATTAAGGCGTCCAATCTGATGTCAGCAAAACAAAGAGTTCCAAGGTTATCTACTCCGTATTTCAGCCCAGTTCTTGTCTGGTTTACATGCAGACGCCCGGGATACAAGATCAAGAATCTTTGTGAAAGTTCATAAGAAGATATCCCAAGCAGCGTAATGAATTTAGGTTGGAGCTTAGCAATGCATGAATAATACTAGTAGGAGCATCCCTGAAAATTGGTGGAAATTTATTTTGAAAGAATATCACGAATTCTATTCCACCTAAAGTAGATATAGTATAAGATGGTCAACTGATCTTCGAGACCAACCATTCGAGAAAGAAATGTATCAAGGTCCGACTCATGAAGTTGCGGACGGTAGTACGGGTGAGTCATGACCTCGTTTAATCTCCTCGTTTAACTCCCGCAAGAACCCCAGCAAATTTCCCCACATCAACTCAATCCCTGAAAATCATCACAATGGCTACAGAAGAACCTGAATACCAGCTCATTGGACTTTATACCCGATACTCCAGTCAGTGATCCATTTACAATGGCATAACACTACTAATTCGTCTAGGTTGGACGTCACGGGTCGAAGCTGTTTTGGAGTACTTTCAAATTCCTTACAACCCCGTGTTTGTGAAGTTATCTGATGTACAGTACACTGCGAGCTATAATAATCCGCCGTGATATTTTAATAACATGTACTGACGGGGTACTAGGTCAAAGCTGTGTCTCCAACGGGATTAGTCCCCGTCCTCGAATGTCGTTCACTAGGCTCCACCCCCATCGGCGATTCACTTGCAATCTGCGAATTCCTCGCGGAATCTCACCCTGAAATCCCACTATGGCCTCGAGATCGTCAGCTTAGAGCTCTTGCTAGAAGTGTTGCGTCGCAGATGCACTCTGGATTCTCTGCTCTCCGGGGCGCGTTCGGTACCAACTTCATCGCTAGGTATACCGGAAACGTCCCAGTCTCAGCGGAGGCGCGAAAGGATGTACAGCGCATTCTATCTATCTGGGGCGAGGCTCGTAAAACGACTAAAGAGCGCCTCCTAGCGCTGGGTCAGGTCGATGAAGGGTTTTTGTTTGGAGGGTTCAGTATTGCCGACGCATTCTTCTGGCCAGTACTTTGGGTAAGCACCTTAAAAAGAATGCGACATTGCATAAATTGAGATACTGATGGCTGGTAGCGATTTCGAACGTATGGTCTTCCCTTGGACACCGCGAGCGAAGATGCTCTTATCTGGATGGCCCAAATGTGGAACGATCCAGTCTTTCGAGGACTGGCGGATAAGTATTACGAGCAATCGGAAGACCCGGAGACAGTGCTTGCACATTATGATGATATATACCGGGGCCAGCAAGACATCCAGTATAGCCAGTTTCCCAGAGATTGGACCTTCTCAGCGAGTTAGTACTGGACTGGCGCCTCTTTTCTATAGGCCACTCACACTCAGCGTCAGAGTTGAGACTTAACATGGGACTAAATGGTATGTATACAATTGAATAGCTTGATTAAGATTGCGAATTCCCAGTCTACACTCCAATGCGTATACCTATATAACAAAGCGAACTAGGTATCGCAATGTGGATCCTATTATACTATACTAGTAGCTCATTCCATATGACGTCAATACTCAGCCCCCTGTCCTTGGTCACGGAAGCCAAGTTTGACAATCTTCAAATTTCTGTACCACTCTATCTTTCTTCTTGCCCATTGAACCTCACCTTCAAGTTGATACTATATCACAATATGTCTCAATCGTTTGCGCTCCTCCGCCGTCAGCGCACGGATGATCTCTCCAAGCTCGCTGATCAGCACATGCAGCATGATTTGCAATTCGAGGATCGCGACGCACTCAAATCTGCAGCCTCTACTGTTTCTCTGTGGACAACAGTTGGATCAGCTGTAGGTATCGGACTTGGGCTCTATGCGGCTGTTCGCTTGAGAAGCACCCGCAAGGCGTTTTTTGCTGCTGTTCGGGCGCAAGAGAGACCGACCAAGGTCGTCTTCGCGGATGGGCGGACTGGTATGTAACTGGCGGACAATTCGACTATGATTGAAACCTATATTTATTAATTTTTGAATTATAGAGCCAATTCCCGACCTTACACCGTTGCTTAAACCGACTACCCTCGGTGATTTTGCGACATACTTCTTTGCCTCTGCCGGCGGGCTATTTCTAGGCGGAGAGCTTGGTAAGAACTTTCTATTAATGAATTAAACAAAACGATGATCTATAGGTTCTAACATCAATGAATCAGGCTTTGCTGCTGGAGCGGCCAGTGCAAGCAGCAGCATCTCTACTGACCCCGAAAGACGAAAGAGAATCGAAACCGCATTTCGGAGATTCCGAGCCGATGTGCTCCGACGAGAGGCCGATGAATTGGACAAGGGGGCAAATGTTTCTGATCTGATGTTGTAAAATAAGAGTCTTACCGGATATCATATATCGTTCTTAACTACTAAGGCCTCGAAGAATCCAATGGCGAGAGATTGTTTTCGACCTTGTAACTTTCATGTGCACCTAGTCCAACGAGAGCAGCAGAGGGTCTAAGCGCCCAGATATGGAGAGTATTATTCTATTTACCCCAACTTATCTATTGGAACTGATGCGGGGGCCGCAGTATATCGGCAGTCGCACATTGCGGACTTTGTGCCGCTCACCGTTCCCCGCTCTTATCAATTGGCCCATTATCTTTCATGAATGCCAGTGGAACACCGAGAACTCCATCGTATAAAGAGTAGTTTGATTTCACCATGGCTAACGCATCTTTACTTCACGCGACCTGGGCTAGGCCATCCTTGAAATTGCTTCCTTGCCGGAAACCAACCTCTTATCAACGCCTTCGAAAATCATTCTCAACTACATTCTATCGCAACATGCTGAGTAGTGAATTATCTGAAGCTGATGTCTCGGCTCTGCGAGTGAATAAAGAGAGACTGGCAAGAGATCTTCACCACTCATGTCAGTGGGGGTTTGGTATTCGATGGGGCGAGTAAGTATCACTCTGAAGGGACATTTACATGCGGGAGAGGCTAATTATGGTGTACGTAGTGAGTCAACAGATACTGGAATGCAGCGTCTTGCATTATCAGAGGAGGATAAGAATGTTCGAAATTGGTTTATTCAAACCATGAAGGATCTCAAGTGCGACATTACAGTCGATGAAATGGGTAATATCTTCGCCGTTCGCGCAGGTAGAAGAAAGGATGTACCCGCTACATTCATCGGCAGCCATCTTGATACACAGCCGACTGGAGGAAGATATGACGGCATCCTGGGTGTTCTTTCTGGAGTTGAAGCCCTGAAGCGGATGGATGAGATGGGGCTCGAGACAGAGGGGGGTGTGGGTGTGGTAAATTGGACGAAGTAAGTGGCATGGCTGCCGCCTCTCTCCAAACCTTGCTGACTATGATTTTACAGTGAGGAAGGGGCTAGATTCCCGGTGAGCATGATATCGTCTGGCGTATGGGCAGAGTGCATTCCTCTATCCAAGGCACATGATCTCAAAGAAGTGCCAACAGTAGCATCACTGCCTACTGCGGCCTCGGCCCCGGAGACGATGAAGTCAGCATTGCAGAAGATCGGCTACCTAGGCAGCGTGCCTTGCTCATACAAGTCCACTCCGATGGCAGCACACTTTGAGCTTCATATCGAGCAAGGTCCCCATCTCGTTTCTGCGGGCCAACAGGTCGGGGTTGTCACAGCAGTGCAGGCCTATCGTTGGTTCCGATTGAATGTCATCGGGCGAGATACACACACAGGCACAACCGCTTTCGAACACCGTGCCGATGCTCTATACGCATTTGCGCGTATGATGGTTCGAGCAAGAGAAGTCGCTGCAGGACGAGGATGCCTTGCTAGTGTTGGAATTATCGAAGCGAAGCCGGGCAGTGTCAACACTGTTCCAGGAGAGGTCAGCTTCAGCCTGGATATCCGTGGACCAGAGACGGAACTTGTCGCTGAGGTTGAGAAAGAACTTCGTCGTGATTTTAATGAAATCGCCGCTGCAGAGGGCGCTGGGATCGGCAAGCCCTGTCGGGTCGAGTGGACGCTTGACTTTGATTCTCCTGTTGTGAAATTCCACGACGCCTGCATTGAATGCGTACAGCAATCCGCTCACGCTGTTGTAGCAGATGCGTCAGTTGCAGATCCCAAGTCACTGGTTCGGCCCATCATGAGTGGTGCCGGCCATGACAGTGTCTTCACCTCGAAGCGTGTTCCCACGAGTATGATATTTGTGCCCTGTAAAGATGGACTCAGTCATCATCCTGAGGAGTTTTGCTCAGCAGACGACTGCGCGACCGGAGCATCCGTCATATTGCAAGCCGTTGTGCGGTACGATCGGATGAGGTTCGCATAGGGCTGATGAGGATTAGTACATATGTTAAACCAGGCCCGAAATTTACATCAAATCAAATATTGATAGAAATCCGATCAGGTCACATCAAGAGCTGAGCATCACCAGTGAAATCTCTAGAATCTAGAATATCGAACTACAATGGTGAACAATTGGTGCACTGATCATGAATTTGCCGTTAAAACTAGCTACATCATTAAAGCCAGTGACATCGTTTCAACTTTTTTGATTTTTTCCCGTACCCGCAAGTATCAGAAACGAGGGGCCGTTTCGTAATGTGTTGAGAACCAGCCTGTTTCGAGGCCACCATTTCTGGGACCCTATTCCGGACCAAGCCCTCTGACAACATCATTCCCCAGGATGACCGAGCAGTGGATGACAGGATGGCCAAGGCCTCAACCCTTACTGGGGAGCGGCACCACCGCGGCCACGGCCGAAGCCACCACGGAAAGAGGGGGCGAACTCGCCGGGGGCACCGCCCTCCTTGCCGCCCTCCTCGCGGCGGCGGTAGCCACCCTCACGGGGAGCACGGGGACGACGCTGCTCACGGTCCTCACCGCCCATCATGCCGCGGGGAGGAGCGTGGGAGCGCTGCTGCTTGATGTGGGTGGCGGGAACAACCTCAGCGGGGAGGTGGAGCCACTCGCGGAGGTAGTCAAGACCCTCGGGGGTGAGGGTGTAGTAGTAGTACTAGTTTCATTAGTAACCTGGACAAACAATTACCACTTGGAGAATGGATCCAAAGACTCACCTGCCACGAGAACTGGGTCTTGAGGAAACCGCGGGAGGTCAGAGACTGGCAAGCCTTGATGACGAAGAGGTTCTTGGTATCAATGTCACCGTGCTTGGGAAGGTTGAAGTCCTTCTTGGCCACGAGCACACCCTCTGCAAATACAGTCAGTCAATTGTTCATATTCATATCCATCTCGGTTTGTATCAGCGCGATTGCGGCGTGTCGAAGCGAGGGAGATCGTAGCGTCGGCGAGGGTTCGTGATTACATACCGCGGAAGAGGTACTCGTGGATCTTCTTGCGGTCGTCCTTGGGGATAAGCCTGCCGCATTGTCAGTAAAATAGCATGGAAGCGAGAGAAAACAGTAAATCTTACATTGTCGCGAGTTCCTGGTGCAATTCGGGGAATCGCTTTGACAATCCAGAAAATTAATGGGTGATTTAAAGAATCAGGACGAGTGGAGCCGCGTGAAGTGGTGCGAATATGATATTCCTCTCCGGGCACCCTCTTTAGGGTTGGGGCTCTAATAAGTCACGTTACCTCAGCAAAGCCTGGGTAACCTTGGGAGGTCACATGACCATATTTGTTGCTGACTGATCAATCATGTCACATGACTCTGCCTGGACGGCAGGATGCCCCGTGATCTCCATCCCATCTTATCGCCGTCACGCCTAGAGTGTTCGCAGATCTTCCCAAACATCTTCTTTGCTCGCGCATCCGGTTCGAAGAGATCTTCCTACCTATACCTCAAGATGGCATTGCCAAATGTGAACATTCTGCTATCGTCCTTCCCTGGACTTTCGCTACCGACGACCGTCTCGTTTTCGCTGGCGTCAGCCTCGACAATCTCAGATCTGACCGACAAGGTCGCCTCATATCTCCCGTCTTCGCTTTCTCTACAGTCACTTATTCTTACTACGACAAACAACAAACAAATCACCCCCTCGTCTGATCCCCTGCGATCTCTCTTTTTCACCCGCGATGGCAGCACCTCAGACACCTCGGCTCTTCTTCCAGTCCGCCTATCTGTTCCCCTATGCGGTGGTAAAGGTGGATTCGGCTCCCAACTTCGTGCTGCCGGTGGCCGTATGTCCAGCAAACGCAAGCGCAACCAAGGCGACAACAACAGCTCCAGTCGCAACCTCGATGGCCGCCGCCTGCGTACCGTGAATGAGGCCAAAGCCCTCGCTGAATATCTCGCCGTCAAACCCGAAATGGATAAGAAAGAAAAAGAAGAAAGACGCCGACGATGGCAGGCAGTTGTGGATATGTCCGAGAAGCGACAGGATGAAATTAAGAATGGTGATGGGAAGCAAAAGGTCGACGGGCAGTGGATGGAAGACAAGGAAGAATCCATTGAGAAAGCGCATGAAGCGGTTTTACAAGCGATGAAGGATGGTGCATGGACCGACAACCTACGAGACGTGATCCTTGGCGGCTCCAGCACAAGTGCCAGTGAAGGCAGTGAGCATGTGACATCCTCTAGCTCAGACGAAGAAGAAGAGCAAGGTCCATCGTCCAGCTATGCGGGTCCCTCTGTCCCAGCGCCGAAGCCTGCTGCTCGACGTTTCATTGGTTTCGATGACGATGATGAGTTTATGAGCGACTCTGAAGAGGAAGAAGAGGCAGAGCCTGAAGGCAAGGGCAAGGGCAAGGCCCGCGCCTAAATGTATAAAACCAACATCAGGGTTATGGGTTACGACGGCGTTTATGCGTTATCTTAGTAGGGTATCTTCTGGGCGTTTGGGTTTATAGCGAGGTTCAATGTGAATAGTTAGTCCTACAGTCTCGATCTTGGAGCAATAATCAAGCAGCCAATTGAATGCTCGCGCCACACATAATGGTCTCGGTAATTGAAGCCGCCGTAGACAATATATACGTTATCAGCTAATGAAGATGACTTTAAATCAGCTGGAATTTCACTTGAAACCAAGATTCCCAAGAATAAACCCATGTCTTCATGTCTAGTCCTGAAAGGTGCCCACCCAAGGCAGGGCGACCCAGGGGACGGCGGAAGTCTTATCGATAACACTTTTCTCCGGCAGAAACTGGAAAAAGCGTGGCACCGCGCGAACTTCGTCTTGCGACAACATCCATCATGTCGGCCTGCTCTCGGGGCGCGCTGTCTAGGGCCCTACGGCTTGATGTTCTGCGACTGAGGCCGAGATATCCTCGTCAACTAGCGCTCACAATACCCTCGTTTCGCAGTACACCCCCAACCGCAAGCTCCATCACGCGCCACGGCCGACACACACCTCGTCTCTTTTCTACTACGCGCTTTCAACGAAAAGCTGCTATCGAGAATTTGACGGATGTTATACCCGTATGCTGCCCGGGGTGTGGCGCTTTTTCGCAAACAGTCGAGCCAGATGAACCGGGCTACTATGGCGCGAGCCGGAAGCAAACTCGGAAACTCCTCGCCACCAGACAACAAGCAATTGAAGAACGGAGCACAGAGCTAGGATCCGAAGGAATATCGACTATTCAAGACAGTCTCCCTGTGGATGATCCCCATGGGAATGAGGAGATGGTGGCCCCTCGGCCTATCCAAGGTATTTAATCAAGCCAACGTCACTCTCACTGTCCCTACGCTAATCCAGAATTAAAGAAGGTGCACTATTGGAGGAGGCTGAAAATCCGGACACACCGTCTCTAGAATCGCCAACCCGAACTACCCTTGTCTGTGATCGATGCCATGATCTCATCCATCATAATAAAGCGATTGCCGCGCCCAAACCAGATACTCTTGCGATACGAGATTACTTGAAGGAATCCCCCCTATAAAGACAATCGTGTCTACCATGTCATCGACGCCGCCGACTTCCCCATGTCCCTCATTCCACGAGTTCACGATGCACTGTCAGTTAAGGGCCAGCGCTCATTAAACCGACGTGCCTCACACGAAAAGTACCACGGTGGTCAAAAACTGCCTAGTCTCAGTTTCATAATCACACGTTCGGACTTGCTAGCAGCAACAAAAGAGCAGGTGGACTCGAAGATGGAGTATGTCCGCAATCAACTTCGTGCGGCTCTTGGAAGAGCAGGGAGGGATATTCGATTAGGCAATATCCACATGGTTAGTGCGCATCGCGGATGGTGGACAAAGCAGGTTAAGGAAGAAATTCGACAACATGGCGGTGGTATCTGGGTTGTTGGAAAGGCAAATGTGGGAAAGAGCAGCTTCATCGAAGCTTGTTTCCCCAAGGACCAGCGGACCATCGAAAACATGGCCCAATGGATTGAAGAGCAACGAGAGAGCGCCGAAGTCCCGAACCAGCGACAGGCATATCTACACGATCCCAACAGCATTTTACCCCCTGCGCCCCGTGAAGACCAATTCCCTGTCCTTCCGGTCGTGTCTTCCATGCCAGGAACAACGGTCTCGCCCATTCGCATTCCATTCGGCCGTGGCAAAGGCGAGGTTATTGACCTCCCAGGTATGCAGCGTGGCCAGCTCGAGGACTTCGTTCGAGATGAACATAAACGGGATTTGATCATGACCAAGCGAGTAAAACCTCAACGCTGTACGGTCAAACCCGGACAATCGCTTCTGCTTGGCGGTGGACTCATACGTCTCACTCCCGTGAACCCGGATCACACACTTCTTGCTGCTTGTTTCATTCCCATTGAAACCCATCTTACGAAGACCGAGAAGGCAATTGAAATTCAAACCGAGCAACGAGCATACCCCGGCACAGTTTTTATGAGTGAAGGAACTGGTAGCACCATGAAGTCAGCTGGGAAATTCGATCTGAAGTGGGATACTACCCGTTCAAATCTACCCACATCTGTTGCCAAGGCAGTAAAGGATCGCAAAATTCCCATTCCCCAGCTGCCATACCAGGTTATGTCGGCCGATATCCTGGTGGAGGGCTGCGGTTGGATCGAGGTCAGCGTGCAGGTTCGCGCCAAACGCAATGCCGAAGAGCCGCCCATTTATCCCCAAGTCGAGGTTTTTACCCCGAACGGCAAACATATCGGATCTCGCGAACCAATGGAATGCTGGAACTTCATCGCCGAGAAGCTTAAAGCAGACCGACGGAAGAGACCGCGCATGCGATACCGTTATAGTTAGACCTGATCGGTAAACCACACAACTGTACACTACAAACTAGCATAGCGACTGGTGTTTTATTGCCTATGGATACTGTAATTATACATCAATCTCTGTCATTATTAGTTTTCTAGCAATGTTTGTCCCAGTATGTGCTCTCGTATCCCCAATGTATTGGATCGCAGCCGGGGGTCCCCACTGGCACTGCTGTGGAGACCTTCCAATGATTCTCCCGACTGCCAAAGCTCTTTGCTTCTTCCACCCCCGCCGATCCGGTCCTGGTGAAGAATTTCCAACTCTAAATCTTCTCTTTCATCTACAAGATTGTACAGGTAACTAATTCATTTCCTGGTCATGAGCTCTCTTTAATTTACGACTCTGGACCAGCCAGAAGCCGCAAGTACAACAAGCAAGTTGCGTCACCGCCTCTTTCAACACACGTACTTTCTAACCAGGAGAATGGAGGAAACAGAAGAAAAACTCTCTACATAGACGCAAGATGTTATCTTCTCGTGCTCTAAAGAATGTTCAGCAACTGGAGCGTCCCTTCCGGTTCACTCCAACCCCGGATTATGACCCTCAGACGAATCCTCAAGGTCTTATTTCATTTGGCATGGCAGAGAATGTGAGTGTGCCTGTCAACAAAAGCATCGGAGATTGTTCTACTCACCATTTATCAGAGACCAATGAGGTCTGAAATTGTGAAGTATATCAACGAGAAGGTAGTCACCCGTATTTTCCGAACACACCATTTTTTCCATGATGATCTCCGGGGGATCTAACATACTTCTAGGTCACGTTTACACTAGACTCAGTCAGCTACCGCTCGAGCGCAACTATAAATTCTCGTCTTCCGGGTATTGCCGCAGCTCATTTAGACAAGGTCTTGAGCACACACTCTCCAATTAATCCGGAACATGTTTTTGTCGCGGATTCTCCGACGTCTCTGGGCAACATACTCGGCTTCAACCTCGCTGAGCGGGGGGAAGGAATTATAGTTAATCGCCCCGTTTATGGCCGCTTTGAGCTAGACTATGGTGTCGAGGCTGGTGTTGAAATCGTCTATGCCGACACCACAACTGATGAAGCTTTTACGCCGAACTCGGTGGCTAAGTACGAGCAAGCTTTGATTGAAGCCGAGCAGCGAAGCATCAAAATTCGTGCGGTACTCTTAGTGAACCCACACAATCCTGTCGGTATGTGCATTCTATTACAAAACATTATATTCCAGGTTTCAATATATTAATCGAAATCGAATCAGGTCGTTGCTATCCCTCTGACACCCTGAGACATATTGCAAGGTTCTGCGATAGAAACAGTCTTCATCTTATTAGTGATGAAGTATACGCATCCTGCGTTTTTGACTCAGGTGATCCTGATGCTGTGCCATTCAACTCGATTTTATCGTTGAATTTGCAGGGTTTGATTGACCCAAACCTTGTCCATGTTCTATATGGCTTTAGCAAGGTGAGTCGAATTTCAAAAAAGGGGTTTGATAAGCTTCGGCTGAGATTCATTCTATGTTAGGACTTCGCTTCTGGGGGCTTGCATCTCGGTTTCTTGGTAACTGCAAACGAGCAACTTCGCAAGGCATGCAAAATGGTTCTGTAAGTCTCAGGATAGACGTTGCAAAATGATTCCTACTTTCAACGATCGTTCAAGACACGCTAATAGAAGTCCCGCACTAGACGGCTCCATGGCGCTTCCCAGGCTGCAATTACGATCGGGACTGCTATCTTAGAGGATCAAGATTTTGTCCAGGGCTTTCTAGCCAAATCTCAAGCTAGCCTTGCAGCAGGCTATCGCCTAGTCACTTCTACACTTCGAGAAGCCGGCATCAATTACATGAAAGGAGGGTGGGTATTCTTTGCATATCGGGATCTTTGTGTGTCAGCTCTAATATGGCAAACTAGAAATGCGGGTTTCTTTATTTATGTCGACCTGTCCCCTTTCCTCCCCGACATTAACTGCTCGGTTCAAGAACGCGAATTTGCCCTAGCACAGCAGCTCCTTGATGAAGGTATCTTCTTACATCCTGGGGAGGAGCACTCTAAGGATGCAGGCTGGTTTAGGCTGGTGTTTTCAAATGACGAGCCCGCTTTAAAGGAAGGGCTGAGGAGGTAAGATTGGTCATCCATTGTCGTATTTTGCACTGCCATTCATGGTTTTAGCTGACCCTGCAATATAGGATGTTGCGTGCTTTAAAGCTATAAACTTTGTAGCATTTTTTTTTCTTTCTTTGCAGATAAATTTGAGTTAATGATGGCTTAAGGAGAGGTAATAGATCAAAGTCTGGGGGATCTATTGGGCCCGGCAAAGGACAACCTTACTTCATACCGTCTTTATTTTGTAGGCACTTGAAAATAGCCAATACGCCAGAACATGTCAGTTTCCAAGGTTCACGTTTCTTGAAACCAATAGTTACGAGCTCTGATAGTTCAGACCCAACTCGCGAGAATCGAGTTTTCCATTGTAATACTATATTTTGCTTAATTCCGGGGTAGGCAGGTTTAAATTGCTTAGTAATCCAGGCTCTCGATAGAGGATATAACCATATTGACAAGTTTGATTTCTTGGATATCTACCAACACGCGCGGCTAGAAACCTTCCAACAGCCAGCTATTATTCAGAATAGCTTCATAGCTAGTGGCCTAGTACTAGTTGATGCAGAACGAGTGCTTTTAAAGCTTAATATCTCTCTACGAACGCCTACACCACCAAGCAGCCGGCTAAGCAGCAGATCTAGCCAATTTATACCCAAAACACCCAGAACTGTTGTTTAACTATAAAAGCAAGCTTTAATGCTTAAAGATTTGCTAAGGCAGCGGTCGAATAGCCCTCCTAGCCCATTAAAGACTATGCTAGATCAGATCATTAAGGGCCACTGTATAGCGCTACACAACACTGTACTACTAGTTCAAGAAAATGCAAATCTACGCACAGCGAATAAAAAGGTGGTTAAGAAGCGTACTCAGTCAACTAAGCAGATACCCTGCGAAGAGGCTTTGACCGTCAAAGAGGGCCTACAGCTACTTACACAGCTAGATTTGCCAGCAGAAGCACCTACAGTAGATTCCAATGCACAGGGCGAATTGCCTATTCAGGCAGACCAACCAGCGAAGAGGGCTCCGCCTAGGTATAGTAGGTGTAGGGAGATTGGCCACAGGATCAATTCATATAAAAATCGGTATATAGCTGAATCGATAGGCGTTGTGTCATAGCTTAGCTATCCGTACACGTGACTAGTCAGATATCTCTCCCTTAGGGAGAGGGGACAATAGGATCATCTTCTTCCACACTGGTCTTTCAGACAGTAGATCCCCACAGGAGTTACACGTTGGTTGAGATATCCTACTTCAAAAATTTGTAATGGGGGTGGGTGTTCCGTTCAACCGTATGTTCCGCTCAGCCGTGAATTAGGTTATTGGTTTCTCACACTCGGCTGTATGTGGCGAATTCCCGAGGTAACCATCGGAGATCCAAATAACGACAAACCAATCAATGTTTTGGAGATCAACCCAGACAGTGTATTGTCATATTCCCTGTATCGACATTTCATGCACCTCTTGCCAAGAAATTGTAACACCTAAGACCAAAGTACCTCCTCCATTTTATTTACCCCTCATTATCACCCATCGCAACTTCGAAAATTCCAAAATTATTTATTCATCAGAATTGTCTTACTTAAGAAATGGCTACCATGTCGAATTTGCTAGTATCGGCTGCGGTTCCAGCCTTCAAATGCCCAAAAGGAACCAAGATGCATATCCTGGATCTGGGTATGCTGGAAGCAGACGAATCATGGTTAGCCAAAATTGAAGATGGGTCACTATTAATTCTCACGATGTTGTTAGGATTCTCCGTGGTGCAAATACCAGCAAATTGAGTAACCTTAACCCGACGAACAAGCGACGCGAGCTAGTGTTGCTTTCAGCTCTTATCGAGCACCCCGATGTCGGTCTTATTCTTTATGACGCAGGCTGCGCAGAAGATCTTGAGGTGGTATGTGATGGCTCTCCCCTAGAACTTCCAGATTGCCACTGATAACATTCTTAGGCATGGCCGGCTCCTTTAACCGATGTTTTCCCACGAACTCAGTACTCTGAAGCGCAAAAACTTCCCAACGCAATTAAAGCAACCGGTAACGATATAAAAGATGTTAAAGCAGTGATCATAAGTCACCTTCATCTCGATCATGCAGGTGGACTTGAGCATTTTGTCGGCACTGATGTACCAATCTATGTTCACGAGGAAGAGTTCAAACATGCCTGCTGGGCTATTGCGACCCAGGCTGATCATGGTGTCTATCAAGGACATTATATGCATTTAGAAAAACTGAAATGGGAAACTTTTACTGAGTCTGAACTGGAACTTTTCCAGGGCATCACCCTTCTTCATGCACCGGGTCACGCGCCTGGACTCTGTATGATGCAGGTCAATCTTGACAATGACGGTACTTTCATTTGGACTACTGATCAGTTTCATGTGTCGGATAATTATGAGCTCGGCCACCCCCATGGCGGTCTAGCAAGGGATCACAACGCATGGTACCGCAGCCTCAATATGACTCGACGGCTACAGAGGTTGTACAATGCTAGACTCATATATGGCCATGACAAGCCAACCACTCTCAAGCTTCTAAGTGAGAAGAAGTATTTTGAGTAAATGCGATCACATTAGATAGTATCTTGAAACTTCTTCAAATGATGAATGGAATTTGAACTATTTCAAGATCCTCGTAGTTGCGTAAAATTCGAATACTGTTCATTTACTCACTATATTCCTTCATAACAGTTGGTATCACCAGCTTCAGTCGTGCCAAATCCTGTATTGCCTCAAAGGCAGTTTCAAATGAATCTGCAGTTCCGAAGAATCCCAGTTTTCTAGCCTTTCGCATGCTCAATGAAAGCGGCCAGTCCCCGAGAAGAGCCGAATCCGACATTCCAAAGATTTGAGCACGCTTTTGCTCATCAAATGGATCTAGGACAAGTCCATAATCTTCTGACAACCTTATCCATGCCTGTTGAACTTCTGTCTTTCCAGACCACTCCAGAAGACTGAACGTTGAACGAGTTGTTCCAGTGGGCCCATATCTACCAAAATGTCAGACAAATGGTGAAAGCCGGTTCAAAAGCTCACATACCCTCTGGGAGTATCCACATGTCGACATGTAGTCACCCTGAATTTTGAAGAATCTGCCTCGGGGGGGATTCCATGGAATGCCGAACCAACTAGCAAGGTATGGCCAGAAGCGCCCCCAGGTAAATGACTGTCCGTCCTGTATATTGAATGCCTCGTTGGCTGCCTTGTCAGTCAAGACGGCCCATTCTTCGAAGTGGGCATTTAGTAAGGCAGTGCTTTGACAAAATTCGCGATCCCAAGCAGCATAGTCGCCAGGAAAATCCAGAGGCTTTTTCAAATAGCTCTGAATCGCCCCGTAGATAGCGAGCCCAATCATAAAGTTCAAAGCACCATCACGGACAGCGCCGATAATATATGACGGGCGGACTACATTCCATGCAGCGCCAGTCTCCTCGCAATACTTCGCCAAGGCATCTTCCTGTGGATAATAGAAATTATCTTCCAGTTTAACTCTTGGATCGGACTCAAACGAAGGGTTAGTGGCTGGGCCCATGTGAAAGCCATAGTTTTTAGCTCCTGTCTGAAGCAGGAACCGTTTAGGCCGGAGACTTGTCAGTCTAAGGCCACCGAGGAAGTTGCTCAAAAGATTGGCTTAGCGTTGAGTCAATACAAAGTTTTTATCGTCACAGGATAATCATTCTTGTAACATACAGTTGACTTCAGCCAATGCACTAGCATCCGACCACATCTCCAGGACACTACCCTTTTGCTGAGTCTGCATATAAGAGAAGAAGAACACATGGTCACTATAGAAATATCAGTAAATGTTCTGGGTCGTAGTCGTAAAAGCATATACGACACTGACATTTTCTGTACGTTTTCTTTCAGTCGCTCTGCAATCTGCGCTGGCTCAGAAAGAAAGTCGACTGGAATATGTTTGACTCGTGTCGCGCCCTCGCCCAAATCCTCGAAGAAATTATCAGGCGGAGATCGTCTAGATAGGCAGTATATTTGGCTCCATCGTTTTGGATTAGCAGCCAGAACACGGACCAGATGGTATCCTGAGATTCCGTTTGCTCCAGTCACCAGCGCAGTCAAATTTGTGAGCTTCGACTCATCCGGAAAGCTGGGTAACCCATGCAATGAGCCTTCAGAATACACAACACTGTCAGCAGTCATTTCGGATGCTTTCGTCGGCGACTAGAGAATGTGCTATGTTGTTTACAAAACAAATAGCCGTCTCATAATTCTGAAGCACCAGAATGCTATCCGGGCCATAAGATAATAAACAGCCCCTCTTTTCTATCCCCGCCCTTCTTGGGAGATTCAAATCCTTAGGCGTTTGCTGATTTCTTCGGCTTTCCTCCGCCGACTGATGCATTGCTGCGGGGGTGGCGCGCTCAAATTTCGATTGCATGAAGAGGTCAATGCAGTTACACAGATACGTCAGTATTACATACTAGTAAGAATTATGAGAAAAATACTTTCCTTTCTCTTCCTTTCGGAGTTGAGAGAATACGTGAGTGATGGGTAGTCCAGAATACTGAGCCGATAGCCGTGACGATTAGTATTGAATTCAAGTCGCGCAGTCTCACTCATCGCATCTTAGAGCTTATTTCAAATGCTGATAGTTTGATGTAAGTTGATTTTTCGCAAGGGAATTTTTCACAGACAGATATTTATAAGTCAAGGAATCATGAGGAATCATGAGGAGCACGCGCTAGTTATCCACCTGATAAAATTCTGATAGATGTCTCTGCAATTGTTTAAATGCTCACTACTGCTTTTAAGAATGGGTAAAGAAATAAAATCGATGTGTAGAAAGTCGGTCGCGACAATCGTTCATTTGCAAGGCGATTCAAGCCGAGGATTATATCGCCTTCTATCGTCTTCTGTGTGTGGCTGGCTGAACGACGCCACGACCTGAAGGAACAGATGGTTATCTGTGCCGTTCAATTCAGAATGGTCCATATCACCAAACAAATTTTGGAGCATTTCTGAGTTTTCACAATACTTCAGCTCAGCCACAAGCTGATCTTATGAACTAAAGATTATTACCCTCCCTTGAGAATCGGTTAGATTATAGGAGTTGGTGGCTCATCGGGGTATAAGTAGCATTGATTCCCTACGAGCTTTTCAATCTTCCCACAGTGACAGCCTACTTCTTCAATCTCTCGAATTATTCTGATACTTTCATTCTTTCCAATTTATATATCATCTTTTCTATCTCGGCAGAATGTCGAATACCAACGAGAAATACGTCTTCGGTAGAAGCAAAATGGAATCACAACGGTATCAAAAGCGAATCAAAGCCTGCCAAATCAAGTTTATACCTAATGGAAAGAAAAAATACCTAGACTCGATGCGCAGCACAACTTGCTGGTAAAAACAACACAAAACACTTTGGTTCACCCAACTATCCCGAAGGAAAATGTCATCTCAGTTGCGGATATAGCAACCGGGACCGGGTAAGTCTCCTACTTCGCTACTACCACAAAAATCAACCCCTTGCTAATTCCTAGAAGGGTATGGCTCCGAGATACTGCAAAGCTCCTAGGAAAAATCAATACAACCCAGCGTTACTATCATGGATTTGATATATCGCCTGATCAGTTCCCTGATGACATGGGCGACATCGAATTTTCTGTTCACGATATAACAGCCCCCTTCCCGAAAGAACATTGGAATCGCTATGACTTGGTCCATGTGCGATTGTTGGTTGCCGCTATTGACGAAACTGAATACAAAGCTGCGGTCGCCAACATTCATCAAATTCTAAGTAAGCAATTCGGAAGCATTACTTATATTTCTTCATTTACTGTTTTTCTTCCTGGTCGCTAACCTAGGTAGAACCTGGTGGGTTCCTCCAATGGGAGGAAATCGACGAAGTAACGTACAAGTTAGAAAACAACTCCGTCTTTGAGGAAATTTGGCGATGCTTTGACTCTTCGCTCAAGGCGGAAGGAAAATGTTTCCAAGCATCAGCAAAGGTTCTTAAGGAGTGCATGGCAGCTGGTTACTCTAACGTCGAGCGGCTAGCTTACAGTTCAGACTGGGACTATAACCTTCGTCCTGATACCGAAGCAAGATTTGTTGCAATTATCGAAACGTTGTATGCAAGCCTTTTGTTGCGGTCCGGGCAGGTGGATGATGAGCTAGCAGCATCAAAGCAGGCTGGGGAGCTCATCAAGAAATATCGACAACTTTGTGGGAATGGAAACTCCCCGCCAGTGAAGCTTATGAGGGTTGTTGCTCAAAAGCAAGCCGCTTGATCAAAACTTGAAGGCCGAATGTTATCAGTATCACATAGTCTCTTCTAGTCTCAATACTAAAGTATGCCTTCAAGTTCCAATGATATAATGAAGAAAGAAAGAAACCATTTATTGAGTTATGACTATGACCTCAAGTGCCATGTATACCAGTTCCAACAAAGACGTCCAACACTGCCTCTGTGGCTCAGATTGAGTGGGTACTGGGCCCAGAGTGGAGGAAGCATGTGAATGGGCTGTGATACTTGCGTAATCCTGAACGATAATGTAGCAGCCTTGGAGTCAACCCTAGGTCCCCATCTTCTTGCATGATAACGGTCCAATTACTCCGCATCCTCCCATCCTCGAGACCCTTGGGCTAAAATGGGCCCATATCTAAGCTGTGACAAGAGGGAAACAAATGGAAGCTTTGATTCTGCACGACAAAAATAATACCAACAAGGAGCATTCAGTACGTAAATCTACGCCAGCTGTGCAGATGTCGTAACCCGGCCAGGTCAATCGCCATCAAAGGTAGAACAAACAATTGCAGTGACAGCCCTCGAAGGATCGCGAAAATCAACAGGGTTCGCCCCAGGTAGCATAAACAGATCTTCAAATTTGCAAGGTTAAGATTTTCGGCCTGCGGGATGGATTTAAGGATCCAGTCAAAAGGCTTAGCCAATTTTCTCAATGCAACATCATCCTTGGGGTCGCGAGGCAATGGTGAATTCTAATTTGCTCTCTGGGAAGTAAGACATCCCCTCCACATGATAGTAGTATCTCATAGTTACAATTTGGTCAGTGAATCTGAATACAGATCTCTTCGGGCATAATATTTGGCCAAGCCGATTACTATTCATGTTAATCGTAATTTTTCACCTGTATAGTATACAGCCTTGTCCGAAACCCAGGGGTTCCTGTAATTGTATTATCTATGGAGTGTACGAAGTTTGAAAGTTCGATTGGGGGACACCAGGGAGTTATAAATACTTCTGTCTTTCTTAGGGAAGAGTATTCTATTCATGATCTCTACCACAACTAAACACACTATTCTCCAGGGTTTTACATTTAACCAAGTACGAAGCTCCCCTTCGAACCTTATGCCAAGTTGAATCACTCTCTAACGGTCTCCAGTTCCTTAAATATGCAAATCACCAAGAGCCTCATACTCCTGGCCGCGTGTGCCACGGCAGCCCTCTCCGTCGCAACTTCGGACACCAACGCAGCATCCGAATGTAAAGATCTCGGTGGTGCAATGAGTGTCCAGGACCACGATCTCCCCTCAGACGTCTCGCAGGCCGACGTTCGCAAGTGTGTCGAACACCCTCACGGTCATGATCGTGGCGATCTCAACGCCGGCTCGCTCGCTCCCTTCGGCGACGAAGAAAAAAAAAACCCAACTTCTTCGCTCACAGAGCGCGCCGCTGATGCTTGCTACAATGCCGCTCCTTATGGTTGCTCGAAAGGCTACTGCTGGGCCTCTTGCGGTGATAAGGGTGAGTGGTGCTGGACTGCGAGGAAGGGTGGCTATGGAGCCTGGTATACCTGCAAGACGTTCCATGACTGCGGGTATACCGGTTATTCCTGCGGTAGGGGTGGTGTATCGGGTGGCTGTAGCTGTTAGATTCTTTCTAACGGTCGGGTATGCTTTTAACCTATGTTTCGATCTGTACGACATGTCACTCGTTTAGCTATGTCGCCAAATTTGTCATTTGAAATCTGAAGTTTCTACAATTGAAAAACGTACCCAAATTCTAACTTGAAGACGCTGTAGAAGGGCTAAAAGCCTATAAATGATATTATCCGTATATTCATCCCAAGTTTTCGAAGTGGTCCTTTATAATGAAAATACAAATGCAGCTCCAAGAGCCAGCATTGTCCCCGAAAGTCCCAGAACAGCGCCAAGTCCTTCTCGGCTCGGCTTCCGTAGACTAATATTTCTCGCGACATTCGAAGTGGGCGTAATAAACGAAGCAATGGGCCCAGAGGCACCTGTGCCAGTAGCAGTTTGAGCACTCATAGCTGTAGCCTGACGATCCAGATCAGATTGGTGGTGAATAAGGGTGACCTGAGGAACAACAGAGATTGGAGTAAACATTTCCAAGTCGAATTCATCATAGGTCTCCCAATCAGTCGTGCGGGAGATTTCAGTTTCCGTAGGAAATCTGACAGCCACCGTTGTGACCTCATGGCCTAATGTGTATGGCATTGTTGTCGTCTCATATTCGTAGCTTATTTTGTTCCAGGCTCGGCAGCCGATAGTTGGTGTATAAGATGGGATGATCGAGAAACAATTGCCCGCTATATCTGGTGTCATATGACTAAATTGAGAAGCAATTAGCGATGAGCCTTTTCTAGATCGCGAGCCGCAAATCACAGGCATATCATGTAGATTAGTTCACCTACCTCGGACAACAGAGCGCCAGCGTTTGACTGGGCTCCAGAATGTCTGCCAAAACAGTCGGCGCGTAATCTTCATATCTCCATGGATACCCGTAGCCCGTTTCAACCGTTACTGCGCCCGACATTGTGAGGTCTTCTTTCTCGTCGCGTGCGGCCATTCCTACTGTTTTCCAGCCGGACGGGCAGTATAATCCCGGAGAGTAGTATGCGCCGACGCCGCCACCGTATTTTTTCGTGCTAGTGGTGACTGTTACCGTGGCGGTCGGGGCGCATTCTGGAAAGTCTTCTTTCGTGCATTGGACAGTGTAGGCATGGTATGGGATATCGCGGTCCATCCAGCCTATCTCGGTCCTTTGGTTTGCGGTGCAGCTTGGGGGCTGCGTAAAGGTTGTTGTGAGTGAGCCATAGTTGAAAAAGTGCCAACCCGCGTTATGGAGATAGGGTGAGGTCGTCATGGCTAGTATATTTGCTTGATAGCTCTACCAGGTGTTCATAACGTGAAAGATAGACGGAGACTTTGCCTTGTTTATTATGTTGGTCGGCAACGAATAAAAGTAGTCTGCAAATCGATTAAGGGGCTACGGAGACATGTGGGAAATATGAATAGAGCCTTAGCAGTTTAGGTGGAGTCAGAAGTTCATTCAATAAGCCTCCGGTAAGTACTAAATTGACTTAGTTTGCTGGGCATGGTTGAATGAGGCTTAAAGTCCCTCGCTTGTGGACGTGCAATCTCCTCCACCCGCCTCGCTACCGGCTTGGCAGGGACCAACCGAGTTCAAAGACAAGGCCTAGTGCTGAAATCGGTTAGTGATGTCTCTCAGAGTCACATAAACAGGTTCAACGCTAAACAAACATTTCTTTCAGCCCTCATCTCCGATGTCGTGGGGCATACGGAGAAAGGATGAATGGATGGGAGTGGTCAACTGCTGGCTACTATGGATCGAATACGCTAGTCCACTCCCGGAGCACTGAACGAACCTAACTACTACTCATACGCCAGTCAAACAATTTCCATCTGTCGGTATGTTCCGGATCGACACGATATCGATATCGCTTTCCAATCTAGAACCATGAAATGCATTTATTTTGATTTTTTTAGCATAAGCTCATAAAACATGACTCTTTAGGAGGACAAGAACATTTATGTCCCAACTTGGACAATAGCATATCTACTCAACGTTGGAGAAGATGAAGGTAGGCTGGCCAGGCACGGCATTCTCAGCTTGAAGACCCTCACGCTTCTCGCCAGTACCAACAACCTCGCCAGTCTTGCCACCCTCATCAACGGCAATAACCTCGACCAGCTTGTAGCCTGAGGTACGCTTCAGACCGTCAAGCATCTCAGCAAGAACGGCGAATTCGTCGAAGGGCAGCTTGCGCTCAAAGACGTTCTCGGGGGTCTCGCGGCCATTCACCAGGCGGCGCTTCAGGGTTTGAACGAAAGGCATGGCCTTCTTCATCTCACCAAGTTTGCCGACCTTGGCGTTAAGTTCTTTGTCGTTGAATGAAATGTTCAGGGCATCGAAAGCATCGCGGACGAGGTCAATGTACTTCTCTTGCCAGACGGGGTACTTCTTGGCAGCGAAGATGGTGAGCTGCTTGGGCTTGCGCGGGTCGAATGCTGAGGCCTTGCCCTTGGACAACTTCTTAGCGAAGCTACCCTCGGAGGACAGAATGTTGGATGCAGTTCCGCGGACGTAAGCCTGAGCGGCGGAGAGCTCGTGAGAGGGCTCGGGCACAACAGGGAACCTGGCAAAGTGAATGGTCTCGGGCTGTTGTTTAGTTAGTATTGGGGGTCCGAAATGTAATGGTGTTGGGTAGATAGCTGACCTTCTTGAGAACCTCGAGCCAGATGTACTCGGACCAGTGAGGAGCGATGGGGGCCAACATGAGCGCCTGCAACTCGACGTAACGAAGGACAATATGCTTGTTCATACCAATACCAGCGGCGATGGCAGCCTCACGGTAGGAGTCACGAGCGCTGGTGAAGTCATACAGACCAGACTTCAGGGCGAGCTTGAAATCAGTGCTGGTAGATAGGTTAGTCGTGAATCACATTGGAGAATTCAAAAAGAAGCTTACTTTTGGTAGTGCTTCTCTGTCTCACGGACCAGGCTGTTCAGCTCGTTGTCGAACAGCTTGTCAGCGAAGGCATCGGCCGGGCCGGTACGCAGGGACTCGTCGTTGGCAACCTCCTGGATCCAGTCCTTCAGGGTGTGCAGACGCAGAATGTTGCTGTTGGCAACACTCTCCTCAAAGTTAGCATCCTCGATGGAATCTCCGGCGTCTGCAAAGGCTACTCGCGTTGCGATAGCACCATATTTGTCCACAGAATCCTTCAGAGTCAAGAAGTTACCAGTGCTCTTGCTCATCTTCTCGCCGTTGAGTAGAAGGTGTCCATTAGCCCTGACGCCTCTTGGCCAGACTTCGGGCGGGAATAGAGCAACGTGAATGTATAGGAAGAAAGTCAAGTGGTTTTGGATGAGATCCTTTCCAGAGACACGGACGTCAAGAGGGTACCAGTACTCGAACTCGCGGCGCATCTTTTGCAGGGCCTCCTTGGAAATGCCACATTTGGAGATGAGATCGTCGCTAATCTCACGACGTGTGAAGATATAGTCCCACACCTCGTCGATCATCTGGTCGGCAGTAACGCCCAGGGGACCAGTAGTCTTACCGTACCGGTCACCGTGCAGAAGCTGAGCGATAGTGTAGTAAGCCATGTAGACGGTACTATCACTCAAGCTCTCGACCAGGAACTGTTGATCCCAAGGCAGCTTGGAACCGAGACCATAAGTTCGGGCACAGGCCCAGCGGTTCAGCCACGACAGGTTCTTCTCGAAACCATTCTTTGTCTCGTTGGAGTAGGTGTTCAAGTTGTGCAGGACGTGATTTAATGTCTCCTTCTGCCACTCGGCATCGTTCTCACCGTAGTTCAGGAACCACTGGCCGAGGTAAGCAACAACACAGTCGTCGCCACTGCGGCTGACAACCTTGCCCATAGGGTCGGCAAAGGGGAAGGCATCGCCGCTCTCAATGAGAGACTTGCGGATCTTGTCCTTAACGGCGCTGACAGGCTCACCCTTGAACTCGCCCACAATCATGGTTCCCTTATAGAAACCCTCCATGTAAGCAAGCTCCTTAGCCTGAGCCAGCTGGGTAACATCCTTGGGGGAGTTGATCTTCAGCTGCTTAACGAGAGTAGGGGCGGTCAGGTTACCGTAGGTAGGGGTCTCGATAAGGGGGTGGATCTCCTTCTCGGCCCATTCCTTCTTGATGCCGTAGAAGTCAGCCTTCTTAATCAGGTCCATCAGAGTGGCATAGTCGTCAGGGCTGTCAGAGGGAACAGAAGTCACAACACCGGTACCCTTGGTAGCAGAGACGCCATCCATGGGCAGAATGTATACACCCTCAGTGTGGAAGGACAGGGGAGCATTAATCAGGGTACCGACAAAGTCGGAACCGGGGGCCTCGAAGACAAGAGGCAGCTCGTCCTGGGACTTGGGGAACTCGCTGAAGAAGTGGCCCTGGAAAGCCATGTTCCAAGCAGCACGCTTAGTCACGACGATATATTCCTTCTCCTTCAGTTTGAACAGGCCGTAAGTAACCTTGGGGCCAACAAAGCAATTTGTCTGACCATACATGGTCTCAGGGCGAAGAGTTGCGGGCACGAAGTATACCTTCGCGTCATCCTCAATTTTGCTAGCCTTGACAAGTTCAGCCACCTTGGGCGACCACTCCTTGACCTGAAGCTTCAGAGCAGTGTATTCCTGGGGACCAATACCCTCACCCTCAGTTCGATCATGGTCCATACAAGGCTGGCCGTCCTTGGGGGAGTAGATGGTGTATCTTTGGCCGTACATGATCTTGTTGAGCTCGTGCAGTCGGTTCATCTGCCATCTCACAAAAGCGTCGTAGTACGGGTTGGCATCGGTAGTGACGAATTGACGGCGCCAGTCGACACGAGCACCCATGCTGTCGAGATCACGGATGGCAAGGGGCGGGAAGTGTTGCAGCCAGTGGTTGGCATCGGCAAACTTGTGAATATCCTCCAGTGGAACACCAATGGCCAGCATGATCTGGAACTGGTACTTCATCTTGACGGTCTTGGCAGCGGCCTTGCTCTTCTTGCCGGAGAACTTCTCGGCTTGCTCCTTAGCCTCTGGCTTGGACTCCTGGGTGGGAGCAGAGGGAGCGGCGGCCTCCTCTTCGCTGTATCCTTCGAAGTTCTGTCCAAAGAGCTTGACCTCATCGCGCAGCTTATCCGCACAAGCCTTGATGGGCATACCAGTGCAGTGGAATCCAAGAGGGAACAGGGCACGCTTGCCCTCCATGCGGGCAAAACCAGTCATGAACTCGACCTTGCTGGCAGTGAAGGCGTGACCGGCGTGAAGAGTTCCATTCATATAAGGATAGGCCATTGTTCCGAAAAACTTGGGGTGCTTCTCGCGCATCTCGGCGGGGGTCATGGAGCCTTGGGGGACCTCATCGAAGGAGGGGGCGTCGACTTCGAAAACCTTGTTGGCCTTCCATTGTGCCTGGTACTTCTTCTCAATTGCGATCAAGTTGTCACGCTTCTCGGTCTAGAGTCATGTTGGGTTAGCAACGGTCATGAAAAAAAAAAAGCGGGTGCAATGCGATGGAGGGGGAGGGGTAAGTCAACATTTTCGAGCTTGAGGGTGTTCTTCGAGCTGTTGCTCGGGTCGAGCTCAGCGGATGCAGCGGCGGCCGCCATGATTGTAATTCAGCAGGAAATGCCCTAATTGCAAGAGTCCTGAGGGGCAGGGAACAAATATCGCGGGGTCCACTGATATAAAATCGATTGTGACTCAGGACGGTAAGGCGGCCGTATTGTAAGACTACAGCGGTAATCAAAGGCACGTGCCATATGCAATAGTAGTACAAAAACAAGATCAGCGAAAGGAGATGATAGAAATTATGAATGCAGAGGTAAATTTTAATCTATTTTTTTCCAGTTTGACAACCCGGAACTTCAAAAAATGCTCAAAAAGTCCAACTTCTGCCAAAGAAACCATCCGTACGGCTGTACTTGCCGACTCTCTCACGTGACAATTATGCCAGAGCAACTTCGCGGCGCCAGAGTTTCCGCAACAAATTTCCCCAGATCTCCGACAAGCGCTACCAGCTCCTCCCAGGCCAATAATCAAAGGGGTCTGCCTATCGACACTCCCTCTAATACCCGCCGGTCTCGACATTCTCCTCGCAGCGGAGCCAATCCTTTTGTGCCACATTTGCCAACATGGTCAACCTATTCAAGCGGATCCGGAAGCTGAAGACTGTAAGTGCAACTGACGATGGTCTACGGCTTTCAATTGCTTCCAATGCAATTATTACCTTAGTAAACAAGTGGCTAATAATTTTTTCTCATCACAGAGGGTAAATTGTCCCCGTATCTCCTTGTTGATTGTTTCTCCAAGCCTTCAATTCCGATATCCAACCCAACCCATTAAACTCGTTCAACACACTGGGCCCAACCAGAGACCCCAACCAGCATCAACATTTCTAACCTCAGTTTCACACAGATTCTCGATATCCGAGTCGGAACCGGTGCCGCCATCCTCCCCAGCATCGCCAATGCCTCCAAAGAATTTCCAGCAGTCACCCGGCTACACCTCACATACGCGCAAAAGATCTATGGCGGCCACCAAGGCGCGCGGCATTTCTGGCGCAACTGCCTCCCACGACTGAAGTACTACAACCCGGGCATTCCCATGACAGTAAAACAGACAACGGACCAAGACATCCCAGCCACACTCTCAATCTACTTCGCGGACCGGGTCGGCAGCACCGCGACATCCATCGCAGGCTCAAAGCAGATCACCGACAAACATGCGCCGGCCCCCGGCACCGGCGAGAAGATGGCTACCGTCAACGTCAAGGATCTCACCTACCAGGAGATATGGAACCGCGTGCAGGCGTCCACAAATGCAAGCGAGGTCCCGGCCTCAGAAGAGGATGTGGCCGAGGCGAAGAAGTTTGCTGCTATCGATGAGAAGGCTGTTCACGATCGGGAGCGCATACGGGCTAAGCGGCAAGCGAAGAAGGATCAGGAGCGCATGCTTGCTGAGGCTCGTGGCGAGGTTGAGAAGACGCAGACTGCTTAAGAGATGCAGCGTCGCCGTTCTTGTTATCGTTCTCCCTGATTCGGAGTTGGTTGTGAATCTTTCTGGTCCTCCTTTTCCCCGGTACATCCGTCGAGGGTGTGGAGAGGAGACCACTTGTAGCATAGCATCGTTGTTTTCCTTATGACTATGTACTATTTTTGGGAATAATTATTCTCGTGTCTAGGACAGATGCGGATTGTAAAATTGGTCTTGCAAATTTTTCATTTATAAGTGGTATCAAGTTAGACTGTAGAGCTAAGCAAGGTCCAGCGCTTATACAACGACTTGGACAATTCGACCATGGCCATGATGCTGGCTGGTACCATCCTCATTTGACTTGTGGCTTGCTAGTAATTGAAGGTCGTTATAAAATCACAGGGTAGAAGTAGTATATATCCAATCTCAAAGGTCAGTATTCAAGAATTGGAGAAATAGCCTTATATACATCGCAGTAGTAAGACAATAAGCAAACCGTCGCGAGTCGTAGAGCCATCCCAAATGAAGTGGCTTAATGCAAGGCGCTTGAAAAAAGAAGAAAAGAATCCGACGCAGTTTCTATGCATTATCCGGATTGTAGCTGGTCTCTCCCAGCATGCCCCCATTGGTCGCGGAAGGGGTGGGCGATATTGAGTTCGCTCGACCTCCGGGTTCAGCCAGTGTTGATGGTCCTGCCTGGGAGTGTCCTCCCGTGGCTGCTTGCAATCTTTGGTCTAAAGCCTTAAGGGCCAGAGCCCTTCGGCGCTCCGCCTCCTCACGCTTGCCTGCACCCCTCGGTGCTGCGCGCTGGTTGCCCAGGAGAGTCGGTAGGCCGGCCTCGCCTCTTGCCAGTACTTGCTGGTTACCCGAGGCGATATCATCGTCGGAGAATGGTCGGATAATCTTGACTAATACCAACAGAGCGTAGATCTGGTCGGTGACAAAGCCGATCGGGGGTTGCATTATGTCAGGGAAGAGACAGGCGAAGGCGAAGGTCTCGCTGGCGTCGCCCTTGATTCCGAGGCCAGTGGTCGACATGCCGGTGAGATCAGGCTGGCGTTTGTAGAATCGCAAGTACGTCCAGCTGGTGAGGAGGCCGAGCCAAGCCAAAACAAGGGCGGTGTCGGTTCCGATGATGAAACCACTCAGGGTGTTGAGAAGCAGGAACAAAGCCGGGAAATGCTTGACACGCATCCTAACCATGCCTTTGAGGATTGCGACGGTGTGTTCAGGGACGAGTTGCTTGAAAGCGACGAGGAAGGCGCCTTGAATAGAGACGCCACCGCAGATCTGGGTCAGACTGTCGCGGAAGGGGTTAGGATCTCAGATCGGGACGCATATGGAAATGGATTTTGGGACAGGACGAACGATCGGCTAGAGGATCCTCCAGCAGCACCCCATATCAAGTAGATAGGGATTATCACGGCATTCGGAATGAGCGTAACAGCGGCAACAAATTTGCTAAACTCGCGAGAGCCCCAGGCGCGCTCGAGGTATTTCCCTCCGTAGAAGACGGTCGCGGCATTGAGGAGAACGGTGAAGATGTTCTGTTCGACGAAGGTGGAGGTGATAAGAGTCCAGGGGTAGTAGAAGAAGTGAGAAGGGACCAGGGTAAGGTAGGGAATGATTGGAGTGGTTTGGAGGCTGCCGGCGGAGGTGTCAAGTTGGCGCCAGCGAGCGATATTGTAGAGGAGTGAGAGGGTGAGCAGGCTGACGAGGCAGACGCGCGTGGCCGGGGGGATATGGACACGGAGCGGCATGTTGGGACGCGGCGACCGCGGGGGGAATGAGAACCAGTACGCCTGGGGACTTTGTGTGATCGGGGGGGGGATTGTTGCTGGGGGTTCTCAGCTGAGGCGGTCAGATGTATACCGCAGCGGTAGGCGTGGTTGGCCGTGGTTGGCCGTGGTTACTACTACTACATAACTAGTACTAGAAGTATAACTATGTGTGAAGTACACTAATTATCGAGAATACTACTCGTATCCATGGATAAATTCTATTTGATAAGCTTGGCTTATACTACTAGTACTAGTGCTAGTAGTATACATATATACTAATGGGCTAGGAGTGTGGTGATTTGAACACTATATGGCTCCTAGGGCTGGTCCTAGTCTCGCGGTGCCTGCTTAAAGCGGCTCTTGGCGTATGCTGGAGTACTAAGTTGTACTAGTTACCTCAGCACTACCGTAGTCGTAGTAGTAATACTCCAGGCTAGCATAGACACCAGTCTTAGGCCCAAGTATGATACTACTAGTACTACTAGTACCTAATATACTTTGACATATAACTATAACATATATACTAGCCACAGGCAGTAGCCAATTTATATAGTTGGTACTATGCTGTACCATACTCCTAGTGGAACCCGACTCGCTAGGCGCCCCGACCACCAGATTTGCCGCCCTGCAGAGTGACCGGGTGCGTGCAGACACGAGTAGACAAGTACTACCCGCGGGCATGCTTAGCATACAATCCTCCATACTACTTAGTCCTTCCACGATCGGCAGCCCCGCTAGCCGCCCCAGCCACAGTACCACCCTAACTAGCCACACTCTGCGGCTGAGCCAAGCGAGCGATTTGCCTCTGGCTCTGGGGGTCTGCCAGGTCTAGTCTCCAGAATTGGTCTTGCTCCTACTGGTCCTGGTTCGTGGCTGGTGCGCTTAAGCTCTTGTCACCGGGAACTTGAATGTTCAACCCTTCTTCCCTTTCTTCCCTTCTTCTTCCCATATTCTGATCTTCATGTTCCACGATCTCGGTCCCTACCCCGATCTCCCGTCTACATCTTTGATCTCCATCCTGCCAACATCACCACTTCCCTTCTCTTCCATCTCTCTCTTCCAACCTTCCAACCCCCCCTTTTCTGCCGGACTCGGCTTCCGCCCGCGTTCCTGAAGCTCATCTCCACGCCTCCACTTTCGATTTTCCCTTCAGGCGTTTGACCTTCCAGCTTCCCTTCGCCCCTGGCATGGTCGGCGCTTTGAATGGTCGCACATGTAGTCATGGCACAACCCGACCTTACCTCCCATCACGTCAACTACTTAATATGGCGGTATGTCTTCCCTTTCTTCATCCCCCGATTCTCCAATTCCTCCGATGCGCCTCCCGCAGATCTAACCCGCTTCCCCGTAGGTATCTTCAAGAATCAGGTTCGTAGCGCGGCCACCCTGGGATCACCACCACCATCCCATCCCATTCCATATCTAACCAACCCTCTTTTTTTCTTCCAAACAGGTCATGGTGATGCTGCTGTCTCTCTGCAGCGCGCATGGTTCCCGGATCCGCAGAGTCTTCCCTTTGCGCGCCACATCAAAACCCATGCCCTGGTCTCGCTGGTCCAAAAGGGCCTGCAGTACCACGAACTGGAGTCTTCGCTTGACAAGGTATGTGCGCGCGACACGACACTTTGGAGCCGCCTTCTCTAGTTCAACTTCGTCCTTTTTTCTTCCTTTCGCATATCTAGGCGGCTCTATTAATTACACAGACCTAATTGGATTTCTACAGGAGGGAAACCCCATTACTTTCACACCCACTGACTATTTTTTCGGGCCGGAGCCGTTCGAGGCCAATGCCTTGAAGCGCCGGGATGACGCTGGCACAGACCATCCGGCGGAGCCCGCGCGTGACCGCGTAACCAATGGACACTCACTTGATGCCAGGCCGCGCAAGGAGACGAATGGCGATGAGTCTATGGAAGTGGACGATGAGAGCAAAGGCTCTGTGGATGGCGATGGAGATGTGAGCATGGGGGCCGAGGAGCAGGCCCCGGAACCCACCCTTTCAACCGGCAGCAGCGCCGGCGTCCAGATCTCCCCCGCCAAGGCCGCCGATTTGGCGCCAGACACCGCCCTCCTGCACGCCAATGATCACGTGATGACCACTCGCTGGCGCCCCCGGGATTCGACCCTACTCGTCGCTGCTGGCGAGACCTCCTGCAGCTTATGGAAGCTATCATTATCCTCGCCCCCCGAACAGAATCGATTCCTCGACCTGAAAGGCACCAGTGCCTATGTATCCGGCGTGGCCTGGGATGCCGTTGGCTCCAAATTGGCCGTGGCTACCATCCGCGATATGGAGAAGGGAGCGATTACCATGTATAATTCCGAAGGTAATGTTGTGGATCTCCTTCCTGATCTCCCACGTTTGATCAGTGGTCTGCATTGGTCCGACGATAGTCCACAGTTGGTCGTCGTTGCATCTGACGAACGATCTTCGGAATTGGCTCTTTGGGATGACAGCCGCCGGCCGGATGTGTACCCTCCCCCACAGGCCATCGACAGTCACGTCTATGACTTGGCCTGGTGCGGACGTAATCTGGTTTTCGCTTGCGGAGATGGGGCTGTCTACCAGTGTGAAGTGGACAGTAACATCCGCCTGACCAAGACCTTCAATTCTCGGGACACCGACACCGCTTGGGCTTTCGTTCGTTCTGCCCACACTTCATCATACTCTGTTGCAGTTGCCGCAAGCTCTACAACTTCCTCCATTTGGATTCCGACACATGATATTTTGATTGAAAATGCCCACCAAGATGCAATCACCGCAATTGATATTCGACCTGCAGAACCACATTCACAACAAAACTCCACAATCACAATCGCCTCTTACTCGATCGATACCTTTGTCCATGTCTGGGAAGTGGACCTCGACTCGAAACAACATAAACGCATCCACCGCCTGCGCCTAGGTTCATCAACCCCTGCTTTAGCTGGCAGCTTCTCGCCAGACGGATATGCTCTCTGCGCAGTGAGTCAGGAGAAGCTATTCATTTGGAATGCCGAGCGTGGCGGGGAGCCCATGGCCACATGGACGGCTCCCAGCTCAGAACAAGTTAAGGAAGACCCCGATCACCCCACGAATGGACAGAACGGTCATGCAGCACCGGTCCCCGATCGAGATCTATCTTGGGATCACGACGGCAAGAAGCTCGCGTATGGCTTTGGCGATCAGGTAAACGCACTACTCCCAGGAAAATTCTGCGGATGCTAACTCTTCTAGATGGCCATCGTCAATCTTCAGCGGTGACTAGGGTAGCTGGCTCTCCCATCTGAACGGTTGGGCACGTGCTACTACACAAATTTTAAGCTGTTCCCTTCCCTCCTTTCACTAGCAGCAATATGTTGCTATTTCTTTGTTCTTACGGGTGCGGCGAAGGGCCATAAAACCGAACTAATTGATACCTTACCACCAATCCTCGAGCGGTGTTGATACGGGATTTTCCGCCATGCCTTTGCTACCAAGGTGATTGCGGGCGAATCACTCGACAGAGGCCAACATCATTCTGTTTGACGCCTGGCAGAGTCTCCCATCATATCCCATCGAAGCTTTAATGGGGTCCCTTCTTCACCTTTCTTACATACTTTCTCTGGATATACATTCTTCAATTTAGAAAATGCATTATGGCATGCATTGTTTGGGAATAGGCTTGGGTACGGCGAACGATACGGGTTTCTGGCGAGTGTGGTCATTTTTCTTGTTCTTCTTGGGAGGTTGGGGGTGTGGATTGAATCTCACTGTTTCTCGTGAATTTTGAAGCTCAAAAATGCATTATGAACTTGATTGGATCTTGTCTTTTATCTCTTGTCTCTCGTAACGTCATAATAGTAAGTACTAGTATACACAAAATAGTCCCAGACTCAACCGGGCCAGGATCTCCGAGACATCTCCTCCAGTTTTTCTCTTGGCCGCAAGTGCTGCTCCTGTCTTTTTTCTCTCTTCATCTGCCGTGCCTGTGATCGCACCTGGAATCCCTCTTCAACATCCCGCCAACCGCGCATCCAGGCCGTGAGGCCGTCCAAAACAATCTCTCCATCCGTTTCCGTGCCGACGTCTTGGCTAGTTCTCCGGATCGCCCATCGTCGCCGAGCCTCTTGCTGCGATCGATCACGCGCTATGCGACTCATCTTTTGCGTTTCACGCAACCGGTCGATCCAATCTTGAAGTCCGCGCACAGTGCCTTGTATCCCCTCTAGCTCAATCGAATCTTCTACCAGATCCCCTTGTCTGAGAGAAGTTATGAACATCAGCACTGCATATTTCGTTCTTCGAGTACTTCAGATAAAACTCACAATTCTAGTACCTCGTCTTCCAATTCTGCCACTGTGCGCGTCAATCCGCGACACCTCTCTTCAAAGAGGTCTCTTATTTCGCTGGATTCCTTGCGCCGCTTATTTACCTCCTCATTCAAGATAGTAACCTCGCTCATAAGACCTTGTAATTGGGATATCATTTCTTCCTTATTTATACCATCATGATCGCTCTGATCCGGCGCCGTCAGTATTGACTCTTCGGGTTGTGATGTGATATCAGATGCAACCGATCCCGAACGCCCACTTTGACTCCGACTCCGACTCCGCACGATCTCCTGCATCGGCTTCTGCGGGAAATCGCCGAGAATGCGCTCCAGCGCGTCCAGATGGTGATGCATACTTTGCGCACTCTCCTCATCCAAACTGAAAGTTGATGACATGCCTGTGCGGCGAGCAAGTTCTTCAAGGCGCTTTGGCCATGGCATCTGCAGAGTTTCTGTAGTGGAACGATGTTCGGTCCACTCAGTGCCATGGGCTGCAGTCTCCAATCCCGATTGATCGCGGTCATCGAGCGTATCGAACAGGGCGGGCTGCTTTTCGTGGGAGTCGGCATCGCGACGGATGGCTCTTTGGCTGTAGGATATCATCTTGTGTTGAACGAGGAGCTTTTATATGTGCAGATCAGGTTGCCACCACCACACTCCATTCCTATGAAATTGATGTGAACCAGCTGGAGTTGAAGACGGTATGGCTTGGTATGGTTCTCATTCAGCTTCAGCCAGCCATTCCAATCCCACCGGGGCTATTCAGCCAGGGCTATCGATAAGCGATTCTGCGATAACATCGCCCCGCGCTAGCCCATTTCGGTGCTTCTAGATGGTACGGAGTTGCTCACTGTCTTGCTCGCTGAATGGTGAGGCTTTTCTTATAAGAAAGAGTAAAAAAAGTCCAAAGGTTATCTAGTATTTCGCATCTTCCATTGGGAGTATCCTTCCCTACGGAGTACTACCCGCTACGTCTGGTCAGCATTATAGTTGGCACTGGGAGGTCGTCCTCTGCGGCAGCCGGCGCCAGAGCCCCACACTCAATGGACTCATCCCATCTTCATTTTCCCACCGCCAATTCCCTCTGTCACGCGGCTCTATCTGCTCCTTTAGTCACTCCACAGGGTTTCCAGCTGATCATGGCACCTCCGGTAAGACTTATCCTTACACTGCGACTTTCACTGGGGTCATTCCAGGTCAAATTGGCTAATGCTCACCCGGATGACTCAGATCGCCAATATCCCGTCGCTTGAGACGGCGCAAGAGGTCATCTCGAAGTCGAGAAACTCCCAATTTCCCCCGAACCTACTGCCCATTACTGCCTCTATCCCGGCGGATCTTTTGACTCCTACCTTGGCATACCTGAAGATTGCAGAGAAGTGAGTAGTGACAGTCCCTTGCTCACACCTGCGGGGAGCCGCGGGGAAACTCTGGGCTACGACCAATTAACGAGATGATACAGTTCGCGACTATCATTCTTATACGAGAGTGCTGCTACTACCGAGACGATCGGGCGATACAGTTTCGTCGGTGCTGGTGGGTGATATCTCGCGCAAACCCTTTTTACTCTGTACCCATTGACACTGACTCACTCGTCGTTTTCTGCAGACCCCAGAAAGGTACTCAAGACTGGTCCTGGCCATGGCCCCGAGGCCGACCCTCTCCCCTATCTCGAGGAGGAACTCTCCCAATACCGTGTCGCGTCGGTTCCCGGTCTGGTACTTCCGCCTTTGACCGGTGGTGCCATTGGATATGTGGGCTACGACTGTGTCCGATACTTTGAGCCGAAGACCGCCCGACCCATGAAGGATGTTCTGGGAGTGCCAGAGTCATTCTTCATGCTGTTCGACACGATTGTTGCCTTTGACCATTTCTTCCAGACCGTCAAGGTTGTCAGCTATGTCCCCATCCCCGCCAACGACGCCGATATCGAGACCGAATATCGCAAGGGCCAGGCGGCTATCCAGAAAACCATCGAAACTCTGTTGCAGGACCGCACACCCTTGCCCCCGCAGGGTCCTATTAAGCAGAACCAGGAGTACACATCCAACATTGGCCAAGAGGGCTACGAGAACCACGTCAAGAAGTTGAAGGAGCACATCGGCAAGGGCGATATCTTCCAGACCGTCCCCTCACAACGGTTATCCCGGCCCACCACTCTTCACCCTTACAACCTCTTCCGCCATCTCCGTACCGTCAATCCCTCCCCATACCTTTTCTACATCGATTGCCAGGATTTCCAGCTCGTAGGCGCTAGCCCCGAGCTGCTTGTCAAGGAAGACCGAGGTCGCATCATCACTCACCCGATTGCGGGCACTGTGAAACGCGGCAAGACCATGGAGGAGGACACGGCGTTGGCTGACGAGCTGCGTGGCAGTCTGAAGGACCGTGCCGAGCACGTCATGCTTGTCGATTTAGCCCGCAACGACGTAAACCGAGTTTGCGACCCGAACACCACACAAGTGGACCGATTGATGGTTGTCGAGAAGTTTTCCCACGTCCAGCATCTCGTCTCGCAGGTATCCGGTGTACTACGACCAGAAAAAACTCGCTTCGACGCATTCCGATCGATTTTCCCCGCTGGTACGGTCTCCGGTGCGCCAAAGGTGCGCGCCATGCAACTCATTGCTGAGCTGGAGGGTGAGAAGCGCGGTGTCTACGCCGGTGCTGTCGGATACTTTGGATACAATATTTCCAACACCGACGGCTCGAGCGAGGAACCCGGTGCGATGGATACTTGCATTGCACTCCGAACCATGATGGTCAAGGACGGCGTTGCCTATCTCCAGGCTGGTGGTGGTATTGTTTTCGACTCGGACCCATATGACGAGTATATGGAGACAATCAATAAGCTCGGCGCTAACATTGCTTGTATTCGTGGTGCTGAAGAAAAGTATCTGAGCTTGGAGGGTAGCCAGTGAGCACCTGGATAGGAGAAATCCTACGATACAAATTATTTCTAGATTTCAGGGACACTTTTCGGGCATTCTAGCATGATGTTATGGTCAACCATTTTTGACGATTCACGTATTGTTTTTCTCATTGCATTTCGGCTGACGCCCTCGTACATGAGTAGAGAATCAGCAATTAACACTAACAGCTTGGTCGCGAGGCTCTCTATTCAGATCTATCCAGACTTCGGGATGCATAGCCATTCAAATGGAGGGAATGATAAGATCTAAAGCAGCCTCAACATCACCAGAAACTCCAACAGCTCGGTTCTCCTCCTCAAGTTCCCAAGGCACACACCCGGCTGCTTCCTTGCCAATCCGAATCAATCGAAATGTTTTGTTCGGAGACTGAGAGACCAAGTTCTCGTTTGGCCATCGCAGCACACCAGGTGTATTCAGGCCAACTCCAAGTTCAAGCACAACAACCTTTCTAGGTAGACGTGATGATTTCTCATCTTTCTCGTCCTCCAACCCCCGCAAAAACTTCTTCCAAGCGAGCTCTTGGTCTCGAAAGGGTTTAGAGTTGAAATACGTTCCCCCACGAACACAAAGCGTCATCTCCCCACCACAAAGCCGACATTTCGGAATCTTAGACTCATCCATCAAAACCTGAGATTCGGAGTCGATAAACGGCAACGCGGCATCAACAAGAGGATCCGAAAGAACATATGCATCAGGCTGGCATTTATCAAAGCATTGCAAAAAGCGATATTGACCCTGCGGCGTCGCAACAATATCTCCATCAAACCCATTCTTCACGAAGAGACCATCTGCATTCGAAGTGCGGATGAAATGTTTCTTCGGAAATCGCGCCGCGAGATCACGAAGTCTCTCATAGATAGGCGATACCGGCCATTTTCGCACCATGTCTAGATGTAAAAAATAGTAGCCCCATTTCTCGGCGTCACTGCTCCAGCCATTGTATCCCATTACATCGTATAATCGGCGTAGGCCCTTTGAGCGGAATGCGGGGAAGTGTTTTGTGAAGAGGGCGTGGGAGTTGTAGTCCAGTCCTGCTGCGGCAGAGAGTCCGGCTCCTGCTGAGATTACCAGGGTGTCGGCATCTTCTATCCAGGTGCGAGCTTTGATGGTTCCGGCTGTGTGTAGTGACGGTAGACGTGCTGGCATTGACGTTGTTATCGATGTTGATGTTGATGTTGAGCTTAGAGAGCCATTTTCCTCATCAAATTGAGAGTTTTGCAGTGATTGCAACAGATTTTGGTAGATCTTTTGATCTTTCTCCAAGTAAGTATTGAATATGACATCTGTTATGCTGGTCATCGGGTGCTCGAGATGCCATGTTCTGACCGTATCCACAGCAATCCGTGCCGCCATGTCAGAAGGGAAAGCAAAGAGTCCGGTAGAGATGCAGCAGAATGCGACCACTTTGCGTTGGTCTGGGAGAGGCTGCAGCATTTCTGCAGCATCCAGACAAGAACGATAGCACGAGGCTAGCTGATTCTTATGATTGGGCTGGGGCGTCTCGCGGTGACGCAGTTGAGGTCCAACCGTATGAAGAACTCCCGAGGCTGGAAGATGGAATCCCGGTGTAGTTCTGGCTAGCCCTGCAGGCTCGGGGTCTGTCTGCCAATTCATGATAAGGCGACACGCCTGGCGAAGGTGTGGACCGGCAGCCGAATGAATCACATTGTCAATGCAGCGGTGCTCGGGAATGAAGCATCCCAGGAGTCCAGAATTCGCAGCGTTGACGATAGCCGTAACATCTGTCAAGGTGGTGATATCTCCATTCCAGGAGGATAGTCTGAACGGATTTGCATCCTTGATGACTGGATGTTGGAGAGTTACACTTGGAGTAATGGAGGTCGTGGACGTCAATAGAGTGTGGCTGTTTCGATAGGCGATCACTTCATCAATATCCTCATCTATCTCAGGCGGGATTTCGTTGTCTGGATACAGCTTGCAGAGTATCCGACGGAGAGCTTCCAGCTGGTCCCAAGTATCTGAGTCAAGAAGATGTTGCTCCCGTCGTTTGTGTGAGTGTCCACACTGGCAATGGCTGCATGCAGTGTCATCTTCTTTTTGGAGCGAGATGAGATGAAGCAGAGCTCTTTTTAGCTTTGCCGATGCGAATTCGGTGGCCATGATTGATCTGGTAAAAGAAAACGTTCTAGCATGAGGGAAACCCTCATATTGTGACCAATCCGAGTCTATTTAATTGGCATGCCCTAAAGACAGTGTAAACTTGCAAACATGAATGCTTTCCCGCTGTCTGCGCGGTGATTGGTCAATGGTTTGTTTGTCGAATTTGCAACTTAAACAAACAGCCCTTCACAGCCAATCAAATCTCACAATTTTTAGGTGATGACGGAGGACGGAAAGGCTCCGCTGGGCATAGCTAAGCAGCACTTCCACAACACAGCCCCTCCGTAATTCATACTAGCATACTACTAATATTTGTTCGAACTTGACTCATATATTATATTCCTCTCTACAACACCCAATATGCTTAGCTCTCGACCGGTCGTCGCCATTGCAGGAGCTACTGGGCATCTGGGAAGACATGTCGCTTCTGCCTTTCTCTCTCCTTTCTTCCGCGGCAAATTCTCCGACATTATTCTTCTTTCTCGGAAAGAAGCTTCCAGTATTGATGGATTTGAATCAACTACGAACTATACTCTTCGCAAATACGACGAGGACAATCTTGCCAAGGCTCTCGAAGGCGTTCAAGTCCTCGTGAACACGGTCGGGCCGTCGGGCCATTCCTTCAAGGAGAAGCTTCTGCAAGCACTGCCACAAACAGAGGTGCAAATCTATTTCCCCTCTGAATTCGGAGTCGATCATTATGTCCACGATTTTGCACATCTCGAATGGGACCAGAAGAAGAAACATTTTGCTTTGTGCCAACAATTGATTCCGGACATGAAGGTCTGCCGTCTCTTTTGCGGTCTCTTCTTAGAAGACAGTATCGGCCCTTGGTTCGGATTCGACACGAAAAATGGCAAGTACGAAAGCATTGGACCGCCCGATCGTCTAATCTCGTTTACCTCGCTTGGCGATGTCGGAAAAGCAGTCGCTGCGTTGGCTACACTCCCAAGCGATCTAGCTCCGAGCACTATTCATGTTGGTGGTGACACGCGCTCTATCTCGGAGATTGCTTCCATCATGGGAGCTGCTGGGGCCGGAGAGATTGAAGTGACAGAAATAGCGCTTGCTGAATACAAAAAAGAGAAGACAGCCAAGCTGTCTTCCGACCCGGCGGATTACTTGCGGTTCCTGGCGGGAGAGGACAAAATCGACCATACGGATGCAGGTCTCGGTGACGACAATGAGCTGGTCAATCCTCAGCAGTTGCTATGGGAGTGGTCCACTCTTACTGATCTGGCTAAGAGTACAAATGGAAAGCCATGGGAAGATTATGATTGGCCGCCGCAATGATCTCAACGCTAGTTTAGTGATCTCGCCGAGTTCAGCTATACAATAAACACTGGCACTCAATTATGTTTAGAATATTTAGGAAAAGACTTCAGCTTGTATTAAGTTTCATGTCACCTTGGCACCGTGACTTCCGGCCACGTAGTATATCAAAGTCAAAACGCTCTTTTTGGTGATCGCTCACGCTGATCATCGATCTGGCAGGGAATACTACTACTAGATCTACGAACAGAAGAACCATGAATGATGACATCAGTAATTACACCAATTCCATATGTGCTGTCGATAACATGCTGTATTTAGTATGTATCTAAATTTTAAAACCTAGAATTTAAGCATAAACAATTTTACATTGTTGATGTCGACTTTGTAGTATATTTGTTGTTACTGTTACATCTAGATGTAACCTCCCGCCTGCTAGTAAGCCCCGCTAGCCGGGCCGATCAAAAGTCATCAGAATCGACCACGACCTGTGTCGAACGGGTGTCGGGGCTACAATGGCAAGGACTGTGACCGATCCAGCGCTACAGGCCTTCCTTAAGCCTCTGAAGAATGATATCGAAAAGCTGTACAGCTTGTCCTCACGTCTCTCACTCACCTATCGCGAGCTAGCCGCAAGTTCCTCGGAGCTCTTCTCGCCGACAGCGACGACACGCCTGCCCACTGGCCGAGAGAAAGGTCGTTATCTGGCTGTGTATCTGGGTCTGCATTACCTGCGGGTCGCCTTTATCGAGCTACTCGGGGAAGAGCAAGTGGGAAAGCACTCACATGTCCGCCGCACACTCGAGAAGGCCTGGCCTATTGAAGACCGCCTGCGCCGAGACCAAGCCACGTCGCTCTTTGCGTGGATTGGTGATTGTATCGCCGAAGTGATTCACGATGATCTGGCGAATTCCAAGGTCGATGCGCCGTCCGAGGTGGCTATGGGTATCTCCTTCTGTTTTCCCATTAAGTACCGCATCCATCTGCCCCGCCATGGCACATGTCATGTATTAACCCATTTACCAGACAAAAATTCCACAATGAAGCAATTCTCCTACCAACCGGGAAGGGCTTTGCGCTCGGCGCCTCTCTTAATCTACAGCAGGCCCTGTTAGATGGCTACGAGTGCCACACACGGCGCTCGGACGAGGACCCTGCTGAGATGCCTGCCAAACGACAGAAGAAATACTGTCTACCCAAATTGAAAATCACAGTCATGACTAACGATACTATTGCGACTCTTGCATCGCTGGCATATTCCATCCGCGCTTTGCCGAACACGCGGGTGGTCATGGGCCTGATTTGCGGTGCAGGCTGCAACTCTGCCGTGCCCATGAAGCTGGCGGACCTACAAGAAGAAAAGACCCGACATATCCGAGAAAAGGCCCCCGAGGCGGTCAACACAGTAGTCTCAACGGAATGGACTCTTCGGGGTGCAACGGCGCCATTGGAAGAACTTGGGATCGTGACTGACTGGGATAAAGAACTAGACGTTCATTCTGATCGCCCGGGATTCCAGCCATTAGAGTACCTTATTGGAGGGCGGTACATGGGCGAGCTTGTGCGGATAATTTGCTACGAATGGTTTCATAAAACTAAAGCGGTACCGCGGGAGTCGTTGCCAATACAGCTGGTCGAGAGGTTTAAGCTAACGACTGACTTCCTCTCCCTCGTCGTAGCAACAAGCTATTCCGACGACAAACTGGCGAGGAAGCTATCGGAACGAATCCCACCTCCGGAATCGAGCGATTGGGCATGGACACCCGAGTATGCAGGTCATATTCGTTCAGTAGCCGCCGCAGTGCAGGACCGTTCTGCTGCCCTGGTAGCAGCGGCGACACTTGGACTTCTTGCCTGCACGCGGGAAATTCGACTGCAGAATACGGAACTGCTAGACCCACCGACAAAAGCCGGATCGGATGAAGAGGAAGAGTCGTCTGTCACGGCCACTAAGCTCCCTGAGAACGGCACCTCGATACCGGGTTGGAAGAACGGTCCCGAAGAATTGGTCGTGGCCGTCTCTGGGGGTGTGATTCGACATTATCCACACTACAAAGAGACAATACAACGATATATCGACCGCCTTTTGATCAGCGCTGGGCCTCAGAGTGGAGGGAAAAGCATCTTCCTCAGGGAAGCCAATGATGGCGGCATCATTGGTGTAGGAGTTCTAGCCGGAACGGTGGCCGGGGAGATCAACGGCATCATCAGCTCACCCCAAGACGAAGCGGCTAGCCAAATGGGTGCACCTGATATCCCATATTTTGCTACGAAGATGTGAGAAGGCGAAGATATGAGAGACATACCAATGCATCGATAGAATTTGTAAATACATAAGTCCCCGCAAAAAAAACATGATACGAACAAGATCCTCGAAAGGGAATTCATTCAACCAGTATATCTATCGTACAAACCAACCCACCAATAGGAGCTTCAATCGTATAACACGGATATATCAACCTCCTATCTAAACAAAAAGAAATGAAATCATCAATTATCCTGCAAAGGCCTAGCCGGCTAACATTTCAGGTGAGGGAATGGGTTCTGCGCAGCCACCCTCCACGGGGTTCAGTCGGTGCATTGACTAGGCATCCATCAACATAGAACAGAAATATTATGCATTCATTTTCCCTCCAGTGTCATCATATGTTCGTGGAAGCATTTACTGCTGAGTCGCCTGCCATTGCTCGGGGGTATAGCACTTGGGAGTCCAAGCGTGGATAGCAGCAATTTCCTCCTTAAGCGTGGCGTTGACAAGACGGTGACGGGCGAGCATAGTCTTTCCCGCGAACTTCTGCGAAACAATCACGGCTTGGAATGCTTGACCACAGCCACCTATCGAATTGAAAACGGGTTAGTTCGCTTTCGCTCTCTTGTTATTGCTATTACTACTTCTTCTCCAGCAATGGATCCAAAGAGGTAGGTTCTTCATACCTGACAGATCCTCAATCTCGACGTGATCAGCCTGCAGCTCGGAGATCAGCTTCGCCTGCAACGAGTCTGCGGTAATGCCCGAGGTATCAGCCATAGCGGCGTGGACGGCGGAAAATGCACGCGCGGAGAGCGAGGACGGCCGGATAGCGGTATGGGTTGGGCGGAAGAGGTATCGGGTGCCTCTGCTCAGGACAGTGAGGGAGGAGGCGCGGGGAAACATGAAGTTAGGGTGGGGTGTTCGGGGGAGGAAGAGAGGTTTGGCTGGGTCCCGGGCGATTTCTCAATGAGGTTGCCAATCGCGGCGCATTACAAATTCAGGGCTCGGCTGTGGCTGGTGGGCACGTGTGACGCACTGCCATGGTGGATTGGGGGTAACGTGACTATTCCGGGACTCCACTCTACTGTATCAATCAAAATCTGATATCAAATACCATGGGGATCAATACGGAGTACAGAATCAATGATTGACTGGGCCCCGGGGAATCGAAGCCCTGTTCTCCATTAACCAACGTTGCATGCCCGCTAGCGATATACAAATACAGGCAGCTTTACAAAGAACCCAGTGTTATCACCACAAGGGTCAATTCCTACAATATCTTAACAAGAAAATAATCATCTTAAAAGACCATTTGAGAAGTGAGAAGGATATCCTAACGACAAGAACAAGTAGACAAATGAGAAGAGAAGGCGGGGAGAAGGGAATGAGAGATCAACAAATGGGGGATCGGGGTAGACAGGGAAGGTTCAAGAAGTCCAAGTATAAAGCGGTGGACCAAAGGGGTGGGGAGAAAAAGAAAAAGCAAGAGGAGTGTGACAGAGTACTAGTCTTAGTTTGGCTTTCCAATGCAACTAACAGCATGAACTATCCTGGGCGGGTGCAGAGAGGAGACAGAATGAAGGGATTGGGGTAAGGGGCAAGAATATTTGGAGATTAAGCCATAGGAAACCGGTGTGCAGATTTCCGGACTCGGTATGCTCCTAAATAAACCAATGAGAATAAACACGTGGGGTGTGCCAGATCACAGATTTACAGGTCGATCAAGCTGCCGCCATGCTGCTGCTGCTGTTGTTGCCGCTGCGGCTGGGGAGCACCCCACGGGTTGCTGTTAGGCTGCTGCGCCATATAGCCTGTCTGCTGAGGCATGCCGGTAAACTGCTGCCCAAAGAAAGGGTTGGTGCCGGTTTGGTTCGCGTGCAGGCGGTCCAGACCTTGACCGGCAGAATTGACAAATGTGCCAGGTGCTGTATGCTGTGCCGGAATACGGAGTTCTCCAACGTTGCCAAAGGTGTCCTGGCCCTCGCCGGTTGAGAGGAGAGCGTTCAAACGAGCGTGATGAGGGTCTGATGACTGGGGTGGGGTGCTCTTTGGAGGCTGCGGGGCTTGGAAGTTGGCGATAGGGTTGGATTGGGTGGGCTGTTGCATAAGCGGACTGCTTGTTTGATTGAATTGGCCGTACTGGTTGTACTGGTTTGTTGCCCGATCTTCCGCCAGGGTATTGAGAGATGGAGGTCCAGCCTGTTGCGGCTTGTTGAACTGGGATTGCTGAGGTTGTTGTGTACGCATGGCAAAAGGATTGTTGGAGCCCGTGGCCATAGGCTTGAGGGTGTCAGTTGGTTGATTAGAAGACCAAGGGTTGTTGCTGCCGGCCGACTGGTAGTTCTCCTGAGGCTGTTGTGGCTGCTGCTGCTGCTGTTGCGCGAACATATCTCCCGGTCCACCATAAGGATTGTTGGTGTTGAATGCCGTATGCTGCGGCTGCAGGGCCGCCTGGGGTTGCAAAAAGTTGTTCTGGGGTTGTCCATACTGGTTCTGATCGAAGCCGGTGGGCTGTTGGTAACCATTGCCGTAGGGGTTCATGCCTGTAGGCTGATTCTGGAATCCAGTCGGCTGCGCATATTGATTGTTGAGGAAACCGGTCGTCATAGGCTGCTGAGCGTTGATGGGGTTGCCGAACCAGTCCACGGCACTCTGCTGCTGATAGCCTTGATTGAAGCCAGTTGGCTGCACCTGAGTGGGAGTGTCGTCAAAGAGCGCGTGGGCATTATTGTCCTCCAACTCGCGCTTCCGCAATTCCTCTTCTTCTTGGCTGAGCTTGATGGCCTTGGCGAGGTCTTCATCATTGTCAATACCAGCTTCCTTGGCGCGTCGCCTCCGTTCCTCCTCGGCTTCCGCCTTGCTGGCCTCGATTGCAAGTCGGTATTCGGTATCGTCCTCATCATCGGGGTTACGTTTCCGTCGCTCCCGGCGCGGCGGCTCGTTACCAAATCCCCCCTCCGCTTCCTCCTTGTTCATCGAGACCACTAACCCGGGTCTTCCAAAGCTTGCGATCGGATCGTTCGCTACGGAGTCGGTCTTCATCCAGAACCAACGCAGTCAGTTCCTTTGCCGCGACACGAACTTTAGTTGAATTAGCATCTAACCCTGTATCTTGATTCGCGGAAGTTTACTTACCGTTCTGACCCACGTCGCGTCCCTCCTCGTCAACGTATTGGAACTCGCGCAGTGTCTTGATGATGTACACATTCTTGCGCGCCCAGGTAACCACCAACTCCGAGCCTTCGTGCAGACAATAATCCAAGACCTTCAACGATTTGAGTACGTGTCGCCAGTTCTTGCCTTTGTCATTGAGACGCTTGTCGATCATGTCCATAATCTCGTAGAACTCGTTCGGGCTAGATATAAGTCAAGTTAGACACGATGCCCCCCTCCCTAGAACAGATTGCATGTCGAATCTTACCTCCCAAAGGTCATGGCGGCGATCTCGGACATGTCGGTACCCGTCGGGCCCCATGGATCATTGCTGGTTGCTAGAAGACCATTGCCGTTAGCTTATCTGTTGCGATTGGCCGTTGCGCAGCCATTGTTATCGGTGCATGACATGGCCAACAGGCGCCGCTAGCCCTTTCAAATAACGGCGACAAGAGGCGACTGTCAGGGCGACACCGGCTGCGGTGTTTCTTGATTTCTGATCTCAAGCAGAGAGGACCCTAACGTACCATTTCGGACCTTCACCTGGACTGATGAATAGCCCTTTGTAACGTTTTTGACGCTGCGTACTACCTTCGACATGGTGGCAGGATAGTCGCGATCTTCGCAGAAGGTAAGGGGAGGGAGGGGTCGGAGTCGCGATAGGAGAGCCGATCAGATGGTTCCGGGGGGCTATAACTGGGAGGGCCCTTGTTGCCAAGCTCTTACAGCCCACTCTGTCACCTTACTCCGGATGGCGGCCCAAGGCTGTAGTCGGGAAACGTGTCTGTACAGACGGAGTGTGAGGCCTGTAGAAATGATGAGTCGGCGGACCAGCCACTGCGAGGGGGAGATGAAAGAATTGGGCGCTTGGGTGGAAATGGCAAAAGAGAGATGGGGAGAGTCGAGGAGAGGGGACTGTGGCTAGTGGCTGGAACGGGGGGACACACAGCCTTGGCAATGACGAGGCGGGTGAGCGCCGATCTGAGGGTCCAACAGGAAACATGCACACAGCACGGTACATAGTTACTGGCGATATACTACCTTCGATAAAGCGGACTATAAATCGTTTTTAAATGAGCTGGACCATGGTGGATCTGGGAGATATTTGTTATGGTATTCATGATTCTATCGGTCCATGCCCGGGTTTTCCGGCTGTCACAATACATAGCGGAAACGACACTAACGGTAGTCTACCTAGTAGTAAAAATCAAAACTTGAATTGGAATACCCAGAAGGTACTACAAGTAGTACTATGTACATAGAGTCTAGTAGTACTACTATAAGCACACTTTTGCCAGCATAAATTCAAGTTACTACTACTAGCGTAGAAGAGTCCCATGTGGATCTAAAGGGTCCCTGTCGAACCCGTTCGGGCAATGGAAGACCACCGCCACAATTGTGGCAATGGGCCGCGTCAGACTTATAGGCAGCCGCCAAATTTTCTTGGGCGACTAGGTATTTAATTGCATAAGCCAGTTACATGGGTTTAAACAAATTCAGCTCCGTGTCCGTTCCATCTATACCCTATCGTGAGAGCAGCTTTCAAGGTCGAAGCATAAGATACCTAATAGGCGGGCAAGTATGATTCTATTGGATATTGGTAGTACATCTCTTTTGTATAGTATACTTCGTATGCAACGAATAGTGGTATATACTAGTTCGACCGGCTCCAATATACTAAGTACCATTGGCAGTACCAACAAGGTCCTCTCCAATACCAATGCGCCGAGGACAGTCGGTTCCGTAGCTAAGCATTTTATTAGACCCTTGTAACCTCATTTGCTCTAAACGAGCACCTTCTCGGCGGCGGAGACTAATTTTTGTTAGTGACAAGCTTCTACATCGGAGAGAAACATCCCTACCGTTCAGACCGATGTTGTCGGGTTCCACGAAAGCCTCCTTCACCTTGCCGTTCTCCACCAGCAATGCATAACGCTTGCTGCGGTTGTTACCGAAGATGGCGGCGCTGTCGAAGCTCAGGTCAAGAGCCTCGGTGAACTGGCCGGACGGGTCGCCTAGGAAGCGGACCTAAAAAGAATGCTAGTGAGCGATAATGCTAAGGGTGAATTGAAGAGAAAGTATCACATACACCAGACTTGGCCTGGGGATCAAGGGAGTCGGCCCACGCCTTGGTTCTATAGAGTTTGCGAATCAGTGTGCCATCCGCGGGGAATGTTATCCGGCGCAGGGCGGCGCGTCTCCGGAGCTTACACAAAGGGGTCGTTCACGGCCACCACGAAGACCGGACCGGCTTCCTTGAGCTTGGGGTGATTGATGTAACCGGGGATGTGGCTGGCCGAGCAGGCGGGGCCTGGTCGCGCGAAGGTGGTTAACTCGAGGTCCCTAGTTTTCCAAACGGAGTGGTTCTTTCCAATTCCGGTGTGACCTACTGAATGCTGCCGGGACACCGACGATGACACCCTTGCCTGAAAGCTCCTTGGCGAGGTTGACCTTGTTACCGGGGGGAGTTCTCAACCAGGTCAATGTTGGGGATGGCGTCGCCCTTTTGAACGAAGGCGGGTGCGGTGCTGTGGAAGGGCGCGACACCGGCGCGAGGGACACGAGTAGCGAGACGACGAGCAGCGAACATGGTGAATGAATTGGATTGTCAATTAAGAGAGGGAAGATGGTGTAGAGTGAAGTAGGGAGGGAGGAGGGAGCAAAAGAGGTGAGGTTTGAGCTGTGAGGTTGACTTGAGCTCTTCAGCAATTTCGTCATGGGCGGAAGGAGCGACGATCGTCATTTACCGTGGAGGGGCCCTTCGGCTTTCCATCTTTCTTCGACAATCCACAACCCCAGAGGATCCCCCAGAGATCTCCAGATTCAAGTTCCTTCAAATTATGCTTTCTTTGGGGTCTGGGGTGTTTCGCCAATTCAATCGCACTCCTGGTCGGGTACTCTTATCTACCATGACCACTTATGGAGTCGGCTGAAAAAAAGACCGAGACACTCCCGATGGTTCGAATTCCTCAGGGATACCAACGGGTCCCTGTTTCTCACCACCTGGTGTATGTCAAAATGAGTGATGATGATCATGATGATTATCGTGACAATAGTTTCTGACTACAGTACACTCGTGTATACCGCCCAAAATTCATTTCCACCGCCAACCACCAACTGCCAACTCAGCCAGTGGACCTGAACACGCCGATGGTAAACGCACACCCACGAGGAGGCCCACCGATCCCAGCGCGGTGGAGCCTTTGTGCTCCCCTCAAACCATGTCTTAACGCTTTCTCTTGGCGAGAAATATTTTTTTTCCCTTTTCCACACCTACAAGGAGTACGAGTACAGCTGCGAGTCCGAGAGCTAGCCATGCAGGCTTCCCTCCTCCCCCCCCTCCACCCCAATGCGCACTGACATGTTAAGCACGTCTGGACTTTCTTTGATCATTGTGGTGCAGACTGCAGACTATCTGCGTCTGCGTATCTGGGGGAATGTAGGAGTCCAGCCCTGCATTCAGCATGCAAGTAGAGAGGAGGAGGCGGGAGGTGGAGGAGAAAATGATATAATGTCAGCATAATAGAAGAGAAATGTTCCCAAGCAGTCTCCATGGATCAAATTAAATATATCAAAAGATAAAACAAAATATTACAATATTACAATATTACAATATTATAATATTATAATAATAATGCCGTGAACATAACTCAAGTGCCCAATCGAAGGTACCTCCCTATACCGCGCAGGGCCATTCCCACTAGTAGGTAACTTTGGTACACCCGCTGTACTCGAGTCGACCGCCCCCCCTCCCACTTCCCCCAATTCTCTTTTACATAGAGAAACTCTTCTTCTCAGCCCACCTTGCCCCAGCGACCTGCTGTTTTTCTTTCTTTTTTCTTTTGGCTTCGATCCCGGTCACCTTCCTCCCGTCGAATCGCACACTTCTTCATAGCAGCCCGGCCCCCGGGTTCTGCCTGACCTGCTTTGCCCGGCCTGCCGAGATTCGTTCAATCGACCCTTCTAGGCCATGGAGGGTCAACAGCCTCAGCCCCCAGCGAGTGGGAACTCCTCCGACTTTGTGAGTCTCAAGATCCCTAACCCTGTCGTTCAGGCTAACAGTATGTGTAGGTGCGCAAGCTATACAAGTAAGTTCTCTATTCGCCTCCCTCGCCGACTTTTCATCCGCGCACCTGCCCTCCCCACCGCGCGACCGTTGAGAGTTGAGATCTCGACTAGATGTTGACTCTTCATATAGAATGTTGGAGGATCCTTCCTACGCGTCGATCGTACGCTGGGGTGATGAGGGGGACAGTTTTGTCGTCTTGGAGGTAATGCGCCTATCTTGTCGTACGGTCGCACCGGTTGAACTGACTTGGGCATCCAGTGCGAGAAATTCACCAAGACCATCCTGCCCAAACACTTCAAGCATAGCAACTTTGCCAGCTTCGTGCGCCAGCTGAACAAATACGATTTCCACAAAGTTCGCCAGAATAACGAAGAGAACGGCCAGTCACCGTACGGCCAAAATGTATGATGTCTCCTCAAGATCCTTCGCGCCTTGCGCACTTCCGCCCGTTCGCCTCAAAGTGATTCTTACGTTGGCTCACACACTTTTCTCTCCTAGGCCTGGGAATTTAAACATCCCGAGTTTCGTGCCAACAGCAAGGACTCTCTCGACAACATCCGTCGTAAAGCCCCGGCTCCTCGCAAGCAAACCCAGAACAATGACGATTCCGCTCCAACTCAACAGATTGACCTGCTCAACCAACAGATTCTCGCACAGCAACAACAGATCCAACATCTTTCGGATCGTTATGCCCAGCTTACAGTGGACCATCAACTGATGCTACAAGAGGTCATGCGTGTACAGAAAACAGTGTTGAACCACGAGAACGTTATTCACCAAGTGATGAACTACTTGCTTACGGTGGATGCGCGTCAACGACGGGATAGCAAAGCTGTTACATTCCAAGCGCAGGGTTCAACAATGAGTCCGTCTCAAGTTGGTGCTGTGGACGACGAGCCCTCTTCGCCCCTCCAACAAGCCTCGAAACTCTTGAGTGACATGAACGCGGAAATCCAATTCAACCTTTCTGGCGTGGATGCGAATGACCCGCAGAAGGCCGCTGCCGCAGCAGCAGCCGCCGTCGCTGCCGGTGTCGCACCAGTAGCCACCCCGGCAATGGATGCCGCCCGCAATGGAGCTGTTCGTCCACCCACGACCGGGGCCCCTACTCCGATGGTATACCAAAATAAGATTGGTGGTGATCTGGAGCAGGTGGTTTATCCCGTTGGTGCAACGAATGGAATCGACCCTATGTATAGTGAGCATGTCAATAATGTGCCATATCCAATGCCGACAACCAAAGCCGAAGAAACCGAAGTCCGCCGGCAATACCCCGACAACCGGAAGAAGAGCACCAATGTCGATCCTGGTTGGGTTCGTAGCCCACAGATTCTTTTGGTTGAAGATGATGCGACTTGCCGGCAAATTGGTGGAAAGTTCCTTTTCTCTTTCAACTGTGTAATTGACACTGCGGTATGTTAAGCTTATCTTGCTCCTAGCTAGGGTATTTGGAACTAATAGCAAGCAGCTGGATGGGTTGGAGGCCGTCAACAAGATTCAGGATGGCCAGAAGTACGATCTCATCCTGATGGATATCATCATGCCCAATTTGGATGGTGTCTCAGCTTGCCACCTCATCCGCCAATTTGACAGGACCCCTATTATCGCCATGACCTCCAATATCCGGAGTGATGATATCCAGCTTTACTTTCAACATGGTAAGCACATTGATGCTTTTCTTCTCATCTCTATCCTTGTTTCTAACACGGATTTACTATAGGCATGGATGATGTTCTACCGAAACCATTCACCCGAAAAAGTTTACTCGGTATGCTCGAGAAGCATCTCGTGCATCTCAAGACCATGGCCCAGGGGGTTGAGGCACCCCAGCCTCCTACGGTTACCATGGCCCCCCAACCTTCCGCCACTCAATCAATCAAGGAGGACAGCTCCCCTGGTCAATCCCCTGCCGGCTCTATAAACAACTGGCAATCACCGGGACAATTCCAGGGCATGCAGACCGTTCCACCAACCATGCCGACGGTGCAAGGGCAGTATGTGGCTGCAGCTGGCGCTGCGCCACCAGCCGCCGCATATACTGTTGATCAAAACGGAGTCCAATACCCTGCACCTGCAGTCGCGGTACCTTCATCCGGTCCTCCAACTCGCCCACCCCATCGAAGACAAATGTCCGACATGTCTAGTGCCGCCGCCGATGGCCAAAACATGGCTAAACGCCAACGCATGTACGCCCCGCCGCAACAACCTATGATGGCCGTGCAAGCCGGACGGCCTGGCTAAGACACAATTGTTTCTCGTATCCTTCCTGCTCCTCACACCTCCGCCTGTCTATTACCTCACGATTCCCACTGTCTATAACGAGATCTCAATCGTATATCTCCCACATCCTCACTTTTTTTTGGCTGTATTGTCTTGGTTACGGTCTTCCCCTTACAGGTCATGGCGTTTCTTTGATTTCCCTTGTTAAGTTGCCGGCAGAGTGGGTGGCGAATTTTGTGCGTTTTCACGCGTCAGCTCTTTGATATACCTTACGGGCGAAATTGTTTTGTCAGGTACATATTTTTTACAACCTGTTTTTTTCTTCTTTCATTTTTTTGCCGCTCTGGGCGATGTCCTTGGGGGCCAAATTGCATGGATGTTTTCGCTCCCGTTCCTTGGGTAGAATGGGGGTTGGGACAGGGAATTGTCTGGATGTACTCATCATCACTTTGAACAATCCAACTGTTTCGCGTCTCCATCGTAACCCAATGACTGGGAACCCCACTAGAACCGAACAGCGGACAAACCCGCTGATCGTCCCCTCTGTAGTATGTATATCATTTTTAGCTTGAGAATCTAAACCGGTGGTCTAGACCATCGATCGAATTGTCTCCTTGATGCGCAGCTTTCGCGCGAAATCGCGTCGTCTCCCTGGATAACCCGGGGAAAGTAAAGGAGTTTTACTTATCCAATGGGTTTTTTTCCGGTCGAGGGATTATAGAGCAACGAAAAACAAGAAACTGCCACGAATTCCTTGTAGAACCGGTTCACCTGCTTGATTTTCTCTTGAAGGATCCGAATGGTTCCTGCGCATCGGCGAGGGTCTAGACCGCGTCGACCCCCCACATCCGTTTAACCTGCGGCAGGTGAATATTTTTAGCAGCTACGAGTATGTTATGGGCATGGATTGTCCTTTAGCCTGATCTGCTGATGATCGGCCTACCCTAAGTATGTACCTATGCATGTAATGAATCTGCGCTATCCCTATTTGCTGGAATGCAGGCCTCTACGAGTATGTATTCCGAATGCCAAGCTTGTTTGGTAGGAGTCGACCGCGAGGAGGTGTATCCTTTCTGGCATTATAATAAAATTAAAGCAATAAATAAATAAAAATATGTTCTTTCTCTCTCAGACTCGAGACTTGTGTGGACTCGGATGATACAGCCATACTATATGGTACCTGCTACCATAGGGCACAGTTAACTAAGGAACAATACAGGGGTTGCCGTTAACAGGGCAAAGACCGCAAAACAAGTAGATATATCATATATGGAAACCTGCAAAGAAAATCCAAACCTTTTCTCTTCATTTCGTCTCCTACTCGGTCTCTCTAAAAGATTCCAATTTTATGGATCATCAGTCAAGTCGGTCTATTTGCTGCGGCTTGCAGGTCCAGGGCGGTCAGCCAGGTCCCGTGACCCAGGTGAATAAAATAGTGCAAACTATGCAAACACATCAACAGTGGGAGTCATTCCGCGGCTGGCGGGGGTTTTTTGTGCCCTTCTTTGTTAGCGCCAGCATTCTTGTACGTCTTCATCGCGAGCTCTTTCGGTGCTGTTAAGATCACATCCACTGACCAGCTTCAAGATCCTTGAAAAATGGGTCCGAAACAAAAGGGAGGCGGCTCCAAATCACGGGGCAATGCGACGGAGGAAGTCGAAGAGACCCTGCAGGCTGTGGTAGGTCTTCTCGCTGAGCAAGATGGGAGGGTAGCTACCTATTTGCTGCCTTCTTACTTACACCCGATCGAAACATAGATAGTTGCTAATAGTTATGGTCGAATAGGTCCTCGCGGATACCTTTGAAACTCGATTTGAGCCCTTCACTCTTGACAAGCCCCGGGTATGTGGGCCCGTGCCTGCAGCATATTGAAATCGCATATGCTGACGAAGTTGAATGAAATAGTGTCTCCTACCGCTAGCCAACACTCCCTTAATCGAATATACCCTGGAATTTCTTGCCAACGCCGGTGTAGAGGATGTCTTCCTCTACGCAGGCGCTCATTCCGATCAGTTAGAGAAATACATCAAGTACGATGACTCGAGTTTGGATTGGAGCTTAAAGAAAGGGACTAACTATATGATTCTAGTGCCTCGAAATGGAAAGCTTCGTCCTCGCCCTTCAAGCAATTATCCTTTCTCAAATCCGTGTCGAGTTCGGTTGGGGAAGTAATGCGAGACTTGGATTCCAAGCACCTCATCACAGGAGATTTCCTCGTCGTCAGCGGCGATGTCATCAGCAACCTGCCCATCGAAGCCGCCCTGACAAAGCATCGGGCTCGCCGTGAAGCCGACAAAAACGCGATCATGACTATGGTTCTACGGGAAGCCGGACGAAACCATCGCACCAAGTCCACCTCAATCTCTCCAGTCTTTGTGATCGACCCGACCAAAGACCGTTGCCTTCACTACGAAGAGATCGACCACCAGTCCGAGGAAAGCCATGCTCGTTTGAACATCGATGCCGAGATTCTTCTGACACATGCCGAGCTTGATATCCGGCAAGACTTGATCGATTGCAGCATTGATATCTGCACACCAGACGTTCTGGGCCTCTGGTCTGATAGTTTCGACTACCAAAGTCCGCGGAAGCATTACCTGTTCGGTGTGCTGAAGGACTATGAGCTGAACGGCAAAACAATCCACACACACATCATCAAGGATGCTTATGCTGGTCGAGTCCGTAACTTGAAAGCATATGATTCTATCAGCAAGGACATTATCTCCCGTTGGACTTATCCTCTGTGCCCCGACACCAACTTGCTTCCCGGGCACACTTATGATCTGCGTAAGGGCAGTTTGTACCAAGAGCAGGGCGTGTTTCTTGCCCGATCCTGCGTTATTGGGCGTCGCACGGTCATTGGACGCGGCACTAGCATCGGTGACCGAACAACAGTTCATTCTACTACTCTGGGCCGCAACTGTAAGATCGGACGAAATGTTAGGCTGGAGGGAGCTTATATCTGGGACAATGTTGTTGTCGGCGACGGTTCTGATATTCGTGGCGCGATCATCGCAGATGGCGTCGTCATTGGCAAGAATTGTACCGTCGAGTCCGGCGCTCTCCTGTCATACGGTGTCAAGATTGCCGACAGCGTTAAGGTGGGCAGTGGAAAACGAATCTCCAGATCAAAGCGTGATGGCAGCGCAGCTCCCACTGAGGTGAAGGTGGTCGGTGAAGGCGGAGAGGGATATGAGTTCATCCAAGGCGAGTATGAAGATGAAGATCCGGATGACGTTAGTGTCGCATCCTCTGGGCTCGGTATGTTCGAATTCTTTCCAGATGGCAGTTATAGAGACGGTGCTAACAATTTCCTAGTGTATCGCATGCCGGGACTCTCGCTCTCCTCTGCCTCAATCTCCACATTGTCATCCGAATTATCGGAAGGCTCCTGGGGACGGTCTGCCCGAAGCAGTTTCTCTGATGGCACGGAGCGAGACGACAATTTCAACGCCGATGCAACAGGCAGTGTCCTTGAGAGTCTGCGTGAGGGTGTCTCTGCCGACGTGGTACAGCTGGAGCTGGTTAGTTTGCGTATGACTGCCAATGCCTCGGACACTCAGGTTCGCCGGGCGATCGTCAGTTCATTCATGCAATACATTGAGGAGCTCATGGCCAAGGGCAATGGCGCCAGTCAAGCCATCCACCAGGTCTTCTCGCAGTACACCGAGGTCGTGGACCGAACTTTGTTCGATCGGAATAAGGATGACAAGAAAGATCAGGTTGATCTACTACTTCAGCTCCAGCAGGACTTGATCAGTAGGGAGAAGGGTGATACTGTCCTTCTGTTTACGGCGAAGGAGTTATATGAGCTTGAGCTGGTCGACGAAGAAGCATACGAGCAGTGGTGGAATGATGAGCGGTCCAGTGAGAGCGAGGAGATGAAGAAGGTGCGCGGTCAGGCACAGCAGTTTGTGCAATGGTTGGCCGATGCAGAGGAAGAAGAAAGCAGTGAGGAGGAAGAGAGCGACGAGGAGTAGTACTAGTCATGTTACTACTACTGGTATTCACCGATCGATTGCCATATTTTATACCACGGCACAATCTCGCATTAGACCTAAAAGATTTCAGTTGACAACGAATTCCATGATTATGAGTGCAATATGAGTACAGGATGGTCGCCAGTGTGTGTCGTTCGGTAGTGACTAACGGTGTGGTAGTGGACTGATGGGTGTACGTGATGTTTCAGGCATCCAACGGGATCTCCCGCAGACCTTGCGGATCACTTTGGAATCAACCACCTCTAAAGGAACTGCATTCTGGCACTGGCACTGACACTGGCAGACATGAACTAGACTGGTCCACCTGTGTTCCATACCGTAAACCAGTGAATCAGTGAGTCAGAACAATCAGGCTTCACCCTGTTGAGAGATACTTCTGCCGGGATTATTTATCATCGCCCCCCCTTCTTCCCCACTCCCCCTCCGAACCGCCACTCGAACCGCTCAATTTTCCCGGTGACGTTTGGCTCACCACCCTTTTTTCAACCCTCTTCAACCCGGCTACCTGCCACCCATTTCCATCACGCCTCCCTCTACACGGAAGAGAAAGGCAGCCGAGGCGGCGATTACGGACGACCAGCCTCTCCCCGAATCCGCCACCAAGGCTGCCCATACCGGAAACGCCACCCTTGTCGGTCGCTCGCGCAAGCCTAAGCCTAAGCCCGCTTCGACGGGTCCCGCGACCACCTGCCCCCAGTCCACCGAGTCGGGCAGTTCTGCGAGTTCCACCTGTCAGAAGAAAAGAGAGCTCGCGACCCCCGCGACTACTGAAGCCAGCATGGACTCCGACGACGATTTCATGAGCGATGTCTCCAGTCAGGACGACTTCTTGGACATGCAGGGGAGTGATGATGAGAGTCTAGGTGAAGGTACGTATCTGACTGAGACTTGGTCTGAGGAACTTCCCCTCGATCTAAGAGGGATTCCACCCTGATTACATTCCTCTCGATGCCATGTCATCAACTAACCTCTTTTCTCCCAATAATAGACTTTGGTGATTTAGATACCGGCTTCTCCGACGACAAGGACCTTCTCAAGCAGAAGAGGAAACCATACGAGGTCGAATTCAAAGTTCTCAACCCCCCCAGAAATCGAACGCGAACAGCTTGTACAAATTAACGAGGTTTCCGCTATCCTTGGCCTACCACCAGAGTCGGCCGCAATCCTCATGCGGTTTGGTCGATGGAAGCAGGAGAAACTGATCGAGGGGTACATGGAGCACCCGGAGGAGACATTAGAAGAAGCTGGGTTAGGAACCAACTTTGAAGTCACGGCGAAAACGGAGGTCGTTCCAGGTTTCAGCTGTGAGATTTGTTGTGAGGATGGCGATGACCTCGAGTCGTATGCGATGCGCTGCGGGCACCGGTTTTGTGTCGACTGCTACCGGCACTATCTTGGACAGAAGATTAAGGAAGAAGGAGAAGCCGCGCGGATTCAATGTCCCGGAAACAAATGTCATCGCATCGTCGATTCGAGGTCACTTGATCTGCTTGTTACGGACGAGCTCAAGGACCGGTAAGAGTCACCACCCCCCAGTTTCGAATAGAGACATGGTTAGCTAACATGCATCTCATCAATAGCTATCGCACACTCCTCACGCGAACCTATGTCGACGATAAAGATAACCTACGATGGTGCCCGGCACCAAACTGCGAGTATGCGGTCGACTGCGCAGTGAAAACCCGCGACCTTCGACGCATAGTCCCAACCGTCCGGTGCATATGTAAACATGAATTCTGTTTCGGCTGCTCGGTCGCCGATCATCAGCCCACCCCGTGTACACTGGTCAAGATGTGGCTCCAAAAATGCGAGGACGACTCCGAGACTGCCAACTGGATATCAGCCAACACCAAAGAGTGCCCCAGATGCGTATCTACGATTGAAAAGAATGGCGGTTGCAATCATATGACCTGCCGTAAGTGCAAGCACGAGTTCTGCTGGATGTGCATGGGTCTCTGGTCTGAACATGGCACCAGTTGGTACAACTGCAACCGCTTCGAAGAAAAGTCTGGGCATGATGCCCGCAGTGCCCAGGCTAAGTCGCGTGCGTCTTTGGAGCGATATCTTCATTACTACAACCGCTATGCGAACCACGAGCAATCGGCAAAGCTGGATAAGGACCTCTACCTCAAGACCGAGAAGAAGATGACTAGCCTGCAATCACAATCCGGACTATCCTGGATCGAGGTTCAGTTCCTCGACACAGCATCCCAAGCACTGCAGCAGTGCCGTCAGACCTTGAAGTGGACATACGCCTTTGCGTTTTACCTCGCGCGAAATAACATCGCGACAATCTTTGAGGATAATCAGGCGGACCTGGAGATGGCCGTGGAGGGTCTCAGTGAGATGTTCGAGAAACCCGTTTCGGAACTCGCTGAACTGAAGGTGGATATTCTGGATAAAACCGCCTATTGCAATAAGCGCCGGGTCATCCTATTGAGCGACACTGCAGAGAATTTGAAGAATGGTAAGTCATATATACGTCGTTGTATCTCTTCACGATCATGGAAGAACTTTGTGCTAATATTCCCCAGGAGAATGGTCGTTCAATGTCGAGTGGTAGCGATACCTCCCCAGTCCTGATAAGACGATCTCAGATGATAATTTGACGACGTGAACGAACTTTTTTCCGACTCTCCCTCTCCCATTCGTACCAATTACCTACCCATCTTTTCACCTACCTACTCATGTGGGTAGGCAGACATCTCCGCTTCCCAACACCACCCCTTTAACCAATCTTCGCATCCTTCTAATTTTGCCCTCATGACGCATAAGCCCCAGTGGAGTCGTCCAGTTTGAGCAAAGAGCGCATTGAACCCTTTCTTTCTTCCTGAATTAAACGCATTGAAATGACCCAGCATGTTCTGACAGATTTTTTTGTGTTCCCATCTATTTATTGCTTCTCGAGGCTGCGGCGCCGAGGTGTTGAGACTTTTTTTTGTAGGGATTACCATGGCCAACAAGCAGTGCCCTCTATATTTTCATAACGAAGTAGCGATTTTCTTCTGAACCCATCATTTTCTTTGGCATACTATGATCTCGTGAAACTACTACCGCTACTGGCATTGACTGTAACGATCTTTAACGATGTCTATCTTCCTATTACTAGTAGCAGCCCTGGAGTACATACATGCCCCCGAGGCCGTATAGGGAAATGTGTAGAAAGTTGAATACGATGCCTGTTCCATTGTACCCTATCCTATTTTTCCAGATACTCCCCGTATTTGACCGCCTCGTTCTGATCCATCCACTGCTCCCAGAGCCCCTTCTGTTGCACAGGTGGAATCATGCCATTTACGCGCCAATTGTCTGCGGGGTGCTCGTAGATATTGTACTCCCACTTGACTCCCTTGGGTGCCAAAACCGGCTCCACGATCTTATTGACACTATCGATGAAACCCAGCCGGACCTCTTCGTTGGGAAAAGAGCGGGCTGCGTGATCGAGGACGAAGAAGACTGTATTTGGGGGTGTTTTTCCTCCACTGTAAAAAGTGCCAATGCGGTTTTCGTGGAAGAAGACGTTGACTAAGAACGCGGGAATCCCTAATTTGACGTAATTGTCCGTAATGGCTTGGGCTAGTGTGTCTTTGTCTGCTTTGGAGAGTGTGTCTGGCGTTACTTCGAAGGCCCAGCGAGGCATTTTGGAAAGATTGCACCAGGGCTGCTTTGAGCAAGAACGGGGTGATAAGACTTGGATGTTGCAAGATTTAGTAGAATTGAAATCATGAATTTGAACCGACCTTTATATCCTTCCTGCTGAATTCTTCTTGTGGAGACTATGATTACTTCTAGGCCGAGTCAGCCGAGGACCGATGTCTTTCGATTTGATTAATCAACAAAGTGTTTGTGTCAGAATGTGTTGGGTTGTTGACGCATCCATACATGCGGTCACTGTTGAACATAAAACCTCGGCTGAAGATCTAGTACATTCAAAAAGACATAAGAGGCCAAGCATTATCATGTTTACTCGCATCTCCTCACTTCCTTGCCGTCCTTCCTACATTCCAACAAGTCAACATGTCTTCCATCCTCCAAGCCGACGTTTACGTCTCCTCGCGCCTCCCTATGGCTATAAAGCGCATGGGAGAAACAAGTTACTTCTCTCCGATATCTTGCACACTAATACACGGTGACTCCGAAGCCGTTTTGGTTGACACGCCCATCTCAATTTCCCAAAGCGAAGACCTAGCCGCCTGGATCAAGAAGACAGCACCAGGGAAAAGCCTACAGTACGTCTACATCACCCACGGACACGGAGACCACTGGTTCGGAATTTCCATCCTCCGCAAGCACTGGCCCAATCTGCGTGCCCTCGCTACACCGGGCACAGTCGAGCACATGAACGAGCAGATCAAGCCTGAGATATTGGGAGGAACATGGCATACCCTGTTTCCGGGTGGACAAATTCCACGATCTCTGGAGCTAGCCAAACCAATGGACTCTCTAACATTCAGCCTCGAAGGCCACGAGTTTTGCGCCATCGAAGTCGGGCATACAGATACATACAACACGACTGTACTCCACGTGCCCAGTATTCGACTCGTCGTTGCTGGGGACGCTGTTTATGGAGATGTGCATCAGTTCTTCGGTGAAGCAAACACAATAGAAAAACGACAGGAGTGGCTACAGGCGCTGGATAAGATTGAGGCGCTTGATCCACATACAGTGATTGCCGGACATAAGCGGGAAGGGACAGTAGACGGCCTTTTCAATTTGCACAGAACGCGTCAGTATATTTTGGATTTTGAAGATGCGGTGGCAAAGGCGTCGAATTGGAAGGATTTGGTGGGGGATATTCAGAGGAGATATCCGAGACGGATTAATCCCCATGCGATTTTGAGGGGTGCCATGGCGGCGTTTCCGTCGGTGTCATCGAAGGTTTAATGCCTTGCTTATCATGTGTAACTACCGAACCAGAGAAATGCGAGTAACAACTTATACCTAGGTATCAGCCTCTATATTATGAAGAGGAAGCAAACTTGAGAGTGAAGATAAATAGTTTTTGTTCCCAATTCGTGGCCTTAGAGTGCCTACTAGTACGTAATTATCATCCGATTTGGACGACAGGTAGAGTATACTATACCTCCTGCCTGCCCTTGACCTTTTTCTCTTTCTATCACAGTGTCATTGGATCTTGGAAATCACATAAATGATTGATCTTCATTTACCTAGCTGTCTGTATCGATTATGTTTCTATGCGCATGAATCTGTATGCGCCGAAGCATTAACCAAGGCTCTTGATCTAGTCAAGTTGGATGACGGCAGACAACATTTCATAACGACGATCACATTCATATAAACATAAAAATCTGATTTTTCAGTCGCGTGAGCAAATATTGAATGTCTCGCCTGATTATGATAGACTCGCCAGGAATACATGATGCCAAAATTGGACCGCGGGTGATTGACTGGCTGATGAGTGATCATTCCGAGTGCCGAAATGTTGTCGTTCAGCTCCCGAGAGACCGAATCTCCCACCATCCTCCATTCAATCCTTCACTGTACCCTCTACCTTTCGATCACCCCACAGAATAACTCTACATGTGATATGGAATCGTACAGAAACGATCGTTCTGTCAGACATCATCCGACCTCGTCCGCCGTTGATGAAATGCAGCCCCCCACAGAAAGGGTCTCCAAACAACGTAAACAGCGCAAGCGACCAAGTGCGCCTGAGCAGCCCGCGAGTCGGGAAGGTCTAGAGAAGAAAGAGGTAATCACTTTCATCAATTAAATATGGTTGCTAGCCAAAAAAAAAGAGACAAACAAATGGACAGATGGATAGACAAACAAGAAAACAAAAACAACAAGCTGAAGTCTATACAGCGCCGCCGACGGCAGCTTTTGCTAGCGCAGCGGGCATGTCGAGCACGCAAAGGGGCGCATATTCAGGCGCTTGAGAAACGTGTCGCGCGGTTAGAGTCTGCTCTAGAACAAACAGGCCAGGCGATCATTTCGTTTACTGATACTCTTGTTGAGCCTCAAGCCCTTGCTTCGCATCAGAAGATTGCATACCACCTTCGCGACACTGTGAAGACATGCCTCGATATGGCGAACGATTGCCTGGAGGATGTCAATGATTCCAATCTACTCGAGACATCGCTGATCGGTCACACATCAATCGTTCCGCAAGCATGTGCGAGAAATGAACAAGAGGAATGGCCTCTTTCGGAAGGCCATGCTGGCTTAAGCCTGCTGTCTCGTAATCTACTACCCCCATCTGCGCTAAATGGTGCAAAGGTAATCGAAGCACCTGTCTTCGTTGATAATTTGAGGATAGCATGTTTATACCAGGGCTTTCTTTTGCTTAATAACTCCTCTGTCCCCCTGGAAGCTTTAAGACGACCATTTCGACTCCTTTTATCACTCGTTACGCGGGAAACCATTGCATCATACTTTCATACTTGCCTATATGCCAGATTAAACAATAAACAACCAGACCACTCCAGCTGCATTCCATCCTTCAGGCTGGGCGGAGCCGGTACCCATTACCCTGAGGTTGTCGCATCAAACCAGGTGGGATCGAGATCGGAGCAACATGATACTTCTATGATTCATGACACTTTATCGGCTTTTTCACCGGAGGCTCAAAAAGAGCTCGATGGACAGTGGTTTGATCTATTTGATCTAATGGGCTTTCTACGAGCACAGGGAACTACTCTTTCAATGGTGCCACCAGTCAATGATACCACGCATCGTACAGTAAATGCGGTGAATTTCATATCAGGTGAGCTTGAATTCTCTTATAGACTAATATAAAAGCTTTGGTGCTATCTAACGACTTGTTAGCTTTGATTGGGAAGGGAATATGTCTAGGAGACACTCCTGGGTTCAAGCGGAGCGATGTCGAAATTGCAGTCGACTCTTCTTTGTGGAAATAAAACATGGCCTCTCTGGCACAGTCTAATAGGCTCCAAATTCTATGCGCACTGCTTTTTTTTTAGTGCGGCAAGTTTCATTCATAGGATACTAGTAATAGTGTCGTTGAGCCTAGATACGTTGTTCATGGGTGTAAGTGATGCTAAAGTTGATATTTTTCTTGAATATTTCAAAGCACCCACAAACCCACACTATTATTTATTTGGCATAGCTTTGCCATCAATTCCCATAGTGCGAGTATTACTATTCCCAACGGTAACTTGAAGATTCTTGAAATAATTGGCGTTCAACTTCTTGAACGGATTATTGCCGCAGGGCCAAGCTTAGGGTCTAGATATGTTGCTTGTTCTAGCTAGCCTACTAGTATAGATTATTGACAATGATAACCTTCGCTGCCCAGGTGCATAACGCTAGATGATTGAATGAAAATGGCGATTCTACATTATCAGTGGGCTATAATGGGAATTACTACATACTAGATGATAGACATGAATTTATTTATGGCCATGCAAAAGGCACTCCAATCGTTTCACGTTAGGCACAAATAGCAGGGTAGTGCCTTTTGCAGAGTCTATCTCCTCCTTGAGTATCTGGGTGGTAGCTTGGGCAACCACAAATGTCACTTGGGTGAGTACTCAGGGGCCTTACCTCCCCCAAATTGGAATTATGCATTTTCCCTTGCCGAACCTCTAGTCAGGTGGGACATGGAAATTGGACCCAGGCGCCTTTTTACGTACTCGTACGAAGGCGACCAGCAGGGGTTAGTTCAGTCCACACGGGCTGACGCCCACCCGGACCTCGGCAGGCCGGCCGGCAGAGTCGCATGGTCGGGCACAGCCCCTGGTTGAAGATGACCTCGTATTGCCTAGAAGAGACATTGAGAGAATACATTTCATCCCGTTTCTTGTCTCGGGTTATGTTCTATGGCTGAACCAAAGACCAGGGCATGGTAGAGATGGAAGTGAGTGATGGAAAGGAAATACGAGGAGGGAATACGACCATCAGATAGGTAGGAATCTTTTTGGGAACTGTTGCCTTCCCAATGGGGAACCCTGGGAACCATTGGAAGTGTCTCCCTGTCTCTCCACTTTGTCAAAGATTTCCAACGGCCTTCTCGAAGCGATCGCTGGTTCCACGAGTAGATGTTGATGAATTGTTGGGTCCCTCGATCCACTTGGAAAGGGAGGAAGACGACTAGTTTCTCCATGCTCAGCACACTAGTCCCAGAACGCAGACAAATTAAATGAAGGGGGCAGTCTTATCAGATTGATAAAAGTGACCAGTGCCGTTACGGGGAGGTACTTGACCATTGAGTGGGCCACTCATAGTGCAGAGAGGTACCGGTCGGTACCGATGCAGGAGTGGGAAGGTACTGCCGATACCAATAATACCCATACGCCTTACCTAAGCTCCGTCATCGGATCTTTGATACTCACGGGGGTCTGGCCGGGCATTCTGAATAATCCATCAATCCCCTTAACCTTAAAAAAAAAAAAGATTACGAGTAGAAGGGAAGAAAGTACACGGGATCACACGGAAGGTCCAGGTTAAATCAATCCAAATGGTCTAATCATGGTAGCCTGTAGCGGAGTATTGGTGAATACATTGCTTGGTTGCTGTTAATACTAGAGTAGCAACTCGGAGATCGGGATATTCAAAGGAATGGGAGGGGGGGGCCTCGGAGCCAGTGGAATCCGGCGAAGGTCGGCCTTGCAATAATTTATTTCCCTTTAGTGCCGCGGAGCCCTGTTAGTTACTAGTTACTCTTAGTCTCAGTGTCTGATCTCCCAAGAATTTCTTTCCCCTTCTTCTCCGTCAAAAAGCAAAAACACCAAAAAGCAACCCAAAGGCCCAAGAACAAAGAGCAAACGAGCAAACGAACACGTTGCGACCTAATATTAATCTCGTTGTGGTGTTAACTTGCTGTCTGCCCCCCCCTAGTTCCTCCCGTTGTGGGCATCCCGGGCCTGTTTTGCTCCACGGAGAACCCGTTTACCTCATCATCCTTCACACTTCTCAACTTCACTTCTCTGCGCACCCTCAACCCTCCTCTCCCGCCATCCTTACGACCCTCTCCCCTCTCCGACGCATATTTCTCCCGACTTGCGCCAGCTGCGCTTTGAGCTAGCGGAGCTTCATGGCGGCTACCGACCAAATCCCCGAGCAGGAGTTTGAGTAGGTGCTTCTCCATGAAATTTCCTCGGGCGGCTTTGCAATGGCATCGCGGATCACGACCATGTCGGTCGGCTTCCTCTCTACGAATTGACCTTCCGATCGGTCATTCAGTGTGATTGTCTGCTTGCTGGCTCTGTCCGCTCAGTAACCTCGGCTTTTCGTGGCTACTGCGACTTCCCTCCCTTTTCCTTTCTTCCTGGGTCACTTAATGGAAGCTAATCGGATTCTTCGCTAGATACGAAGCTCTTCCCTCCAACTATGGCCTAGGCCGTAACATGCTCGCGGGTGCTTTTGCGGGAATCGCGGTATGTTGGTTTAAAAAAAAATTATGAGATACGGGATAGAATTGGAGCTGACAATCTCTTTCAAGGAACACTCGGTTATGTACCCGGTTGATCTGCTTAAGGTGAGTTCTGCGTCGCAGGATCCTCAAATCCTCAATGGAGAGCTCGGATGGGCACTGACGCAAATTTTCGCAACTCCTAGACCCGCATGCAAGTCCTGCACCCCTCTACTGGTGGCTTGTACACCGGTTTGACGAACGCCGTCTCGACAATTTACCGCATCGAGGGCTGGCGGACACTTTGGAAGGGTGTCTCAAGTGTGATTGTTGGCGCTGGTACGTTTTTTCGGGTTCCGAGCTCCTGATGGCCGAGTAGGAATTGGTAACTAACAATCCTTGGCGACTCTAGGTCCGGCACACGCGGTTTACTTCGGCACATACGAGATCGTGAAGGATTTAGCGGGCGGAAATGTCGACGATGGTCATCACCCGTTAGCAGCTGGTATGTGGTTTGGTTCTTGGACTTAGACCGGGATAGGCATGACTGACAAGTGGGCTCTGAACAGCACTGAGTGGTGCCTCGGCCACAATCGCAAGCGATGCGTTGATGAACCCCTTCGATGGTGAGTAAATTCGCTGTTACAGACATCCACAGAGCGCTGGATCTAATCCCTTTCCCGAAAACAGTCATCAAGCAGCGAATGCAAGTCCACGGCTCCGTTCACAAGACCATGGTGCAATGTGCCAAAACCCTTTACCGAACTGAAGGTCTTCAAGCCTTCTACCTCTCCTACCCTACAACCCTCTGCATGACCGTGCCCTTCACTGCGACCCAATTCGTTGCCTACGAGTCGATCTCTAAGATTATGAACCCCAAAGGAGACTACGATCCCTTCACCCACTGCATGGCAGGTGGTCTTGCTGGTGCCTTCGCGGCCGGTATCACCACTCCTCTCGACGTGGTGAAGACCCTTCTCCAAACTCGTGGTCTGGCCGAAAGTGAAGAAATCCGCTCGGCACGCGGCCTTTGGAACGCGGCCGCCATCATCAAGAACCGCTTCGGCTGGGGCGGTTTCCTGCGCGGCATGCGCCCTCGCATTATCTCCACCATGCCTAGTACCGCCATCTGCTGGACATCTTATGAGATGGCCAAGGCGTACTTCAAGGAGCAAGGCCTTGACTAGGATAATCCCCGACCTGATCGCCGCCTGTCGATTTAAATGCCATCTCCCAGTTCGGCAAATCGCCTCGACTCGCTTCTCACCTTGGGCGTTGCGCATACACCACGCGACGCCTTCTTCAATTTCTTTTACTCCATTTTCCCTATCTCTTTTTATTTCTCTGATATCTTGAGGCGACATGAGTCTTTTTTTTGGCATCTGGCCAGGTCCTTGGGATGCGGGCAGAGCCTGCCATACCCCGGGGGTGTTGCATCTTGGGCCTGAAGAGCCCGACTCGATCTTCTTGCATGTTTGGAGCTTCTGTTGACCAAAAAGCGATTCTAGCACTGTATAGTTTGGAACCAAAGGGGTTTGGGACGGCATCAGTAAGCCGGCCTTAGGGTATCGGATCTCTTTTCTTCATTTCTCTTACTCTCTCCCTCCCACCCCCTCTCTCTCCCCCCGTCCAATGTATCCTCTATCCTTACCGGCGTTGGAACGTGGAACCTCGGGTTTTGATTATCTTATGCGGGCTGGGTTCTGTTGCATCGATATGTGTTTTAGTGACTGGTTCTTTGTTTTCCGTTATTTTTCTTGCATGTACCCATAGACGTGCCACCACGAGGAATCTAGATGTGACCAGATGTTTATTGCTTTGATACAGTATTTTTATATTTGATCCTGGCGAAAACTTCCTACTACCAGTAGTAATATTGATAGATAAGTGTATAGCACAGTCATAATGTCGGCTGTGTCCGCATGCAGCAATTCGGCAGACCGACGACGTCACGCGAAAACTCCTCCGCTCCGGGAGATCACCGCTGCCCTTTCTCCCCGCCAACAACCTGCAGTGACATGGGTGCGGGCCTTCCTTTTCCCAATGATGCGCCCACGGCCCGCGTCTTCCCTACAGAAGACGTACGATGAATGCTACTTGCTCTGTTCGACTGCGGTCTACTTTGAAGGCCAGGTAGGTGCCCCGTGACCCCCCCTCGGCTTCAATTGCTCATGACATCAGAACAACGAAGAGGAAGCATTGAGATCCTGGCGCTCGGCTCTCGACACGATATACCATCACAATGCTCGTCGGGTCCCGTCGAATTATACCCCCAAATCCGAAACGGAGAAGGCCCTCCAAGATTCCATTCGTGCACTAGAGACCCAATGCCGTGAGCGAGTCGATCTGCTATCGGCCCTTCGTGATAGTCGGAAAGAAAGCGCCGAGGCCAACGGCGGAAAAGAACCAGCAACTCTTACCAAGGGCAAATCTCCTGCAACTATGTCCGCTTCACCATCTTCCAACCATCCCGGCTGGATTGGAGATGGCACCATCCCAGCGGTTGGCTATACAGATCTCTCGAAACCAGCCGCAATACCTGGGAGACCTCCACCTTCCTCGATGGCGAGACACAGTTCTGACACTCTACAACCCTACGATGACTCCCTCCCATCTGGCTTGTCGCTGGCCGGCTCGCCTGCGCTACGAATGAACTCAAACTCGTCCGACAAGACTAAATCCCGCGGGTCCAGCCCTGAGCGACGAAAGATGATGCTGACGACGCTGCGCAACAAGGATGGGAAGAAGAAGGACAAAACGGCCAAAGCGAGTTCTAAGCGCAAGGAAACCCGACCGGTCGCCTCAAAAGCAGCTGGTCTCGCATGGGGTAACCTATACCGGTCATCATCGATCGATAAGCCCTCGAATGATGCGGCAGTAGCTTCGTCTCGAAGTCTTGCCAATGATGCGAGCGCTCGCCGTGATGCTGATCCAAAATCCAGCTCTGGGGAAGAGCCTGTATTGGCGCGGCCACGTCCGCAAAAGACAAATTCTTCCACGGATCGGGTTCCACCTGCAAATTGGCGGGAGCCTAAACATGCACCTGTTCCACGATCTTCGCCCCGGCCAACTTCTCAAGCAACCCCGCGACAACTTCAAGCGGGCTCCGAACCTCGTCGCTCCCAGCCTTCGGAGCCGGCACCGGCACCAGTCATCATGCCCGACCCGAAAGATTACACAACCCCGTCATCGCCCGGCCCAAAACCATCTGTCAAACCCAAGCCTGTGGCGCTGAGGTCGTCAATTCAGCCTCCACAACGCGTGACACAAATGACCAAGTCAGAGAGTAATTCCCGGTCAGCAACTCCTCGAAAGGACTCCGAGGCAACTACTCCGAGCAGCCAGCCGCGGACAAAGTCTGCGCCGAGGACAACACAAAGTGGACAAACATCCTATATATCACCATCATCCGGTAGTGATGATCTTCAGCGTGGAATGAACCGAATGGCAATCTCGGGGGCGAACGGCAACAGCAACAGTGCAGTTCGGCGAAAGCCACCACCTGCCAAGCGCCGTGAGACACCACCATCGAGCGACCAAGAATCCTGGGAACAGCTCTCGTCAGAAGACGAAGACCAAGAAGCCCAAGATATTGTGGAGATTATGAACAAACTGCCCAAGGGCGTTGATCCCCAGTCAGCCCGTCAAATCCTCAATGATATCGTCGTTCGCGGCGACGAGGTACATTGGGAGGATATTGCGGGACTGGAGCCGGCCAAGAAAGCCCTCAAAGAAGCCGTTGTCTATCCATTCCTCCGGCCAGATCTTTTTTCTGGTTTACGCGAACCAGCTCGCGGCATGCTTCTTTTCGGTCCTCCGGGTACTGGCAAGACCATGCTTGCAAGAGCAGTGGCCACTGAATCAAAATCGACATTCTTCTCTGTGTCTGCTTCAAGCCTAACATCCAAATGGCACGGCGAAAGTGAAAAGCTTGTACGTGCTCTATTTGGACTAGCCAAGGCTCTGGCGCCATCTATCATCTTTGTCGACGAGATTGACTCCCTTCTATCTGCGCGATCATCGGGCTCTGAACACGAAGCCTCGCGCCGGTCCAAGACTGAATTTTTGGTCCAATGGTCAGATCTGCAGCGTGCTGCTGCTGGTCGCGAACAATCGGCCCGGGACAAGAAAGAGGGTGATGCCAGTCGAGTACTTGTATTAGCGGCTACCAACATGCCCTGGGATATCGACGAAGCAGCGCGGCGCCGCTTTGTCCGTCGACAGTATATCCCATTACCTGAACACCAGGTCCGTGAAAAACAGCTGCGCACGCTGCTCAGTCACCAACACCACGAGCTGAGCGCCGAGGATATCCAGGTTCTAGTCCATGTAACAGAAGGTAGGCTCTTTCCCCCCTGACTTCTTCATTAAATCTAGAAACCTCTCTCTGACTTGACTTCGACAGGCTTCTCCGGCTCAGATATAACAGCACTTGCCAAGGATGCCGCCATGGGCCCACTTCGCAACCTCGGTGAGGCTCTCCTCCACACGCCTATGGACCAGATCCGCCCAATAAAGTTCCAGGACTTTGAATCTAGTCTGTACTCCATTCGACCTAGTGTCTCATCTGATGGTCTCCGCAAGTACGAGGACTGGGCCAAAGAATTCGGCGAGAGGGGCGGCTAGTCGGCCCTTATCGGTCTTTCGTGTCAACTCCAGCCTCGTCTCTTGTAGAGACAATTTGGATTTTGCGGAATGAAAAACAAAGTATGGAATCGGCGATTACGACGTTATGTTTCTGTGTTTCCTTGTGGCATATGCGAAACTCTGCGCACAATACTCGGCCGGTCCGATTCTGGTCATGATTGTTTCTGGTGTTTCTATTTGATTTTTCTTTTTCTTCCTCGGAATGTGGTGTCTCACTGTTGGGCATTTGATACCGGTTCATGCTGGGCTTGTTGGGCCACGGTGCATGGGAATTCTTGGTATGCTCTATTCATAGAGATCCTGGGTTACTTTGAAGGGCTTGGTGGTACTAGTATATGAGCATGGAGTTTAGTGTGGTATTGAATAACTTGAATGATCAACCGCCAGGTGATTCCTAGACAATTCGGGATTCCCATCCCCGGCAACAAATAGATACCGGCAAGAAATCAAAAAAAAAAAAATTCTAAGAAGGAGCATTTCCCTGGAGCAGCTGAAGAGGCTCGAAGGGGCACATTTCAATTTGAAGTAGAGTACATTGCATCAATACTGAACCATTTGATATTCTAGGCACTAAAAAAAGCAATATTCAGGACATAAACCAGAAGAGACTTCAAAATGGAATTCTGACAATAATTCTTAGATTCATCTAGTCTAAATTGCCATGTCGCTTCGGCTTCCGCTCTTTCTCCCAGCTTAGAAGTGATGCGAGCCCGTCCACAAAGCCCCACGTCATGACTCCGCTTCCTCCCACGCCACGTCAGTCTGAGTGTTCATCCACGGAAAGGCAGGATATCACTTGGTCGGAAACTTCAGTAGGCATTCTAAGCATTTTCTTTTCTCAGCTCACTCTTAGATATTGACATTGAATGAGTCATGCTTAACAATGATATTCTTCGATTCTATCTTACGAGTCTATCATAGTGTTATCAACCCGCCCATAACACCGAGGAAGAGGGACGATGCTATCCGCATCGGCCTCATTGGTGCAAGTACCATAGCGTATGTATAGCCAAGCAGCTTTCTTAATCGATTCCCTCTCTTATTGACCTACCCTGCTAATTCATCGTTGTGCTTCAGACCGTTCGCAGTGATTACACCAGCAAAATCACATCCTGATGTCATCGTGGCCGCTGTGGCCGCGCGTGATGTAAAACGTGCTGAAGCATATGCTCGGAGATATGACATTCCGGTTGTTCACTCTACGTATCAGGGTAAGTTATTTCATTACCCCCAATGCGTGGGATTGATCCTTGTTAATATGACATGCCTCCAGCTCTACTCGAAGATCCGTCCATCGATGCCGTTTACATTGCGTTGCCAAACAGCTACCACTATGAATGGTCACTTCGCTCAGTGCAGGCCGGCAAGCATGTTTTGCTGGAAAAGCCGTCTTGCTCCAATGCTACCGAAGCTAAGAAGCTATTCAAACATCCACTAATAACAGCCCCGAATGCACCGGTACTTTTAGAAGCATTTCACTATCAGTTCCACCCTGCATGGCAAACTTTCTTATCTCAAGTTCACCAGTCCCCTGGGTCTATTGAAAGTGTTTCCTCTCAGTTCTACCTACCCCGTCTACTGTTGTGGAAAGACGATATTCGCTTCAGATACTCACTTGCGGGAGGTTGCTTGATGGATGTCGCAACCTATTGCGTGTCTAGTGTACGCCAAATAGTGGGACGACAAACTAGATTGACCCCGGTTAAGATTGATCATCGTCCTTTGTCTATATCGTCCAATAACTTGGCAGAAGAGCCACAAATCGACGAAGCCGTGACAGCAACATTTCTCACGCCTAACTCCCAAACCGTTCGAATTCAAGGAGACCTGGCTTCTGCAGGAGTTTTGTCCTCTGTATTGCCCGCTTCTTGGGCAAAGGCTATACCTACCTTGCGATGGCCCATGAGTGAGGCAGTGTTCGAGCCGGTGCTGGTTGAGTCTACCGCGCAGGAAGATGGCGTCCCACTTCAACATGTATTCAAGCGAACCGTCAGGATCTGGAACCATATGATTCCTTTCATCTATCACCGAATCGATACATCGGATCAGCATACCCTTCAACGAGGCGAAGAGGTTATCAGATCCTGGAACGAAACCAGCTATCAAAAGGCGTATAACTGGCCGAGCGGAGACAAGCGTGCTGCAGTATACAAGGACTGGTGGTCTACCTATCGGTGTCAGTTGGAGGAATTCGTAAACAAGATCAAGGGTCGCCAAGGATCCGGGGTTTGGATCGATGGAGAAGAGAGTATTGCGCAAATGGAGACTATCGATAGAACGTATGAGAAAGCGGGACTTGGACCTCGTCCTACTAGTAATTTCGAGATCTAACTTGTGTCATGCCGGCATATGGGATGCAAAAAAAAAACAAGTCGACAGAAGTCACGTTTTCAGAGCGATATACTATAGGATAAACTTCAAGTCAATCCCCTCAGACCATGCGTAAGGCAAGTAGAAAAATGCCTAAGTATGAGCAAATCGAGCAACCTTACACTAAGCCTAATCTGGATCCTCCAGCCACCACAGCCTCATATTGGCATTCAGTCATCTAAACGTCATTGCTACAGTGGCGTCTGTCAACAGCCTCGACGTCATCGGGGAAGTAAGCCTCCGTGTTGTACAGCACGCTGATTTGCGGACCAGTAGATTATCAACCAAGGTTTCAAGATAGTTGGCAGCCGAGGCAGCTCGTAGCTAATTGTTTGTACATACTCCGTACTTTGTAGTTGTATCGTTTGATCACTATCGCAAACAATAGCGACGTCATTCTCTTTGAAGTCACTGGACTCTGGTCTATATAATGGCCCTGCCTGGACATCAACTCACTTCCTTCTTTAATACTCCATACTCCAACACATCTTCCACTCTTCTCAAACAAACCAATCTATCTACCATCAACCAACATGTCTGACATCGGTCGCAAGGATTTCTCTACCAGTATGTGACATGCAGCTAGCTACCCACTCTCAAACAACATTACTATCATACTAGTATTGGACTACACTAACAGCCCCTCTCTCAGAGGCCAAGGAGGAGATCACTCCTGACTCCACCAAGTCCACCCAGGACAAGGTCAAGGAAACTTTCACCGACACCACCGACCGTGTTGCTCGCGGATTACAGACCGACGACAGCAAGGGTGGTGCCCAGGAGACCTTCGACAAGACCCAGCGTGCCAGTGACAACAATGTTCACGGAGGTGCCAGCAACTCCGTGTAAGACATCCCCCTCCTTAACTATTCGATATAAGTACCAAAGTATATATACTGATCTTCCCTTCACAGTGGCGACAAGGTCAAGAACGCCCTCGGCATGAACCACTAGGCACATCGTTCTTTGTGCCACACTGTGGCCGTGGCTATGATCTTCCTACAGATGTGATCGCCATGATGATTCAGTAATGCGTCGACGATACCATTTGCTTTTCTCGCTTTAGTTACCTCCCGGTTTAATACAATACCCTTATCAGAATCGTGAAAAAGAACAGCTATTTCCTCTGTAAAAAAGAAAGTAGAAATTTCATCGTCTATTTACAAGACTTACGAACATGGTTTCTCGTTGCCGCGTGAGTTGGTCCAGCTCACGTTCAAGCTCTTTGTATCTGGCTCGTGCTCTCGGGATATCCCTAGGCAGGTCATGGAAAGCTTTGACACGCCCCTCAAGAGCTTTGACCGTTTCCCGTAACTGGACCACGTTTTCTTCTTCCGTCATAAGCTCCTGAATTGTAGGGCCACGAGGCTGATTCCTTTCAAGTGATGCAATGCGATCCTGGTATTCTCCGACTTTCGTAGTAAGAGTCTTTGTCCCTCGCGTCCACTCCGCCGTCAAGCTTTGCGTATCGGCCGGCGTTTCGTATGCCTTGTTGGTTTTGAGCTCCTCCAGATTGGCCTGCAATCGTGAAAGCTCTTTCTGGAGATAGCAGTGCAGTGTTTCGACCTTATCCAGTTGATCTTGAGTATCGAAGTCTTCGGCGGTGAGCTCGACAATGGATAAACTTAGATCTTCGGGCTCGGGATTTAATGTATTTCCCAGAACAACCGCTGAGTCGGCAAGGTCATCCAAGTCTCGCTTTCCCCGGTCATCTAGACACATTTCCACTTCATCTAGGATCTCCTTCTTTTGGCGTTCATGTGAGTTTTTGCGCTCTGTTTCTTCTCTTGTTTTGAAGGCACGGACTGCTTCTTCGCGTGCACGATGTTGTAGTGATGCTTCCTCATCTGCGGCCTCGTTGGCTGCCGCCATAGTCAAGAGAACGCGTAACGTATCTTCATTGCGCTCGAATTGTGGTACAGGCTTTGGAGCGTATTGTCGGCCGAGCCAGGAGTTCACATATGCCCAGTCCTTGGCCTGAATGGCGGCCTGTCGTGCTTTGGTGGGCGAGACAAGTGGGCTGCCATCGAAGGCGTCCATCGTATGATCCACGAGCAAGTTCTAACAGGTCGAATGATTGCCTGGTATGTATATGGAAGTCGTTGAAAATCAGCCCATCCATGGATCCACATAGTTATTGGATTCCATTGAATGTTGACGCGATAAGAGAAGGGGAAGGCGGTCTGCCCGCAACGTGGAAACAGTCAGAGTGGAGTGTACGGGAAGTGCCTGGGTTTCACTTCCTCCCCGCCATCGCCTCGCTGGCTACTCCACGCCAACAATGACCAGCTATTTCCCCGCTGGTTCCAGCAATGGCAATGGGCCTTCTCCAGCCTCGTCACCTTTGTCGCCGCCAACCTCGCAGCGCTCGACTGCTCTATCCAATCGGTTGACCTCTGTTCTGTCGGCGTCCTACGCCGACTCCGACATTCGAGATTCGCTCGAAACCCTGAGCTTACGCGGAATCCACAACACCGCAGGAACACGACGACAAATACGACTCGATGTACAAAAGGAAGTGGTGGACTCCAATGCGGAGATTGTGCGAGACTTCGGTAAAGTGGCAGAGGTGAGACTACGACGGAGCTACTGGGAAACAACGAGCGAGAACGAAGCTAATAATCGTTTGTGATGCAGCAATTGAAACGAATCGGGTCTGTCATATCGACCTTGAATCAGACATGTGATGAAATGCGTAAGCATATCGGTCAGGCGAAGCAAGATTCGACACCCGTGCTGGAGGAAGCTGGTGCCCTGATGGCCCAAAGGAAGGAAACCGAAACGAAACAGCAGTTACTAGACGCCTTTTCGAAACATTTCCTGGTACCAGAGGAGGACTTGCTTATATTGACCTCGGTAGAGGAGCCTGTCGACGATCGCTTCTTCGATATCCTTGCCCGCGTGAAGCAAGTACACCATGATTGTGAGGTTCTGCTCGGCGGCGAGAACCAGCGATTGGGTCTCGAGATCATGGAAATGAGCTCTCGAAATCTCAACTCTGCATACCAGAAGCTATACCGGTGGATCCAAAAGGAGTTCCAGTCATTGAACTTGGAAGACCCTCGCATCAGCAGCTCGATCCGTCGTGCTCTACGAGTCCTGGCCGAGCGGCCAACCTTGTTTCACAGCTGTCTAGACTTTTTTGCGGAAGCTCGAGACTACGTTTTATCGGATGCTTTCCATTATGCTCTCACTGATGCTATTTCTGGTGGTAATGGTGGTGGTGTGGGAGCCGACCGCACTGTCAAACCAATCGAGTTCTCTGCCTATGATCCCCTTCGATATATTGGGGATATGCTCGCATGGGTGCACTCCACGACAGTATCCGAACGAGAAGCCCTAGAAGCGCTTTTCGTTGCCGACGGCGAGGAGCTTGCCCGGGGCATTCAAGCCGGGCTTAGCAGTGAGCCTTGGTCGCGGCTGGACGAAGACCAGGAAGTCAGTTATGACGGCCACCGGGCCCTCAGTGATCTGGTCAATCGGGATCTCACGGGCGTTTCTCGCTCCCTGCGGCAAAGAGTTGAACTAGTCATTCAGGGCCACGACGACCCCGTTACCTGCTACAAGGTGGTGAACCTGCTGTCATTTTACCGTACCACGTTCTCCAAGCTCCTGGGAACCCAATCGAACCTCGTGGATTTGATGCAAGTTCTCGAGAAGTTTACTCTCCGTCACTTCACGAATTTGATGCGTGACGAAGTGACCATCCTATCAGCTGATCCTGCTGTTCTCGTCCCGCCAGAGGACCTGTCACCTCCCGAATTCTTGCTAGATGCACTGGAAGGTCTAATATCGCTCATGAAGACGCACGAGGGCTCGGTCGGTCCGGATGATTCGTCTGCAACATCAAACGAGAATCGATTCACCCCTGTGCTACATGCTGCGTTCGACCCTTTCTTGACACTGGCACGAACATCGTCCAATGAGATGGAGGATATAACCGCGCAGACCATCTACCGTACAAATATCCTTCTTGCAGCGAGAGCAACTATCTCCCCATTTGAGTTTGCCAGTGCTACGCATTTGGCCCCCTTATCCACCGCTTTATCTACTCTTCGCACAAATCTCCTGGATGTTCAGCATCAATTCCTCCTAGAGACATCTGGGCTTCAGGGTCTTTTGGATGCCTTGGAACCGTTCTCGAAGTCCGGCAAAGAATCTGAGCCTGGCACAGAATCCAATGAGAGCTCTGAAAATCCTGAATCACAGAAGCCCCATCTCACAGATCTCACGAGTATTTCTGCTTTCCAGCCATCGTCGCTGGTTACATCTAGCCAGCAGCTGGATGACTTCCTTCCGTCCGCTCTTATGGATGCCACTGACAACCTCAAGCGTGTACAAAGCGCATCTCTTGTCCAGAGTGTCACTGAAGATGCCGTTGAAGCATTCTGTCGCGACTTCGAGTTCGTCGAGGGTATGATCATTGCGGCAGATGAGGCCAGAGGAATGACGCAGGCGACCCTGGGAACCGGCGGAAGTGTCATCAGTGGCAGGAGCGGCAGATCGGGGCGCAAGCCTGGTACCGATGGGGACACAGATGGAGATGCAGATGGAGATGGCAAGGGGCAATGGAGTTTGCGTTCATTGTTCCCCCGGACTACAGGGGAGATCCGGGTGTTGTTAAGCTAGTTTGAATACTAGTTGTCATACCACGAGGACTGGATGTTTCAGACACCATTTTGCGAGTCTGAATCCGGGATTCACATTACGAATAACATATTCCCGTAAATACTTGATAACTTCGTGTACGTGGAAGAAACATTAAAGTGCGACTCAAGACAATCTCCCAGCCATACATGAGCCGTGAATGGCTAGTTCTCCTTTCTCCTCTAAATTTGCACCAAGATGTCACAGTCACAGTATCTGGTCACAGTGCTTCCTCGGGTAGATCATCCTCGTTCGGTCCCTCATCATACCGATTCGAAGTCTGCGGCTCTGCGTGACGAGTCCGACCATTCATGATATTCGATTGGTCGATGGCTTCATCCTCATCTTGAGCTGATAGAACCTAGTGTCTTATTACGCAAACCGCGGAAAGAATACGTACCAAGTTGTTGGCTTGAATTGGCAAATTCATCATCGACTTCTTCGAAACTCTCGGCATCGTCGACAACTTCGATAGGCTCCTAGGCGGACATGTTCAATGACTGGTCTTGGAAATTTGAAAGTGTGGTTTCTGGGGGATATGATGGGGTATTTTTTTCGATTGTTTAGATTTCGAAAATACGTAGGTCAAAGCAGCGAAGGGGATCGTTCAATTTATGCTAGGAGTTCTACTAATCCTCTCCATATCGCAGAACTCTGCCGGTTCGTCACCATCACGATACACTTTCGATATGCTGGGAGATTGTCAAGGGTGATATCCTCAAGATGAACAATGGAAACAGTGTTATATCTCGGTCTACCTGGATATTGAAATCTGAGAAAGCATCTCATAATCTTATTGGCGATTCAAGGATCGAGAACAACTCAGATCGAGACCTCGGGAATGACTCGGTTCCCGCATCGGAGAACCGTCACTCTGTCCCAATAACCGGTCAATGAACCCGAGCAAATACGGCTCAAAATATTCCATAGTCATGAAATATCAATCCGTGACTAAGAGCCCAAACTTTCGGTCACCCTCTTCGAGATATTTGTTTCCAGGGGAGTGTCACGCAGCATGATAGCTATAGATACCTAAGTAGTTATAGATCAACATATAATCACCACGGATGACTACAGCATTATCGGACAAATGAATCACAATACTAACTTGAAGTAGTGGATATACTTAGGTTTATGGGCACCTTTATATCAGCTTTAGGTATCCCTTAGGTATGCTCGAACCTCTCTGTTGTCGTTTTCCTCGGATCATGGATAATTTTTCTATTACGAGATCCCCAAGGCTCATCGGTCAATGGGCATCAACCATATGATAGTATATTTTTAACGAGACAGACCAAGATACCAGGACTGCTATATTGCTGAATTATCTGTATCCTAGAGCCTCAGGCGATAATTTCCAAAGAACTTGAATATATACTCAGTGGCATTAAATGCAGACTTTCCAGCAGGACACTGTAAAGGATGTTCTTTGTAGTCATCATTACCCACCGTGCTAGGCCAGCAGTGGCCATTTCCACTCTCACGGTAATGCTGAACAATACCATGCTTACCATCACAGTCCCAGCTAGCATGCCTGAGTAGCGGGTCCACCATAACAGTCTCATTCCTTGCCCACTTGGCATTCTTCCCACACCCATTTCGTCCGGCCCAACCTTTGAGGAAATCGATCACAGGTAGCTTTTGGTTGCTTTCCGTATTGCCGTCAATGGGCGCTGTTGTATCTCCAGTGCCATGAAACTCGATAAAAGGGTAGCCCTCCTTGCGTTTGGCAGGCTTGCAAGGCCCAACGCCGGGGATGTTGTCAGTATCGTAATAGGCGCCGCTGACGGATGCGAATGCAGCGAACCGACTGCCAACCGTGGCATTGCAGGCGACGACAGCGGTGAACCCGCCCCCATTTGACTTGCCAGCCGAGTTGACTCGGCTTGAGTCGATGCAGAGTAAATTCTCCATATGCGTTAGGAGGTCATTGGTGAAATCAAGGTCGTTCGGCAAGGAAGTATTGGCGTTGGGATTGGAAAGCCAATAACCATTCTTGCTGTTTGGGTAGACGGCAATTCCATCTTTGTTAAAAAAAGGGTTGGAGAATTGCGACAATTCCTCCTCCTCGTTCATGTCCCGAGTAGCTCCATGGAAGGAAAAATACAGTGGAGTGGGTTGGTTTTTGTCGTATGTGAGTGGAATGTAAAGTCGATACTCGCGATCGGTTCCTGGAAGATGCAGTGTTGCACTCTTTCCAGGGGAAGGAAACTTGGAAGGGATTTCTCTGCCACAGCCTAAGGACTGAGCAGCACCTGCAGTGGCTAGAGCAAGGGGTAGAAGAAGTGACCTGAGCATTTTTTTTCTTCTTTTCTCTCTTTTTTGGTGAGTCCAAGTTGAAGTGTCACAAGGGAAGAATGGGCAGGGTTATGTACAACTACGAAAGAATCATCCTTTTATGATTTGAGGGGCTAAGTGCGAATTAAAACCGGCAGGTCTAGCATCCTCGCAGCGGGGATTAAGGCGAACCCCAAGCATGACCATGTACTGAGCAAGGAGATATCCAGTTACTACTCTCGGACATATCCATACCCCGCAAGCTAACATGCCCTTACGCACGACTGGCTCCACTTTCGATCCTTCCTGCCGGCTTAGCTATTGTTTGATAGGTTGCCAGCACCAAAATGGGAAAGAGCCTGCGATAGGTCTCATCTGGTCTCCGGCCAGTGCTCAGTCAAGCGTGGGATTCGTGCAGGCTAAGGCCGGAGATACTTCAAAGGGAAGCCGCCAAGTACATTTGCGCCCCCAATATCCTGCAGGTTGCTCAGCATGCCACACACCAAGGACTGTGGCTACGAGAGGAATTCCGCCTCAGAACCATTGACTGAAAAGTTCTTCATTGAAATATGGTGACCAGAAATAAAGGGTAGCTTCATATCCTTCCATTTCCAGCTCGGCGATGGCAACTATCTTTCAATAATGTTGCTAAATTTGCAGCCCCATAGCGTGATCGCCGTGGGCGTTGTACTTCCGACAATTGCATCAGCTGCCGTCACACTAAGATTTCTCACTCGAAGCAGATTTGGGATTCCGCTGAGAGAAGACGACTGGGTAGTTTTTGTCTCTGCTATCCTAGTATGGGGACTAGGAATCACTAATATCGCTGGTAGGCTTTTTCTCTCTCACCGGCTGCCTGCAAGCCACCAGATCAGTTCTAACTTAAAATTGAAAAGGCGCCGCGCTTGGATCACTAGGGGCTCATTCTAAGCCAGCTGCTCCCAACACGCCACATCACAACACAATCTCTCGAGGTCGGGCGGATGATATTGCAGAGCAGGTATGTCGGGCCCAGATCGGGGAAAATCAAGCATTCACATTCATTATGCTGAACAATCCCAGATTGTCCTTGGCTATAGCATTATCGAGAAGATTACATTTGGTGTCATCAAAATAAGTGTGCTCCTAGCATATCGAAGGATATTTCGGGGCAAAATCTTCAATATCGTGTCCTTAGGCATGATCATTGTTTGTACAATGCTTGCGCTTGCATTTCTTGTCACATCTGCTTTTCAATGCAGTGTACGAAATTGGAGTCTACAATACCAACCATGGTCACATCGGCGCCACTGCATCCAGGCGGAGGTATCTTGGTCTAGTTATGCTATTGCAGATGTTATCACGGATTTCGCCCTGCTTCTTTTCCCAGTACCACTGGTATGGAAACTGCAGCTTACACTGTCTAAAAAAATCAGTGTTCTATTGGTATTTTTACTTGGATCATTGTCAACTGCAGTTGCCATTGTGAGGATGGTGGTAATCTTGCTTTTCACTTATGGTAGGTCATTCCCCAGCGTCGAAATATGAAAATTGGACTCTGACAATCCAGGCACTTCTGATGGATATAGAGATCTGTTGGATACAATGTCCACAGCCCTAGTTTGGAGTTTAGTCGAGGCATCAGTGGCAATAGTTGCCTCGTGTTTGCCTTCTACACGCCCACTCATTCATCGATCATCTACCAGTATCGGCTTAAGCAAGCGGACATCGTCCAGTCAGCCCGTATCAAATCCAACGGGCTTGCAATTGGCAGTACAGCCTACATTATATGAGCTCGAAAACATCGATATTTGGCGAGAGCTGTCGGAGGAACTTGAAGAAAGTAAAAAATAAAATAGCCCGTCTGTTTACTTAGTCAAACTATGTTCAAAACATGAACTATATGGATCTCTGAATCTATAAGTTCCTGTCATAGTCTATTGAGGTCGATTCATGCTAATCGGCAGTAAGGTGGGCTGACCCCCAAAAGGCGGAACAAAAGCAGCAACAGGTTACAGAATTCGTGTAATCTCCTAGTTTACTCAATCCCGATCAGATGTACTACCAAGCTCCTATAGTAAATACCAATACGCCTGTCCGATATTAACGCGGACCCGCTTTCCAAATATAGACTAGCGCTGCTTCATGGGGCGGTCTACTGGGGCAGAATCTTACTTTGCCACCAGTCACTTCCGCCTCCGCCTCTGGACCTTTGATGCCCCATATGTACCTGACTCACTCTCATCATGCTCATCCACTCTCTTCACCTTCACGAACTCTCACGACATGTCCTGTGACTCTTTCTTACGTCGACCTTGTTCTGCATTTCATTGCGTCCTGCTCTTTACTTTAAACCACCCTATCTTCATCTTTCTCTCTCTCGATACCTGATCTAAGTTACGACCTTGTCAATGCCCGTTACAGATCCCACAGAGCCGGCCTCGAATTGGGACTTCACCCCGGTTTTCGACCTTCTCCGCTCTTCCACTCATAATGGAAGCTCTGATACCCATGGGCACAATCACTCTGGCGCCTTACCGTCACCCTCAGAGAGTTTCCAACAGTCCGATGTTCAGACTTTCTCACAGAGCCCAACAGGTCTATCCAGGCCCCAACCTGACCCCCACGGACTTGGAGACTTTGGGTCGCTATGGGACATCATCAACCGGGGCTCAAACTCTTTCCGAACTCTAGAGTCGGGGGAGTCGACAATCCCCGTTCCTACTGGTCATCAACCACATGTTCAGCTTCGTCCGCCCATAACAATTCTCAAACGTGGCCATACCGATTCCAATAAATCACACACTTCCTCTGCCCCCATACCTGTTCCAGGCACCTCGAAATGCAACCTTACTCCAAGGGCTGCCACCGGAGCTTCTTTATCCTCGTCTCGCGATCCCGCCTCCAAAGGTTCAAAGCATTCTTCGAATACGATTACAAGTTACGATACCGCGCCACAAGCTACCACAGAGACCTCTCCGGAAGAGGTGAACGGCATACAGAATGCGCCTAGGACCCCCAAGGCCAGAGGGTCCAATGTGTCTGGGGGTAGCAAACTCAAAGAGACACTCGAAACAATTTCTTCCGAAGGCAGCGCCGAAGTTGATTCCGATTCGCACCCAACTGTCTTTGACCGACCCTTTTCCCGGAGACCCAATCACCTAGCGTTTACACCAGGCCAACTAGGCACGCCCGACGCCCGACATGGTCGCTATGAGACACCTCCATCATCTTTTGATGAGAAAGAGTCAACGTTGAAGTCAGAAAATGTGAAAAACTTTATTACAACTTCCGCGGGCATACGTGTGCTACCTGTTGACTATAAATCCGCGACAGAACGCAGAATCGGGTTAATGACCAAGCTCCTCAAGGACTTCCCTGGATACGCCCAGCTCGTATCACGAGTAGGACACTCTCCGAAGCCATCTCAAGAAAGTGTCCAGTCACGTCCGATCCATGTCTTCGTCGATATGTCGAATGTGGGTTTTGATTCCTAGACTCATCTCTCTCCTCAAATGAACTAACGCGCCACAGATCATGGTAGGATTCCACGATTCGGTGAAAGTTTCGCGGAATATTCCGATAACAACCCGCATTCGCCGCCTCCATATGTCTTTCGCCAACTTCTCTTTGATCATGGAGCGAGGCCGTCCCGCCTCGAAGAGGGTTCTTGTTGGGTCAGACCAGCTTCCTTCAATCGACGAAGCTAAAACCCTTGGATACGAAGCCAATATCCTAGAGCGTGTACACAAAGCCAAGCACGCCATACCTCGCCACTCCAAGTTCCGAAAGGCTCCCGGAAACACAACTCAGCATGGAAATGGCGGACCTGAAACGGTCAACGCCTCCAATGAGCGATGGGTCGAGCAGGGCGTGGACGAAATTCTGCACCTGAAAATCCTCGAGAGCCTGGTGGACACGGATGAACCGGCGACTATCGTCTTGGCCACTGGAGATGCGGCAGTGGCAGAGTATTCTGAGGGTTTCATGCGCATGGTTGAACGTGCGTTGCAGCGCGGCTGGACTGTGGAGCTGGTGAGCTTTTCGCAGGTCACTAGCTATTCGTATCGGAAGAAAGAATTCCGAGATAAGTGGAGGGATAGTTTTCAGTTGGTTGAACTCGATTCATATGTGGAGGAACTGTTCGAGTAGAATTGCTCGAGCTCATCAGGTAGATAACGATAGCTATGGTTTCTTTTATTTTAGTCTATAACCATGGAATTTTTCTAGTCCTCGGACTGAGAGTCCGTATGGCCGTCTGCTCAATTAAGTTTCTGATCTTTTCCAGACAGTAGATGTATGGCCCTGTATGACTTTTAGTAGTTAGTCACCTCAAAAGGGAAGTAAACTCGGGGCCATTCAACTCGTACTGGGGTAGAAGAAAGTGAATTGGGTGCTGGAGTGATATCCTGTTTCTCCCGTGGTTCCTATTAAATTACCCCACACAGCGCAGGGAAAACAAGCAAGCAAATCTTCCAGATCAACAAGTGAACTATTTACGCAAAATGGTAGCATGTTAATACTCTTTTTTTAGAGGTATTGACCAAAAGAAGCAATGCGACGGCTGGCGGATTCGAACGGTGGCTTCTAGCCTGAGCCGGGGAGGCAGAAGTTTATGACGGAGGACAACCACCCGCCATTGCTGCCTCCCCAACTTGTTAGCATAAAACCACCACCTGTGACCTTCCCAACAGCAATTCCATCCCTAATCTATCCTCTACCTGAATTACTCAAGTCCAGGCTTTGGAAGAATAACACTTTGCCATCAGAGAAGAAGACTTCTTCGAAAAAGGAAACAAAAAGAAAAGTGAACGACAAGCATCTACGCAAAGTCTGCATCTGCATCTGCATCTGCATCGGAGCTCCCTCACCCCCAAAGCTCCCTGGAAATCTAAATTTGAAGTCGTACAACATCTCCTTTTCAACAAGCCTTATACAATTTGCCCTCCGATACAGCAAGAGGTTCGATCTATCATGGCACCAACAACCGAGCAAGATTTCTTCGGCGGGGCAATCCGCGGAGTCGTGCCGCAACGTTGGATGGACGCAAGGTGAGCGAACCCTTCCTGATATAAAGCTATAACCCCGTACCCTTCCCTCACCCCTATTCGAATCCGTCATATATCGGGGTTCAGATCTGGAAGAAGACCATACACTCCCCCTTCCATCCACTAAACCCATAACCCCGCACACAAATATAGATAAACCTCCCAAAATTCACCAGTTGGAAGCTAACAACCCAAACAGCAACCTCCGCGAAATCCCAGACCACCAGGAACTCTTCCTCTCACCAGAGACCCTCTCCAACCTGATTATCGAGATTAACCAGCGCGTCTCCCAAGAAGACGCCCTCAACACATTCGCCACTCTCAGCCACCAAAACCCCACCTTGGCAGCAGGAAGCGGCAGTGCAGCCAGCGCCTCACAGGAAACTATTGACCAGGCCGCTGCTCTGTATCACTTGAACGATCTCTGTGACGAGGGCGATGCCCTGCAAGTGATCACCCCGCCGCAGCGGGCCGAACTTCCCCGGTTAACCGCCACCGCGCCGGCCGGGTCATCTATCAGTGCCTACAAGGGTGTTGTCCAGTTTCAGAATGCGCCTAAGCAGGGCAGAGGCCAAGCGCCCGCTATGAATGGTACCAGTGCTACGATGACGCAGTTGACATGCCATTATCTGCTTGTTCGTCTTGCGGCGCAGGAGACGGATCTACTGGTTTTCTTCAATGTGCCTCATGAGGAATTTGACAAGGCCGGGGATGTGCAGGGTCTGTCTAGGGAGGAGGCTATTGCGGAGGACACTGTTTCTGCGTTAGTGGGTGGTTTGGAAATTCGGGATTGGAGTCTTTTTGTTTGAATTTTGATTCTGATTTTGATATTGGGCGGAGCATGAAATTTTCTATATTGGTGGGGAAGGGGAATACGGAGTATACAAATGCATGGGGCATGACGGGATATGGGCATTAGGAACTGCCCCAGGGGTGGGCTTTGTTCGACTAGATAACGTAGATAGCTTAGTTAAAATATTAGGTAGATGAATTATATGAAAGAACTTGAATATGCAATTCAAACTAAGCTCAGTAACTCCTGCTATGCATAAACCTTGAAATGCTATGCTGCTGTCCAATACATGTACACCTTCTCAACGCTATATGTTCACACTAACTCCATCAAAATGGCAGCGAGGTTACAAGGTAAATCCCCCAAGCTCCTTGGCAACATTGTCCATGACATTTCGTTGTGTCGCCGGCGTAGCAGCGTTCTTCTTCGGCGATACATTCCGAGGCTTCGGTTTGATCTGTTCCAGTCGACCGCTGCAGCTCGGGCTGCCACAGCGGCTTCGGTTGGGGTCGATACTTTTCGAATGGCGACCATACGTCTGGCGGCATCCCACGCAGGCCCAAACATACTTGTAGTCGATCTTATAAGAATGTTTTGTTGTAACATTGATCCGTCCGCCGTAGACTGGGTGATCTCTCAAGGCTTCTTGGCATTTCAGACCCCATTGCTTGAAGCTTGCGCCGTGGGGTTGGTCGCGGACATTGGAGACCATGTAATTGGCAAGATGACAGTATTCGTGGGCAAGGGTATTGATCAGGCGATATTCGTCGTCGATGATGCGCTCGGCTAGCTCGATAGAGGCATGGTGTTTGTAGCTGACATGGCCGTCCTTGTCGCGAATTCGCTCCCCTCTCCATTGAGCCCGGCCTGCGGTCTTCTGGAGCGTCTTCGACCAGGTGATTTTTACACCGCCAGTAACAATGGCCATTTGGCAGACCTTGCCCTCCGCAACTGCATTGTCGAGGACAGTCAGGAAAGTCTGTGCGAAGTCGTCCTTTTTGTTGTTGAATGACAAACGACGAGCCTTCACTGCTCTGTTCTTCTCTGCCTCTGCCTTTTTAAGGGCTGTCTTGCTGGGGGTCTTGGGCTGCTTTTGCATCACTGTCGGTGTGGATCTCGGCTCAACGCTGGAAGTAGAGTCACGGCCAGTGTCATCGGTTTCGGAATCATCGAAATCCTGAAGCAGCTCAATCACTGTTCGCCCTAGAGGCTTCTCTGGTGAATGCTGATCGATCCATGCGATGGTCTCCTCTTGGCTCCAAAAGGCATCGACATTCTCCCTGTGTGGGGTTGGTGGGATGCGCGTTTTCTGCTTCGTGGGGGAGCGCAGACGGTTTTGTGATGGGGTAGAAGGTGGTGTGTGGGTGTTCTTCTTCACTCTATATATGTCTTCTATTGGGGGGCTCATTTCGATGACAGATCTATAGAATATAATGAGTATGGATAATCGGCCAGGGGAAGCGTGATATATAATAACTCACTGTGTCAGATCTGTCTCTAGCTGAGAGGCAGGTCCATTGTCATCATCAAGTTCAAGTGTTCTAAAATGCGTTGATAGATCAAAGTCGCCGTGAGACAATTTCTGAGTGTTATGTCTAGACTTTGTGGGCGTTTTTATTGTCCTGGGGTCGTTGGGTTTTAGGTTGAGTTCAGATTTGGGTTCTGGATTCTTCGCAGATTCCACTTCTGCTTCAGTGTTTGGCCTTCTTCCTCTCATGAGTTTCTTCCGTGCAGACTTTGGTGGCGCAGCTGGCGTTGGGGCTTTTTCCTCCTCTGTTTCAGGATCGGAGGTCTCATGGTAGCTGACTTCATCATTGTCACTGACTACAAATTCGTCCAGTGATTCAAAGCCATTGTCCCCACAGCTGTCTTCATCTTTGTTTATATGTTCCCTGTGGCTCAAAGACCTATTGAGTTCTCGATTTCTCGCGGGAGTGCGTGTTGTGTTTCGTGTTGTTGATGATCGTTGCGGAACGGGACTTCTTTCAGGTGTATATGGCTCCGTTGCGTCTCCCGTTATATCATTTTCCTTGTCGTAGTCATCTTGTTCCACTTTCACGTTTGGCCTTTGGCGTGGTCTTTGCTGCAGCGGGAGCAGGAGGGAGTTGACTTGTGAAGTGTTCAACGTTCGCTTCTTCTTCTGCTTTGTTGGAGATCCTGATGGGGTATATTGACTGTGGCTCGATGTCTTATCGCCTCGTATTTGGTCGTCGTCGTCTGGGAAAATGTCGAAGGCTAAGCCCGGTCCGATCTTGGAATTCTGTGAGGAGCCTTTGGTGCGAGTGGTGCTATCCTTGCGCGACAATGCTGGGGTATTTCCGTTTGCCAGGGGATCAAATCCCAGTTGTTCATTTGCCATAGCTTTGTGCGGTCGGGGGGCGCTGCGAGCGGTCGGTGCATTTGTGTTGAGACGGGCCATCTTTAGTGCTGCTGGGTGACAGGATGAGTCTGGTTATCTGGCAGGTTGCCGCCCGGTCACCCTCAGATGAATAGTTATATATCGGTTTGCTGTCAGGAGAACCGCTGATGCTGGAGACGAAAAGCGGTTTGGTCTGTTGTGGGCTGTCAGCGGGTCGTTGTTGACCCGGCAACCACCCAAAGTTGAGGTATACCTTGGGGTATCCTACTCGCCAGAGCTATCACACTGGCCATGCGATTAGCATGATATCCTACTATGAAGTGAAATATACATAACGCCTAACAGGGCAATGGATGCCCTCTTCATCAATATTGAATGGAATGAACGGGCGGCAAATCACAATATATTTCTGTGTATAATTAGAGGCAAACTTACTTCAAGTTCAACATCTCCAAAATCTCAAGCGAAATTGAATCAAACCCCATAAGTGTCTATGTAAAAAATATTGATAGAGCTAGTACTACTAAATGAGCCCAAGTACCTCGACGACGGTAAAGAAAGGGAAGCTTCAGTAGTTTGGTGGGCAAAGAAGAGACAAATCTATGCGGGGGAATCCCTACCAACTGCTCCCATCCGAAATGACGACACTCTCGGTCATCCTCGCATGACAATTTGCAACACAAGTTGACCACCAAACTTGAGTTTTCATTTAGCAAGGCTTCTTTGTCTCGTATCGTCAATCAGGAAGTTCCACCCAGTTCCTCGGCCGACTGCGGCCGATCTGGATGCCGATCTATCATTATTACATCTTGCACAAAGATCAGACCAATCGGGGTTCCCCGCATAGACACCTGGGCACATGAAATGTCAGATCTACTAGGTGATATCCGCTTTTCAAAGGACTTTTACTCTTTATAAATAAGTAGGCCGACAAGGCCTTCTAATTCGGTTACAATACCATAGATCAACATGCGGTTGGCTCATCTCTTCGTCGTGTCCGCTGCTTATCTGCATAGGGTGCTAGCTGCCACCCAGCTGCCACTTGCAGACGAGACACTCATGATTAATGGAGTCACTTTTGAAACCCGAGCTCGATGGATGCGCCTGGCCAACCAGGCATTAGGCGAGTTGAGCGGCTCGCCGTGTCCCTTTGCGGCCTTTGGAACCGTGATAGTGAACCATACGGCCTCCGATGAGGGGCAGCTTATCTGCATGGGAGTCAATGAGAATGGCAAAACAGGGAATCCTTCATCTCATGGTGAGCATGTCACTCTTTCATTTTCCCGTATTATGGATGAATACTCAAAATCCAATAGGAGAGATTGCCGCAATTACGAACTGCACCAAAATTCTGACCGATCCTACTGGAAAGTTCCGCCTCAATGCAACCGAAGCGGCAGCGGCATTTACGGGTCTATCCTTATATACAAATGCCGAAAGCTGTCCAATGGTAAGATATATTCCGGTAATCCTCTATATTCTACGATCCCGTACTGACTGTCTGTTTCCAGTGTGCATCTGCGATCCGATGGGCGGGATTCCGCGAGTATATCTATGGAACCTCGATTGCAAGGCTTATTGAGAAAGGCTGGGGCCAGATTCGCATTCCATCAGTTGATGTTTTTGAGGCCTCTTTTGATCTTCCGTATCCATCTCGACTGATGGCCAATGTTCTTACTAATGAGACAGATCCCTATTTCTTGTGGCAGTATGATCCGTCATATCCTTGCCCTCAGGGATGTTCTCGAACTCAGAGCGGAAAGAGCTGTAAGGCTGCTTCGAGTTGAGATGCTTATGTTTCTCATTCATGGTTGGCTGTATATGTAGTTCAGATAATCTATACGATGTCCTGGATCTCAGGAACATGTCTGATTACGAGATCTATCCCTACCTTGCATATAACCTTCTGCCTTGGCCGTTCGTCAGTGATCATCATCCTGGATGCACTCCACGAGTATATAAACTACTCACATCCGTAATGACTCTTGGGAAATCTACTACATACTAATTAACACTCTGGCAGACTATGTACTAGTACACGACCACCCACTACTAGTAATAGAATCAGCAGGATGACTATTTCCCAGAAATATCTCAGCTGGACTACAAAGATAACCCAACAAAGGTTTCACCGTCAAGATCGACCCGTTCAAGAACCATAGACCTTGACCCACACGCACTGAAACGAGCCTCAGCAGAGTTGGTCATAGGCTGTTGAAACGATTTATATACTAGCTTGATCCATGGCAACCCACTAGATAGACCGAAAAAGTAGACCACACACTGCGTTTGGCCTGCACTGCATATGTCATACAGGACTGAGCCAAGCTCATAGGAATACAGACCAGGTACGGGATACCCGCGTCGCATCACAATCTAAAGCTGCAGCAAGTTGACAAGCCACACACGTCAAAGAAGCAGCCATGACTCAGGACACTCCCGTGCTCTGAGTAGAAGCTTCATCATGTTCCGGATAGCCCTCACATACATGTATGTACAAAGAAAATCCGAAACGAACAGGTCCGACGCGAGGATGATGCATGGGCCTGCACCAACACTGCAGAATGGCCACCGCGAAAACCAGAACAGACCAGACGCCAGATCCAGTAGTCCCGACCGGACGGGCCATGCAGAGCAAAGCGGATGGACAGAAAATGAGTTCCGAATCATGTCAATCCCACCAGAAAACTTCGCGGGCAGAGCGCCCCTAGTCCCTGGATCGACGTTCCTCGCCACTGCCGATTACGAGACTCGCAACGACCATTCCATTCCGCAGGTATACACCACCCCCACCCACGACGACGATCAATCCCTTGCCTGCCAAGGGCTGGCCAACAGTCGGAGAATTGAGCGAGGCTGGGCCAGAGGCGAGACCGTGGCTGCTGGACTGTACTTCTTCCATGCGATAGGAATTCCCCTGGCAGGGAAGTGGTTGGACCACAGCAGTGTGGATGGGAGCACAGAGAGAATTCCCATAATGCTCTACTCGTAGTTATATACTAGCACCGCTAAATTGCATCGCGCCCGGACGAACCTTAAACCTTGAAGAGGAGTTTCACGATCAGATTCGGCCACGTTACAAGTTGGAGTTGCCTGCAAGCGATTCCCGAGCCGTGCGGGAGAACACGTAGAATGCGGAAGATGGGAAAATGTGAGCTGTTCCACCACCCCTTCTTTTCCATTGTAACTACGTTCATACATCCAACAGGTACTCTGTAATATGTAGTCCGTACATACATACAACACTGTTGCCGACAGGCACCACGCTACAACCATTGGTCTAAAATCACGTTTGAAGGAACATGGTGGATGGTGGCAGGGCGGCCCGTTCGAGCACACAGCCCCCCCTGATTACTAAAGGGGGGTTCGATGTGAATGTGAATGTGAAAATGTGATGGCGAGGATCGATCGGATCAGCCTGTGTATGTATGTTTGTATGTACTGTATAGCGTACGGAGTACTCCGTAAGGTAAGGATATCAGATATCATGGTGGCAATTTCGAACAGATCCATTCCCGTTGGGCGAACCAATTGCTATGTACATAAGTACGGGAGTGTACGGAGTATACGGAGTACACACAATACTAAGTGGGTGCTTAAATTCGGCACCAGTGAGGCCGGAGGCATCGCACCACGATAGCTTTATCCACAATTCCAGCCACTAAGGACCCAAAGTTGGCAAGAAATCAGCCCTCTCGAAATGAATATGCTCTAGCCACATTTAAGCCCGAATTGGTGAAGGGGGATCGGGGTCGATACTGTACGTATATGTACTTATGTATGTACAACGAGTACTCGCAGGTATTGAAAGGAAGCGGGTCAACACCATAAACTTGCAACACTAGGGCGAGTCCACTGAGTAGGCGGACTGCTGACTAGACCCTTTCGAAGGCCGATGGAAGACAGGTTATTTTGGAGGTGATCGCCTGTCTCCCCGGTTGATGGTGGTTTAAAAGGAGAGTCCCCAGGGGAGAGAGTCAAAGTAAGACTACGGAGTAACCAGGAGTAAAATATGGGGACGACCGGCAGGCTGAGAACCCCAGGCTCAGATGAGATGAGACTCGGAGTTAGCAGGTGCCCAGGTGGAGGATCTGCCAGTGCCGCTCCCATTTTTGTGCATTGGATGTGTCTGTTCCTGCATCTTGCAGGGTCACTCAGGGTCACTCAGGATCACTCCTTTCGGGTGTCAGCATTGACTGCCAGAGGCCATGTTTTGATTATAGAGAACAGCCCAGTAGTACTAATACATGTCCAAGTGGTGGACACCGCAAAGGCGGGTAAGTACTCTTTGCAGTGTGGACGCAGTGTTTGCGCAGGCCGTTGCGTATGCAGGCACTCGCACGACCCCCGGGTGAAGGAGGAGGCCGGTCGAGGCTCCAAATCAGAGGATAGAAGCAATCGGGCGATCCACAGGGTGGGACAAGAGGAAAAGACTCGGTCTAACGGTGGAGATCAGCTGCGACAGTACGGACCTCGAGTACCGAATTACCATTAGTCGATTACGGGTATCGGCTGTGTACAGATTACTGGATGGGTACCTTATTTTCAGGTGTGAGTGAGATGGTGGAGATAAGGAGGTGTCACGGTCCAGTCACGGTAGTACTAGTACATAGAGTCTAGGGCTGGTAGTTGGACATAAGGTACTTCAAACTTCCAACCTTGGAAGGTTAAGTTCCAAGGTTCAAGTTGTTGAGTTTACTTTTGGAGCGACAGTGAGAAATATATTCCCCGGGAGTAGACCCGGGCGGAGCCTTATTAGTAGTACAGTACGAGAGAGCAGAGATATATAACCTAAGGAGTTAGTACAGCCACATCTTCACTTGGTACGGAGTACTACCATCACCTAATGCACATAAAAATGTGTATGTACATATATACCTAGGTATATTGTTGATACTATACTACAGTTTTTGGACTGTATAATTTCAAGTCGCTCAATGTACGGAGTATTGTATACTTAAACCTACCATGAGTACGGTATTCTATTTTTAAGACGACTCTAAGCGAAATTCGGCCAGCTAGCGATTGAGTTCAAGGTGAACAGCAAGTTTTGAGGGTCTCCACTCAGAGGGCGATGAGTGGGGTGAGGCACCGGAGAACCAGTGGCCGGCAGTACAAATGTTGAGACATCGAGGCCTTGCGGTGGCAAATTAAGTTGCTAGCGTTGAAAATCCATGCCCATCCACGAAGTCCCTGACACGATGGATGAAGGTCAGACCAGGAAAAGCAAAGGGATTCGACGATCTTTGCGATACAGTAGAATTTGAATGAAAAGAGAGGGTGGGTGGTGGTTCTGTCGCTTGGGAGCCATGGAATCCATCCAATTATGGGCCCGGATAGGAGTTTCTCCGATCAGTACGGAGTACTTGTACACGTAGTCGAGTACGAAATGCAGAGGAGGGTGGCCAGTCCTACTGTAGAGTAGGCTGAGCCTGTCTCCTCTGGGTACACCGTAAATGTACAATGTACATAGAAACGAGGAATGAAAAACAAGTGAAGCCTATCCCTGCATGCCAGGTAACAATAACAAGGCACGAACAAATCAGAAGAGCGGAGCAGCATGGTATCTGTGCTGGAGACAAACCGGGGATATTATTCGTTACCTGCCATGGAGAGTGGAGCGGGTCTCAGGGGCCGTCGTAATTCCCTTGGATTCCGGTGCAGACCAAGATGCCGTGATTGGGTGACAGGTGATGGGTGGTGGAGAGGGATCGTGTCCAGATGTGCCATATATGGCTGTGTATACTAGTACCCAGTGAGGTGAGTACAAGAAAGTTGTGTATGTGTGTATGTGTGTATGTGTGTACAGTGTGTATTAGCATACCCCCTGAGTGTGCAGTAGCCCAGTGGAGTCACGGTGACCCGGTGAAAGCAGTGGAGCCCAGCAATAGGACAAGTACCTAGTACCTGGTACCTGCATGGTATACGTGTACTCGTACTGTACGGTGACCGTAAATTGGTAAATTGGCTGGGGCCACTGTCTAATTCCATTCCCAAAATAACCACAATATTTGCCCAGTGTGCCAGTGCCAGTCCCAGTCCCTACTCGTAATCCTAAGCCTTGCAATCCCAATCTCATCCAGCCTCTCCCTCTCTCTCCCTCTCTCCCTCCCTTTCCTCTTGCTTCTTCCAACCTCCCCCCCCTTCCCCTCTTTCTTGACTTTCGCTGTTTCCATTTTTCCTTGTTTGTGTCAAGGAAAAGTCCGGAGGGAAAGCGGTTTTTTTTGGTGTTTTCCCCATTTCACTCGCTCTTTCCATCGGTGTTTTAACCAAGTCAATTGCTGGACTACTCCGATCCCCCCCATTCGTTAAATTTCCCATCGAGTTTGAGACTCGCGGAATTCCGACAACGCGCTCGACTTCTCCCCCCTGTACAACGCCCACTACGGACCGCGACACCCTTTCACTCCCTCTCGTCGATGCTTCAATAATTCTTCAACCCTTTTCAATAGTAATAACGTGCATGGGTCGTCGTTGAAGTGAGCCCCCTCCCTCCTTTCATACACAGAAACACCCCTCGCCTAAGCGCATGGGCTGACCTGGTGGATTAGAGCTCCATTCAAGTTTTCAATCGCGACCGCCGCATCATGTCTGGCTACCAACAAGGCCACTATGATGATGGCTATGGCCACCCGGCGGGCCACGGGGATTCCTACTACCAGGATGAACACGCCGGCCAGGGATACTACGATCATCAAGGTTATGATGATGGCTACTATGACCAAGGGTATGAAGACCCCCGCGGATGGGATCAAATGAGATCGAGTCTATCACAGAACACAACTGACCCAGTTTCTTTTCTTTCATTTAGCGGCCACTACGCAGCGGATGGCGGACACCCTGCCCCTCAAGGGAACCAGGGCTACGCTGATGGCGGATACTATGAAGGTGGCCATCAGGATGAGTACTACGGAGATCAGTACTACGACCAAGGAGGCCAGAACCGAGGCCATCGCGGAGACTCAGAGGAGGATTCGGAAACTTTCAGCGACTTCACTATGAGATCTGAAACCGCTCGCGCGGCCGATATGGACTACTACGGCCGAGGTGATGAGCGTTACAACAGCTATGGCTACGCCGACAGCCAGTATGGTGGTCGTAGCGGCTACGGTGGCTACCGTCCACCCTCATCCCAGGTCTCCTACGGTGGGAACCGTTCCTCTGGAGCATCTACCCCCGTGTATGGCATGGACTATGGAAACGCGTTGCCGGCTGGCCAGCGTTCGCGAGAGCCCTATCCGGCCTGGACTACTGATGCTCAGATTCCTCTCTCCAAGGAAGAGCTCGAGGACATCTTTCTCGACCTCGTCAACAAATTCGGTTTCCAGCGTGACAGCATGCGTAACATGTACGACCATATGATGACTCTGCTCGACTCTCGAGCTTCTCGCATGACCCCTAACCAGGCTCTGCTGTCGCTCCACGCCGACTACATCGGTGGACACAACGCCAACTACCGTCGTTGGTACTTCGCGGCCCATTTGGACCTGGATGATGCGGTCGGTTTCGCCAACATGAAACTTGGTAAAGCGGACCGTAAGACCCGGAAGGCTCGCAAGGCCGCCCAGAAAGCCGCCAAGCAGAATCCCGAGAACGAGGAGGAGACTCTAGATGCTCTAGAAGGTGACAACAGTCTTGAGGCTGCAGAATACCGCTGGAAATCTCGCATGAACCGCATGTCTCAGCACGACCGTGCGCGTCAGATCGCCCTGTATCTCCTCATTTGGGGTGAGGCCAACCAGGTTCGATTCTTGCCTGAGTGCATTTGCTTCATCTTCAAGTGTGCCGACGACTACTACTCCTCACCCGAGTGCCAAAACAAAGTTGAGCCTGTTGAAGAGTTCACCTACCTAAACGATATCATCACACCCCTCTACCAATACTGCCGTGATCAAGGTTATGAGATCGTGGATGGCAAGTATGTGAGACGTGAACGCGATCACAACCAAGTCATCGGTTATGATGACATGAACCAGCTGTTCTGGTACCCCGAGGGTATTGAACGCATCCATTTCGAAGACAAGACCCGTCTGGTGGATATCCCTCCTGCGGAACGTTGGCCCAAACTGAAAGATGTCCTCTGGAATAAGGCCTTCTTCAAGACCTACAAGGAGGTTCGCTCCTGGTTCCACATGGTCACCAACTTCAACCGTATCTGGGTCATTCATTTGTGCTCCTTCTGGTTCTTCACCGCTTACAACTCCCCCTCTCTGTATGTCGGTAGATACCAACAGCAGGTTGACAACAAGCCGCCTCCCTACAAGTACCTGGCTGCTGTTGGTTTTGGCGGCGCTCTTGCGGCGTTCATCCAGATCTTCGCTACCATCTGTGAATGGCTATACGTACCTCGTCGTTGGGCTGGTGCTCAGCATCTCCGCAAGCGCTTCATGTTCCTGCTCGCGGTCTTCGTCGTCAACCTAGTCCCTGGTGTCATCATTTTCGGCTTCCTTAAGCAGTTCCTGAAAAAATGCAGTACCCTATCGGTCTGGCACTCGGCATCGTCCACTTTGTCGTTGCTCTCATCACAGCCATCTTCTTTGCTATCATGCCCCTCGGTGCGATGTTCGGAAATTACATGAAGAAGCACGGCCGACAGTATGTCGCCAGTCAGACCTTCACTGCCAGTTTCCCTCGACTGCACGGCAATGATATGTGGATGTCGTTTGGTCTCTGGGTTTGTGTATTTGGCGCTAAGCTGGCCGAGTCTTATTTCTTCTTGACTTTGTCCTTCAAGGATCCCATTCGTATCTTGTCTCCGATGCATATCCGCCAGTGTACTGGTGTCGTCTGGATCGGTAACACGCTTTGCCACAAGCAGCCTCAGATCCTCCTGGGTCTGATGTTCTTTATGGATCTCACCCTGTTCTTCCTCGACAGCTACCTCTGGTACATTATCTGCAACACCATCTTCTCGGTGGCCCGTTCTTTCTACCTCGGTGTCTCGATCTGGTCTCCCTGGCGAAACATCTTCTCCCGCCTTCCGAAGCGTATCTACTCCAAAGTCCTGGCTACCACCGACATGGAAATCAAGTACAAGCCGAAGGTTCTGATCTCTCAGGTGTGGAACGCCATTATTATCTCGATGTATCGCGAGCACCTGTTGGCCATCGACCACGTCCAGAAGCTTCTTTACCATCAGGTGCCGTCCGAGCAAGAGGGAAAGCGTACCCTGCGTGCCCCGACGTTCTTTGTTTCTCAGGAGGATCAATCCTTCAAGACCGAGTTCTTCCCTGCTGGAAGCGAGGCTGAACGACGTATCTCTTTCTTCGCTCAGTCTCTGTCTACTCCCATGCCCGAGCCCCTGCCCGTCGACAACATGCCTACTTTCAGTGTCCTGATTCCTCACTACAGTGAGAAGATTCTTCTCTCTCTCCGTGAGATCATCCGTGAAGATGAGCCGTACTCTCGTGTTACCCCTCTTGGAATATCTGAAGCAGCTTCACCCCCACGAGTGGGATTGCTTCGTCAAGGACACCAAGATCTTGGCCGATGAAACCTCCCAAATGAATGGCGACTACTCGGAGAAGGGCGAAAAGGATGCGGCCAAGAGCAAGATTGATGACTTACCTTTCTACTGCATTGGTTTCAAGTCTGCCGCTCCTGAGTATACTCTGCGTACCCGTATTTGGGCTTCTCTCCGTTCCCAGACCCTGTACCGTACGGTATCTGGTTTCATGAACTACAGCCGAGCTATCAAATTGCTATACCGTGTCGAGAACCCTGAAGTTGTCCAAATGTTTGGTGGTAACTCTGAGAAGCTTGAGCGCGAGCTTGAACGCATGGCTCGCCGCAAGTTCCGCATCTGCGTCTCCATGCAGCGTTATGCCAAGTTCAACAAGGATGAGCGTGAGAACACGGAGTTCCTCCTTCGTGCTTACCCTGACCTTCAGATCGCCTACCTCGATGAAGAGCCCGCTATCGCCGAAGGCGAGGAGCCTCGTCTGTACTCCGCTCTCATCGATGGCCACTGCGAACTTCTCGAGAATGGTACTCGCAAGCCTAAGTTCCGTATCCAGCTCTCTGGTAACCCCATTCTCGGTGACGGAAAGTCCGACAATCAAAACCATGCTATCATCTTCTACCGTGGTGAATACATCCAGTTGATTGATGCCAACCAGGACAACTACTTGGAAGAGTGCCTTAAGATTCGCAGTGTCCTCTCAGAGTTCGAGGAGCTGACCACCGACAACGTTTCCCCCTACACCCCTGGTATTCCTTCTCCTGACAGCCACCCCGTCGCCATTCTCGGTGCTCGTGAATACATTTTCTCCGAGAGCATTGGTGTTCTTGGTGATGTTGCCGCTTCCAAGGAACAAACTTTCGGTACCCTGTTCGCCCGTACCCTCGCTCAAATCGGTGGTAAGCTGCATTATGGTCATCCCGATTTCCTGAACGCTACCTTCATGTGTACGCGTGGTGGTGTGTCGAAGGCGCAAAAGGGTCTTCACCTGAACGAGGATATTTACGCCGGTATGAACGCTATCCTGCGTGGTGGTCGTATCAAGCACTGCGAGTACTTCCAGTGTGGTAAGGGCCGTGATCTGGGTTTCGGTTCCATTCTTAACTTCACAACCAAGATTGGTACTGGTATGGGTGAGCAGATGCTGTCTCGCGAATACTACTACCTGGGTACCCAACTGCCTCTTGATCGCTTCCTCTCGTTCTACTATGCCCATCCCGGTTTCCACTTGAACAATATGTTCATCATGTTGTCTGTGCAAATGTTTATGCTTGTTCTGATCAACTTGGGTGCTCTGAAGCACGAGACCATCACCTGCCGATACAACTCGGACCTGCCCATCACCGATCCCCTTCGTCCTACTTACTGCGCTGACCTTCAGCCAATCATCAACTGGGTCAATCGTTGCGTTATCTCAATTTTCATCGTGTTCTTCATCTCCTTCGTGCCTCTTGCCGTTCAGGAATTGACTGAACGTGGTGTCTGGCGCATGGCTACCCGTCTGGCCAAGCACTTCGGCTCCTTCTCCTTCATGTTCGAGGTCTTCGTTTGTCAGATCTACTCCAACGCTGTTCACCAGAATTTGTCCTTCGGTGGTGCCCGTTACATTGGTACCGGTCGTGGTTTCGCCACCGCCCGCATCCCATTCGGTGTTCTATACTCCCGTTTCGCCGGTCCCTCGATCTACACTGGTTCTCGTCTCCTTCTGATGTTGCTGTTCTCCACGTCGACCGTGTGGACGCCTGCCCTCATCTGGTTCTGGGTTTCACTGCTGGCCATGATCATCTCGCCCTTCCTGTTCAACCCTCACCAGTTCGCGTGGAACGATTTCTTCATTGATTATCGTGACTACATCCGTTGGCTCTCGCGTGGTAACTCCCGCTCTCACGCCTCGTCCTGGATTGGCTTCTGCCGTCTGTCCCGTACCCGTATCACCGGTTACAAGCGAAAGGTCCTTGGTGTTCCCTCGGAGAAGGGATCAGGCGACATTCCCAGAGCTCGTATCACGAACATCTTCTTCAGCGAGATTGTCTCTCCTCTCGTTGTTCTTGCCGCCACCCTTGTGCCATATCTCTATATCAACTCGCGCACCATGTTCAGTGACAACAATAAGTATGCCCCGAACGCCATCGCCCGAATTGTCATCGTCGCTCTCGCACCCGTTGGCATCAATGCTGGCGTTGCTGGAGTCTTTTTCGGTATGGCGTGCTGCATGGGCCCTCTCCTCAGCATGTGCTGTAAGAAATTCGGTGCCGTTCTTGCCGCTATTGCCCATGCTATCGCGGTAATTGTTCTCCTCATCTTCTTCGTCGTGCTCTTCCTTCTGGAGGCTTTCAACTGGGCCCGAACTGTCTCTGGCCTCATTGCCATGATGGCCATCCAACGATTCCTTTACAAGTTCATCATTGCGCTTGCCTTGACCAGAGAATTCAAGCATGACCAGTCCAATATCGCTTGGTGGACCGGTAAATGGTACAACATGGGCTGGCACTCCCTCTCCCAACCCGGCCGTGAATTCCTCTGCAAAATTACTGAGCTGGGATACTTCGCCGCCGACTTCGTGCTCGGCCACATCATCCTGTTCTTCATGCTGCCAGTCCTCGCCATCCCATATGTGGACAAGTTCCACTCCGTCATCCTGTTCTGGCTGCGCCCTAGGTATGTTAACCCGTCCTCATGATGCCCAATTGATCTAGTGCTAACACAATTCAGTCGTCAAATCCGTCCACCCATCTACTCCCTCAAGCAGTCCAAGCTCCGGAAGAGACGTGTCATCCGTTTCGCCATTCTCTACTTTGTCATGCTGGTCATCTTTATCGTCCTCATTGCAGGCCCCTTGGTTGTCAAGAGAATGGGTTACAACAGCAAGATCAGCGAGGCGCTGTGGGATACTATCGGCCTCAAGGACGCGAGCAAGAGCCCCACCATGTTCCTTCTCCAGCCCATCGACAGCGGTCTTAACGACACTGAGACCTACTACACTGGTACCAGCTTGCCTGGCAAGCCCGCTGAATCTTCAATTGCCAACCCCACTACCTCTGGTTCCTACGTTCCATACAAGTTGATCTAATGGCTCACTTGCCATGTGTATGAAAATGGCCTGTACAAAGTTTCTGTCGTTTCATTTTCCACTTTGTTTCTTTTAGTCAGACTCGCTGCATTCTTTTCAATTACCGGCGTACTTGTTCATTTTAATGGTTCGTGTGGAATGACTTGTATTTGAGTGGTTTCCGCCATCGCCCAGAGGGGGCTCTAGACCTTCGTTTGCCACTCTCATAGCTTGTTTCTTCTCCCTTTTGCCCTACATTTTAACGGAATACAATATATGCATTGCTTCATCTCAATAGTCTCCAATTCAAATGAGCACCTTTCATTTTATCTCCCAACTTTTTTTACGGTATGTTTGGGAGTCTCGGGTTGTTTCAAGTCTCAACTCTGTATACTGTAGCACCCTAACACGTGACCTCGTGCCTGTTTCAAGCCACCCGCGGTCCCCCGAACCACCATCTGCCTGCCATCATCTCGAATTCGACCGTCCCAGCGCTTTTTTGATCCCTGTTGCCGCTAAAACCATTCTATTCTCGGTGTGCTCGCGACATAGGGGTACCGCTTGACCTCTCATTATGGACTTTCAGGAGACACACCGTCTCCTGTCGGACTACCTGCACGAACTCGCGAACCTCTTCCACCGTGTCCCCGGCTCCGCGATCTTCCTCCGATATGTCAAATCTAGTTACCAGGATGATCCGATCAGATCTGCGGTCGAGCTATTCCTCTTCCTCTTTGCCGTGCGGTATCTCCTCGCCCCGAAGTACTCCACTAAACCGGGTGTTGTGCCATTGACCGAAGACGAGATCGATGACCTTGTGGACGAATGGGTTCCAGAGCCCCTGGTCGGCAAACCAACAACACTGGAGGAAATGGAGGTTGATAAGCGCACTGTGATCGCTGGGTAAGATTGCCCCAAATTGTTGTTGGGTTCCTCGCGAATGAAGACCTTGGGCTAATCGACATTCTTTTTCTGCCATTGAACAGACCCGTCGGGCCTAAATCTAAGCTCGCCAACGGACGAACCGTCACAAACCTCAGCTCGCTCAACTTCTACAACTTCAACACCAACGAGGCTCTTAAGGAGAAGGCCATCCAGACACTCCGGAACTACGGCGTTGGACCCTGCGGCCCTCGTGGATTCTACGGTTCTCAGGACGTGCACATGAAGACCGAGGCTGATATCTCGTCATTCTTGGGCACTGCGGCGTGTATCATGTACTCCCAGGCGTTCTCCACGATCTCCAGTGTTATACCTGCGTTTTCCAAGCGTGGTGATATCATTGTTGCGGATAAGGGTGTTAGCTTTGCTGTTCGGAAGGGTATCCAAATCTCACGCAGTATTGTTCGTTGGTACGAGCATAATGATATGGAGGACCTGGAGCGAGTTCTGGCCAAGGTAACTAAAGAACAGGCTCGGAAGCCGTTGACTCGGAGGTTCATTATTACCGAGGGCCTTTTCGAGTCCTACGGTGATATGGTGGATTTGCCCAAGATCGTGAGTTGTACCCAAAGAGAATGGAACTGGAACCCCCATTACTAACAACTGAAATAGATCGAGCTGCGATTGAAGTACAAGTTCCGCCTTATCCTGGACGAGACATGGTCTTTCGGCGTCCTCGGCCGCACTGGCCGTGGTATCACTGAACATCAGAATGTCGATGCTGCTGAGGTCGACATGATTGTCGGCTCGCTGGCTGGCCCTCTTGTTGGAGGCGGAGGCTTCTGTGCTGGTTCCGAGGAGATTGTGCATCACCAGCGCATCTCAGCTGCTTCATACACTTTCTCTGCTGCCCTTCCCGCTTTGCTTTCCACCACCGCCAGTGAGACTATCAACCTTCTCCAGCACAACCCCGACACTGTATCGCAGCTTCGGGACACGGCCAAGACCATGCGTGCTCAATTGGATCCTCGCAGCGACTGGGTTTATTGCACCAGTGCTGTCGAGAACCCCGTTCTTATCTTGGTCCTCAAGCCTGATGTTGTTGCTTCGAAGAAGCTTTCTTACACCGACCAGCAATTCCTGCTGCAGGATGTCGTTGATGAAGTGAGTATTTGACGAAACTATTGTGACAATAACTTCACTAACATGTTCCTGTAGTGCCTTGCCAATGGCGTTCTAATCACCCGTCTCAAGACCCTGGAGGACAATTTCGAGCCGAAGCAGGTTGTGCCCGCTGGACTGAAGGTCTGCGTTACCCTCGGCCTGACCAAGAAAGAGGTCGAGAAGGCTGGAACCACAATCCGGCACGCCATCACAAAGGTCCTGAGCAAGAGAAAGTGAAGGCCCTCTTATGCTTCTGCCTCTTTGACCTATTGCTTGAATTCGACCTCGGCATCGAATCACACCTCATGCTTTGATGACCCGGGCACCTCTGCCTACCTTTTTTTTTGGCTCCTATCCTACGTACCTAATGCCTCTTCATCCTCTGTATTGTTAAGCTGCTTGTTGATATGCATCTCTATTGCTATACTGTACAGCACTGCACCCCTTTTACCTTTTTCTTCGAGGGCGGTTTTATGACGTTACCGGTGCATGGCTCTAGATTGTTTAATACTATTTTTTCACACTTGGCTGCCAATAGCTGCACCAAGTGCCCTTTAAACTGCTTGCCTTTCTCCCACAAAGCTGTAGAAGATCATTCAAGTTGTTCCTGTTCTAGCTAGTCAATCATTACCGTGTCGTGAAGGAACAATCTCTAACTACTAGCTTAGCCGAGTGGTTAGATCTGGAATATCGTCGGTCTTGGGTCTGTCGAGCTTTAGTCTAGAACCGGCCATCAGCATTTAGTAGCGCCAATTGAGAATCGGAAGATGGCTTTCGTTCTCTTCTGAATCAAAATGTGACCTTAACTCCCAGAAGGGGGAGGGCATTCTACATCGAAACGATCTCTACTCCGCGTAAAAGCCCTTGTCTCCTAGCGACCTTCTCGGAATGAGCCAGCATTCCGCAAGATTGCCCTGGCCCTAGGAACATTCCCAACTCCTCCAACCGGAGATTTCACCCATCCAGGAACTTCAACACCAGGATCCCTTCCCAAATGGAGTTCAGATCCTCCCTAGCTCTGGGCACTCCCTACCCAGCCCTCCACAAGGGAGAACACTGTAGACCTGGACCTGGACCTCATTCCCCAGATGGCCTCATATCGAATAGTTATGCTTGGACATATCCCTTGTTTTCATCCAGATTTGCCAGACTCTCCTAGACGGTGCTCTGTCCTTTCAAGGGCGTCATAGATATAACCCATCTGATCTGCATTGATAATTTCTTCCCCGTGCGAAGGGGGAGGACAGCAAGGCTCACCCCAGTTGTTATGATTTACTAACCTTAGCTTATCTCCACGTTTCGGTCGATTCCGAACTTGAGCCTCGACGACAGCAATGAAACGTCTTTCTCAGGCGCTGCTGGCGTTTGCTCTTGCTGCCGGGATCCATGCAGAGGTACAGGGTATGTGGAACCAATTCACTTATCCATTGAACTCTACATGGTTGAGCAAGGCTAATTAGAAAACAGACCCGAACCAATGTCTTGATCTCAATGGGCCTTCTCAGACCAATACTCTGTCCGAGGTCGTTGTTTGGGTGAATGAGGATGGAGATACTATTCGGACGGAGACCAACCGACTCCCTGCAACCACCAAGTTGCAAGACAATGTTAGTAACATACCTAGGTAAAATACCAGGAAAGAGTTGATTTGGGCTATTGCTAAGAATTTATCAAGCCCCCGGCGACGGTCTCCCATATCCCATTACCAACTCATGAACCCGAGACGGTTCGCATCCTCTTTGACCAAGACCGAGACCCATGTTGAAACAATCACACAGAAATTGCCTGCTGTGACAAAAATGGTAGAGAAGAAGTTGAATGCTCAACTCGATGAGCATCTTCCTCCGCATCCACCTGGTGAGCCTGCGCCTGCACCACCGCCACCACCTCCTCCACCACCGCCGCCATCTGAACCACTAGTATTAGCTCCCAATCCCCATACGGAACCTCACGATGCGCCTCGTCATCACCATAAGCCGCATCCTCATACGGAACCTCACGATGCGCCTCATCATCACCATAAGCCGCATCCTCATACGGAACCTCACGATGCGCCTCATCATCACCATAAGCCGCATCCACAGGCTGAAACTCACCTCGAGAAGCGCCGTTCCGGAATTTCTTATTCCCCCTACAAGGCGAACCGGAGCTGCAAGACCCAAGACGAAGTAAACAAGGATCTAGATCGATTATCAGACTATGCATTCGTACGCATCTATGGCACAGACTGCGGCCAAATTAAAACCGTAGCAACAGCAGCCCGTCAACACAAAATGCAAGTCTTCGCCGGTGTCTTCGATCTAACAGACTTCCCCAACAGTCTCGACGCATTCGAAGACGCCGCAACAACACCAAACGGCAAGAAAGACTGGTCCATCTTCCACACCATCACCGTCGGCAACGAACTCGTCAACGGCGGAGCCGAGGCTCCTGGCAAGGTCGCTGGCGCAGTCACGCAAGCTCGCACTATCTTGCGAGGAAAGGGTTACAAAGGACCAGTCGTTACAGTCGACACTTTCTCCGTGCATCTCAAACATCCGGAATTATGCAAAGCATCGGATTACTGCGCTGCAAACTGCCACGCTTTCTTCGACGCTACGCAGCAACCGCACAATACAGGACCATATGTTTTGGAACAAGCACACGCTGTCTCTGATGTTGCAGGTGGAAAACGAACAATGATCACAGAGTCTGGCTGGCCACATGCGGGCAAGTCGAATGGTGCGGCTGTCCCTTCGCAGGAGAATCAGCGCGTGGCGATTGAGAGCTTGCGACGCAGTTTCGCACACAGGAAGGATGATCTTATCTATTTCACTGCGTTTGATGACCTTTGGAAGGATGATAATCGGTATACCTTTAGTGCGGAGCGGTTTTGGGGCATTTATGATAAGTAATTGAATTGAATCGAACTGAAGTGAGATGAAATGAAATGTTTGTATTTGCGGGCTTGATGGTGTCTTTGGCCTTCTTTTCTATTCTGGTGCTAGTTGGTTATTTGCTTTGTTTTTGCATGGCGGTTGTATGTTAGTGTTGTAGCGAGGGCCTCTCTTTGCTGGCTGTCTATTCTGTGCTTGGCTGGCTGTCTCTGGTTTCAATCTGAGCTTTACTTTACAATGAATCAACATACCTAGCATTCGAGTCTCATATCAAGACTTTGACCCCACTTCATCATTTCTTGAAACAGGATCAGGCATAGAGTCGCCACCAAGACCCAGCATTCGGCATGTTCAGTATGCTAGCTCGGACCAAGTTTAATGTGATTTAATGATACAAGTTTCTTCGCTGGAAGTAATCTCTATGCATCCATGCAGTGGGGTGGTATCTATTGCGCCATTACTATACAAATTCTTAAAATGCTATACAAGAGAACCCTCGAAGCCTACACCATGCCTAAAAAAGCTTTCCACGTCGTGTGGTCACCGGCCTTTTAGTCTTCTTGTGGCTTTCCAGCCAGCCACCCTTCCCACAAAGCTCAGTAAGCGCCTTCTGGTTCGGTGGCAGGTCCCAGAAAGGACTGCCCCTTTGTCCGCTTTCGCAAGAATCTCCACTCGACCTCGACCTCGACCTCGACCTCAAGTGAGATTTACCCTGCTGCTCAATACTCCGTAGCAATCCGAGAGTCTCTCGCGAAGGCTGAACCCCGTGTAAATCCATGTCTTGCAGAAACGACATAACAGCGGGAAGATCCCGGCAACCATTCCAGTAGAAATGAACGATCTCGTGGTAAAGTTCCGGGGACGCGCCCAGCAGTGCGGAAGCACGGCCTTGAGCCTTAATGCTTGCGCGGAATTGGCTGATGAGCTGTGACTCGGGGAAATGCGTGTTGAGAAGGCGGAAGGTCATCAACAGCGCGCGCGGGTATAATGTAGTAATGACCCGGCCGGCCGGAATCATCGGTGGAATTACGACGCTGTTGTCTGATGTTGCGGTGGTCGGTGTCTCTGCGGAATCGGTCTGTCCTTCCATGTAGCGAAGCATGGAGAAGATGTGTGTCTTGCAGACTTCCCAAACTGCTATGTCGCCTTTGTTTCCTTCAATTGCCTCGAATAGCGCACGCTCGATCCGATACGTCTCTTGATGAACGACAAGGGCAACTGCTTCTCTCATAGAAATTTGACGATCCACTCCACTGCGTGGTGGTGGTAGACCGAGTTCTTCACGGGTGTATATGGCTTCGTTTACGGGCTCGATCTCGTCTGAGTCGATTGGTGTCTCGGATTGCTGATTGTTGGCATTGAGGCCATCGGGAATTTGGATATCTTTATCGACGTTCTCTGATACTGAAGGCTTTGCAGTATTGGTTTTCGGTTGCGCGTTGAGATTCACGATTCCCCTGAATAGTTTCATCAAATCTGCTACATCATTTTGCTTCGCATTCTGCCCGGTCGTGCTCGGAGCCGCCACGTCTTTTCCAGCGGAATTGAAACTGGAGTCGTCATTCAATTGGGTCAAGAGCTTATTGAACGCTGCTTTCTCTCGTGAAGTCACCGATTTGAACTGGTCTGGCGAAGCCGATGCCGAAGCCGAATGCCGCGGAGCGGAAGAGCCACGCTTGCGAAGGTGGCTTCTGCGGGGTTCAGGACTGGCGTTATCTTTGGAAGCAGGTTCTTCGGTGGTTATACTGGCGTCGGTCTCGTCATTGACCTCAAGGTCATCAGTTCTCGTGGAGTATGTTCGTTGGAGACGGGGAGTACACGGTCTCTGGAATGATCGCAATACCGGTCCGAGAGTTCGGGTTTGGTAAAGAAAGGGAGTAGCGGTGTTTGCAGTTGCTGAAAGAAGCAATGCCCGGGAAATATTTGTCGCCATCGCTGTTTCAGAGGCTCCCCGTGCAAATTGAGGGTTTGGTTTCCTCAGTTGTTGGCGTAACAAAAAGTTCGAGGCCAATTATAGTCACGTGATCTCGCGTTATGCCTGGCGCGTTTTGCCCGCGCTGTTTGTTGCGCTGCTCCGCTCTACATCTGCACCTGCAATTCATTCCATCCCAGTCTGCATTATGACGAAAGAGCTGTCGGATTTCGAGAAACAGCGCCTTGCGAATATTGCAGAGCGCGATGCCTTATTGAAGAATTTAAAGTTGGAGGCGCAATCTGCGGGCTTCTACGCCGGCCCCAAAACACCCGGCAGCAATGCGCCCAGACCGAAGAAGAAGGCTGCACCGAAGCGCGTGAAGGAAGAGGATGGATCACCTGGACCTCGACGCCAATCCTCTCGTATTCGGGGAATCGCAGCCGAAAGTGAGGTTGCGAAGCGCAAAGCAGATGACGACTATGAGCTTGCGAAAGAAGCGGAGCGAGCGAAGAAGATGCGCCGGACGGACTCCTTCACGCAGAATGATATGTTTATCGCAGGCCAGAAGCTCACAGGTGACAGTCTGATTGGCGTCGATGTTGTTACAAAAGGTGTTGCTGAGCCTTACGTTCGCACCTTTGATGACGATGATATCCAGGAGACTACGGACAAGGACTTGAAGGCACTTCGGGAAGAAATGAATAGCATGTCGATCTATGAGACCTGGGACCCGCAAAGTATGATTTTATCCGTGATATTTCTGCAATAGCTCGCAGGTGATCATTGACTGACAATCCTTAACTAACAGGAATCAAAATCACGCCCGAGCGAGTCTACACCATGACCTTCCACCCTTCTGAGACCAAGCCTCTGATATTCGCCGGCGACAAGATGGGCCACCTCGGTATTTTTGATGCAGCGCAAGAGAAACCCGAGGTTAGCGACCAGGACGATGACGACGACCCGGACCCAGTCCTTACTACTCTGAAGCCACACACTCGGACTATTTGCAGTATGATGGTCCACCCATCTAAGCCGACTCATTTGTACACTGCAAGCTATGACAGCTCGATCCGTGAGATGGATCTCGAAAAGACAACGTGTGTCGAGAAATATGCGCCTGAATCAACAAGCGATGATGAGGCTCTCTCTGGTGTGGATATGGCCGCAGATGACCCCAATACATTGTATTTCACCACTCTCAGAGGTGGCTTTGGTCGTTACGACACCCGGGCTCCTATTTCAGAGAAGACAGTTTCCGAATGGCAATTGTCTGAGAAGAAAATTGGTGGCTTCACTCTCTGTCCTTCACAGCCCCATTACTTTGCGACAGCAAGTCTCGATCGAACAATGCGGGTATGGGACCTGCGCAAATTATCGCACAAGGAACCTATTCCCGTGGCAATGCACGAAAGTCGACTCTCCGTCTCTCACGCTGCATTCAACGCCGCCGGTCAAATAGCCACTTCCTCTTATGATGACACGCTGAAACTGTACGACCTCGGAGCCAAGGGGCTCTCATCATGGAAGCAAGGCCACAGCCTGCCGGATGGCGACTTCAAGCCTGATACTGTTGTTAGACACAACTGCCAGACTGGTCGCTGGGTTACTATGTAAGTTGTTCAGCTTTTTCCTACTCCTCAACACCTGGAAAGCACGATACTAATATTGAAATGATGTAGCCTCCGCCCTCAATGGCAACTAAACCCCCAGTCGCATATACAAAGGTTCTGTATCGGAAATATGAACCGCTTTGTTGATGTCTACAGTGGTGATGGTGACCAATTGGCTCAGCTGGGTGGCGACGGCATCACCGCTGTCCCGGCAGTAGCTGTGTTCCATCGCAGCAAAAATTGGGTTGCTGGAGGTACCGCTAGCGGCAAGCTCTGCCTTTGGATGTAAATGTTCACCTAGCTGTTTTTCCTTTGCCCCGTTTTTGTGTGTTTCGACAGGAATTCGACCTGGGTGGCTTTGGATGTGTGTAGCACTGGAATTTTGCTTGAAGAGGAGGATCTGCTATTATAGTCGAACGATATAATATTGTACATCTCTGAGCAATTTCATGTTATTTGGTACTTTGAGTCTACCGCCTAATGGTGTCGGCACTTTTTCTTGCATTGGTTCATGCCCAAAACCAACCCAGGACTTGCCCAACCAGTCTACTAGTAGGTTATGCACCCAGACATGCCTATACCGTGACCCTTCATTGAAATGGCTATTACTTATGAAAACCTACAGGGTTACTACACATCCATCTTCGAATTCTAGCCTTGCAAGGTTCACGTTGGAAATATCCAAGTGTCCAACGGACTTGAACTTGTTACATCCGATTGGTACTTGTTTCAAGGTGGGAGGTATCCTTTGACGAAGAGTATAGTGATAACTGAAACGCAATGGATACGCATTGAGATAAAATCAAAAGTGAACGAGAACAAAAAGTCCATTTCGTCTATTTGAGTAAAATATCAAGGTGTATATACAGGTTCGCTATCCAGTCCCGAAGAAATCGCGAAAGCGAATTGAGAACAACCTCAGAATACAGAACCAGAAATAATCAAGCTCCAATTTTAAGACCCAGGGGCAAAAACCAATTCTTATATATAAGAACTTTTGTCTTCCTTTTTTTGCTCTCGTGGCTCCCGTGGGCGCTGTCTTCCAAGAGATGAGCCGGGCCGGGCCAGAGGCGAGGAGGTATTCAAATGAGAGAGGATGTTGGTGAAACCTGAAACACAACAATAGAGAGGAGGAAGGGTATCAACACCGTGACACATGCTGCCATGACAGAGAAGGGATAGAAGAAAGATGTAAGAAGGGAGCGGGGACGGAGAATGGGGACAGAAGGGGGGAAGCGTGGATTTCATGAGCACGTAGATGGAGAGAGGTGAGAGAGAGAAAGGGATAGAAATGAAATCATTGATCGTCGATCAGAACTCGTTTCGGAGATCTTCGTGAGAGTGATGAGATTGATCGCGGTCTTTCGCTTTACGCCGGGACGGAGCTGGGACGAAGTCGAAGAAACGATACTTGCTGGATGACTCCTTGGTAACGCTAGATCGGCGAGCTTTGGAATTCTCCGAATATTCCAAGGAGTAGGTGGATGAGTTCTTCGAGCTTCCAGTGCTATCACGAGCGTCTGACCATCGGGGTATGGAGAACGGCATGCGAGTCTGGTCCCAAGTGGCCGACGATGAACTAGGTGGTGTGTCATCTTCCTCCGGAGCATAGTCTGTTGATCGACGAGGCATGGGGGGGCGTGGTGCGAAGAAACCAATTGATCCGCGCTTATCCTGGGGCAATGAGGTTGTGCCTCCAGCCTGCGCATCTGGGGCCGGAGTGGTTGGTTTACTGGAAGCTTCGTCATAGAACGTCACGGCCCGTTCCATCGAGTCCACAAGTTCCTCCCACTTGACTTCGAGTTTCCCATTTGGACGCTCCGCCTGTTCTGCTCCTTGGAGGCACTCTTTGGTGCGTTCTTGCAGACGATGGGCAAGTTCATGGAATTTGGCGAGATTAACGTCCAGTTCTTCCAACTCAGAAATCCGGTCCGGTACCACTTCTAGCCACACACGGATCAGGTTGGCATAGCATCGAGCGTGGTCAATCAAGAACGGAAGACTTGGGAAACCTTCACGCGAGGTAGATGGCAACCGACCCAAAATCTGGATAGGAGTCGTGTATGAAGGTGTCGGGATAGGAGCAGGTTGATCCGCGGAGATGCTGCAAATATTATCGACAAATTGTTTGAAATCAGATCGATTGCCAACCAGGAATTTGTTCATGGGCTCCATCCACGGCTCTTTGTTGCCAAATGTTGTCATGTTTGCCAGCCCCTGGAGTGCCTTAGCAATGAGAGTGAGGGTGCGTTGAGCTCGAGGACGAGGGTGATCTGCAATGAGGTTAGCAGGTCATATCTTGGAAAAAAAGGGTTAAGCTGCGCAGAGCGAGATTTTCGTACCCTTTAAAAGCCCAAAAAGCTTAGGATTTAAGATGGCTGGACAAAAGAACCGCAAAAAGAGAAAGCCAGAAACACTGCTATAGGTCACTGTACGGAGGAAATCACCATAGCGATCCTCTGCACAGGCCCTCACATGCCGGAAGATACGCCTTAACTCAGGAGGGCAATTATTGTAGGAGTTCGCAATGGTCTTCCAGACCCCAGTAGTAAGAGAAATCAAAGATCGCCAATTGCGATCAAGATCCTCAGTGCGTGCTACACGCGACGGGTCAACTTCACATTCTGGGTCACTCTCATCAATTTCACGCAGGCGCTCTCCAATTGTCACCTCCAAATAATCTTTGCCAAGTCGACGCATGTGAAGATCGAGTGCCTTTGTCAGAAGCGAGTTCCCACGGAAAAGAAGGTTTGCTTCCACAGTTGCTGTTCTTCCCATATCTCTGACCAGGATTTCGCGATCATGGCTCGGCTCTCGAGTATCATTGGAATGTATCCTTGTTGTATACCGCAGTCGATTGGTTGTGGATTCCTTATGGACGCCGTCGATTTCGTCTTCGACTAACGCCGAAATCCAGTCGACCGTCTTGCCGGAGACCTGGTAGATATTCAAGAGCATTTCTGATAGCTGTGTCAATTCAAATGACATCAACTGGGCCATATTGATGGTGAGTCCATTGGTGAAAGAGTGAAGGAGTTCCTGCATAGGTGCGTATTCTGCAAACATCAAGACGACCGTTTCTTCCATTCGTGCTTTCATGAATATTTCTCCGACGGCCTGATCATGATCATCTAAGATGGGCCACCACTTTTCGGTGTCAACGCCCGGGTCCAGTTCATCAAGTCGTAAATCCACTTTACCAAAGATCGCATCGTTGGTGGCGATTTGGATGTCGTCAAGCATGTTGACAGCATTGACTTCCTGGGTGGACGAGTATGCTCCCTGTGAGACAAGAGTCCAATCTCGCTGCGTTGGATGCATCGTTTTAACCAGAATGGAGGCTTGGGAGAGCACCGGAGGCACGTCGTTGAAGGTGAAGTCTTCCCGCCAGAACGGATTGGTGGTACGGTATTTAACAGCAGTCTTGGCACGAATCTCTCCATCCAGGAGCACTTCGGTATAGTAGTCGCTAGGTTTGGGTGGAGAAGGTGCGGGAGCGGCAGAATATCCGTGGGATCGAGATTGTTTCCGACTCCGTGGGGTATCCTCTTCCTTCGCACGAAAAAGCTTGGCCTCGGTGATTCTCAAGTTGAGAATTCTCTCAATCCGGAAGAGATCTTTCGCGGGAGATTTCATGCTCTCGGCTTCCGGAGTCTTGTTTGGATCTTCCTCCTCTGCTGATACTTCAGGGCCATAAAGCTCTGGAATTGTGAAAGCTCGCAGAAGAACGAACCAGACCTCAAACAGAACGCGGGTTTCTAAGGCGAGATAGATGGGACGCATGGCGGAATCGATGACGGGGTGAGCTGTATATTGAGGGTAAATGGCAATGCAGAATTCATCGTCGAGTACAGAGGAATCTAGTTGTTGAATGGAACAACGTGAGAGTTGCGATAAGTGCACAAGTGCCACGGGAGAAACATCGGACTCGGTATAGAGCCTGAAGACACCATTTTCCTGCAAGGTGCAGCTAACTTTCTGCCACGAAGAAGACAGTGCTCTTGATTGTCGATATGTTGATACACGGCGAGACGAGACAGGTCGTGCACCAGACGCAGATGGTTTATCCCAGAGAAGCATTTTGCCAACCTTAATGATGGCCGCGTCTTTTTGCGAGGCAGACTCGGAGTTTCGGCGACGCTCGGGAATTCGTCGGTCACCTATCACAACTTCCTGTGGTTTTGTCATTTTGTTTTGAACGCCCTTGGGGCGAATGGGCTGCCAGCATAGTAGCGCTGCGAGCCAGGAGTCGAAGGTTTCGTTGACATGGGGACGGAGCTGTATCCCGAGTCCGGATGTAAAGGTGTGAACGTTGAGGTAGGTTGTTTGTAGCTCGGAATCGTAGTGTGTCCGCACTCGGCAGCCTCGGAGATCAGGTATCAAAGTCTTTGCTAATGCCGGCTCGCCCTTGGCCTGGTATATAAGACTACCGGTGGCGACATTAATCGCACAATATCCGGATGTCCAAGCATTTGAAGCAGATGCGTTGTTCGAAGTTGTGGTTCGAAACGACAGGATTCCATGCATACGGCCACAGGTTGTCTTCATCAGTTGTAGGATCTTCGCAGCGTCGGTATTCGACAGAGGGGATGCAAAAGCGGCTTGGGCGTGGGCTAAACCGGGAGATTTGCCGAGTCGCTGGCGAGCCGATCCGGGGTAATTTGGTGAATGGATAGATGGGAAACCAATGCTAGATGAATCGTCCGTGGTCTTCGATTCGGTGGTTGCGGGCTTAGGTTGGGATGAGCTGGCCGCGTTGACGGATCCGATGCGAGCTCGAGTTTTGAAAGTATTGGAGGGGAGATCGCTTCGTTGTTCATCCAAGGTCGCTGTTCGTGATCGTGTGCGCTGGTTTCTCGTTTCAATCGACGTGTCTTCCTCGCGTCGTTCGACGGTACGCGATCGCATGGTGGTCCGTGGGGAGGGCGCACTGCTGGTAAGGTGCTCTGGTTCGGATAAAGGGGAATGAGATTCCGGGGTCACGGTTCGAATGCTCGCTTCTCGAAAGCTGTCTGGGTAGACCATACCGTGGCGATCTCGGGAGGATGACTTCTTGCTAGCCCGGCGTTCGACAGGGCGGCTATGCAAGGCCTGGTGCATCGAACTCCGCTTCCCGGTATTATATCCATTTGGGTTGTCAGACTCCATCCTACCCGGTCGTGAGCTCACTGTGAGCGGACGGGAGTGTGGTAGGAAGGCTCGCGCAAACGAGGAGAGGCGGACGACTCGGCGCGGCCCAGGACAACGTCAGAACGGTCGGATGTATATAGATAGTACCCGAACGGGCTT